GTATCTACCAAATAAAAATCACGTAAAAATAATAATAGCAAAATTAAAATGTCTATAAATAGCTCAAAAATGGCTCAAATGTTGTGTTTACAGTTTTACTACATCTAGAAAAAGCAAGTTTGAGTTTCCTGTTTAAATTTCAAGTCTATACGAATATTTTAAACTGAATTACACCAAAAAAAGACAGACACATTTCGCATGTGAGTAGGCCACTGTTGTAAATGAGAAGTTGGGAAGGTAATAAATGTAATGCATATCTGTATGCAACGATTAACTATTACCAACGAAAAACGATTCTGATTGATGTACGGTGAATAGTGTTGCTTTGTCAACAATATATATGTCACATAATGGTCAAATAATTGCATATGCATTATATATTTTCTTTAATAATATGCGTTTAATATTGTATCTTTTTTTCCCAGTTTTTACTTTGTTTTTCCCATTTATAGGGATAACTCCTAGAAAAATCAAAAAAATGACCTCCCTAAAATACCACTCCAGGAAAATTCAGAATCTAAATCAAAATTGAGAATATAAAAACATAATTTTCGTTCTTTCTAAGTTTTTTTCAGTTTTGCTCAATTATAATGAACCTATAAGGAAATTCAAAAAACGACTTTCATCGTGAACAACTAAATTAGAAATGCAATAAAAAAGATCTTCGGACGTTTTTCTATTGGAGCAATATTTTTGGTAGAAAATATAGTTTTCAAAAACTAAAACCTATGAAATCGGTAACATCGTGGCGTGCCATAAACATTTGATGTTTTCCGATAATTTTTTTTCCGGTCTATTCCAGAAAAAAATTTAGTTCTTAAAGTGTGCATATAATACGAGGTTTGGCTATTAAATAACGAGACTGCGCGCGTAGAGTGTCCCAAAAAAATTAGGGGAAAATCGAATACAGCGCTGGTTAGCTGGAAGTGTCTATTATGCCAGTACGAAATTGGGTTTTTGTTGGTGCATTAGTATTTTTTGTGTAGCGTTTAAAAACGAACATGTTTTTTTCTCTTGCCGAAAACGATGTGTGACGAAAAACATGAGCAACGGATAAACGTAAAATTTTCTCGTTAAACTAAAAAAAACTCCAACTGAGTGCTATAAGTTGTTAAAAGAGGCCTATAGTGAGGATTTCCTATCTCGGGCGCGTGTTTTTGAGTGGCATAAATTATTTTCTGAAGGTCGAGAGTGCACCGGAATCCAATTCAGTCGTAATCCAAATTCAAAACCATGCTGATCGTTTTCTTCGATATCAACGGCATCGTGATGACTGAATGGGTTCCAGAGGGTCAAACTGTGAACCAAAATTACTATTTGACAGTTTTGGCAACATTGCGCGAATGAGTTCGTAAGAAACGGTCGATATTGTGGAAAAACAAGTCGTGGATCTTGCACCAGGATAACGCACCTGCCCATAACGCGCTATCTGTGAAGCGTTATTTGGCCGCTTAAGGCACTCCAGTACTCGAACACGCATCTTACTCACCCGACTTGGCACCCTGCGACTTTTACTTGTTTCCGAAGATAAAGTCTGCCTTAAAAGGAATCCGGTTTGAGTCGATGGAAGAGGTGAAACAAAAATCGGCGGAACTCCTGAATGGTCTTACGAAAACAGACTTCCAGCACTGCCTCGAGCAATAGAAGAAACAAATGAAACGGTGTGTGAAGAGGGGAGGAGAGTATATTGAAGGGGAACATTTGGTTGTGGAATAATTTTTAAAATAAAACCATTTTTCATAAACAGTCTCGTTGTTTAATAGCCAGACCTCGTATGTGTAGAAAGTAAAATCCACCAAACCGGAGAGGATTCAATTTAAAAATTCCCTCGAATATTAAGCTATAATTTACAATAATTCACAGAATATTTTAATATAGGATATGTTATACAATATATTAATTTTTATCAAATATTGTAATTAAAAATCTTTAAAATTATACACAAAATGAATTACAAAAATATTGTAATGTGTAATTATTAATATTTGACATATACTATGGTTTCACCATTAACGTTCATAAATACATAGCTATGAATCTGTGCTGTTTAGTAAAAACATTGTATATAGGTATTATGGTTTAATAGGTACCTATCTATTTTTTAATTTGGTTAAAACATGTTACCTATATTATAAAGATAACATGTGTAATATTGTATAATATACAAATACTGGCGTTATATAAATAAATGTATTATTATTATAGGTACCTTAGTATTATAGGTACTTCTAAGTCTTATCAAATAACTTGTAAAAATAGTACCTAATACCATTTTAAATCAGAATCGAACTCATAGGTATATTTTTATTTTATTGAAAGTACGGGCTGATGACCAATGATTACATTACAATAAACATTAAACATTTAAATACATAGTTGCAATATTGCATAAAGGATATAACAACAAACACAAAACAGTAAAATACATAATGAACCACCAAACGAACAAAAAATATAATATGTATATTACAGTTAACTCGCGATATAATATAGCGAAGCTTGATATAACGAAAATCTCAACACAATTAATGAAATTGTCGGTCCCTTGAAAAACTCAAGATATAACGAAAAATTAATTGTATTTTTGTTCCCTCGATATAACGAAGCTATTTTGGTCAAAGCTCTCACAATGTAACGAATTTATACAATTTCGGAGTTTGATATTACAAATGTTTAAATTTTATTAATACATACCTACATAACGTATATATACGATACACGTCTGTTGATGTATAATGATTGCAAAAAATGTAAAATAAAAATGTGTTTAATGCTGACGATACAGGACTCTTTTTTAAATGATAACCTGACGGAACATTAACGTATAAAAATGAAAAATGCCATGGAGGGAAACTTAGTAAGGAGCGAGTCACATTACTTTTTGCGGTAAATATAGATGGTTCGGAGAAGTTGTGGTCCTTATTTATAGGCAAGTCTGCTAACCTTAGGTGCTTTACAAATGTCAAATCTTTGATAAAAATAATTGATTTTTTAAAAAAATAAATACATATGTATCAAGCCCGTATACAAGAGAGGGGTAGGGGTTCAATCCCCCTTGATATTTTTAAAGTAGGTATATATTTATAATATAAAAAAAACTATAACTACAAGTTCATTTATTAAAAATATGTAACCCCTCCTCGAAAATTGATCTTAAATACATGCTTGTACGTAATAAACAATAAATACTTTACATATGTAACAAATAATGACTCATATACCAATGTAAAATTCATTTTTACCATACGTTTTTAATGCTAATATAGTTTTACTATGTTATATGCATGCATGTATTATTAAATAAAATGAATATGTATTTGTATGTATTTGTAGCATGTAGATTTAAATTTCGAATTTTTTTTAAATCTCGATGTAACGAACTTTTTCCTAGGTTCCTTAAAATTCGTTACATCGCGAGTAGACTATATTTTCTGGCATACACATGTACTGTGTAAATACTTGCACGTTGCAGTTAGGCACAGGTAATAAAGTATACCTACGCGTGTATACCTAGATACCTACCTACTATTATTCGTAATATTTGTAAAATAGATGGTTAGTCATAACTCATTGTACAATATTAATGGCATGTCTATTTCCCTTAGAAATACAACTCTATCAATTAGTAAATATTTATACTTAAAAATAATAATATTTCAAAAGCTAATGTTCATTTTGATGGATTTATGTAGTGAAACCAGACTTTAAAGAAATAGGAGTACAGAATTTGAGAACGATAGTTCAGGAAAGTGATGGTGGTGAAAACTTTTAAAATTATTTAATGCTAGCAGATGTTCACCTGAGTGTACGTCAGTAAGCCAAAAAGTCAAGTTTTAGCAATCATGCAACTGTATATTTACACGTACCAATTCACCAGGTTTTTCTCACCCTCATACCTCTGTTTCCTCTTGGATAGGCTTTTGAAATTTCAAATATAGATTAAGTTTAACTAGCTTAAGTCACCGTAAAAAATTAAGCCCTTAACAAAGCCTTTTCAAAATTGAATAACTTTAACATTTGCTTTTTTATTACCGACTTACTCATCATTAAAATTATAAGGCAATATAAATATTAAGTTTGGCACGAAAATAGATTTTATAGCGCAAGTAAAATGGACAATTTGAAAGTTAAAATTTTCTCAAAATCAGTGTCATTTTAGGGAGGGTAATTACCTAACCTAACCTAACCTAGGCCTACGCATTTATTTGAAAAAAAAAATAACTCAATAAAACGTTTCACGTTCAATTTAAAATTTAAATTCCTAAATTATTTTTAAATTATATAGGTGTGTAATTTACAAAATTAAATGTTTTTTATTTATTAATATTCCATATTTATAATTTTTAAGTTACTTATTAAAAATTTGTTAATTTCTTAAAAGTTTGGCACCCGGGACAATTATTGTATTGTAGTACCCCCTTAATATGGCCCAGGTCTTGAATTTTATTTTGTTAAACATTTGATGTATTAGTATGACGTGTCTCCAACTAATTTCAAAAAAAGACATGTGTTACACATTTACACTTACAGCGTTTGCATTAACTATGATTTTAAAGTTAAAATTGTCGAGGGAGAAATATTTCAGTTAACGCGCATTAATTTGTTTTGCGTGCAAAACAATTTTTGATTCAAAAATATATATTTTTTCCTGTAATTAAATGATAAATGTAAAACGCATTTTACGATAGACCGGAAAATAGATGCGGAATAAATGAGGAATGGCCGTGATGTTACACCGCGAGCCCCTACCATACCAGCAACGGAGAGGTGCGTGTGGTAATAACAGCGCGGCGATATCGCAGCAGTAAAGTTGTGTGAACCACTGTTGTATTAGCCGATTCTATCGGAACGTGTGACCTCCGCAGCGGGGAATACCAGCTCCAAATGACTCGGTACGTCGCCGCCTAGTCGGTTATTATACTACGGTCGAGATGCTAATGACTGCGATTGCCAGACGACAACGGGAAACCAACGGTTTTCCCCAACTATAAAATTCCTCGCGCCGCGTGTGTCCGTGGCGCGTAGGTACTCGTCTCGCAGTATGGCTGTAATGTTGTTCAAATCGCGAACGTACACATGTGTATTATTTACTGTAGTGTACAATTTCCCAGATACAACGTAGTTATCTACGTAGAATGGGAAACCTGCGTGGTAAATTTGTAACGGAAAACACGCCATCCTTCGACGCTGCACCGTTACGTCAATAAGAAATTGTACGCGCACCGACACGTGCGATGGCAGTTGTTACTGTATTAATAACTATTTACTAAAAAACTTTATCTGGAACGCGTCTAAATAATATATAGATAACAATATTGTGCTTGATGGGTTTACACCGTTACGTAATAATAATAAAATATCGTTATAAATTATAATAGTGATCGTCACCCGCGCGATTTTCGTACCTGCCGTCCCATCTGTGCGGAGTCATTGTGAATAGGTTCCTATATCCACATGAGAAAAATTGTGAATTCAATAATTGCATGACGCGTGGTATCCATAATTGGATTTAATCAGTATTGGGGTATTTTATTACCACCGTACCACGTCGGAATATTTTATTTCGGCCCATCTTTATCCGCAGGAATACGGGAAACGGACGCCGTCGAGGATGCGTTTACAGGACGACGGCATGACAAACACGTACTCCGTTGTCGGCGAGACGACCAAGACGATGATCACGATAATGGTCAACAAATTCTTTTTAGGTATCTAATTATTTATACCGAAAAAAATACTATATTAACATTATTAGCAGGTAATTTAGTTTTGTATTTATTATTATAATTTTTTTCTTTATTCTTATACCTACCTATTTTCACTGGAAAAATTATTCTATTTCCAAACTCATTTTTTCTTTTGCCCAACCCTTCAACTCTAAATCGTGGTAGGTAAGTGCAATTTTTCTAGAAAAACTTAATGTTATTATGTTTGGATAACCTTTATTTATATTCTAGAATGTATTATATTTACCAAACTATGTTTTTTCTCTGAACACACTACTTATTAGTAAAATATGAAAATGCTCAGATTTTTCACGCCATACTTTAATTTTCTGCATGACGGTATTTAATTCAAATGATTTTTTTAAAATTACCAACAATTCTAAAAATTGCGTTTTAGGTTTTTTTATAAACATTCTTTTGATCAGTATAAAAATGTGACTATCATACCTTACAATTTGCACAGTTGTTCTTCTGTGTTACCTGAAATCCTTTTTTGAAATCCTCAACAATTTTCTTTTTTAAAACATTTTTTAGTTTTATTTTTTATCTGAAAACCACTTTAGTAAAGATTCTCCAAATATTGTTCACGTCGTACTTTAAAAACCGTGAATTTTTGGCTAATTAATACATTGTATCAGAAATATATTAAGATTTTTAATGGTTTTTTTCTAAAAATAATGTCGAAAACTCACCGTAAATAGAGATATATTGTTTTTATTTTTGTTGATTTCTGGGTTACGTTGGCTTAAAGGGAAATAATATAACCATTACCAGATTACAGAGCTCCGCTCAGAGTCGTTTTTTATTGTAATCTAATGACTTAATTTGTTATTGTTGTTTTTGTATACAAACTAAATTACCCTTTAATCTTCCGCTTTTTCCAATTTTGACCTTTAACAGTGCCCTACCCATGTTACGAAGTATATCTGGATTTTTTTTTTTATCATAATTTATAGTGTATACATTTCGTATAAATTAAAATAATTTAATATATTACAATGAAAAGAGGAGTCTGCATAAGCGTTCATAATAATGTTATGTCGCTGACTCGACTTGTTTTTTTTATGTAACGAAACAATTTTACAATACTTTCGAAATAATTTATTTATTGTAATACTGTCGTCGTTGTCAAGAAATTGAATCTGAACAATATTATTTTGAAATGTTTTTCAATTATTAGTATATTATTATATTTATTATTTCAACGAATGCTTAACACACATTATCATAGATAACTTTTTTAAAACAATTAAAATCAAACATAAATGGTTTTCATCAATTTGGCACGTGATCATAAAATACTGAAACATGAAATCATTGGGTTTTTACACAAATATTATATAAGCGCGTAGGAACCTATAGTTTAATAATATTGTAATATAGGCGGGTATTTCTATTTCTATGTGTACTTAATTGATTAGTGTAGTCTGACTATATTTGAACTCAACTCTTTGGTATATTATTTGTTTATTATACATTAATTAATGACAAATAAGTAGGTATCTACTTTATTATAATAGGTTACCAATAAGGAATAATTATTAAAATTATAACGTTTATGTTATTTGTTATATTTATAATTCTGACATAATTCTAATTTACCACAAAAGGTTTTAGTCCCTAGGTATTTAATTATAACCATGATTAAACATTTAAAAGTTACAAATTTTACGAAATAACAAAAATATTTTGAAAATAAATGATGATTATTATTATTATTTTCCAATGTTTTATGCGTCCCTGTATTAGGCTTTAGTGGCTAGCCTTATGGTATATATTTAAAAAAATATTATTATTTTGTTACAATTAAAATTCCAAAAAACCACTTTTAATCATTTTGTTTTACCAGGAAACTTCTCTGTTATCTACGGACTACAGATATAGCTAATAAACTATTATACATTACATCTGTGGTAGGAACTTGAGAGTCTAATACCTGTGCAATTTAGGTATTTTATTTGTTGTGAAGAGAAAATTTATTTTTTCGTCGAGAGAATGTTAACATTACCAAGGTGGTTTCACTGCGTCGTTCGCCCTTCACTTTCTTAGCCTACTCCCAAAGAAACATGGTCAATGTTGATATTGAACATATTTTGTGAATTGTGCATTATTTGTGCTTGTCAGTCGGGCAGTCGCTATAATGCTATAGTCCGACACTCTCGTCGTTCGCACTACTGTAGTAAAAGTAGTAACAAATAAAATATGCAATATGCATTGGTCTACAGTAGTCAGTCACTATAGCCAGTAAGGCAACGAATAGTATCGATTTCGTTGCGCGTTCGTCGTATTATTATTTCCTATTGATGCACGAGACGTTTCATCGCCAGATCGTAGTGTTTATGTGCGACATTATCATACTACATGTAACCAGGATAATTTATTTTATTTTCGTTTGACCGTCCTACTAGTGTTTAGTGTTTTTATTAATAATTTTTTTTTTTTTTAATCGTGCATATGATTGTGTTATAATTTTTCTTACCAATATTAATTCTAGTCTTTTCGTGTTTTGTGTTCGTATTTTTTAAAATTTTAAGTCGTATCACATTAAAAGTAACTTTCCATTAATAAATCGTTTTAGGTGTTCTGATGATATTCATATTATGTAGTGTGATTAATGTTTTCATCTTATTGAGTACTTCGTGTACAAACGAATTGCATTGAATACGATATTAGCTGTTTTGATTAATTTACAAACACACTTTTTACGAACGATGTATGCCCAAATAAATGCTGATAAATTAAAAATGGAACTTTCAGCTAACAGGGAGAAACAACTGAAATCTGTTAAAAATGATAAAATTTCCAAAGAAAGTAGTGTTAAAATGGATTCAGGATTTTGTGATATGCTATCCAAAGAGAATATTGAATATGATCCAGCAGTAGTCGAGAAATCAGAAAAAGAAACAATCTCAATTGGTATTGATAGTGGATTGTGTATTGACGAATCAAGCATTGAATTAGTTGACGACCAAAATGAATCTAATAAACAAACAAAAAATGATCAACAATGGAAGTTATATTTTAAACAAAACGAAAATGGAGACACGTATGTAAACATTATTTTCTTTTACGATTTAAACTATATATATATATATATAACTATATACACACCTACCTATATATTTATGTATTTCATCAATTATGCTTTGTACTTAAATATAGATCCCAATTTAGATACATCACGAAATGTAATCTAGTATATATTCTGATAAGTATTAACAGTCCCTTACAGCTTAAATTTTTAAAAATCTGTTCTTACTCCCTAATCCCTATACCTTTTATATAAAGAACCTCTGAACGGTTTTTAGACCTGACTATTTAGTTGATTAGATGTCAATATGTCAAGCAATTTTCACTTTAAACAGATTATTTACTTATTTTATACAATAGATATTAGTTATACAAATTGTGAAATGGTTAAGACCTTGATAAGAACATTTTGTCCACCTACTTACTAGTTGAGTGAAAAATTCACGTCTTTAGGCTTTTAAATTTCAATGTAGTATTTTAGAAATAATGCATTTAATTTCTCAGTAAGATACTTTACTACCTAAATTGTATTTGACATTAAAATATTATTATTGTTTTTACCTATGTAAGCAAAGTTGAATGTTTAATAAGGAGCACAAATCTGTGACAAGAGATCTCAAAATTACATATAAAATTAACATAGTTTCAAGTCATAATTTATTTTTAACCATGCATTAATATTACTCTTTTTTTTTAAAACTGAGTACGTTCTAAATTTTTTTTATGCAATTTTATTTTATGTGTTGGTTAGGTCCATTATTAATGTTTTGATTTTATAGTAGGTAGGTATATTTGTATTAATGCACATTTGTAAATTTACTTCATTATTTGTTTTAGGCAACTTCATCTTGCCATTATGCATGGGTTTATTAAAGTATCAAAATGGTTAATTGATATTTGTGAAGATTCCAAATGTTTAGATATTCGAAATGACGATGGACAAGTAAGTAGTGAATACCTACTGAATACTAATTAAAATACATTAAAGAACTTGCTATAACAAATCAATAATTATATTGAGTGATATATTTATTTAAATTGAAGTACATTAATATACTTATACCTATATAATATTGTTGTCAAATAAGGCAGTATATTATTATATTGAAAATTAGTATATGGAATTTAAGAAGTGCTAGTACACTCGTTTGGGGTTGTTTATGATGTATATTTCATATTTGTATAATTTATGTATACCAAGACAAATTAACAGTTTCAATAAGTTTAATTTTAATCTCAACTATCGATTATCAATTCTATTTTTTTATTAGATTTATTGTTATTTTTCAACTTTTATTTTTATGATATTAGAAAAATTAATATTGGTTTAATAATTTTCACCATATATCATTCTTGACTATATATTATAAAATAGGTCTAAATGTTAGTGGTGGATACACCACTATCATCAAAAATTTACCCGATCCACTCGCACTCAAAATATCAATTTCACACATCAAATTATGACCAAGTTTAAATTTCAATAAAATTTTTTTTAAATTTTTTTAACATGAAAAATATTATTTATTGTTATAAATAAAAATATGTAAATACATAGTTTAATGTATTATATAATTGTATAAATTAATGTAAAATTAAATATATACATAATATGCCATTATTAATTGTACATTTTTTTAATTGTATTTTTAGAGTGCTCTTCATTTAGCTGTCATGACAAATCAATGTGAAATTGTTAAATATATGTTAATGAAAAATGCCAATGTAGAATTATTAGATATAAATGGCAATAATGCAGTTCATTTGGCATGTTATGGAGGAAAGTTGGATTGTTTAAAAATTTTAGCTAGTTCTGTTCTACTGCCAAAAATGTTAGATACTATAAATTATGATGGTAAGGAGTTTTTATAATTATTAATAATTTGATAGGCATTAACAATTATTTAGTTTTTAGTTAAATGTGATAAATAGTAATAATAGTTAATTATTTAGTATTTAAAAATATGTGTTTGGTAATTTCCAAGTATGGCATAGATTAAACTATTGTTAAATAAATAAAATATTACATATTACATATTCTGTGTATTCAAAATGATTATTCAGTTCTGATACTTGTATTTTTAAAAAGACCTACATATTTTATATGATGGGTGAGAAATTGGGAAGGTAGGGGAAACATTTTATGTAGGTATATCTGTACCATTTTTAACGTTACTTGTTCACAGATAAAATAAAACAAATAAACATAAAACAATACATTCCTTGTATTGCTCAAAATTTAAAATATAATTTCATACAATACAATAGAATTTTTGAAAAACTTAATAGGTATATTGCAAAATAATAAGTGTTCTACGATTAAAGAATCACTCTGCATACTTTAAAGGTAGGTTAATAATTATTATACAAACTGAGTAACTTTTAAACGTATAAGATAGGCAATTACGGATAGCTTGACCCAGTGACATCACTTGTCTTTTTTCAATTTCTCATAACTCATTGAATATTGAGTATAGAAACGTAAAACTTGTACTATTTTTATTATATTTCAAAAACATTATACGAATTTAAAAAAACTTATTTTTGGTGTTTTGTGCTCCTTTAATAACTTACTAACATAGACTTTTTACATATTATTATATTATGTACAATCATTTTATATTGGATAATATCTGTTGTAGTTTTAAAACAAACACTGGAAATTATATTGATTTTATTGGTTTCACTATAATGTTTATTATTATTATTATTTACTATGAACAACATAGATACCAGAAATTTCGATCCAATTTTCAAGTGTAGGACTTTTCTGAAAGGAAATCTTACTGGTGTAGTACTTAAGTGAAGTAATTTTTTAATTTTCCCAGCCGTTTTAATAGTAAATAGGAAAAAATGTAAGAAAAACACGAACATTTATGAAATGTATTATTTTCAAATAGTAAATATTACAGTATTTCAAAACATGTTTAACCAAACTTCACTTTATTTGGTTGCATTTTTCATTAATTAACGAAAAAGTTTATAATAATTAAATGTTGCGTACAGATTTACATTAAATTTCCCCTCTACCTTCTCAACTTCTCACCTTCAACAGTAGCTTACAAATTGTGACTGTAACTCATACAATAGTAATCAAACTATAAACACTAGATATCAGTCAATTACTGTTATGAAAAAGATGGAATCCATACCAATCTAATATAATATACAATGCAAGCCGCATATGTGATAATGCTAAACAAACTACAATTTATAACGGTTTATACATTGGTTATCTGTTTTTGAAAAAAATAAATAATTTCATGGATCCAGGAAAATAAAATGTTGAATTGGTTATTGGTTTTTTATTGGCAACATAATATGTTGCCGAAATCGAAAAAAAGGTTATCGGACCAGCTCTAGATTTTACATGTTTTAATAACATCAAAATCTACAAAGATTACTTATTACTAGACTACGGATAAGTGATTTTCAGATTGTTAATTGTTTATTCATGATTTCCAAATAAAAACATCTTCATATTATAATATTGTTCAATGATTACACAAATTATTGAATGCAATTTAAAAACTAATAAAATATATGAAATTATTTAATTGTATGATGTATAATATGTTACAGGTTTGGCTTGTATTCATATTGCCACAATTGCTAACCATCTTAATATACTTAGATTTATTGTTAAAAGGTCAATAAATGTCAATATCACAGTAAGTTAAAAAATATAAATGCATACCTATTAATAAACATACCTGTACCATCACTATCTATTTTCTCGTTTTTCTTGCTTTAGGTGTCTTCTTATATTTTAAATACAAATTTTAATATCAGAACATTTAAGAGTGGATAAAACTTAGATTTTCACAAATGTATTTCATAAATTAATTTTTAATTTTTCTATTATTGGTTACCAAATATTACTTTTGAATTTAAAATAATTTGTGTACATTTATAAAAAAAAAAACATTCCTTGCCTATGACAGTCAGAAATATTAATTATAGGATGTTTTAATATATTTTTATGCAATTACGTAGAGTTCTTTAAATTTTTAAATTTTAACAAAATGATTGGTGAGTGAGAATTTCTCCCTATTTATGTAACTATTTGTTCAGGATTTTATAAAAATAAAATATAAGTTACTTATAATTAAAACATTAATTTTTAGGATTATAAAAGTGGATATACAGCATTACATTTTGCTGTAGCGCTAAATAGAGCTAATCTCATGGAATGTTTATTAGACAAAGTAGACCCAAATATAGAAAGTTATGCTGGAAAGTTAGCATTTGAAGTTGGATATGATTATGATGAAGACGAAGAGGATGATGAAATTGTATGTAAATGTTAAATTTTATTATATAATGCACATTAATAAAAATTGTATTAAAATTATTTTTAATATTTTGATTACAGTCTGATGATCTTGTGAAATCAATAAATGAAATACAGTTACCTAATAACACTGCAATTGTATGTTAATGAATATGAATTTAACAATATTACATTTTATTAGTTCAGTCAAAAAACCATTGGATTATTTTATTTCTAAAATTTTGAAGATTTTCTGTTTCCATACAATTTCTAAGTTGGTAAAAATGTAACCTATGATTAGTTTGTTATCTCTAAATTATTGATGTTTTTATTTTGTTTGTGTTTAATAGTTATTATTGGAATGTATTAAATATGCATGTTAACTGATTTTTTTTTTGTAATTGGAAATTTCCATTGAAAATTATTGTGAAATTTTGAGTGAATTTTTTTAAAATAAATGTATTTATATGTTACAATATAGTATTTTAATCAACTCAAACAATATAAAATCAAATGTAGATTATCAAATTATTGGTATATTATTTCCGAAAAAAATTAGACAACTATAAATACTGCATATGATCATATAAAACAGTGTATTTAAAGGATGAGGAAAGATCGTTTTTCTTTTTTCAAGAAATGCAATAACTTTTTATTTTTAATCAGAATTAACAAAATCGTATATGGTTGTATCCAGGAGATCTTGACGTTTACGTATAAAGTACAATATAGCTCCCTTCTACTAACCCTACAGGCAGTTAATTTATCCATAAAATTTGCAATGATTTACTCACATATTTTGCACAGTTCTCCCATCATTTCGGATTTCTTGTTTGAGTTGAGTGATATAACGAGGTTTATTCTTGTTCACTTTCGACTTAACATAATCCCTTCAAAAAGTCTCAGGGGTTTATGTTGCAAGACTGAGGTGATCAGCTTTGGTCCTCACGTATTGAGATAAGTCTGTTCTGTAAACAAAACATGCGTTTCCATAGATAATCTTCCTATGGGAATGGACGCCTTCAAAACACTTGAAAATAAAAAAGAACAATATTACACAAAAACTTCAGGTTTTTGAGATAATAAAACTTTCGAGTTCATTGCTACTGACCCAAAAACAGAAAAATGGTGTACTTTTTAAAAAAAAATCTTTTATGGACATCCCATACTTCTTTGCTTTTGTCAATTTGGGATTAGCCACACTTGTTCTAAACTTGAACCGATCTCCCACCTCGCACATACCATACCAGCTGTCCTTATATCACTATCAATCTGAAATTATTCAGTGGAGCCCATTATTTTTTTAAGATCACAAATAAAAATAAATAAACTCATATTCAATCTAATTTTTGGTCCTCTCTATCTATTTCCTCCTCCATTTATTTCCATTACTGCATAATAATTTGAATCATAATTTAACATGCTCAGTCTTACCACAATTTTGTTAAACTTCTATTTAAATTTCATTGGAATCAGTAATACATTTTAAAATGTACTGTTTTAATCACTATTTATATTATTTTTTGTAAACATGTTTCTAAATTTCTTTTTACTGTTATTGTTTTTAAAAATAAGTGCTCATTATTCTACAATACGAAGTTGTATTTTAGTGCAGAGTAATTTTAAGTAATATTTTCCATATTTTTCCGTACTATGTATGGTAAGTGATGGGAAAGAATGTGTTTAGATGGTTTGAATTGGACACGGATGAGTTCATTTATCAAGAACTAAGTTATAATTTATTATGAACTTGAATGCTTTTGATTCGTTCTTTGATAAATTACCTTTCATAATATACCAGTAATATTTTTAAATTTTGTATAATAATGTATATAGTATGTTGGATAAGAAACCAGTGCTCAAACTAGAAAAATATAAGAAGAGGTACTATAAAACAAAAAAAAATTACTGTCCTTTGAAATTATTGAACTTAACTCAACTCAACACATGGAAACTTAGTTCTCCACAACTCCCACACAAATTTTAGATTCTGAATGGAGCGAGGAATGCATTGGTTTTACAATGATATATTTTTTTTTTTTATGAGTACACTTTTTATAATAGAAAGCTTCTTCCGATTATCAAGTGTACCTAGCACCTTTTCTGAAAGGAAATGTTCTCTGAGAGGTACTTCAGAAAGGTCATTTATTGAAATTCTAATTAATATTCGAGATAATGAGGAAAATCTGGTTCTTTAGATTAAATAATATTGATAGATTAAAATTTAGCTGTCATTGACAACTGTTTTTAATTATTTTTCATTATTAAGCTTTTATTAAACCATTAGTATTGTCATGGAAACGCACATTGTTGTAATCATTTTACCATAATATGACATATATATTGTTGACACTATCAACTGAACTCCGCTCATAATTGTTTTTTCTTTAGCAATGGTTATTCGTTGCTTACAAATATGCATTGAATTGTCTATAACAGTGGCTGCACCTGCCCCCATTATCCTAAGACCTTTTTTCTTTTCATCTGTGTTACTTAGCTAATCCATAATTCGACAATAATAATTTTATTTAAGTACCAAAAATACCTAAAAACCGAATTTTGGAATATGTGTTTTCAATAGCCTGTGGGCCATGACACTTATACCAGAACCCATATTTTAATGTTACTTTTATGATTATCTATCCTGAAGTTCTCAAGATTACCTCGACCATATATCTGAATGCCTTTTTTTATAAAATATTAGTATAAATAGAATAAATATTTGTTATTTTTCTTGTTCAATTTAAATACCCTTTCTATATTTAAATATTTTTTTTATACAATTAATAGTTGTGAATACCATGAGTGAAACAAATAAAAAAATTAACACTACTTTTCATAAATAACAATTTAAAACATACAATTGAACCAAGTAAATTGTATAATTCTAATTTCTTTTGATTAAAAGCACAACCATATTACGAAAGTGCGTATAGTGTATGTCAAAATTCTAAGTAGAGGTAAAGAGTGGCTTACCTAGAATTATTTTTTTCACTTAAATTACAAAAGTTGTTTACATATAGGCAACATGTAAGCTTTGATTAAGAATATTCGAGTAGGAGTTATTAAATATTTAAAATATTAAAACTTTATAACTTTATATGTATTCTTTTTATCGTGTCCGGTGCTGAGGATTACATGTTACTAAATTAATAAATAAAATAATCTAAGAATAAAAGTAAGATACAAATATAGAATATAAAATTAAAATAAAATAAAATAAATGTTTAAATGTTTAAATATTTTGTTTAAACCAATAGATGGCGACTGATATTACCTTTTCGTTGGCTAGACCCAAGTCGTCGATCGTGCATCTTGGCTGAGCTAAGGCGCACTGTAATAAATGTTGTCCAATTGGTCTTCGCCACACTCGCATAGTATGTCCGGTCTTTCCTGGTATCCCCATTTCATCATGTTCGTTTTTGTTTTAGCTACTCCAGCTCTTAACCTATTTAACGTCTTCCATATAATCCATGGTTGGTTTCCGCTATATGGTAAGTGCTCAGCAAGCAGGACAAGTTCTTCAGATTGTAGCTCTTCTCTCCGTTTGCGTGATCTGTGTTGTGCTGGTGAGTGTGCTTGGATCGTGATTGAATTTGCAATAAAACTTCTTAGAGATTTTAGTCTCCTTTGGGCTCCTCAGTAACTATGCATGAGGTGTCTTTGGTCCACTGTTTGTTTAGTTTTTTCTATGCATGTTGCCACATATCTCCGTATACTTGGTGGAGCTATCTTTGCTAGTGGATGTATATTATAAATATCCGGAGGATATGGTAAGAGCCTCCACGTGGCGTATCCTGCATCGTGATATACGACTCCATACCTGGATAACTAATCTTACCAACACTGGTGTAACAGTATTTTAATACCCATCATATTATTATCTTATAATAATACCTAGTAACAGGTGATTTATTATGTAATATATTATATATTAAATTATGTATTTATTATGGTGATATCTTTTTACCTTAGAGGGTATGAACTTCCGAAATTAGGTTATAATTTATATTATAATATGTTTTATTGTTTTAAAGTCGATGTTTCACTATTTTTTTTACATATGTGTGTTAATAAAATTTTAAACAATATTTCCTTCCTTTCTGGAACTATCATTGACACACAAAGATCATATTTTATTTTAAATTACCTATGTGTATACATATTGTCATTCTTCAACAATATTTTGCGATACTTCAGTAATGAATGGAACTAGAAAACATATTGGGGGATTTAACCTCCAGGACGTCCCTCTCCCTAAATACGTCACTGTGTGGGGTACAAATCTTCTGTTACACCGGTGCTAGAATGTTTTACATATATTGAGGTCCCTTGAATATGCTTGTTATGCACAGTTAAAGAATCGCTGCTCTTTCGCTAAATTAAATTCCCTTCAGTTTTCTATCTTCTCAACTTCCTGCCTACAACAGTGGCTACACCCGTCCCTATTATCCTAGAACAGCTTATTTAGATAATATTTCTTAAATATTCGGAATAAATTCTATTAAGTACCTATTCGTAATATTTTGGAAGTATTGTTGTTGTGAAGTATTCGAATTTATATTCTGAATATTTTTTTAGTGTGTATTCGAATATGTATTCTTAATACTTTTTAAAAATACCTATGTCTGCAGCATGACCCGTCCACAGTATTAGCTCTTATTTTTTAAAATATAGGTAGATTTCCACTAGTTTGTGAAAAATACACTGAGAGCGCTGATAGTGTAGAGGTTTTTGATAAGACTGATTTGCTATTGCTTTTCTCATCAGCGATAGCAGCTTAATATAAACCGTCGTGCAACCGTTATAATATCTATATCATAGAGATGACATATTAAGACATATTAAGATCTTATTATGTTAATGGTCAATACATTTTATATTTAAATATAGCCTTGTCCTGAACTGACTACAATTCAAACAATTAAACTGAGGTTATCAAAAATATGAATACAATATATAATACGGAATGTTGGTAACACTGCCTGGTTATTTTTTTTTCTTGACAATTCTAGAATATTCTTCGGCTATAGAAGATACAGTGTTCAGTGGTTTATACATATTCGTAATTTGTTGTGTTTTTGTGTGTCAATTGTACGTTTCATTTCTTCAGACCATTTAATTTTTTTGAATACACACTTATTGAATTTTTTTCATTTTATCTTGTTATTTCACCAACTTTAAAAAATACCGTCTTAAATTATGGTAAGTATACTTTTGTTAAATAATATTTTAATTAATAAATTACCCATTTGAAAATAAAAAAAAAACATACCTACCTACACGATATTTTAAAAATACTTATTATATCTATTTTAACATACAAATCGTTATTTTATTCTACAATGAAAATTCATATTAATTAAAAATGAATCAGTTTATCATTTTTTACTTTTTAGTAAAGTTTATTAAATTTTTAGGATAATCATCCATGTGGTTGTGGTTTAAATATTTTCATCCTAATTTCAGGCATCTGATTTAAAAGAAAAGGGGAATGCTGCTTTAGCTGCTGGAAATTACGAATTAGCCATCGAATTATATACAAAAGCTATTGAATTAGACCCTAATAATCATGTACACTATAGTAACAGGTCAGCCGCCTATGCAAAGAAAGGAAAATACCAGAATGCATTGGAAGATGCAGAAAAAACTATAACCATTAAACCAGATTGGCCTAAAGTTAGTTATAATACAAATAATATAAAACTATAATTTTAATGCTATATATTTAATCATTATTTGTATTATTTAGGGATATTCAAGAAAAGGAACAGCATTGTCATTTTTAGGCCGTAAAGACGATGCAGCTAAAGCATACAGCGATGGATTAAAATTTGATCCTAATAATCAGCAATTGCTTGATGGTTTAAAAGAAGTAAAACAATCTCAACCATCTTTTGGCAGTAGCATGTTCCCTACAGAAGGATATTTGAAACTGGCTAAGGATCCTAGAACCAAGAATTTGATCAATGATCCAGAGTTCATGAAGTTACTGATGGATTGTCAAAGAAACCCTCAAAAGTTAATGTTAGTATGATAATATTCGATATTGCAATCAATACTTAATATATTATAAATTAAATTAAACAACCTAGATATCTATATAACACTTTGTAACATGCATTTGTTGAAATTTAGGTAATTATTGAATTACCTAAGTTACTACATACAAATTAAAATTTGATTTTATTTGGTTGTGTCTTATGTTGCTTAGATAGTTAATAGGGACCGAATGTCCAGTCATGCTGTAGTGTATGACGAGATTTTACGATAAACACAAATGTGTATAAATATACTTAATATTATTTATAACTTGGACTTCTATGGGATTATTACTTACTATGTTTTGTACAGTGTGTACTATTATATTAGTGTATTAGCTGTATCCATATACATTTTTTTGAAGATTTTATTTTGTCTTAAATTCTTATGTTTTACTTTTTAGATGAAGAGTGTAGTGAGGGATCTATTGGTTTTATTATGATAATGGTTTTTTTTCGTCTGAACAATTTTTTTACTGGCAAACTTACTCCGAAGTATAGACTAATATCTTTCCTTAAAGGTAATATTCTCTCGTTGGTGAATTGTGAGGTCATTTTTTGATTTTCCAAGGGGTTTTCTAAATAATTGTAAAAAACAAAAAATTATAGGTAAAATGGCAAATATATACAGAGTTACCATTTTTATTGTTTTTATTATGTTAATACAATGTTTTCTACTAAAAGTATTGCTCCAATCTAAAAATGATGAGATAGATTTTATTCCTTATAATATTTCGCCAGTGACAGTCATTTTTCGATATCTAAAGTATTTTTCATAACCACCTTGTTATTGTTTTATCATTATTTTTTTGTTACATAATATATATATCTGTAATTGGGTTTGTCTGTAATGTTTTAAATAAATAAATAATAATTGGGAAAAACCAAAAAAAATGAAATTAAAATATTTTCTAAATTACGGCACAACAATTTCATTATTTTAAATATGTACGGCTCATGTTTTCTACCATAAATATACCTCATCTGTATTCAGTATGTACTCTGTAGATTAAATTGTTAGACTAAACAGAAATGCTTAATGATAGTCGTACTTTATAGAAAAAAAAAAAAAAAAAAAATTGAGCTCTATGTTGAATTTTAGTGTAGACGATTTTTAATAGGGTCAAAATTTTGATGGAAACTATTTGTGTAAAAAAAATTTGTTGAATAAATCACTTAGTTATTAAGAATAGTTACCCTGCGTATTTAAAATATCTCTTTTAAATACCTGAACATCATGTTTTAATTGGTTCTGATTACTATAGTATGCATATGCAAGATCCTAGAATATCAGCAGCATTAAGTGTTTTAATGGGAATTAATTTAATGGGTGATGACGAAAAACCGGGTGATGATGAAAAAATGGAAACGGAATCACCACCATCTCCTCCAAAACCTAAAAGGGAACCAACGCCACCACCAGAAAAAATGGAAGAAGATGGTTTTACAGAAGAACAAAAACAGGTATTTTAGTATTAAGAATATTCAATAGGTTATATAATTCCATAATCATTAATATGTTACTAATTTTAGTGTTTTTATAAAGTTACAAGGAATATATTTATAATATATAATTCACTTTCTTTTTATAGTTTGTATGTGTTTATTACTAACTATAAACTGATAAATAATGCCAATAAAATATTTCATCAAATACTTCCCATTATTGCATATCTGTAGATTTTTTATATCAGCTGTTGGTTTTGTTGTATTATGATGGTAAACATGGAAATATAACTATAAATTACTATGATAAGTTATAAGTTTTAGGGGTGCCTCCTATGGGGCATGGCTGGCTTTATTTTTCCTCATATCTTTTAAGGTGTGATTCCTGTGCACACATCTATAGACGCGCAGTGCGATTTAATTTTAGTCGCGCGATCTAATATTGATTCCTATGTACTCTTCAGTAGACGTGCGGCGAATACTACAGGGCTAGAATTAGGCACGTAATCATAGTTATATCCAGTCCTCTGTTTGGAGCGGTTGTACTTGTATATTCATATTGGTGTGTTTTAAAATATTATCATTTCAGTTTAACCATGTCCTTAACAAAAAGATAAAAAATAATCTTATAACTACTTATTTTACAATAAGTAGAAGAAGAACAAGCCATTATAAAATACATTCTGTCAAATAATAAAAATGAAGTGCATGAAATGTACTTAGCCAGAGAAGCTGAAGAATTTTTCAGTGTCTTGTTAGAAAAACATTTATGGCGAGACGAAACCAAATTCAGGGAATTTTTCAGGTTAAGCTGGGATTAATTTAATTATTTATCGAACCTAGTTGACATAATAACACCAACTCAAGCATAAAAATTAGAAAACCAACAATTGCTACTGAAAAACTAGCAAAAACTGAATAGCTGTGCGGCTCGTGTGATTTGACTGTCCTAGAAGCATAGACACCAAGTTGCTGTCACGTGGCATTAGAAGCTCGCGACCGCTGCCATAGGAATGAGTTATGTTTAGAAACAAGTAAAGTAGTACCAGCGCATCTTAAGTTAAATTGCACCCCATCAGTCGTCTCTAGATGCATGCATAGGAATCACACCTTTAAGTTTACTTATTATAATGTTCATGTTGTAAATATATTATAATTAAATAAAAATATATCAAGAGAATTTTATTGAGACTTAAGTTAAGTTCTACAAAAGTGGTGAGAGTAATTTATGTTGTATGGTTCAAAATGTTAGGCAGTAAACAGAAAAATAGAACAGAGTGAGTAGCAAAGATGATAATGCTTAGGTGGACAAGTGGAGTGACAAGAAAAGATAGGATAAGGAATGAGTAAATAAGAGTTAGCTTAGGCGAAGCTTTGATATAACAAAAAATAGACAGAGATGGTTTGAGCATGTCATTGGAAGAGAAGAATTTGAAGTAGTAAGCATTGTAGTGATAAACACAACAGGAAACGGGTGGCAAGAAAGACTGAAAAAAGATGGTTGGATGCAATTGAGAATGGTATGAGGACAGCCGGTGTATGTGAGGTAGGATATCTGTAGTCTATTGGAAATCTAGAACAAAGGTGACCGGCCCCAAGTATTTATAAAAGCAAAGGAGAAACATAAAAAAAAAATACAAATAATGAGCATTTTGTAATCTTAAACTATGTGTAAATCAAAGCAAAATTGTGGGCTTTATGCAAATTTCCACATTTTTAACAACACACTTAAAAAATTTTCAAAGTGTTTTTAACAAAGTTGAGTAACATTGTTTGCTACTATGTTTTTATTATTTATTTTTCACGATTTTGTTGACAAATTTTAGACTGTTATCAATTATTATGTCCTAATTTTAAACATCTTGCTGTGAAGTCAAAATTTGGTCACTAATATTTACTTTTATAATTATCCTAGCTAATTATAATTATCATTGTGATTTATAAATACAAATTTTAAAAATATTTTTTGAAATTCAAATTTTATTTAAGTACACATATTTGTTGATACACTTTTGATAAACAAAAACTAACTTCCTAGATCAATAAATTTTTCAGTAAGTTGCTAAGTATATTAAACTTATTAACCATGTAATACATTTTTAATAAGTTTTTTTAAAAGAAAATGTAAAATGTATTTTATCTTTTTTAATATTCGAGATAATCAACAAATGCATGGATTACAGTTTTTATTTGTTTTACTCAAAATCTTCATCATATTTTTGGTATATATTTGTAGAACTATTATAGTTCATGGTTATACCTGCATTATATATTTTAAAAATGTGAAATTGTAAAATTTTACTATATTGTCCAAAAGGATCTGAATGTGAAAAAAATATTTGTTTAACTATAAATACCTATTTGATTGAATATCTAATTTTATGTATATCATTATTATTATTGTCAATTGACATTGTAATATTTTTGCCATATTGGATATTGGTTTATTTTTTAAAAAAATAAACCTTTTAAATTATTATTATTTTCTGTATAAATATTGTTGTCTTATACGTTTTTCATTTATGTAGGCTAAAGCAGAAAAGGACTTGGGTAATGAAGAATATAAAAAGAAAAATTTTGAAGATGCTTTGATACATTACAATAAAGCTATTGAGTTAGAACCTACAAATATGACATTTTACAACAATGTAGCTGGTATGATTATTACTATTTAAAGATACATTAGTTAATAACCAGATGACCAATTTAATACTGACAAAGTGAAAACCATTTATAAACTTAAATTAAAATATTTACCTTTCATATATTCAATCAATTATTATATTTTTTAATTTCTAATTTCATTTTTATGGTTTATATAAATTGAAATATTTTGCAAATACCAACTTCTATTATTAGTATTTATTTTTTAATTTATTATATCTCAGTTTTACTGTAGAAAAAATTTTATTTCTGTAATTTTCTATAATAACTATAATAATTGACAAAATTTATTGGCAAAAATGAATTATTAATCCATTCAATTGAAGTGGTGTGGTTGCTTTTAGGCATTATTTTGGAGAATTAAAATAACATAGCATCACTTTCAGTCATATTCTATACAAAGATTGATAGCATTAAATTCCCAAATTAATCAAGGAAAAAGAGATTTTAAACAATCATCTACAAAAGATAACTGAAATAATTTTGCATAAAAGTTAAATTATATTTCATCAAAACGCACTTGGATACAAAACAAATGTACACTAAAAATATAAAATCTGCATTAAAAAAGTTTTTACTCCGAATTTCAGTACTTAACTTTTGGTAACATACATTTTGGACTTGGCTATTTATTTAATGGTTCAAACAATCCTCTTAGAATATCTGCTCCTTAATTATATCATTTATTTCTGCTAATTTGGTTATGTGACAACAACTAAAAACGTAGCCATGAAAGTGCTTAGAGCAAATCTGCAAAATGCTGTTCTCTAGTGTATGATATAAACAAACACTATTTGAATTAATTCTGTTTTATAATAGGGGAGAGAATCTTCATAAAACCAATAATTAGAGACATGATCATCACAGTCAAAACCATATTTTTATTTTTGTAAATTTGTTGACCACTAGAGAATGATAGACTTCAGTATTTTCATGGCTGCTTTTGCTGCAGGCAACCATAATGCCCTAATTTGTGATAATATATAGAAGTTTTATTTATAAATTGTAGTAAATAATTAATATAAGGATGTTTTAAATTCTTGTAGCTGTTTATTTTGAACAAAAAGAATATAAAAAATGTATTGAGCAATGTGAAAAGGCTGTTGATATAGGCCGAGAAAGTAGAGCAGATTTCAAATTGATCGCCAAAGCTTTCTCTAGAATTGGAAATGCTTATAAAAAACTAGAGGTTAGAATTTCTTAATTTTTATGTACTTGTAATATTTATTGATTCCTGTGTATGATTTATTTTATCTAGGATTATAAAAATGCAAAAACATATTTTGAAAAATCGATGTCTGAACATAGAACTTCAGAAGTTAGGAATATTATTTCTGAACTAGAGAAAAAAATTAAAGAAGAAGAACGTAAAGCATATATTGATCCAGTTAAAGCTGAAGAAGCTAAGGAAAAGGGAAATGAATTTTTCAATAATGGTAAATTTGTATTAATGTTTTTTTAATTAATTATATATCATAATAATTAATGATTAATATTTATTATTCAATAATCTCCCTGTTAAATTATGTTTTACTTTGACTTTTATGTATTTTGTAGAAATTTTTAAAAATGTATTATTTGGTTTTAGGTCAATTTGCTGATGCAGTCAAATATTATAGTGAAGCTATTATGCGTAATCCTGATGAGCCTAAATATTATAGTAATCGAGCAGCATGTTACACCAAATTAGCAGCTTTTGATCTAGGTTTAAAAGACTGTGAAAAATGTGTTGAATTGGATCCTAAATTTTGTGAGTTTTGAATAATATATTTACTTTTATATATAAAGTTATTTACAGATCGATTTATTTTTTTTTAGTAAAAGGATGGATTAGAAAGGGTAAAATATTGCAGGGTATGAAAAAATCGTCAAAAGCATTAACAGCATACCAGAAAGCTTTAGAATTAGATTCTTCTAATACTGTGAGTAATTGCATATTGAAATATTTATATTTATATTCATACTTGTATTTTTATATCATAGGAAGCTTTAGAAGGTTACCGATCATGTTCTATAGCTGCAAATTCAGACCCTGAAGATATGCGCAAGCGTGCAATGGCTGATCCTGAAGTTCAAGATATTATCAGAGATCCTGCTATGCGTCTTATACTTGAGCAAATGCAGAATGACCCAAAAGCATTAAACGAGTAAGTCGAATTTCATGTGGACAATTATTAGATAATTTTATAGTATTTAATCAATATTCTAATTTTCTAATTTTCTTTATTTCCAGCCATTTAAAAAATCCAGAAATTGCTAGTAAAATCCAAAAACTAATAGAGTCTGGACTTATTGCCATTCGTTAAATTTAAAGAAACTAGTTTTGTCTGTTCCGTGTTCAAGAACATTATCTTGCACTACTTTAAACAATTGTTTATAAAATATTATATTTTGTGAAGTTTCTTTCCAATAAAATAATAAAAATTAGGTACAAGTATAATTTAACTCTATAATACAGGAAAAGCATTACTTGTATGTCTTAAAATATAATATTAGGTTAATTTTACTATAGTTTAAAAATATTTTTCAATTTTTATACGATATTTTAAATGTGTAATTTTGAAATTAGTTTTAATATTTGGTACAAAAAATATATATCTTAATGCCTTTCTTCTTATTAAAATATAAATTGTAAACCTATGAATTCAACTATTAACAATTATGAATATTATAGGTTTTAAATTGTATTATTAAATAGAAATTATGCAGTACACTTAAAAATAAATAAAATAGTAGAATGTTTAGCACATAGTTTATTGATAAACCATATATTTATTTGAGAATTTTGAAAATTTGAAAGAAACTGTTAAATATCTAAATAATTTTATTATTAATAATGAATAAGGATTTTGATTAAAGTGCTTGAGTTCAAATATGATGTATTTTTGAAATTATTTGAATTTTTTATTATTATTCATATCCATTTAATTTTGGCTGCTAAAGCTATTATTTATCTTGTTTTTCTTAAAAAGTTCATTATTTGTTGGTTGTTTTTTTTTTTTTTTTCAAAAACTAATCCAAGGTGTTGAGTATTTTGTTTCCTTAAAGATAGTAATATCGAATTTAAAATTAATGGATTTTTGTCTAAACCGGTCATCAACCACACAACAAAAGTAAGTCTCCGATTTGTATCAACTTGACGAAAACGCTGAACTAAATCAGGTCGATATAGATGCATTTTATATTTTTTTAAATCTTACAAACTGCGGTATAAGATATTCCAAACTCTATCAACGTGCCGTTTACAAACTCTTGGATTTGCTCTAACATAGGCTAATAATTGTTCCTCAATCTTTTCATCTAAAGCATCACCTAGTCTTTGTTGTTGATTGTTAACTTTTTTAGAAAATGACCCATAGGTTCTAAGATTCCTTTCTAAGTTATAATAAAAAACGAAAATAACTTAGAAAATTGTTTGGATAAAAATTAAAGAAAATTAATAAATAATACCTGGGTAACGTTGAGCATAAGTTTGTGCTGCACGACGTGCATTTTTTTGATACCCAATAAATAAATAACATCGACTTTTTATGATTGTTTCATATTGGTCACGAATTAACGTATGTGTTTGAACGATGAGAAATATTGAAATGTTCAGTCACTTTATTTATTTAATCGTATTTAATTTTGTATCAAATCATACAGATAAATGTTTACTCTAAGATAGATATTGTACTTAATGTTTAATTTTATAATGGCCGATAAAATATGATAAGTAATAGTTAACGTTTATTTTCCAATTTATATTAGCATAGGTTTAGACAACAATTTGAACAATTTATACGTTAAATTAATTAATAATTAAATTAGCCTATAACTTAAATTAGAATTGAATTTGTTATTAATTATTAATACACCCTAATAGATCCATTAAATGTAATGAAATAAACAACATACTTATTTACGTTTTTTCTACTATAAGTTATAACTCATACACACATTACAGTGAAAATTATACAGCAATTAAGATTATAATTATGTGTGATTATCAAATTAATAATTAGGAATGAAAATGTCAAGCCTAAACAATCTTAGAATAATTATTTTTAGAGTTACAGTCAAAAAACTGTTAATTGTGTGTATTTTGCAGGTTTTTGGTTGAATTGCTATAACTTGGTCAATTTTGGATTTAGAAAGTTGGTTTAACTACTAAAATTAATTAAAAAATAATTGGTGGTTAAACTATGTGATTCCCATTTAAGAAAAAAAAGTTATATTACACATGCGCATGTCTAATTAAATTAAAAAATTCAAATGCCATAAAAATATGTATTTTTATGTCATTACAACTGACCAAACAACAGAATTCAAATCGCAGGACACAACGTAAATTTATTGAGTGTTTTCAGTTAGCGTTTACACTGTATATATATAATTTTCAACTTTGTTTTTTTGTTGCAATTTTGCTAGAAATATTTATAGAAGCTTAAAATTTAGACGGAAAACTTATATTTGCCTTTTCTAGAATTTGTAAAATTTTCAAAATTAGCTATTTTCAGACATTTTTATTTTGTGACTTACATAGTTTTTTGGTACTCTATAGACTAAACAGAAATGCAAAATAAATCAAAAATAAGTTTCACCTGAAATCAAGATAATACATATTTATGATTTCTTTCATTATTAAATTTATAATAATATCTATAAACTATAAGTTAAATGTAAATTATTATGAATGTATTAGTTTCTTTTAAATTGTGAATTCATAGGCTTCCATACAATCTGTTCAGTGTGGCGTATTATCTTTTCGTTAGAAATAAACAATATACTAATTATATCATCATAATGATGATGCATGTATAATAAAATAAAATAAAAATAAATAACTCAATGTGAGCATTAATAACAAATGGCTGTTGTAACAAGTTTGAAATAAGCAAGAAGGGCATCATGACAAACAAATTAATGTTTGTTATCGTCATCAATTTGCCAAAGTTGTCAATAAAATATCAGTTATAAATATAAAACTATGGTCTATGGAAGTTACTCGTCAATGAACGGATCAAAAACATTCGTGATTAAAAAATAAAAACAATATTGCAGACAGTTCTTGTCTTTTAATGGTAAAAATTTAGTTTTTCAACTAACACTACAACCCCAATGGTTCTTGCCCATGTGAAATGGTTTTTACTTACAAATCTTCGAATGTAGGGTCTTCTAATTAAAACATAAGAGCTTAGTTCACATTTATGTCCAAATCATTCAAAATTAACGTGTTTTCCTATCACTATACTAGCTCTAATGTTTTATATTTCCACTGTAATCTAGGTAGTGTAATTCGAGCTTTTTATTCTTAAAATTTGTTTTTGGGTGGTACATTTTAGTCTATTTATTTTTGAAAAAAAACTATTGAAGTTCTCTTGAAAATAGTTTTAGAATTATTTTGATACTGTTGCTGATATTTCATTCTGTAAGCATTATTTCAGGACAATTTCAATAATTTGTAAGTTTAGTTTTTATGCAACTATTTTAAGGTTTTAATTCATTTTATCTATGTTTAATTTGAATTTATTTATTATTATTTCAAGAACTTCTTCCTTTTGTGAATAAATAACATACATTTCATATCATGGTATTAAATAAATAAATTTAATAATTTTGTTTTACTTTATTATTTTACTATGGTATTAGAAGTTAGGGATTTTATGGAAAAAGCAAGAATTAGAATAACTATAACAAAGATTTGAGTTTATAAATTATAATATAATATAAATGTTAATTATACATTGATATATAAACAATTTATTTCAAAATTATACTGAAAGTATAACAAAATACATAAAATATTTTAAGTATAGACATAAATAAGTAATATAATTATAATATTATATTCAATGAATGTCTAGTAGGTATATAGATTAACTTAAAATATCTAGTCAGTCTTTATAATATTAATCCAACAATTAAAAAAAAAAATTTTGTTTTACAAGCTTAAAATACAACCGTGTATGAATATAATCTTGAAGTTAATATATGAACAATATTTTAAACTCTCAATTCATAACAATAATAATTTCATTATTGTAACATTTTTACTCCTATAGAAAAACAAAAATATTACCTTAGATTAACTGTTCATTTAGACATTTTTCATAATGTTTTTATCATAGACTATTATAATATAATAAAACAACATAAGTTCAGTCTTGAATTTGATTAAATTGTATTTTTCGCTTGCGAAATTAATATTTGAAAATTATTTAAATTTTGATTGAATTTGGTTTTTCTAAAGAAAAATATACATTAGTAGGTATTTGTGTTAAGATATTTAATATATTACAATTAATAGAATAATAAATATTACCAGTCCTTCAAGTGATTTTTTATTTGTCCTAACTAATTGTTGTCTTTCTTTTGTTCTTCTTTTACTTTCTAAAAGTCTGAAATAATATTTACACACTTTAACTAGAGCTCTTGGAATTAGATTATTATAGCGTATAATATTAATTATAATCATTATTACTTTTCTTTTACTATTCGTTGTTGTTCCATATTCCAAAAATCTTTAAAGTCTGTACAGAATGGTAACCATAGTGGAAAGAAATCCTTAGGTGCTACCTCTAAAAGACTTTTACTGTCTTTTGGTTGAAATTGATAAAAACGCATTAGCTTAATAAATCTAGAAAAATAAAACAGATTTAAAATTGTTACATTGTATTTTAATAAAACACATTAAAGCATTATCTAAAATGTAATTTCTTACAGTTTTTTACTCTCTTCTAAATTCTCACGTTCATTTTCTAATTGTCTATGAGCTGTAAACATTATAAATGATAATGAAATAATACATATATTATATAAATTTATTTTGTATTTATGGTAAATAAATTAAAAATTAGAATAAATAATAAATAAACAAAATTGTCAGTTAGGTATTTTAATATTTGATTCATTAATATAAATAACATGTCCAACATACCCAATGATATGAATGATTCCATTTTTGTCTTAAATGGTTCCAAGTTATCATACGCTGATGATAATATTACTTTATCAGTTTTTTTTTTACAACCTATAGAAAATAAATTAATATTATTGTCAATAGAATATTTTAGGTTTTTTTTTTAAGCCATTACTAACCGGCTAATTTTATGGTTAGCTCTTTAAGTCCTTGTTGTAAATCATCAAATGTTACATGTGCTGCTCTGTCTACATCACTGGGTTCTGGCACAGGTAAAGGTTCTTTCATTGGTTCTTTACATTCATATATGTATGTCCGTACAATAAAATGTAACAGAGTCATAGAGTTATCTATAAAATAAATAGTATGACCTATGCTTTACACAACTTGTTTAAATTGCATGAATTTTTTTTCATTTGTAATGAATAATGATTTATTAATGTCTACATTATATAAATTAAGTTACAAAATATATGAGAGTGAATTCTACTTTTTTCCTGGCACCGGATGGTAGTTTTGTTAAGCGTGGAATTGCTCTTGAAAATATTTTTAAATTTTTAAAAAGTCTCCATTTTACAACTGCACGATATATGGTAAATTTAAAAATGGTGATATCTCACTTACGATTAAAATTACGGAAAAAAAGGACTGCACGACACAGATAATGTTCTTACCATTAAGTTTAATAATAGATTAATTTACTTTAAAATTAAAACTAACAGTAGAGTGGTCCGTGCTGAAAAATAAATTTGCTGTCACGCGGTTGTTAGACCACTGCAAATCCGGGTAAAATGTCCTTTAAATCCTGAACTGAATGCTGGTTATACCTAATTCTCTATACACTAAACGGCTAAATAAACAAACCTTCTTTGTTCCTTATTTCATTCTGATAATTTATCTTTATGTCATTTTTTGTTCAGCAATAATTTAAATCGTAAAAAGAATAAAATACATACAAATAGCATTATTGACCTAAAATTGCTGCTCGCGTACTGGATTTTTATTTTTATTTTCTCAAAGGAAGATTGTATGGTATTGCAACACCTGTACAAATATACTATAAAGATAAGCCCGCTAATGAAAATTTTTTTTTGATCTACCCTAATATAGTAATATACCCTGTATATTATCCTACCTTCTTGACTTTTTATCTACAACAATGAGCAACTCTCGAACAGTATCCTTCTTATTATTATTATTTTGATTTATATCCTAAATTTTTAAAAATTAAATCGTTTTTAAATACAAAATCTGTATAGGAGTTTAGAACAGTCCAGTGGTGGCGTTTAATTAGGGACATACGGGCCATGGCCTCCCCTAGACGTTTTGTTTAACTGTACACGTAAATGTATGGGATATTAAAAATATTGCCCCCCTCCTGGGCAAAGAACTAAATCCATCACTGAAACAGTCAGTGTGGTGGCCGACTGACCATTTTCCAGCATCCAAACACTATCCATTCACCATTAGACCGACTTATATATTCCTGATCAAAGATTTTTGTTTTCTGTCGTAAAAAAACAGTCAAAATAATGCAATGTTCGCTCTTGTGGAGTACTCACCCAAATGAAGTCCAACAACTGTTAAAAGGCTACATAGGGGCTTTTCACTACCTAACGGCCGTTTAAATCAAATCCGATGATTACTCTATTATTTTTATCTGGTAGGTACATTATAATTTTCGGCTTAAAAGTGTTAAAATCCACCATACTTAGTTTTTTTTCTTTTTCATTTAGTTAAATTTTTTATACCAATACATACTACGCCATTCGTTTTTCATTTTGCTAATATAATTATTTTTACCTTTGCTTTTAACATCTCTAAGTTTAGGTAAGATTTCTAAACCAAATCCATCTGCTTGACCACGTTGGCGATTTCCTCCATTCATATAATTCCCCAATGCTAATATGATGGCCAAAACTTTTTTCAAACCCTCCGAAGTCATTAAAAACTGTTTAACAATTAAAATCATAAAAATAGGTCGGTAAATTAGTATTTGGTGATGTATATTTTGTTATATACTTAGGTACTTAATAAATAAGTATACATAATATTAATATACTAGTATTATAGGTATTAAATATTCATAATGCAATATTTACTCTTGATGTAGCTTTCATATTATTCAACTTGCTTGCTATGTTATTTAAGGCATCATTGAAGTCAGATTGAAAAATTAAACACGCCACACGCTCTCCGAAATGTGGTATTTCGCTGAGTTCTAACAGAAATTGTTCAGGTTTGTCAAGTGGTTGGTCTGGATGTGACGCTAAATGGCCCTTAATTAAAATCAATTCTTCTTCTGTAGCAGCCTACAACAAAAAATTCTTAAATTTAGATTTTTTGGACGTTGACATAATTTCGGGGTACAAGGATATGCAATGTAAAAAATAATCATGTCAGAGACCCTGAGTGTGTGAGGAATTGGAGAGTGAAGCACTCATCTACATCTTTACAACTATTCTATAAAATTAGACTACTAAATATGCATAGGTGCAATTTATACAATTATTTTCAATACATGATTACAATCTACAGTAAATTAATATAAAATAGATAAATAAAAATTATATAGGTAAACAAAGTATCAGTATTGGTAAGGACCACGTTCTTTTTATAGGAACGAAGGCTGGAAGGACTCACTTTTGTAATAAAGGAAGGAGGAACGGAAAAAAGTTCTAATTTATGAGGAACACTATCGCAAATATTTTTTATTTTTTCTTCTTTAATTTTTCAATTTAACATACAACTGTAGATATTGTAAGGTTAGGTTAGGCTAGACTATTATATCATTTACAATTGTAATTATAATATCAATATTCCATAGAAATTATCAGTAGCGTACACAAAATTTTTTTTTGGGAGGGGTTTGTTTATAATAATTTCAATTTTATAACTTATAACTTTATCATACCTCAACCCTTGTCATTGGTACACATGCTACAATGCTACAATTTACAAGTATTATCTACCCGACATCCATCACTATAATTAAATGCAGTGGTGAACCGCCCCATAAAAGTACGTGTTCGGCGCGGCTGATTTATTACTGAATAAATTATTTTTGGCGAAATCAAATTTTATTTTATTCTGGGGTATACGATATTATGTTGTTGAATGTAAAACTTGATTTTAAAAAAATTTAGTGAAGGAAGACATTTCGGAGGAGGTTATATGAGTTCATGACTGATTGTATAGTAATATTCGGTGCGCCACACGTATTGACATTATAGGTTTAATAAACACTCTAAATATTTATATAATTGTTCATTATTTACTCACCACTTCATAAATTTGTTGAAGTACTTCAACGCTTACCAAAGACGTATCAAAATTATAAAGAGCTGAAAAAATTGAATGGTTTAATTGACGAATTAATAATTTTTTTGATTCGTAATAATTAGTTGATCATTTATGTAAATGTATAAGTATAATTACCATTTTCTATTTCCGAAAAATCCAAATGCAAACTTTGAGCTAATATACCTACATTTCGTGATCTTTTTGTATCCAATAATTGCTTGAATTCCTATAAAACCATTCAAGTTAATTTACACATATTAAAGCAAATTATATAATTCATAATTGTTCAAATTCACCTCAGTTTTTTTTTTTTGTTGCACTTTTTTTTTCGCTACTTTTGGTTCAACTGCTTGTCTAGAAAATAACTGTGAAAATTCGGTAATATTTGGTATCGGGGCTTCTTCTAATTCACTCCAAAGTGGTTTTAAACTATAGAAATGTTAGCATTTAGTTTTTTGAAAATTAAAAATTAATAAATTTATGCTTACCCATCCGGTGAATCTGGTGTAGTTGGTGTGTATGTTTCAACAATAGGTTCTTTCACTATAACTCTCGTCCAATATAATGGTCGCATAGGTACTGGCGGAGTTATTGGCTTTTTACGCAATACTATATTTAAAATATAGATGTTATAATAGTGCAGTTAACTAATGATATTCCTTCTTATTTTTAATAATTTCTAGTCAATACTTACAATCTCGTTGAGCATTCCAACCACCAACAGGAGGCGCTGGAAACGGTGTTGGGCCAGTCATTGGTGGCGGAGGAGGTGGAGGACCATTGGAGTTACAAAGTAGTTTATTAAATAATGGAGGTGGTGGCGGAATTTCGTTAAGCGTACTACTTAATAGAGGTGGTGGTGGTGGTGGAGGAGGAGGTACACAATTCCCTTGAGAGAGTGGTGGTAGTGGTAGTGGTGGTGGCGGAGGTGGAGGTGGAATGGAAGCACCGGAAATTTGTGATAGGGGAGGAAATTTTATTTCTGGTTGTTGTTGAGGTGGAGGAGGTGGAGGTGGAATGTAACTTTCAGGTATTTGGGGTGGTGGTGGTGGTGGTGGCGGAGGTGGTGGTGGAATTAAACTCTCTGATAATTGTGGCGGCGGCGGTGGAGGGGGAGGAGGTGGAATGATACTGTCTGGCAGTCTTGGTGAAGATAGGTGAGAAGGAAGAGGTATTAGGGATGGAAATGAAATACTTATTTCAGGGATATGATAAGATGATGGTGATGGAATAGTACTTTCTAAAATCAGTGAAGATGACGAAGTCGGAATTTCACTTTTAGGAGATAATAATGGTGTAGAATTTTCTTTTATCAACGAAGGTAAGTTTTTGCTTTCAATACATATTGGTGAAACTATATTTGTTGAAGTTTGTTTCTGAATAATTTCAACAGTTTTGTTGGTAGAAACTGGAGAGTTTGTCGAAAAATCACATTTTATAGCTTCTATAGCGACTTCGGGTGAACTCAATAGTATTTCTGATGTTTCAGCAGTACTATGGATAATTGTACTACAATTACTTGTATCAGAATTAGGTGTTAGATTATCAAAGGCGACCTTATTTAGAAGGGAAATTTTCGGTGTTGTCGTAATAGAAGACATGCCATCGTATGTGAAGTCATTCACACCTACTGGAGTATAAAATCGAGTATCATCTGCACCATTAGGACTATTTGACAACGGAGTAGAACAATGTTTCGGTGTTGATGAAATCGATGTCCTGCTAGATGGAGATTGTGTACCGTTCCCTTTTTTTAAAAAATTTTCATCAGGCGTATTTCCATTCGTTTGTTTGGCAGGAACATTTGACTGATCAATTGATAGAGTTGAGAATTTATCGGATAACGAAGACAGTGATTTTTTGCGTCTTATTGGCAAACTTGTTGGTTTAGGAGTTTTAATTGGCGAATAATCAGATATGTTTTCAACATCTGGCATGTTTTCTTTGTGTATTGAACCTATGCCGTTTTTAAACGGTGGCTAAAATATACGAATTATCAAACTTTAGTAATAGTTTAATAAATCATAGGCATCTAATGGCGTATTTAAGGGGGACCTGAGTTTAATTTCCGTCAACCCGTTGACGAGTTATCTCATTTTTAAGTTTCGGTGGGGAGAGAGTGGTGGAATACTAAAACGCTGCACGCTATGCCATCACACAAATGATGCATCACCACTCTTCTCTTTAGTGGTTTCACCCCCTAAAATAAGGGCGAAAAAAAGGTAATGTAAAATTTTAGAGCTACTCATTTTTTAGATGTTCTAAAAACAAACTTTAAAAAAGTTAATACTTTCTGAGATAATAAGTGTCTTATGGTATGTTGATTATTATTATGTATTATAAAGATTTAAGTGTAGACATTTGGTGTTAATCTAGTGCCCCCCCTTGACCCCTCTAGGAAAATTCTGACTACGCCACTTTAATCACCTACATTTATTTATACACACATAAATGCATGTTATAGTTTTACAATAAACCATTGAAAAACCTATTAAGTATACCTGTTTTGAAACAGTTTTGTTTTGAATTTCTTGTAGTTCTTCTGGAGGTTTTGAATACGTTTGAGACGTTTGCCCATCTTTAACATTTTCAATACCTTTACACAAATTAAATATAAAAAAAAAATTAGGTAATATTATATACATATTATATTCTGTAACAATATTCATAAATGTACAAAATGAATCATGATACCTGAATTATTGCCTGTTAACCATGTTGGTTGATTAATACGTCCCGGAGACGATGACGGTGTATTAATCAGTTCAGAATGAGCCCAGTAATACATGAGGTCTGACTGTGAATAAAATCACGAGTAAATTATATTTAATTAGCTTTAATATTAGTTATGCATTAGTTTCCAGAGTATTCATAAGATTATTTAGGATATAGGTGTGAAAGTTTAGTTAAGGTAGTCACAATATTATATTACAATTAGAATCTTAACATTGTTAGAATATTCTCGTATTATACAAATACACAGAATGATTCACTAAGCGTGCTCGACCCATTTTTTTTGGTTAAATTTCTTTTTTTTCACATTTAGATTTTTCACAACTTTCAAGGAGTATTCTATGGCGATACCAACTTTGGTTTTTCAAATGAGAACCTATATTAAAAATTCCATAAACATAATTAATATATAGTTAATTTTATTTTAAATAAATTTTGGTGTCAACATTTTTAATTTCCGTCAAGCCTTTAACGAGATATTCTACTTTTAAATTTAAGTTGAGGAAGATACTGGAGTATTATTTATATGCCACCGCGGTGTGCGGCGTTTTATTAGTGCATCACTACTTTCCCTCGGCCTAAACTTAAAAGTGAAGTATCTCGTTAATGGGTTGACGGAAATTAAAAATGTCGACACTAAAATGTATTTAAAGTAGTGTTCCGTCTACTTATGGAATCTCTCTATATATATAATTTTTAATATAGGTTCTCATTTGAAAAACCAAAGTTGGTATCGCCATAGGATACTCGTAAATGTAAAAAATCTAAGAATTCGAAAATATGGACTTAAACTACACTTAAAAATTCCAAAAATCAGAATTTGAATATATGCAAAATTTAATCAAAAAAATTTGGTTGGCACACTTAGTGAATCACTCTGTATACATATATGTTATATATAAGAGGTTCTTTTAGTGATATGTAGGAAAATAATATTATAAACTCATCGTTGAACATCGTTTTGAAAAAAAATAATCACCCATTGATATGTATAGGTCCAGCGTATACGTAAGTAGTACTTAGTTTAAGTATATTATTATCTATTGATATAATTGCCATACAAGAGACACATACAATTGATAATTCTGATCTATGCAGAAGAGGATACATAGCCGGTTATGTACTTATTGGTGTAATTCACTATGAACAGTATGGTGTAATAACATTTGTGAAAGATGACATTGACAGTGCAAGAAAGATAGATCACAGCGAATGCAAAGGGAACATCGAGATCTTAATAACAAAATTATATGGAATAATCATTATAAATACCTACAAACCACCCAATGTGTCATCAAAATACGATATTTATTATTTTCAAATAGTAAATATTATGGCCTTTCAAAACATGTGTGATCGAACACCGCTCAGAATAGTTTTATGTTAGTAAAGATTAATGTAAAGAGAAAAAATGAAAAATGAATTCAAACAATAATATTTTAATACTTTTATTGTATTATAAGTTGAATATTATTTTTAACACTTTTCGGAATAAATATTCAGAATATTTATTTTGTTGTATTTTTTATACTTTTCTGTAGGTAAGCAATAATATTTTTAAATTTGTGATCTAAATCTGTAATTGTAGATTTTTATGGCCAAAATTGAATATATTATATTAGTTTTTTTTTTTTATCTAATCGGAGTTTAAGAAATGGCCTATTAATAATGTAGGTACTATTTGATTAGTTACACTAATTAATAATCAGTTTATTTAATAAAATATCGAGACAAAAAACGTTAATTTGAGAACTGTTGTTCTAAAACTGCCAAATTGGAAGAAAAAAATAATAAAATAAATAAAAAATAATAAAAATAAAATTTATAATTAAATAATGTTTTTTATCACAGTTTTGTATAATATTATAAATTAAATATATCAGAAATAAAATCGACAACATAAAAACCATTGAACTGTATTACTTGATAAACTGACAACAAATAATCTAATAAGATACAAATTATCGGCAATTGAGATTTATCTACTAATTATATAAAACTTAATTCTAACAAAGGGAGATCGAAATTGAAATTGTTCGCGATCTACATTGGCCGTCCCTAATATATATGATCAGGAGTATTGCTCTTATTGTTGAAATGGGCAAACAAACAGTAAAAAACATATAGACTTACTCTGAACAAATCACCGATTACCACATCCTTGTTCCGTATCTGTTTGATGACGCCCGCGGTCAACAAGTCCGTGCAGATCTGTGGTAACAACAGCCGGGCATCTCTGCGCCGTTCCTCCGTACTGAACGACGATACTAGCCAGTTCAACAGCACTTGGCCTACAGCACAAAGCGACTAACATTAACATACGTGTTTTCATATTAACATTAATCATTTATGTCAATTTATAAACATTGTTTGTCCATTCATTTTCTTTTAAATTATATTATGATTAAAAAAAAAAAAAAAAAAGAGTTTAAATTAAAAATGGGTTGTAAGTGGATAGTGGGGAAGGTGGAATACGTAGTTATTTAGTTTATACCTATTACCAAAGATAAACCATTGATAATGAAAAACGATTCGGAGCAAAGTTATACATATTTTGATAGGCGTAATATTTACGATTGTCGTTAAAATTTGATTTTAAAAATCTTATAAAAATTTAAAAAAATACTAAATAAAACTAAAGTATTTTTTTTTTTTTAACCACTAAGTACGATATATAATGAACCTCCTATTTCAAACATTTCTGAAGTCTAATAATTTATCTAAAAAGTACCTATCTACCAAATAAAAATTACGTAAAAAACTCGCAAAATTAAAATGTCTATAAGTTTTAATGTTCTGAAAGTTTTACCACGTCTAGAAAGAGTAAATATAAGTTTACTGTCATCATTTTAAGTTCCTACGAATATTTTAAACTGATTTACATTAAAAAAAGATACTTCGTACGATGGGTGGGCCACTGCAATTGTAGATGAGAAGTTGGGACGGTAGAGGGGAAATTTAATGTATATCTGTAAACAACAATTAGCCACTATCAATGAAAAAGGATTCTGAGTTCAGTTAAGTGTTGATATGTCAGTCAATAATATATATATATATATGTGTCATATTATGGTAAAATAATTACATATGCATTACCTATATTTTTTCTTTAATAATGAATAATACTGTGTACCTATTTCCCGTTTTTCCCATTTACTGGGAAAACTCTTGGAAAAATTGCTACGCTTTGAAACTAAAAAATGTTATACCAATAGTTAATCGTTCCGTGTATAGTATAGGGTTATTTCTCACAGGTCGCTGTATATTTCGTCCCTTTTTATGTAAATTGTGGCCTAGGTATATTTTATGAATATGTAAACTGCGTCCCGGGTATATTTTGTATAATTGCCAAATTATATTTTATTCATAAGTCTAAGTCTTTTTTGCAAAGTCAATACTTTCCTTTTCATTTATCAGACTTAATACTGGCAATCAGACTGGCAATGTAATTGTATTAATATTGGTTTGCTGTTTTTTGATTATAATTTAAAAATGTATTGTGAATAATATTTGTAACATAATATATTATTTTTTCAATTTAATAAAAATGAACGCTAAGAAAAGCGAAAGGAATAAAACGTTTAAAGAGGTTGATGAATTAAAATTTCGTTTTCACACATTGCTAAAATATTAATACTATACTGCCAGTCCTAAATCTGAAAAATGGGATGGAAAATATTAATTATGCAAAAAAAGTACTAGACGTAATTTAAGTATGAATAAAAATATTCAGGTATACAACATTACATAAAATATATCTATCAATTTACACAGTATATGACTGTACATACAACAATGACACACCCATACCTAGTATGAGCTTTTTTTTTTTGTTATTTAACCATTAATATTGTAACTATTTCAGGTTAAAAGACATTGAAATAATAACTAGGTATGGAATATTTTGACACAATCAAATACCATGTATATATATGAAGCAAACACTAACCAGTAGTTCAACATAATCTAATCAATATTTTATTTTTATAAAATGTTTTTCTCGTGAACGTATTATAACTATTATTAATAAATAAATAAAATTTCATATATTTTTTTTTGGAATTTACATTTTGTTATTGGTTTAAGTAGTAGCATAATGTAGAAATAATGAGGTCACGAGCAGGTGTACATAGCTACGCAAGCAACGCAACGCAAGCAACGCACGTTGCCGGTAAGTTATAACAAAATAAAATGTCGGTAAAATGGGAGTCAGCGACATGGGAAGACCAAGGAGTTGGTGTAATTATTAATAGTCACGGTAAACTATATACGTAAGTAAGTATAAAATCTGATTACGTGAAAAGGATTATATTACAGGTGAACGAATGGAGTAAGATGGTTTACCTATTATGGTACTTTTTTTAAAGTAACAGAGAATGTGTTATTGATATAAGAGGAAAATCGATTTTACTCATAAAGATGTTGGAAAGAAATAATGAGAGGCACAAACCCTGCAAGGGTATCATTAGGGTAGGTACCTAAGGTATATAAGTAATGTATACGTAGATCTGGTGGTATATGAGCGCATGCTATATAATAATATAATCTAAAATAAATAATTGTATAATATTCTCCTAGGAGTGGTCGAATAATATTATAAAATGCAAGTATAATCGACAAAAAAAAAAAAGCATAACGTAATTACTACTGCAATCATAATTTTAATAAATTCAAGGACGTCCGGCGCAGATGTCCACGGGCCACACCGTTTAATGTACACAACTAGGTATATCTATAATATTCATAATACTGCTTGCGGCGGCCTTTTAAAATTATAAGGAATGAAAATTCGTTAGAGAATATATTGTTATTATTATTATTATTAGTATACCGCAAAACGAAATACTATGTTTATGCCCAGTTTTGATGATAAAACCGACGACATAATACACAAAATGACGCGCCATTCTTTAGTAAATAATTTTCACAGTGTCAATAGTAAAATAATATTTTATAATCCATTATTTATTGTGAAATATAATAAGTAATGATAATACTCCGTTTGTAGTGCCGAATTCGTTTATAACTTGACCTATCTGTAATTCTAAATTAACCACTGTGGTTAATATTTTAAGAACCGTTTTAGAAAAATTGTTAGGGGATGACGTAAAAAAGTTTAAAATCATTTTTAAACTGCAAAATAACAAAATGCTTCAAAATATAACATCGCGTGTATGCGATTTTATTTTAAACTATAGCGATTTATTTAATTTCATGATTATTGACGTTTTCTTAGTTTAAAATTGTATTATCTATAATAACTGAAAATTTAGTACTATTATGTGTTTTATTTTTATGTTAGGTATTAAGTTTTCTTTAAATCTAACATTTATAAATCAATGTTTTATGAAATATTTTATATATAATATATTATTAAATATTTTATATATTTATAAAACATTAAATTATATTTTATATTATTTTGAACACATTTTAATAAAATACTAAGTTAAGAATGAACCTTTTCAATTTTAGCACAATGATTACGACAACGATGACTTGTTTAACGTCAAATTTGTCAGTTTATCCTTTATCATTAATTAATTAAATTTATCAATAATCATTAATAAATTCAATTGTAAAGATTAAAACACAGTCTTATAGAAGATGAAGACTGCGATGATAACGTTTTATGAAAATTGATAATAAAAATGTCAGATAAGTATCGTGACGACCGTGGAAGGTATTAAAGGGGAAAACAGGAATGCCCAGATAAACGCGTTCCTTGAAGAAAAAAAACTAAAGTAAAAGCCAACGTGTTTTTTGACATTGATTATGGATAGGATAAAGAATTTTTTCAATGAACATTTGAAATACTGGTTTATTGTTAATAATGTAAAACTAAATAAGATTAAGAAAGCATTATTTAGACTATTGAAAACAAAAATAGGTATTATGAGTAAAATGTTTAAAAAAAACTAGCTGTATTATATCTTTTATTATTATTTTTTAATTTTAGATAAGTTGATATGAACTTATTATTTTAATTATGAGAAACGATAAATACAATTCCCAAACATTCATTTTACACTGATAATATTTTAATTGGAAATTTGTATAATTTGTATAATTTTGAAAACAAATTTCATTGTTAAATTATAAAATCCATGTTCGTATAATGTAATTATTTTAAATATTACCTAAATGGCTAAACATGTATAATAATGTATTTATTGAATCTTAATGTTGTATAGGTGGAAAACTGAGAAGTTAGGACGGTAGAGGGAAAATTGAATGTATATCTTACGTAACGATTAGTTGTTAACGAAAAACGATTATGAGTCGGGTGCATCCCCAAGAAGGGAGGGAGGGGCATTCGCTCCTTTAACAATTTTTAATGTATACAAATGTTCTTATTGTCAACAAAATACTAATGATCAAAATTTTAATTTACTGTTATCAGTAGAAAAACGAATAACTACATAGATAATAATGATTATCTACTGATAACCATTACTGTTTAAATATTTAAATTAAGATAATATCACAGACAAATTAAAAAGTTTCACTTAATCTTAGATAATACCATTGAACTCTGTATGAAAAATATATAAAAAAAGACGTCCTAGGATAATGGGGACGGGCGCAGCCACTGTTAAAGATAAATTAATGCATATCTATAAGCAACGATAAACCATAACTTACGAAAAAACGATTCTGAACGAAGTTCAGTTGATAGTGATGCTTTTTCAACAATATATATATGGTATTTTATAGTAAAATAACTAAATGAGTTTTATATATTTTCTTTAATAATACTTGTTTAATATTGTATCGATTTTTCCGGTTTTTCGCATTTGATGGGAAAATTTCTGAAGAAAATCGAAAAATGACTTCTTTAAAGTACTTCCTTAGTGAAATTTATTTTTAGAAACATTGCTATCATTATAATTTGGAGTAAAATTACTGGTAGAATAGTTATTTAAAAAAATCGTAATTTATATTTATTATATTTCGTAAATTTTCCCGTTTTATTTTTCGGTTTTTCACATTTGATGAAAAAACTCTTGAGAAAATCGAAAAATGACTTCCTTTAAGTACCTTCCTACACCGATTTTCTTACAGATTAAGTGCTACACGTAGAAATCCGAGCAAGTCTTCTGGTAGAAAAGTTGCACACAGATAAAAAAAATAAATAATAAACATCTTAGTAAAACCATAAGCTTTTTCGCTTCAATAAGAATCTAAAATAGATTTGCCCTCCCTCTCTTGAAAACTGTATAGGGACGCCCGTTCTGAGCGGAGCTCGGTTATATATGTTTTGAAAGGCCGTAATATTTACTATTAAAAAATTACACATTCGTAAATTTTCCCAATTTTAGTACGGTTTTTTCCCACTTATTATGAAAACTTTCGAGAAAATCAAAAAGCTACCCCCCCTAAAGTCCCACCCCAGTCAGATTTTAAGAGGAAAATTTTTTCAGATAAAAAAAAAAAATAAATTCGTTGTAAAATCTATATAATCTTTATTTCGCTTAGAATCTAAAATACATAGTACCTATAAGTATATAATATTATATACTTCATATTATATTGCAATAGTACGATGTTAGTTGGAAAAAATTTTAGGTGTGCTGGTAATTTATTTCTATTTTATTTTTTCGTTGTACGTTGATTCGAATATTAAACATAAAAACTAATTTATTTAACTTCACAAAATCCTTAACAAAAGAAATTAACCTTTTTTTGTTACAAAATATAACAGTGAGGGATCCAGAAGGGACAATGAGCATTCCCCTCCCCCTACTCCGTAGTATAATAGTGAGTCGTCGTCAAAGTATTGACCATTACTTATACAACACCTGTTGGTTAGCCAGGTACTTATTTGTATTATTATTAGTAGGTAATTCAATGACATTACGTAAAATGGAAAGTTTTATAGACGGGAGTTATAAATACTAAAATTCCGGGTCGACTTTCAAGAAACATCAAATCACGACACTGCAAACGAATGAAAAATCTACTTATAATATATAGGTTAGTTTCACTACGATCGGGAGATTCAAACTTTTTTTTTGTAGGTACACTCTAATATAATATTATATAGGTACCTATATATTTGTATAAGTAAAAATAAAAATAAAAGGTGTTAAATTTAAATAATTGGATTTTCTAGTTGTCGCTTATCTAGATATATATTAAATTTATTTTAATATTGAAATATATTATTTATGCGAAAAACCGTACTACATTACTACATACTACAGTATAATATACTAGTATATTCGAATTGTATTATACTATGTTATCGGGTTAAAACTGTTCGTGCGATCGACAAAACCGATGATCCGTGATGATTGCAATTTATGATAAGTTCGTCGGCTATAATATTATGTGCGGCTATTGTAAATGCGGTCAACAAACTACGCCTCGTACAAGTCGTACACACTATATGTGCACGATATTTTATGACTGTAGGGTAGGGTTTATAATACATTATATACAACACTATACTAGTAATACACTACATTGTAATTAAATCCGTCAATAGTATTGATAGGTGTACCGAATGTGTCGAAGAAAAAAAAATTGCTTTTATTTTTGTTTTAGCCGTTCATGACTTGAAAATAAAATATTCTCACGCAATCCCGAATCGTAGGTACTTGATTATAATAGTTATTTGAATGACCGATATAACAGTGCGCGGCGGTCTGAGATAGATTGCGGGCGAACAATAATAATTGGTTTTACGGTTTTCTTTTATATTTTACAATTGCATATTATTTATTAATTGATGTATTATATAAAAACCATTAATAGTAAAAAATTAGCCCGTGGTGGTTATCACATATGAAATCAAATCCACGATTATTTTTATTAAAATTGTTTAAAGGTCGCTGACGAAGATTATTGTCGAATAGTTTCTATATTATATTGCATATTTAATGGGCACACAGACCCTATTAATAACAAGAATACATAATATACGTAATATAATAATATTCTTTAAATTAATAACCTTTACAGATATACAAATATTAGAAATAGAGAGAAATATAATTTAACATTTAAACATTCAGATATTAAATATTTAGATATTAATTTTACTCTTAATGTCTTAATAACCTAGAAATTTATTTTACTAATATATAGATAATTTATTTCAAATGAAAAATATTTATATTAAGATATGGGGTGCAAGGCTTGTGCTAATGTGCAGTTCTTCAAAAGTATTTTAATTGCGTGTGCTGAAACTCCCTAAAAATAACAATCAATGTGAAAATAGCGATAAGATTAAGTCATTATAAAAAGAAAACAAATATCAAATTTGGTAGTAAATTTGAGAGGTAAATTCAGGGGTATAAAACCACCTCCCCCCAAAATAATTTAATTAATGCCCAAAAACAATGCTCCGTTAAATATTTTTCTAACTACGGTCTTGAAACAGAAATGTGCAGTTTTAAAATTTTCTTACCGCATGCTCTAATGGGACGTAGGTAGGTACTCTAGGTACTCAGGTATAGTACTTACTAGGCTGAGCCAGAGGAAGCCATGCGGACACGCCCCCCCCTCCGGTGGAGGCTATAATATGGAAAAAAAGGTATTACAGACTATAAAACGGAAAACTAAAAGGAATAATGATTTATATTTAATATACTAAAATGAACATATTATTGTGAATATAATACATAAAGTACATGTAGTACATACAAAAATTATCAAACGCGGAATATTATTATTTATTATATGCATATGAACACACATACCTAGTATACAATAATACATTGTGTATCGACAGTATAATAGTGATTATCGAATTGTTAAATTTGTTGTTAAAACACGACGAAAAAAATAATTATCAATTATGAATTTTTAAATGCAATTATATGTTATACCTGTAGTTTTTGGTTTTTTAAATTTTTTTTTTTATGTAACATCTTAACTCTTTGTACATTATTATTTTAATAATATTAATAATACTTTAATTTTGATTTTTAATATGGCTTATAAAGGTATATTAACATACATAAAAGTTATTATTTAAATAATTGTCTTTAATGTTGAATATGACTTAGGTAAAATAACTTTTATAAATATTATTTAATATTTGTTTTTTTATAATTAGGCAAATAAAATTGATATATATCGCATTCTGCGTTCTAGCTTTTTAGCCGACTGTAGTATACAAAGTATCCGCGTTCTGTATTTTTCGTGCTCGATCGTATAAAGTGACCTAAGACCGTGAATATATATACCTACTTACACAAAAAAAAACTAACTGTTTTTCATTTTGATTTTTCAGAATACGCGAGTTGGCTATTGTATTTTCGAGAAAAAACCGAGTACACATTTTTCAATCCATGTCGCATAGTGAATGCCCGTAAAAAGTAATCACAAAAGAATATAAGAACAAATAATAGCTGTATAACTAGTGCCTTGATGCACTCACTTGTGGACTTTTCACACCTGTCAAGTTCATCCGTCCGTCAATTACAATATAATACATTTATTTATACTACATATATACATATGTATATGGTAAAAGTATTATAGGTACCCGTGCCTACACCGAAACATATAACAATAATAATCTAATCGGTGAAAAAACTGACCGTATAATATTATGATTGAAACCCCAAGCTATAAAAATTATGTAAGAATATGAAACCATAATGGTTACATCAATACTTTATCTGTTCATATAGGTATATTACACTGTCAAATTTCAGTTTTGTGATATAAGATCGTTCAAACAAAATCTTATTTGCATAAAATATTAATAACGACCAAAAAACTAAAACGATAACTGGTTTAAATAATTGATACTATCTGGTCTAATATTTGATTTGAACATTTAGGTTATGATATTATATATAAATATATATATATTATTATAAATATTTATGTATTTTTAATTTTGGTTAGTTTCCGCACGGTAAGTGAAATAAATACAATTATTTAAATCTATAGAATATATATCAGGTGTTCAATAGTGAAGTGGTACCTACTCAATACAGTTATTATTATAACTGTAACAGGAATATTAATTAATTCATTTGAAATTAGTCTTATTTGAAATCATTAGATACTTCAATTTGATATATTTTTATATTTTATGTTTTGACAATTTTGAATTCTTTATCTGAATATTAAAACATTAAAATGTGCATGCGGTTTTTATTAGAAATACAATGGGTATGTTAAATAAACACAAAATAAAGAACTTTAAATAATTTCATGACATGAGGGGTAAAAATCTTAAGAATTAAATGATTTTTAAAGTGAATCTTAAGATTAGTGCTTTATTTTTTATTTTGGAATTCGTAATTTTATTAAAAATTAGCTACACGAAATTATAAAATTTAACAAATAATAGAGATATTAAAGTATTATTGTTATATTGGCGTGAAAATTGTGAACTAGCTCAATCTTAGGCACAATCTTCACCTTTATTATCAAAAAAGGGGTCAAAAATTATACCGATGAAATCGTACTTAAATATTTTAGATTTTAACGTATTAATTTTACTAAGAAGTATACTTTTTCGGTTTGTAAACAACTTTTCTATCTTCCTGTGTAATATATTTTTTAAAAGAAAATGATGTTTAGTTGGTGTGTTGGGGAGATCATTTTTTGATTTTCATAGTAGTTTTTTTAATAATTGAAAAACCGGTAAAGAACGTAGGAAAAACGGGGAAATTCACGCAAGAACGGGTTTATTTTGTTTTAGATTCTGAGCGAATCGAGTAATGTATGCATTTTACAAGGATTTTTTTTTTATACTATGTACGAAATTTCTTCGAGAAAACTTGCTCTAATCTTTTTGTTGCATTATGGATCTAATCGGTGATAAAGAAAGTAATTTTTTGATTTTCGAAAAAAGAAACGAACACATTTACGGCATTTACGTTTTCTTTATTTTACATTTTTATATTATATCATATATTAATTATAGATCAATAAAAAAAATATGAAATTGTATAATAGTAAAATATTTTTACTACCCACCACGAAATAATGTATGTTTACTGTGTAATTCGTGGTATTCAATATGTATTTATTTTACTATGATATGTCACATATATTGTTGAAAAAGCAATACTATTTTTTTGAACTCTCCTTAGAATCGTTTTTCGTTAGCAATGATTAATCGTTATATACAGATATAAACTAAAATCCGCTCCTTTAATTTATCATATCTTTCTAAGTTCTCACTTACAACAATAGCTCACCTGATGTGCGAAGTATGTCTGTCTTTTTTATTTTTTAAATATTTGTACTCGGAAAAATTATTATTACTAATTTATTAGTATTGTGCATCGAAATAATGGCCATTAAAAAGTATTCGCATCCTAAACACGGAAGATATACTAAACAATATAATATTAATCGTCTAATATTTTTTTGTCTATATTTTATTAAACACACATTATTTATCATGTATTCAAATGATTATAAATTAATCACATCCAATCGTTATACCTATAATATAATAAGCCTAAAAAAGAGCGAAAAAAAAAAATACACCTAAAAAATGCATATTATTTAAAACTTTTGAAAAAAAAATCTTATCTGAATCATTGTTTATGAAATTTTATATGTGTGTTATATTATTATGTAATATGACGAAAATATAAGTATGTATATAAATAAACATGAGATATACACGCGGACAATTCAATATTGCGTGGATTGCAAAATGTGTATATTGACAAAAGTGACGAACGACGCAAAAATTGAGTCTATTATATCTTATACTGGCTATACTATAGATTAATTTCTATTATTTTATAATAATATGATGTGTAGTGTGTACAATGATTTAAGTGTTTAAACTATTAACATTATGAATGAATGAATAATAATAATTATTATCATTATTAATAACAATTTTTATATTGATTATGTTCCTAATTAATAATAAAGAAAATACAAACAAATAATAATTGGTACTTCACCTAAACTAGGTACTTATTTAATTTGTATCGAAATTCTTTATGAAGGGAAAGGGACATAGGACTGAATTTACGAAGATAAAACAAATTGTAGTATTTTAAAATTATTATTAAATAAAATTAAATAGATACTGTTTTTTTTTTTTTTTTTTTTACGATTATAAGAAGAATTGATTAGGAGGACGGAAAAAGCGACTAAGCACATCCTCTCCACCATGCTTAATTATATTTAAAACGTAATAGGTTGATATTTACATAGTGAATGAATTTCAAAATGTTTTAAACTTAACAAATAATAATATTATAATTTGTTCAATTGTAGTTTGTAATATTATTCGTTAATAATAATATTACATAACAAAATCACTAGTCATACGACTAGTATACGACCATATAGATTGTCATTATTATGATTTTTATACACTTATAATATATACTCAACAGAAACCAACCTACCCATTTATGAGAAATGTGTGTCAAAATTTATATGCATAAAAAAAAAAAAATAGTAAACACCAGTTTTGAGGAAGGTTATGATGATTTTATTAATTGCAATTATTATCAACTCTTTAACGTTTGAAGACAATACAGCAAATACTGTATATATTAAAAACGACGAAGGTAATAATATGAACTTAAATAATTTAGAAATAAATATGAACAAACTGTATAACACATAACGTACCTATAGAATATATATATATATATATGGATCAAAACCAAACAAATCAATTTATAATAAGTAACATGATAATTAAATTAATTATTGCCAATACAATGGTCACTGCAGATTCATAAAATAGTAATACTTAATCAAAAAAGAGAAAAAATTACATTTGAAGAGTTAAAATATTATTATGTTTAATATTTTCAACTAATCATTGTTTATGATATGACAAATTGTTAGTTATTTCTTTCAATATAAGTTTGATAAGTTTATTTGCAGTAGATATTTAAATGGTTGAAACAAAAATGAAAGTCACTGTGGATAATGTAATTTGTAATGTCGAATTTAGCGTAGTCAAAATGATTAGTTTACAATCCGAAGGTTGCTGAAAACACATTGAAAGCTATTTGACACCCTATAGTAATCAGTTTTGTAAAATGTGCGAGTTTTTCGTACTAACTATATTACATATATATGTATATAAAACAAATTTTATGTCTTCGGTGAGGCAGGTATTTTTTTTATCATCGTGAATATTTGCATCTTTATGACGCGAGATCAAAGCATTGATATTAAAATATTAAATCCGCGCGCGTGCGCGCGTGTATGTGTACCTTAAACGATATCCGTAAAATATCTGATGACCAATCTTTCGATCGGAATTCCCCTTTTTCAGCCGTCGGACGCGCACTTTTTTCAGCCAATTTTTTTTATTATGAACAACATATTGTTTTTTTACGATAATTACAATGCACGGTACGATTTCGGGAAATACGCGCAAGACCACTGTGTAACCGATCGGACATCCAAACTAACACTGATTGGTGATTATCGCCATGCGGTGCAGCACAGCGGCAACGGCGGCGGTGGCGACGACGACAACGACGACTACGGCCAAGAAGGTCGACCGCCGACGGAAGGCGGTTGCGGCGGTTCGACACATAATAGCATAATATTCATAATAATATAATATTCTACGGTAATAATATTAACAATAATGTATTATTATTACAGCGATATTATGTTAGCGCGTATTTAATATAATCATTATCATTTGGACGATCTATGCATCGGCGGTATCCCGCACACGCCTATGTACCGGACACGGGCCCCGGACCGTTACAGTGAAAATCGGTATTATTAATACATTTTATACACATCAGCCAGCTGCGGGTTTTAGCGGGCACGCGTGTCACACTTCCGCCGCCGCCCGAAGGTCCGAACCGAACTACGGGGCTAGTGACGACAGTCACGACGACCGCCGCCGCCGCACGTCCGCGTTTTCGGGGAGGCGCGCGTGCTGTTGTCGCACGTGTACCTATCTGTATACAATAATACCGACACGAATGAAAACGTATAATAGGAACGCGCACGGGGGAAAAAAATTCGATCGTGATCGCCGCGCGAGCGATGAAAAATACCAAAATAATATTACCGTGTTGCGATGACGGACGTATCACGCGCGCGGCGGCGTCGACGTTACACAGATAAGCCGCGTTTTGACGGACAGCCGAGCGGTTGCTTTTATTCGCCCGCAGAGACCCAAGCGGAAAACGATTCCGTCCGAAGACGACGGCGGCGGCTCCTCTCCGCGGTATGCGCGCGACAAGACGGAATTTATGAGTCGTCGTATTAGGATAATATTATTGTTATAGCGGCGACGGGGTTACCGATGCTCGGCCGCGATTCCGACGAAAATATTATTAATGGACGGAACGTATTTTCATTTTTTATTTTTTTTTTCTTATCTTTTTAGCTTTCACTCCTTTGTTATAATATTAATAATAATCGATTTATGCGACAACGCGATTATTATTTATTCGTGTTCATTTGTATACATTATCATAATAGTTACGTTACGACCAGCATTCAGTTCAGACCTTTGTCTCCGGAGGAGGGGCTATCGTAAATTTCCAAAGGCAGATCCGGCTCGAAGAATTTTCATACTGCGGGGGAAAAAATCGAGAAAATAAGCTCAATGGTGGCTTTTTTGTAGCTCGTTAATACGGGTATTTATAGCACACAGTGTTTTTAGACTCGGGGCGAAGCAATGGATCTATTGGTATGATGTGTGTATTTTTTTTTATTTTTCTGTTCCAACAACTTTTCTACCAGAAAACTTGCTCCGAAGTATAAACTATGATGTCTTTTCTGAAACGTAATTTTCTCTAGTTGGGAAGTCATTTTTATGATTTTCCATGGAGTTTTCGAAATAATAGGGTAAAACACGGAAGAAAATTATAGGTAAAACGGCTAATTATTACGGCCTTATAGATTGATTTTGTTTCTGTTAACATTTTGCCATTGATAGAGTAACTCGTTTTTCGATATCCAAGGTAGTTTTTGTAATAAATGATGATTAAGAAAAACCAAAAAAAGACGAAATATACATTTTTTTTTTTCAAATTTCATCACAATGATTTTATTATTTTAAATGTTTACGGCTTATGTTTTCTAACATAAATATTGCTTCGATAGATAAACGAAAAGAGATCTGTTTTGTTTAATTTTTAGTCTAGTTCATAAGTAAGTTATTCGTTTTTTTCCTTTTCTCTATAGTTTTATTAATAATTATGAGACACCGAAAAAAACGTAAAATGATAACTGACAAATTTAAGGCGTTACGATTTTATTATTTTAAATTTTTACGCTTTCCATTTTTACCAGGAATATTGCTCCGTTAGAAAAAACACCATGAGATCTTTTTTGTTGAATTTTTTATCTAGTTGATCAAGAAAGCCTTTTTTTGATTTTCTTTGTGGTTTTTTAATAATTGAACAAAACCAAAAAAAACGTAGAAAGAACGGGAAAATGTACGAAAATAATAATTTTATTAATTTGACAAATCAACACTATTAACCGAACTCCGCTCAGAATAGTTTTTGTTAGCAATGGTTAATCGTTGCGTACAGGTATACATTAAATTTTCCCTTTACCTTTCCAATTTCTCACATACAACTTCAGTGTATCCATCGTACGATGTATATCCGTATCTTTTTTTAATGTAATTCAGTTTAAAATATTCGCAGGGACTTAAAATGTTGATAGCAAACTTATATTTACTTATTTTAGACGTAGTAAAATTACAGAACATCAAAACTATTTTTGAGCTATTATAAACTTTTTAACTTTGCAAGGCTTTTACGTTATTTTTAATTACTTAATATTTTTTAATTACTTTGTAGACAAATTGTTAGACTTAACAGAAATTCATGGAAATTTGATAAGAGACTCATTATAAGCAGTACTTAGTAGTTAAAAAAAAATTATTATTAATTTGTATTTTTTTTTATTTTTATAAGATATTTAAAATCAAATTTTGACGACAATCGTAAATATTACGGCCTTTCAAAACATGTATAACTTCGCTCCAAATCGTTTTTCGTTATTAATGATTTATCGTTGGTTACAGGTATAAATTAAATAACTTAGTGTATCCTACCTTCTCCACTACACACCTACAACAATGGCCCTCAGTATCAGCTCTTATTTTTTTTTAAATTTTACTGTCAACAAGATAACTCATAATCGGATCATAACTCATATCGCATGTAGTTTACGTAGTAAAAAGGAATATATTTTTCTGTGGTGATAATACCCCCTCTCCTCTCCTGAAATAAACACTAGGTACGACAAGAATAAAATACAGATACCGACGGTTTATTACACGCACCCGTCGTTCACCATTAGTGTTGTTACCATGGCTGCATCCGAATTCCGTCCCGAATATAAAAATTTAATTTAAGGGTACACCAATTCTTTGGTCTTGGCCTTGGTTATTAAGCTCAGGTCAAATATCACGAATAAATATGTAAAAAAATATCCTATAAATTCAAACCATATGCATTTTTAAAATACATTTATTTTGACTAATCAATATTTAATGAATTGTTTATCTTTGATATTTATCTGCAATGCATAAATATCTATGCACATTCTGTATACATTTTAACTTAATTTATATTGCATTTATTTAATTTAATTGAATTTTGAAAAAAAAATACCTTCATTTTCGTTTCATGATAAAATGTATTTTTGAGTAGCCCGGTACATACATGTTATATATAATATATATAAAAATGTACTAATACATATATTATATGTATTAGTACATTTTTATTATTTAAGCCAAGCCAGGTCATAATTTAATCGTTCATAAATATATTCATAATCAGGGCTCAGATTTTATAGCACTGAAATATGCGCTATAATATTATCTAAAAATGGCAAAAAATAGAATGTATTTGTTTTTTTATAATATCTAAATACAACCGAAAAGAAGTCATAAATGTAGACTTTTCGATTGGTCAATACATCGGGTTACTTAAAAATAAATTTTATTATGAAACGAAAATGAAGGTATTTTTCACTATATATATATATATGTAGTGATATTATAATATTGTAGTAAACCTTAATTTTATTAGGAACGAAATTGTTATATAAGTTTTTTTTAATAGGGGCGGAATTGGTATATCCCTCTCTTTTAAACGGGACGGAATTGGTATAAAAAACACAGACATACATCGTACAAATGGGCCATTGTAGCAGATAAGAAGTTTGGAAGATATACATCAGAATTCAAAGTATTTTAGTGTGTAATGATTAATCATTGCTAACGAAAAACAATTCTGAGTAAAGTTCAGTTAAACAAGTTTTAAAAGAACGTAATTCGATTTTCGTTAAGATTTTCCTCTTAAATTTGTAAACATTTCTGTTTGCTCTAACAATTTTATCCACAGAGTGCCTACCGTATAAAAATTACGTAATAAACTTGCAAAATTAAAATTTTATCACGTCTATAAATGGCAAATATAAAATTGCTATCCAAATATCTCTACGAAAATTTTCAACTGAATTACAATAAAAAAAACAAAATTGAAAATAATAAAAGTATTATTTTCGTAAATTTTCTCATTTTTCCTACGGTTTTACGGTCTAAAAATGTAATTAGAACGGAACTTGGATGTAGCCGTTACCATTTGTAACGTAAAATAACGTATATCCTCAATTATACACCTTTTAAAAACGTGTATACCAGTGACACCGAATCATGTTTTAAAGATGTGGGTAGATAAAAAGTTATACAGACTACCCCACGTTAAACAAACTCCTATACAACATTCTTAATTAGTATTCCATACGTATTAATTCGATAAAAAATATGATTCAAATACCCATCATGGATCCACCATCACTCACTCATTAAAAGAATGGTAGCAACCACCACCTTTAACTCCTAATATTACCACCATTCGACGTGTATCTTACATTTGTATGTTAGGTTTTTATTTCGCTATGTATATAGCAGGCTAAATAACGCTATTACGGAACACCCGGGTAGGTGGGTGTTGAATAATATTAGTAGGTATACTGTTTGAAGTCATATAGTGATTTGTTGTAAAGTTACATCGTATAAAATAATCATGTGTATATTATAATATTATTATATTTTGCAGTTGTGACGTAATACTTACAATATTTAGCGTTACGTAAAATATACTGAATTTATGGATAAAATTGATACATCGCAAAATATCGGATATTTTATATACGTGCGGTTTGACATTGAGACGCAGTTCGCAGTTAATGAATATTATATTGCATATTTTCGCGATGCTATAATACGAGAGTATAATATTAATTACCAATAACACTCTTGAAAGTGACATAAGATAGTAAAACTTGTTATTTCGGAATAAATTATGAACTATGGAATTTTGAAAATATAGATTACAATTTGAAAATAAAATATAAGTAAGTATAGTGGTTTCACCACTAAACAAAAGAGTGAACAATTAGGACAATTTAATATTTCAAATCTGCGTGTAATATCATACATTTTCCAAAAATAAAATGTCGATAAAAGTATCGAAATAATGATGAGTATACTGCGTTAAAAGAATCACTCTGTATAAACGCAGATATGAAATTTCTAGAAATACACTGTATAGGTAGGTTATAACGTATCGTCACAAAACAAAATTGGTTAAGTATAACTAGTTGAATGATTTCTGATGCGTAATGTGTATTTTACTATAGTCATTAATAATTATTAATTTACGAATTATGGACAAACATGCAAATATTAACGGAATAATTATTAAGTACCTACTTGGTTTTTCATTAGAATAAACAAAAATTATCTAACAGTAGGTTTTATACCTATTTAATAGTTCCGATACAATACATAGAGCCACGTTTAAATAATTTCGCAAATTATGAATACTAATTGTTTTTGTTTAGTTATAATTTATCTTCACAACGTTAAAATAATATTAAAAATATAAAATATTCATATTTACTTTCAATAGTGGTATAATAATTTATATAGTGCTGCCTTCTCCAAAACAGTTGTCCGCCCAACATGCCAAAATATGCGTATGTCTACTATTTGTTTTTTAGAATGCGATTATGTTTGTTTTGCAATGTAGAAAAATCGTACTACATTAACCTATGTAAGTAATGTCATGGGACCCATGGGAATGTGGGATAATCGGTAGACCTAACCCACGTGTATATATAAAAAAATCTAGATTAGTTTTCGAGAAGAGGGAGAAGTATTATTATATTTTGATAATTAAATATTTAAAAAAGTGTTTATACCCTATGGCCTATAGGTATAGGTAATCTATTTACCAATATACTCTGCTGTAATGTATAATGTATGTTTAGTCAGATAAACCACAGTAAATAAAATATGGTAAACATATTGTATTGCCTTTACTGATAATATATAAAAACAAAATATGTGTGTAAAATTATAATATTTATTGTGGTTAATGTTGCGTGTTCAATTTTCAAACAGAATTAGAGAAACGAAATAGAAAAATAATTTTGACGAATTATAATGATATTATTTAAAAATTAGGGAGAAAATCACTTCTCCTTCGATAACAAAATACCAGGTGATTCATTTAAGTGGGTATACTCATTATCTCGAAAAGTATTAACTTTTTCCAGAATTTTTTTTCTAGAAAATTTAAGAAACAAGCTGAAGAAGACAATTTTATATTTGTGTTATTTTTGTTAACCTTATTTTTGAAGGTAAAATAATTACCTACTTTTGATTTTCAAAAGGCACCCTATATTACAAATTCCGTAAATAGATTGGGTATTAGTTAAAATAAATTTTAGTGTTAAAATTTTTTATTTCTGTCAAGCCATTGACGAGATATTACACTTTTAATTTTAGGTTGGATGTGAGTAGTGGAGTATCATTAGTGTGGCGGTACGGCGCGCGGCATGTTAATAATGTAGAAAAACAAATTATCACTCACATACAAAATGGAAATTTTCAATTTCCTTATATACATATCGTATTTGATACTATTAAATTATTTCTAGAACAAAATTATCAGCGCAAACGTGTCAAACGATTATTACTGAACTGAAATCAGTATTGTTATTCTATGGAATTACGTAACATAACATCACCTAATTTAACGGAGGCGTTTTTTTTTTCACTGCGGTATTCTTAAAAAGTTTATTGGACACAAAATTTACCTACGATCATGCCATTTTTCCATTCAGTTAAACACTATTACCGATTTACATATGGGGCACACCTAGAAAATTAGACACTGATTCACTGATGCAGACATCGTAAAAGGACATTTCACTATCGTTAAAATAATATTGTTATTTACCAAAAAAAAAATTATAATAATAAATCCTCGACAATCATCATACAAAAATAGAGGTTATTGTTTTCCCACAGTTATTTAATACCTGGTAGTAAATATACGAGGCGGCAGCGGTGATTACTGTTGATCTTTTTTTTGTTCCTAGTAGGTTTTTTTCCAAGGTTAGCCAGTATCTTTTTTTCTTTTCCTTTCAGCTACTTGTTGTAGCCAAAAAATAATCGAAAACCGGTTTTGTATAAAATGCAATTCGACTCGCAGTGGCACATCGCGCGGGTGCTTGAATATTGTATAATAATATTATTACTAAACAAATCACTTACCTTCGAACTTCTCGTGGTTCTTGAAGTCCAACTTTTCAGGCACATGTTTCGGTCTCACTGGCTTTTGGTCTTTGGTGGCCTGGTCCAGCGTGACCTTGGCAACCCTCCTGAGGACGTTCCCGTCCTTGGGACCGTCGCCCAGCTGCGAACCGTTAGTACGTCTGATCGAATCCACCTGCACCTGACCTACGAACACACATAAATCGTATAAAATACAGTTATTTGGGTATATTAAACCAACATGAGTAATTTATGTATAGTACACATCAATCGTAATAGTTGGCATAGGCGGGGTATAGATAAATTGTATTTTTAAGATACTTGCACATTATCTACATTGCACTACTGCAGTACATTCGTGTGCTGTTATACAGTCATAGATACATGATAAGTAAACGAAGTAAATGAAAAGTATTTGGATATAGTTTAAGAGGTATGAGGATAAAAATGTATTTTTCATTAATATATGATTATGTTTTAAATATAAGTCTTCTCCCACGACCTCGAATAATCTTAGAACATTTTTTAGCACAGTTAAAAGAGCTCCACCGTGTAATTAACAGACTGAAAAATGACTGAAACAGGTGTTGTGCTAGCTATGATCATAAGGCGTGCCCTATAACTAGTGGACGATGTCTATTGTTAAACCATCCGTTTACGTGTTCTATAGAAGTGTTTGTGTTCGGTGGCGTAGTTCCTGTACTCCCACGATTATTTCGTATTTAATATGGTGTTTATATCTAGTGAGAACTATCAGGGTGCATTAGGAAAATAAAAAAAGTAATACAGTAAAACTTCATATGATAATTCAGGATTTGTTTTATGGTCGAACGTAAAAATTAAAATATTGAAATTCTAAAATCAAATTCAAGATTCATCTATGATTTTATGAACATAATATAATGCTATGATATCATATTTAAACATTAATTGTGAATATGAATTATTAAATGATAAATGAAAATACATGATCTAGTTGATACTTCATGTCTTCATTAACTATCAACTTAAGTGAATCAATTAAATAAATAATAATATAACTATTATTAACATATGTGTATTAAAATCATATGTATATGATATACCTATTTACAGATATAAAATCTATTTATTTAATGCACATACAGTTGGAAATTAAACATGATTATTGATAATAAATTTAATATACTATAATACTATAATACTCACAGTTTTCTATTGTCTTGGTTAATAATAATAAATTATAATAAATATACCTAATTACGGTTTTTAAATTATCAGCTATTAAACAATAACAGGTAAAACTACAACACATATATGGTTTTAAATTCTGAGCTTAGTAAGGAATGTATTTGTTTTAGTAGGATGTGTTTTTTATCTATAAATAACTTTTTTACCAGAGTTTGCTCGATTTATCAATTTTATGGGTGATTCTGAAATACAATTTTATCTGGGCAGTAGTTGGTGCAGTGGGGAGGTAATTTTTACAATTTTCTAAAAGTTTTCTTAATAATTAATAAAAAACAGAAAAAAGGTTAAAAAACGTGAATAAAACTTATGTTATTTTTGTTGAAATTTAAGTAATAATAATAATAAAAAATAATAACTTTAATTATTGTAATCTTTATTCCTTGCGGGTGTTAATCAATTAAATATATAAATAAATAAATATTATTTGGTTTGTAACATGTACATCAAAATGTTGAAAGTCCAATATCCAAGATCTATTTAGATTAAACATTTGATAAAATCAAGTATTGCGTTTAAACATTATCTCAAATTAAAAGAAAAAGAAGCAATAGTCCAGAATTTAAAAATTATTTAGAGATGATAAAGCGAAGGATGGAGTATTTAAATGTTCTTTCTGAGATTAAAGGAAGGCCAGTCCTCTAGATTTTTGTTATAAAATACAGAAATGATGAATGCATTAAGACTCACTTCGATCATTTGCTATTTGTTAAAAATTAGGGAATTTTAATATTGTTTCGGTTATTATTACCATTCTATTAACATTAACGTAACGTTTTAACTAACACGAGATGGTACGCACCGTTCCAAACTTTCTTAAATCATATCGCAATTAACTTTACCATTTTTGGATCTAAATCTTTGTGACGGACAGCGACCAATTAATTTTAGTCAAGTGCGTAGTGCGTATAGTTCATTAACTAAAACTTAAAAGTCATCATTGTCAAAATAAAAAGCATTATCATATTTGTTTAAAAAATAACGCGCACGTGTGATTTTCGTGTTCGGCAATAAACTGTGTAAAAACATTAAAAGAAAAAGAAAAGAATAGTAAATTCGGTAGATTTTTTGGTAATTTATTATATAATCACGGATCGTATAAGGCGTTATGAGTAAAAGGCGTTCGAAACATAACGATTTTTAATTTAATATTTTGAGTGATTATTGGTGTCTAGTATACATTTAAGATTTAATTATATATTGCTCATTATAAATTATTTTTGTATTTGTTAGAGTTTTCCGTTAGAATACCAATCGATTTTTTTCTTTCTGTCACGTCACATTCGAACTGTATAGTATTCGTCGTATAGTATCAATTAGGGTTGAGCAAATATAGCATTATAAGCAAACATACAATAATAGGGATCTACTTGTAAATATTATAAGTACCTACATGTATATTATAGAATACAGGGTTAAATGAATTTATTATTATTAGGTAGCTGTAGGAAAATATTTTGTCTACGTATAATGTTTAGTAAATTGAATATACAGTTTATATTCAAATAACATTTTGAATAAATTGAAAAAACAAAATTAAAACATTGTATCTATTTAACCTAAATTTACTGATATTATTTTAATCACAATACCTTATTAATACGTAGTCATAGTATTAATATAGTACTAGTATTATTATTACTTCTATAGATAAAACTATAATTAAGTGATAATAATATTGCGATTAGTATTGACGCATTCGTTTCTATGTTTTAAATGTGTTACCTGTTTTACTATTTCTATATTTAATGAGTTAACTTATTTTTAATAAGTTATAAGTAAACATCATATTTTTGTTTAAAGGTAAATAGGTTATTATTTAATTACCTAGTTTATAAACAGAGTTATCTTATAATATTATGTATTAGCTGTTTTGATTTATACACATTTTTTAAATCTATTCTTATTTGTAAATGTATATTTATGTATGTAGAAATGTGTGTCAACATTTTAATAGGTATCTATGTACTGACAATTTATTTTCTACATGGGAGTACCTATATAGTCAATATATATTGTAATCCATTATATTAAAACTAAGATACCAATAAAACATGAACTGCAGTAAATTATATTATATACCTGTATATCTATAAAAAAAATTGCAATGAATTCACAAGCGTTCTTTTGTTCTAAGACAATTGTGGAATACCCGTTTTCTACACTATTCACCGGTTGATTGCTTCATTAGTATCGTTCAATGGACCATAGCCTTAAATATATACACGAATAAAATATTAGTCCATGCGAGAATCACGCGTCTCTCTTTATATGTATAGAATAATCCAGATTTAATGAAAAATAACCGTAATCATTTTTAATGATAGGTGTACTATGTTTTACTGTACACCATTAAAATATATATTTCTCAGTTTTTTTTTTTTTATAAAAACACGACGCACGAACGTTCCGCCTTATATCTATTACCTACTTAACTAAGTTAATTATTCCTTAATTTTAATTATTATATAGAGGTACATATGTACATAAAATTCAAACTAAATATTATGTTTTAATTGTGCGAGATTGGAAGATTTAAACCGTTCTATCATAATAGATATTTTATTTTATAGAAAAATTAGTTTAAAACGAAACGCGTTTGATGATTCTTAAGACATTAGGTATTTTTTTTATCAACGCAAAAGATAACTATAAAAGAAAATTTGATTTCATTTACGGAATAAAATAAAAAATAAGTTCGTGATTTTAGATTATTTTATTTTTCATTTCTAATAACAAAAACATACAATCAAATATAAGTGATAAGAACAAGAAAACGTGTTTAATAATATGTTGTTCTTTGTGTTAATAAATAAATAAAAACAAAAAATTGTTTTGGTGATTAAAATATACTCATTGACTTGACTTTATTGTTAACTTGACGATGATTTTTTTAAATCAAAACCGGTCGTACATACAAATACAACTAATATAAATATTCCACCAGACTACGTTTTTCTTATATGTATATTTATTTGTATGAATTGATTATACATTTATATACAGGTATATTTATTATTAGATGTTAAAAATAATTTAAAAAATACTAAATAAAAATGTTATTCAATTATAATTTCAACTAAACATAGATTTTTTATGATAATGGGGTTGTTTCAGTATAATGTATAAATTAGGAAAGATAAATTATAAAAATTATAATTTGATACATGATTTTAATATAAAAATACAGCATATTGCTCATTAATAAGTCACTGTTGTAGGGAAGAAGTTGTAAAAGTAAACATGATAATCAATAACGTAAGGCACTCATTATCTTGGAAAATATTAACTTTTTTCGGGATTTGTTTTTTAGATTATTTAAGAAATAAGTAGCTTTAAAATGTTACACTACGCGGTTATTTTTTGTTACCCTTATTTTAATGGGTGAAACTAATATATACTTTTGATTTTCAAATGGCAACCTAAACTAAAAATTGCTTAAATAGAGTTAGTTTAAATAGATTTTGGTGCTGAAATTTCTAATTTTCGTCAACCCATTAACGTGATATCTCACTTTTAGGTCTAGATGAGTTGAACATTTTAACACCAAATTTTTTTTAAACTAATACTCCACCTTTAATGATGTTTTACACTGTTGATGTTGTAGGATGTTGATCATCTTGTATACTGTATAAGGATATATAGGAAATTCAATTGATATCTATACCTACGCATAAATCATTGTTAACGAAAAAAAGAGCATCATAGTGAACCAATACATTCCTCACTAGTTGCTTAACTTAGAATCTACTAGTAGATAGTAACTGTCTACTACTAGAAGTACTAGACAGTTTAATTTTTTTATGGCTTCTTAATATGTTTATATATGTACAAATATATAAATGAAACATTTAGGGCAAAATTAATGTTTGAAGTTTTTGACGATGATCTTATAATTAAAATCTAATTATGTTTTAGTATTTAAGTATCTAATTAGTTTTTTTTTATTTTTTTTACAAAAAAGGTGACATCAAAATGAAAATTGTACACTTATTATCCCCAACAAATCTAACAGTGAAAAAATTAACCAAATCCCAGGCCATTCTCAAAAAAGTTAGCCTATCAAAGTAGTAATATCTATATTGTGGATTTATGGCCAAGTTTATTCTTCATTTCCTTCTTTTTTCATTACCTCATTTCACTCCTACTTTCATGAGAAACACTGCTCTTTTATTTGAATTACTTAAAACTTGGCCAGTTTCTGAAAGAGGCACAAAACAGACTTAGTTACAACGTAGATATATCACTATTTTGGTAGGCTGACTTTTAATTTGGGGAGGAGGTTGCCTTGGATTGCCCTTTGCACTGAGACTGAATTAGAATACTTTTCGAGCGCTAATGAGAGTTTTGAGTACCTAGGATATAGCCCAATGTTATAACTATTAAGTAGGTATTCGAAATTACGTAACAGTGTATTCCGTTTTGAAATACTAGAATTTTGCCAATGACATTGACATGTTTGATAACATATTCATTCATAATATTTATATGCAGAGCTGTAGGTGTAAAATCGAGTTCGAAATAAACTGTTTTAGATTCGATACAAATATATTATTTTTAAAATTCCAGTTTAATAATGTAAAAAACAGTAATTTTTCAAATGTTGAACTTTTATAATAGTTTATTCAATATACTCGAAACGACGGTATAGGTAACCTATGTCTTAAGAATGTATAGAAGTTAAATCGTTTTAAAACCACCGCGGATAATACGATTACGTACACAAAACTCGTTTGTATCGTTTAGTTTATACAGTGTTTGTTTCACAGGTACCTATATATATATAATCTGAAACGTCAATACCTATAAAATCTTCGAATTGTATTCGTTCCACACAGTTGATTTTAGCGGTTTAAGGATATTATATAGTCTTTATTCATTGTGCGTGATCGATGGACCATTTCAGTAGAAATTGTTACTTGAGAAAAATCTATGTTTGATTTTTTTTCTGTAGCCCATCATACTCCATAACACACACTTATACAAGCATGTGTATTGTGTATTTTAAAGGAAAAATTGATTCAACCAGCCAGCAGTCTATAATATTATATTTCGTCGCGGTTTCTCCGCAACACGATCGTCAGTAAACCGCAAGAATCCGAAAACGTTAACGATCCGTTTTGTACACAGAACGAAGAACATAATAATACTATGTGCTGTTAGTCGAGTTGTTTTGAATTTGTTTTAGATTCTGATCATATCGAGGAATGTATTGGTTTTACTATGATGTGTGCTTTTTATTCTTGTTTTTTCTATCAAAAATCGTGATTCGATTATATTAATTTTATAGGTGGTTTCCGGTAGAAAATATTGTCTAGGCATGGCTCTAGAAAGACCATTTTTTGATTTTCTATACAAATTTTAATAATAAAAAAAACCAAGAAATAAGTTGGATAACGAGAAAGTTTACGCAGTAACATGGTTTCTGTTTGATTCAGTACGCAATGAGGAATATATTGTTATACAAATTATACACATATAATGCAGGAAATAAGATGAAGAGACTCAAGGTAGATGCAGTTGAAAATTACTATAGGACACATACGACGAAAAAAGACAAAAGTGTGGTTTTGCAGTGAAGAAATACATTTTCCGGGTAATCAAAGATTTCAAAGTAATCAGTGCTAAAACCATGCCGATCAAAGTAGAAGCTAAATCCGCAGTTCTTAACCTTTTTATATTCGCGTACCATTTATACATTTGTGTAATTTCTCATTGAGTTCTTTTGATTCTAATTTTTGATTTTGGTTTTATTGTTTTGGTGTTCATTGTTCATTATTTTTTTTACTTATCGAAAAATAAAATGAGTGGGTACATTAATTACATGTATGAAGTTTTTTATCATTAAATCTACACAATTAAAACTTTCTTAGTGATACAATATAAGTAAACTGAACACGAGAGTATTAAAAAAAAAAAAACCTATCCTCAAAAGGAACAAAAACGAGAGTGTTAATCAATGTTCAAAATCTAGGTAAGCCTGCCAACAGAGAGCGTTTAAAAAAAATATTGGAATAGAAAACAAAATATAAACAATGTGGTGAGATTGAAAATTTGTCGAAACATATAAAGGGGGCGATTTAAATAAACAGTTGAAGGAAGATGTGGAACAAAGAAACCATGATTTAACTCAATCTGCGAAAAAGCGATAGAAAGAAGAAAAATTGTTAAAAATGAATGGTGAAGTGACACAGAAAATTTAAAAAAAATAACAAGACACAGGACTAAAGCAATAGAAAAATTTGTGAAGGATAGCTAGATAGAACAGTTACGTGTAAGAATAGGTAATACTACAATTGGTTTGCTAGCGAAGGACGTTGTACTTCTAGAGGAAAGCGAAGAGGAGTTTATAAAATAAACTAAACATTTATTAGAGGCAGCGGAGCGTATAGGCTAGAAATAAACGGAGAAATAATATAATATAATATGATGGTAATCCAAAGAAGAGAACTAGCAGATAGTGCACACACTTATATAGAAATGAGCGATACAAGAGCATCGGGAAATCAAAAATCACGAAAAGATATTACACTTGAATTTCGATAGAAAAACAAAATTTTAAATAATGAAATCAATTTTCAAAAAAAAAAAAAAAACACCGTAAATCTGTTCGTTTTTCATTTACCATTTTACATGGTAAAATGCTTATTATAATCTGATGATTTTAAGCTTTTTACAGGTTTTTTTTATAACCATTTGAAATTTTCTAGTTTTTATTTGGTTTCAAATGGATGAAATTTATCGTTCAAAAATACTCGAAAATTTAACACGAGCCATGAGATTCATCATTAGTAGTACCTTGTTAAGTACAGGGTAAAAAAAAGTACAGAATTATGTACAGTTAGAAACCTGTAGTTGATTTAACATTTTATTAAGTTTGTCAAACAGCTAAATAGTAAATGATATGCTTTGGAATGTTTAAATAACAACAACGTGTGTAGAATGAAATAGAAATGGTTCAATACTAGACCTTTACTAAAAACAGCATTAAGCATTGGTATTATTTGAACTCCAAATAGATGCTGAGTAGTTAAATATTATCAATATTACACTTATCCACTAGTTTATAGTTAAAATAACATTAGCATATTGTTCAATTAAAAACATGAACTATTAAGGTCAACATTATTTGTATGTATAAAAATGCATCGTACAATCCCTTGACCGAACACAGCCGTGTTTCGCGCATGCAGTGGATTTTTTGTGAAAATTCTTCTAAAATGCGCATTTCAAAACACCGACTAATCGAGCTTTACTCGGAATTGTTGTTGATGTTTTTCATTACCTAGCAGTAATTTATCGTTGCATACAATTATAAATTATAATTATCCAACCTTCTCAACTTCTCATCAACAACAATAACATTCCCATCAGCAACACAGGCGAATAGGCCTACCGAGAAGCTGGGAATTTCCAGGTTGGCCCTTGGTATTATATTTAAGGCCGAAAAGCAGAAAAAAAGCCGTGTAGGGGCCCTTTTTAAAATTTCCCGGCAGGCCAAAATTCGCCCATGATCATCAGTATCAATTTTTTTTAATTTTAATAATAGGTCCTGCTATTACACTAATGGTACCGTATAAATGTTATTACATTTCTGTACAATATACGAGTAGATCAAACGAGAATTCAGAAAATTATTCAGGAATGAGGATCGACAGAATTTTATTCATAAATATCGTTTCAAAAGCTCTGCAGAACTTACCCTACTTTTATTTAAAACTACAGTTTCCTAGAAATTACCAGCAGCCTTCTCTTAAATATACCCTTGTAAAAAATGCATAATAAATGATTATTATTTTTTTTTAAATTTAAAACTAGTAGATATCCACTTCGGTAAACGTATGAAAACAGACTTTGATTGTACCTACGTTATATTTACAAGTCACACACTATCGAATTGTTCGACGAGTTGTGAGTTTTCGGAATATTTACAGTAATATCTGCGGAAAAAGTACTTTCACTACGACGAGATCTAAATTTTAGCCAATTTATATAATTGAAAAATTGATCTAATTTAATTCTCCAAATAATTGCGGTTATTCTTATTATACATTATGTGCTTTGGATTTTAAATTAAATTATATTATACGGTATAAATCTTAATATATCTACTTAATTATTATATTGTCTGGGTATCTATCTATAAAACAATGATGTGGAGCGATGCACTCCCGGTTTTATTGCTTTCACTGCTTTATTACACCTATAATTATTGTAATACGTAGGTACTTTACACGATGGGTGGGTAGGTACCCATAATAATAATATAATGTAGGCACCCACACATATTGTATAGAAATATAGACGGAGTAGGTAAATTAAAAATGTATACGGCTTTGAGAAACCAGTCGTGTGTTTAAATCCCGGTTTAAATTTATTAGGTAGCATAATAAAACCATGGATGGGTATTTATTATAATATTAATCAGATGTTTTAATTACGTTATTAACAACGAATTATACCTAGGTAGATATTATTAGTGAATAAGAAATTATACGACAATCATTGCGAAAACCATTTTTGGTTCAATTCAAATCTGTTAATAGCTCTCACATAATTCAAAATTATACGCAATAAATAACACAAAATTGTTTGAATAAACACGACAGTATTACTAATACAAAAAAAAAAAATACGGCACTTAATATTTTATTCGTATCAATTCATTTTATATTAACGAGTGTAAATTCTAGCTACTGAAATATTCCTAAATATTCCTAAATAGGAAAAAAAAAAGAAACAAACTTAAGTATTCCGTTACGTAATGTTACAATATAAAATATTTAAATCGTATACAATTGTATTACGAACGCGTAAAACCTCGAATAAAACGTATTGTACGAGTAAGGTAGGTAAGGTGCGCGCGCGCCAGCCATCATAACCAGCTCACGTCTAATGTGCAGGCGTGCGCGATTCAAAGATATCATGGAAAATAATAGACAATAAAATACTGGTAAATTATTATTATTTAAAACGCATTGCCATTGATAATTAGTGAATATTATTTAATACGAATCGAGTATAATGTTACCGTTTTATGACACGGGGTGTCTCCGCGGCGACAACGCGCGAATTAATGCGCGCACTCAAAGTTCACGGTTCACGGATATTCGACACCGTCGGCACGACGACACGTGAAAACGGTACACCGACGATGATTATTAACGTTTTATTCAGTTCGGCGGCGTCAATTGTTTATCGTATTATATTTGTATTATTGTTATTATTATTATTATTATTATTACGACACTATTGTGCGGACGGTTTCCCGGATTTTCGTTTCGCGCACTAAACATTATTAATTACCGTTATTGCGCGATTGACGCGACGAACGTATTCGACACATGTGCGCGCGCGTCCGTTTATGAGAAAATACTATTCGGTAAATGATAAACGGTCGTGTTATCAATATTATCCGAGTCTCAAGGCAACGCTTTGACCGACACGCCGCGGAGCTTATATAATAATAATAATAATAATATTATCGCGTTATGTTCGTAATATTTTACGCGTGCAGCGGCCGTGGTGGCGGCGGTGGTGATAAGAAAGCGTGTGGATATAGATCGGGGGGAGAAAAAAAAAAAACAACTCAAAATGTTTAATCAGCCGCTGACGTCCGATAAGTCGCGATACAAATTATTCGATCATTATAAAATTATAAAAACACAGGACCGCGCCGCCGCAGATAATGCGACTGTGTAAGCTCATTAGCTCAGTGTCCCGGTCGCTTCGTTGTGTCTGCGTTACACGACTCAGCGTTAATATTTGAATACTATTACGGTGCGCGCAGTTTGTACAGAGACGCGTGGTCTCGTGTATACAAGTGCGTTGAAAAATAACAACGACCAGTTTCTTTTATTTTTTCCCGTCCTTCTAATCTGAATATGATGTGTGAACGAGTTAAAACTGTTCTACGCGTATTCCCTACCCGTTCGCAAACGTGGTTTCGGTAAACGACAACACCATCGTTGTTTACGGATATTAAAATATAGTTAACGTAAAGGCTTAATGAATTTATTTATTACCGAAGACCGATAGGTACAAACCAACTACAACAATAAATTGCGCGATTTTTTTTTTTTCTATACTTTTATTTAAGGTACGATCCGATGTTATTCGAAAACCGTTGACTTAGAGTTTTCGGGAAACTATTACATTTCTGATTTTAATTTAATACCTACCAACGAGATTTACTTGACTTGTTTACTCGCTTCGCGTTCTAATAATTATTATTGTTACTGCCGTACTGGTTTCTCAGGCGTAATTATAGAATAATCTTTCGTAATTTCAAGTGTCATGGCAACTATTTATAGTAGTAGGTAGGTAGCTACATGAATGTATTGAATCAATAATAAATAATTATTGTAGGTCAATGCAATAATTTTTAATTAATAATAATGCATTTAATTTGATGAAAACATATTTTGCATAGAGAAATTATTGCAATTTTATATCGCGGTGCCAGAGAGACTATCGAAATATTTCTAATATCTGCATTTTTAAATTTCGAGTAGAAGTTAAATAAAATTAGTAGACATTGAAGTATACGCAAACTGTAAACTATATTTTTTCAGCGATAAAAATAGTTACCTATGTAATTGGTTCTATACACAAAAACTAAATTATGTAGTATAATATTAATAAGATAATTTATGACTTAGGCTAGGGGCTTTAACGCCTACCCAATTTATATCTATCCTACTGTAAGTTTATTATTCATGTGTACTTGTTCATTATATCCTTGGGCGCGTTTAGTCAGTATTTAAGTGTAAACATGTTATCCCTCAACTGCTCTTTAAGTCTCACGTATAACTACATAGTGTTATTGTGAACTTTAGGTGACAATTCTATGATAATTTAATATAATAAGTACAAAAATACATAATATGTAGTACCTATGTATATTGTATACCTATTAGACCAGCGTTTCCCAAACTGTGGTCCGCGAACCCCCAGGAGTCTGTATGTATACCGGGAGAGATCCATGAATGTAAATTAAAAAAACTAAAATATTGATTTATAAAAGGGTTTAAGGTGGGGGGGGGGGTCCGCGATCATTTTTACTATCATATCTGTAAGGGGTCCGACGGAGAAAAAGTTTGAGAAACACTGCCCTAGGCTATAATTCATATATGAAACAAACAAATTTAAGAAAATTAAATAATTTATATATTTTTTTTTAAATTTAAAAATAAAATTACTGATTTTATGAAATATTTTAGAGTGTATAAATTATTTTCCCGAGAACTGTAATAATACTTATAAGTACGGGGATCCAATATAGAAAGTACCTACTGTATAAAATATTATAATAATTACCTCTGTTTAAAAAAAAAATACTTATAGTTTTCCTAACTGTAAAATATACAATTATATAAAACAATACGTAAAAACACCAAGTTTGCAGTTTTTGTAATAATTGCTAACGCCAAACGTTATAACATCATCGTTTTTTGGTAGGTATAAATATTATTTTTTTTCCTGCAGAATATACTATGACAATATGTGAAAGAATTTTACCATAAACAGACAATATTTCTGTGTGATGAGATAGGTAATATAAAATTGTACTCTGTTTCACTCATCTTCAAATTGTTTAATATTAACTTCTAGTATATCTTCTAGTATATTAGGAAGGTGTATACAATAATCACAAAAAAGTTGAAAAATTGTAATATTATCAAATTTTTTGAAATTATTAGGTATTTTATTAGTGTTTAAATAATAATAATGATATCCACTACCTATATAAGGTTTATTGGATGCTTTTTAATAATGTTTCTTTACGTGGAATCATATAGGCAGTTATACAAATAATAAATATTTAATATAAATGCAATATATTCTGTGTTGTAAAAAAAAAACCAATAATTCATAATTGTGTACACAAAATGATAATATTTTAATATTTTATAACAACTAATTTTTCAAATTCTGATCGTGGGTTTAATGTAGGTAGGTAGTTCTGCCATACCTTTAGGGTAGATACCTAAATTTATATTTGATCTCTAAAATATTGAATTAAACATACATAATAAAAATTGAAACATAAGTAATTTAATTAATGATAAATTAAAATCATTAAGATTTGCTTATGTTCGAATTTTGTATAATTATTTTTTTGAAATTTTAATTGCCAACATCTATCAGTTAAAAAAATATATGATCTTTCTAAAAAATGTCTTTTGTGTTGAACTACGTGTAATCTATACAAACATGTACTGGAATTTCCGAAAATGTTTACAACCCCGAAATGTGTTTTCTGAGGAAGAATATTCATTATTAAAAAAGACGACATAATTAACTACGGGTGGGCCATTATTGTATGTGAGTAATTGGGAAGGTAGGATATAAAGGAGAATTTAATTTATATCTGTTAACAACGATAAACCATTGCTAAAGAAAAACGGAGTGAAGTTCTGTTATAGATGTTTAAATGTTTTAAAAGGCCGTAATATATTTAAAAGTTTCATCAAAAATTGATATTAAATTGATCATAAAAAAACATACTACATATTAAACAACTTTTTCTTTTTGATCAATAAGTACGACTTATAATGAAGCTTTTATTAAATTTTCAAGCATTTCTGTCTATTCTAACAATTTTATCCACTAAGAACCAATCAAATAAAAATTGCATAAACAACTCGCAAATCTATAATTATATTATATAAATTCGATACTTCCATAATTTTATTAGCTAGAAACATACTTAAAATCCGTTTAAAATTGGTAGTATTTTTCGATAACGAGTAAATTGCCGGTGTTATAATGTTGAACCATAATATAGCAATGCCAAAAATATTATTTGCTTTAAACTAATTTAGTATTTTTTTTTTGATTCTAAAAAGGTTTAAAGATAGGTATTAATAGTGGCGAGCCCAGGGATATTCAATGGGAGGGGATGTAGCAAGAGAGTTGGAACAGTTTTTCAAATTTAGTCTTTTCTATTAATCTATGGAAAAAAAGCCAAATAACATTGTAAGGATTAGAATTGACGGATTCAAATTTTGAAAACAAAACCTCATTTTTTTGGTTACATTTTGCATATATTAAATTCTGATTTTTGGAATTTTGAAGTGTAGTTAAAGCCAATATTTTCGAACACATTTCGATTTTTCACAACATTTAAGGAGTATAATGTGGCGATACCAACTTAAGTTTATTTAATGAGAACTTATATTAAAAATTCCATAAATAAATGGATTATTACTTTAAATACATTTTGGTGTCAACATTTTTGATTTTCATTAATTCATTAACGAAAAATTCCACTTTTAAGTTTAGGTAGGGGAAGATTATTGAAGTATAATGTGTGGCGGCACGGCACGTGGCGTTTTATTAGTTATTTTAATACGGAATTTTTAATATAGGTTTTAATTTGGAAAACCAAAGTTGGTATCACCACAAAATACTCCTTAAATGTTACGAAAATATAAGAAAATATCAGTTTTAACTACACTTAAAAATTCCCAAAATCAGAATTTTAATAAATGCAACATTTAACCAAAAAATTGGAGTGAGCACGCTTAGTGAATAAAACCTTTAGATATTAAAAAATATTCGTCTCTTCGCACGAAAAGTGTAAATTATAAAAGAAAAAAACCATAGAGGTACTGTTATGAAGACTCGTGTATGTAAAGGTAATTGTTTTTTAATATATAGTAAATTTCTCTGTAACGTTTACCCTCCTACGCGCAAATACATGTTATTAGTTTGTTATTATACCGTTGTTGCAGGCCGAATGTGTGTACACGACCTGCGGACTTCGGTCAGCTATTTTCATGAAAATGATACTTATTTCTTTAGCCGTACCACGATGATTATTATAATAATATATATCATTGTATAATAATGGATACTGTGTTATGTAATTGTGCCTTATTGTGTGGTCTTCAAGCTATACGTTAACATTATATATGGGTTATATTATATATATGGTACCCGGTACCTATTATACTACCCAGTGTTCGAAAAATAAAAGAAGGAATATATAAGACTTAAAATTATAATATTAAGCTAACTCATGGAGGACTTTGCCCCCATGCCTCCACACTAATAATTTTTAAACATAATTCAATAATTAATAATTTTTGAAAACAACATTACTGCAGACTAACTAACAGGCTTAATGATATTTATTTTGACTCATGTCTATTACTATCTACTATGATATATTTTTGTAATTTATTTCTGTATATGAATAACTTTTATATGAGAAATCTTGCTCCAATCATTAACTTTAGAGATGATAGTTATTAGTATAAATTGTTTGTCTTGCTGATGTAATGAGGAACTTTTTGGAGAAAATCCAAGAAAAAACACCGGAAAAACTTTTAACTGTTACATTTAAACAGTAACGGTTCATGTTATATTCTATTTATTGTTTATTCAATGAAAAACAATCGTAAAGGGCGGACATTTCAATGAATATATGATTATATTTATTTTCAGAAATGGTACAATTTTCAAAACATTCTGACAATCATTCAGTTTATTTAAAGCCATTTATTCACAGCCATTTGAAATTTTTGAGTTTTTTAGGATTTTATTTGGTTTATGTGATTTAAATTGTTTTGGGCCAGTGAAAATTTAATACAAGGTTTATCATGAGTTGCAATTAGTGGAAAAAATAAGTTCAGTGCAATGTAGTCATTTTTTTTTTAATTAGCGTTTAAAGTTTAAATATTAATGAAAATGCATATTGATAAAAAGGCAAAATATGTACCGTCGCATCAGTGGCGGAACCAACGGTTGTCAAGGGGTGTGATCGCCCTATTTAATGAAATCAAACTTCTAAAAATGTGCAATTTATAAAATTATTCTTACTTGGATTCCCTTGAATTAGGTACTATTTTTTCACTGATTAAAAAGTTCTGCATTCTTGATTTAAATATATTATTCATACTACACCATTTTGTATTCATATGTAATCTATCCCTCATAGACCCCATAGTAAAACCTTGGCATGAAAATAGACTATACATTTTCCTATAATATGGTATTATTCCTTCACCCAAACAGAATTCAAATATGTATATCTCTTAATTCGGGTAAAATTGATTAAATTTTAGTAAAATGCCATTATTTTATAAAATCACTTTGTTTAATTTAAAATTTCTCATTTGAATAAATTATGGTGTAATATTGTTTTATAATATTATATAACATCTCGTATTACATCATATTATGTAAAATTAAAAGATGCAACCTTATCACAGACAATTCATTTTTATTTTGAAAATATATTTTAGAGGTTTAAAAATGTAAAATTATGATAAAATGTGGTCAAATTCACCTAAATTTATGAAATTTTAAAATGTGTACGGTTTGTTTTTCTGTGAAATAGTTAAAATGTATCATAGCCGGAGATTTTAAAATAAAATGATATCCACTATAAAACTTAAACAATTATTTTTACAGTTCAAAAATAATAATTCACGATGTATTTTTTTAAAATAATTAAACAAATATTTCGTGACAATTATAGTCTATAGCTGTACTAACATTTTTTTTTTTCTGGTGGTAGAAAAATATTTGTATGCCTAATCATATTCATGATAATGGAATATAAATAGTTATAATAAACTACCTACAAAGTACATTATATAAACACTCAGTGTTAAATTTATTTTAAAAATGTGATGTTTTTTTTATGAATATTTAATCGGTGTTTATTATTTCAGTATCGCAACATCGGTGTTTATTGAGATAATAATTTAATTGTAATAAATAAATACATTTATAATATTATATTGATTATTTAAAATATATATATAAAGTAAATAGTAATAGGTATAATATATTTTGATCTAATAAAGGTAAGAGCGAGAGAGTAACCTATTACTTAGTTAACTAAATGTTTTGGTTTATCTGTATTATGAAAATGAAAAACTGACTTACCATTAGCGACGGCCGTTTGTATTTTAGTTGGATTCAATTCGACTTTGCGGTGCTTGACGATAGTGAAAGCCTGGTGGGTGGCGGCCGTGCGCCCGGTATTACCGCCGAGCGTTTCGCCGCCGTTCGCCACCATGATAGTGGCGGTGTTCAGCGCGGTACTGTCGTCGTCTCTGGCGTCCGAGTACACGCTCTGCGGACTAGTCAGCGTGTCGGCGAACACTGAGGAGTCTTCCTCTTCCGAGGAACTGCCGGACTCGTCGTCGTCGTCGTCGTCGTTGTAGCGGCGGCAGCGATGGTGCTCCTGCCGGTGCAGTTGTTGCTGCTCATCTGCATGATGATCGGTATCGTCATCGACGCGGGCCGGGGGAGTCCGCTGCCGGTGGAGGTCACGACTGGTCACGGTCACGTGACCTGCCGCCGCAACCACCGCCACCGCCTCCACCTGGGACTGCACGGCCGCCGGCGCAACTGGTTTCCGTAGCGCCCTCGCCGCGCTCCCCATCAGCCAATCCCGAGTGCCGGTTACCGACGGCCTCTTGTTCCGGCTCTTCGAGCCACCGCCGCCTCCACGCGACGACGGCGTAGAGCTTTGCAGATTACCCATCGTACGCGCCCGAACGCTCGGAGTACGCAAGCGTTTTTTCCGCGCTGTGGCCGGTACTACGGTCTACGGTCAACGACAATAACGATAACGATCCGCCTGCGACGACGGCGACGACGCCTGCACCGGATATCCTCTCCGGACGCGTTCGTCCCGTCCGACATTTTCCAGCACGTGAAATCTATAACATTTTCGTACACACATATATTAAAATCGTATAATATAATATTTTAGTTACCCGGTTTGATGTTGACAGCATTATAATATCATGTAGCGTACCTACACGTAATACATAAAATACTGGTACGCATGCTGCAAGAGGTAGCGTTTTTAAAATGCGTGTTACACACCGGAAAACCTGGTGTATAGTAACGATAACAATAACGCACGCAGTATAGGCAGGTATGTTAAAGTACCCAGTGTTTTTCGTGTGTTGACTGCATACAACCAATTGACATGCGGTCCAAATGGTTTTTATTTTAATTGTCAAATATGTTAATGGTTAATATTATAACGACACTATTAATATATTATATAGTACCTATATTATGTGTATTGTGTATACTTGCGGGTTACATTATTATAATATAAGAGTGGCGGATTTTACGGGATATGATCCTATCTGATCCCTCGGTGCCCCTCAGATGAATTGTTGATTGTCTACAATACGTTTATGTTAAAATATTCCTTATTTTAAGTGATACAAAATACCGACGAATATCTGATAATTATATGATTTATGAGTGTGTATGTAATAGGTCGTATTATGTATATAACGTGTAGTTACAGAGTAGACGAAGGAATTTTATAGGTTTAAGCGAAAAAAAAAAGTCATCCGAATATCTGATTGGTTCTTCCTAAGGCAAAACACCAAAATCACTACAATAGGCTGCAAAATATTTTTTTCTTGGCAGAGCATCTTTACATGGGGTCTTTTGTATACACAATATATTATATGGATGTGGGTCATGGTACTTATGACACCACCGTCGTCACATTTTATACGTGCGTGTATTTTTGTTCACAGTGGGTTGTATATATGTAGTGGGTTGTATACCCTTATTACATTACATTTATATTTACTGTTCGACGTTTATGTTACATCGTTTATAATCAGAGTTCTAAATGTCTTACATGGTGATTTTTTGTAGAGCAGAACAATATCATTATACTGTGAAAGTATCAATGCACTAGCTGATTCCCTCACAAAATATCACATATGGTCAAAATAGTGTATGATGGATTATAATTAACTTTAAAAATTGTGCGAGTCTTAAATTTTCAAAAAAGATAATACTATACGTTAACGAGCGTTTGCTTTAAAATTTGATTGGTTATTCGATAGTTTATACATTTTAAATTATAATATATTATAAAATAGTAAAATAATGTAATTTTCAGTAAGTTATGTACTATACCTTTATGTATATATATATATATATATATATATTCAATGACGGTTTGTGCTTAGATGATGCATGATAAGTACCTAATGATGTATAGTAAAAAAAAAAAATTTGATATTGGGGATGGGTATGGCCACTATTGTAGGTGAGTTGTTGGGAAAGTGGGATACATAAAGTTATTAAATGTTATATAACTGCAACTAACTATAAATCATTGCTAACGAAAAACGATTTGGAGTGAAGTTCGGTTATACAAGTTTTGAAAAGCCGTAATATTTACGATTTTTATCAATATTTGATTTTAAGTGTTATAAAAAAAAAAAATAATACTAATCAAAAAATAACCTTTTCAATGCACTAACGAGAGAAAATCACTCTTTCTAAAAGGTGCTATAGTCTAAACTTCGAAGCAAGTTTTCTGGTAAAAAAGTGGGTTCACAGACACAAAAAAAAAAAATACACACACATCGTAGTCAATCCAATAGATCTATCGTTACGCTCCGAATCTAAAATTAATTGAACTGACGACACAGCACAACTAAAAACTTAAATGTTTAAACTAAATGTTAAATTACCATAATAATTTAGTTTGGTTATTTTTTTTTGGTTTAGGGGGAGGGTTAACTTATGAAATTTGATTACACTACTATATGAGACCATGAGCCGACATTGTATACATTCATTATTATAGATTTTAAGAATGACTATATATTATAATACTATAGTTTTAATATGATACCAATATGAATCATGAATATATCATTTATGTATATATATATATATATATATATATATCTTATATTTATCGTTTACAAATAGTTTATGATTTTTTCTTTGAAATATTATGTTACATTATACAGCATATTAGTAAATAAACATTAAATATTTTTGAAACCCATTACTCAGTTCATGCAGTTACATGAAAACATTCAGCGTGTTAAGTAAGCTGTTATAATAAATAGTGTGGACGTGAATATATTTACTTTGACCGGCTTGACCTTATATGGGCGTAAAAGCGAATATGTATAATGTATATATTTTATATTTTCATACAAACCATTGACAAATTAGATTTTACGAATAATAGTTATTGCATTTATTACTCAGATACCTGTATTCATATATTCATGAAATGACACACAAAATTTATTCTAAACAAATATGTACTTATATTATATAAATATCATATGAGCATATACCTATAGCTGTCCGAAGGGCTGCATCTGATATTTGTAACGAGAATTCCAACCTGTTTTTATACTAATTCTGTACCAGTTAAAAAAAAGGGATATACTAATTCCGTTTCTGTTAACAGAAAAGTATGCACCAATTGCGTTTCTAATAAATAGAAGGTTTACTATAGAGTTACAATATTTCTATATAAGTACACATTCATAATTTAAGCATTATTATAATATATTCATAATAATAAAGAATCATGATTGATATAAATATTGTTTTCATCAATATAATATTAGAGTTAAAATGTATGCATATAAATATCAAAGATAAACAATTTATTAAATATTGAAAAGTCAAAATAAATGTTTATACAATTTTTTAATTTTATTAAATTTATATAATATTTTTTTACAAATACTTTCGTTTATTTTATCTGAACTGTACTTTTTCTTCGATATTAATTTTTAACCATTCAAATTGTACCTTTTTCGTTATACATATTAAATACTATCCATTTCTAATATAAATTATTATTTTAATAGCAAGGACAAGCACAATCAACAACTGAAAAGTTTATTAAATCAATATTATTTTCATTTCTAAATAATACCTATATTTATTGTTATTGATATTGTTCTCATATTTGTACAATTTATATAAAACTAGGTTTTAGGTTAAACCAATTGATTAAAAATTAAAGTCACAAAATATATATTTTATAAATAATACAATTAATACAAAATATAAACAGGACGCAATTAGTATGTAATTAAGGCTGCACCTCTATACAGAGGTCTGTTTGAATTGCGTGCCATGTATGATTTTCATTTAAATGAAGAAAAAAAATTTTACAGGATTACCACGAGTGCCGTATACTCACAATATACTCTATGATCAATAGGCTCCACTCAGAATCTAAAAACAATTTGTAATTGAAGATTTTAAATTTAATTTTCAAAAGTTTTTGTGCAATGATATTGAAAGGTGGGCTTGTTGCAAAAGTTCGTGTAAGACTCATATAAAATTAAATAGTGAATATAAAGTTATATTCCATAATATAGATCACAATCATAACAGAGATTATGACCAACAAAAAATAAATGGAAAATAGGTGTGTAATAATTTAAAACGTAAATTTGAAGACTATCCTTTTGAAAAACCTAATAAAATACTGCATCGTAAACTCTATTAAAGCAGGAAGATATTAGTACATGGACCACAGCTGATGACACTACACGCGTGTAATAAACAATTTATATTATATCTGATCAAGCATTTATCCAAAACTGCCAGATACTTTGATTGAATTTCATACAGCTTTAGATAATTTGAACATCAAAACTAATCGAAACGAAGAATTTGTATTTATTAATAATCACGAAAAAAAAAAATTGTAGCTTTTACAACACAAGAATATTAAAAATATTTAAATGAGTGCGAAATATTGTTTGTCAGCGGTATATTCAAAAGTTGTCAGATTTTTTTTTTTATACTCTACAAAAATTTTACCAGAAATCTTGCTTCGATGTATCAAGTGTAGTATCCTTTCTGAAACGGAATTTTATCTAGCTAGTTCTTTTGTGAAGTAATTTTTTGATTTCCGTGCAGTTTTCATAATAGTTGGGAAAAAACGTAGGACAAATTTTGTTTTTTATTGTAATTCAGTTTAAAATGTATTTAGTGATATTTAGTTAGCAACCTGATATTTTCCATTTATAAACGTGGTTATATTTTTAAAACATTTGAGCCATTTTTGAGCTGTTTATAGACATTTTAATTTTTATTCGGTAGATATACCCAACAGAAATGCTTGAAAATTGACTAGGAGGTTTATTGTATGTTGTAATTAGTGGTTAAGAAAAAAAAGTTGAGTTTAATGTAGTATATTTTATTTTTTATAAGTATTTCAATATCAAATTTTAACAAAAATCGTAAATATTACGGCCGTTACTCTGTTCAGAATCGTTTTCCGATAGGGTATATTAATCGTTATGTACAGATATATATCGAATTCCTCTTTATATTCTATCTTCCCAACTTCCCACCTACAACAGTGGTCCATTGTACGCAGTATATCCGTCTTTTTTTTTTACTAACGGAAAAAACAAAAGAAATTTATGAAAATGCGTTGACAAATTTATTAATAAAAATGAACGATTTGAGCTTAAATTTATCGCTAATAATAATTTATGTTTACTTTGAACTACAAAATTATTCTGAACCTAACCTAAATACTAATAAAACGCCGTGCGCCATGCCGTCATACAATTAATACTCCACTTATCTCCTACTACCTAAACTTAAAAGTGGAATATCTCGTTAACGGGTTGATGGAAATCAAAAATGTTGACACCAACATTCATTTAAAGTAATACTCCATCTATTTATAGAATTTATAATATAGATTCTAATTTAAAAAGTTGGTATCGCCAAAGGATACTCCTTTAAATGTCGTGAATAATCTAAGTGATCGAAAATATTGGCTTTAACTACACTTAAAAACTCCAAATATCAGAATTAGATTAGGCACGCTTAGTGAATCACCCTGTATGTATTTTAATTATAATATAAATGGTGATTAAAAAAAATTATATTTCTGTTTGGAAAAATTGTCTTTTATATTATTATTATTATAGATATAATAGATATTTTATATTTGACAGTTACACTAAAGAAGTGAAAAAACTATCAAAGGATAATTGAGACTGGTGCAGCTAGTATTGTAGGTGGGAAGTTGGGATGGTAGAAAGGAAATTTAATGTATATATTTCTAACGCAATTCTGACGATTCTGAGCAGAGTTTGGTTGATATTCATGCTTTGTCAACAATATATATGTCATATTACGGTAAAATCTTATACATAAAATTCTCCAGTTACAGTGTTTATTATTGAATTCCTCCGAAACGACTTAATTGATTTTCATGAAATTTTTTGTGTACATTCGGTAGGTCTGAGAATAGATCGTAAAGTATTTTTCACCCTCCTACCGCCACCCATTATTTTTTAATCGAGATTTTAGTATTTTCGTTTATATATATATACGAGCAACCCCAAATAATTTAGCTTATAATTTAATAAGTACAAATTTTTTTGTCGATTTGTGTTACGCCGGTAACAGGGATGAAAAAAAATGGTGATTAATTATTATTAGAAATTAGTCGAAAAATACTATGTGATCGTCAAAATCTGTCCAGCGTTCTTAAGTTATAAATGATGCAACTAACCCGACTTTGTTTTATTTATATAAGATTTTTGTTTATTCAAGGGTTGCCATGAAAAAGAAAACTATTATAATTATTATTATTACTATTATTTAAATATTCAAATTTTACAATAGAACACATTTAATCCACCGAAGGTGGACTACCCACTTTCCATCTATTTGTTTTCATTCAATTCTAACAGGGTCAAAACCAAAAATGAATATGGGTAAAATAATAATAATATAAATTGTCACGGGCAACACCGGACACGGGACAGCTAGTTATTACACAATATGCATTAAACATTTTATTTAATAATATTTGTTTAATATTTTACTTATTTTCCCGTTTTTCCTAAGTTTTTTCCGGGTTTTCCAAATTATTGGGAAAATGAAAAAATAACCTCCCTAAAGCACCTCCTCTTTCATATTTCCTTTAAAAAAAAATGTTTTACAATGTAAATCGGAGCAAAATTACTGGTAAAAAAGTTGTTCACAGATAAAAAAACATCATTGTAAAACCAATACATTCCTCGCCTTACTCAGAATCTAAAAAAAATTCCCATTTTTTAAAAATAAAACAATAAAATGTTTTAAAATTTGAATAAGTATTACGTATTTTAAACATACAGAGTGTCCTACAGCATTATCCTTCTGTTAATATATTTTTTTTTTTGATGGAGTTTTGTATAAGGGGGGCTGATCAGAAAATAATTATAGGACAAGGCTACAGACTCAAGAAAGTGTAAAATAATTAAAGTATTAGAAAAATATATTTTGTAATTGATCGATTTTAATGAGACTTTACAATAATTAGCAAAAGAAAAAGTAATGGAAACAAATATAAGGTGTACATAATTATTAATTTTTAAATTTGTATGGTATAAAATTTTACAATTATATACAACCGTAAAATTGTGGTAGTAAAATTGTTTGAGTTGAAAGTGACGTGCTAATTGTGCAGTGGTGTTTCGAGGCCCAATTGATCCTTAATCCGGGCTTAGCGCACACAATAATATAATATATTACTTAATTAATTTGCTTCGAGTATTTACAGCGGTAAGTATTTAGGCTCGATGACTTAAAATAATACGTACGGGTTATAGAATTCCGTAGGGGTGAGTGTGATGCCAGCGCCGATTAGACTGATAAACAAACTTATGTAAATATTTTGTTCTCACAGTGGTCAAGTGGCGGAGCGGGCGATCCACGAGCAGTGCAGTTACATAAGACTCAACTGCACGGTGCACCGTCGTCGTCGTTTCGCCCGTGTCCGGCGGGGCTTTATTGCGACGAACGAACGCGTCGGATCCGACCGCGGTGGATGGGACGCCGGAACTAAAGACCGCGGCACAACAACCGGAGCGCCTGTTCGGCCCCGTTCGGAAAATCGATAAGGGCGACAGACGCGCGTGTTGTGTAGTCGGTCGGACGGCGGCCGTGTGAACACGACGACATAATACGCGCGGCGCGGCGCGGCGCTAATCAAGCCCGACGGGGAAACGCGCCACACAGTACGCACAATATGCATCAAGTATTTTACGCGTGCACTCGCAACGCCGACAATGACGGTCCAATTTACGCGCGCGCTCTCCCGGTCCTCCCGGAAAACGTGTATAAATAATTTTACGCGCACATGCGCAGGTACGAGTGGAATGGATGCAAAAAGAGAGAGAAATGAAACACGTTTAACGCGAACAGTATAAATTATATATACTCCACAGTTAATAAACCGGATTAAGTGCTCCATATTATACAGGGTCTTCCAAATTTTAAATGACAGTGTAGTTGTAGACTTCACTAAGAAATGTTTACATATTTTTTTTTTTTTTTTTAAATTGTCTCTGCCGGAAACGTTTTAGATGGATATTTTAAATGTAAAATATCGGTTTAAGCCGATATTCACTACGCACATACTGCCACATGAAGGTTAGACGATCCTGTACAATATTAATATAAACGAACATCGATGCATGTACCATGCGCCACCTGGCCTCCCGCAATATACCAATTACATCCCGTGTTCTCATTGCAAATAAAGGGTCATAATATTGTCATATTATCCTAGTCGCTTCTCGTATAATATAATATATTTATATTCACATAATAACCGCCTTTAAAAAATAATTATTATTTCTCTAAATATGACATTTTTGTTGTCTATTTTAGTTTGTTAAATTATGGTTTATAATGTTAGATATAACTGTATAGTATACACTTATTAATCATAGTTTGTTGGTCACAGCTATAATGGGTCTATCGACATGCAAGGACAAAATAAAGATTTTGAAGCGTTTAAAAAAAAAAAAATCAGTCTACTATGCATCCTACTATGCTCACCGTTTAAACCTTTTATTGCTAGTAGCACTAAAAGTTGATAGTAGTTCTGATGATGTAGTAAATATGCATATCTAATACGAAAATAATCAGAAATAGAACAGACCATTCGAGTACTTTATTGCTATTTGAACCATAAGTCAATGAAGGTTTGGGCACCCTGACGGTAAGGTAAAAAACATTTAAAAGAAAGTACTGAAAATATATAAAAATAATATTATTTTAAATTTTGGTTTGTTTTTGTGTAATGTAATTGTCAAACAAATTCGTAGAGGTTTGACATTTTGACAGAAAACTTATATTTGATTTTTCTATATGTCGTACAATTTTCAAAACATTTGAGCCATTTTTTTTTAGCTATTTAAAGACATTTTAATTGTACGAGTTTACCTATAAGTTTATACTTGTTGTTATTCAAGTGTACAGTATAATCACTATTATAATAATTATAAATTTTTAAGAAAAAAACAAAAGGACACACTTCGCACTATAGGTGGACCACTGTTATAGGTAAGACGTTGGGAAGGTAGATGGGAAATTGAATGTATATCTGTACGCTACGATTAATCATTGCTAACGAAAAATGATTCTGAGCGGAGTTTGGTTATACATGTTTTGAAAGGCCGTAATATTTATGATTTGAAAATAATTTTCTTTCGTTAGTACATTTTTCCGTTTTTCATACGTTTTGTCTCATTTATTATGAATACTCTTAAGAAAACCAAAAAGTTACCCCCTTAAAGTACCACCTCAGTCAGATTTCCTTCCAGAAAAAGTACTACACTTGAAAATCAGAGCAAGATTTCTGGTGAAAAAGTTGTTCACAAATTCAAAAAGAATAAACATCATTGTAAAACCAATACATTCCTTGCTTCTCTCAGTATCTAAAATGTATGATTCCTTATGTCTTAATCGTTTTATTCATTTTATAGGTACCCTTATATTACCAACCCTGCTAAAATACAAAATTTAAAAGGCCCACGTCACAAATTTTCCATCTGATGACGTGGGAAACATACGAAAAATATGTATTTTTTTTTTGGTAACCACTTGTGAAATTTTTTTATACCTGTCGATTAAGAGAAAATAATAATTAGTACAGTAAACTTTTTTTGAATACAAGGGGTCATTAAGCGGTCTGACGGTCACCATGTAAACAGAGTCGCGCGCGCAAGCCTTCGGAACGTATACACACAATGTAAACAAATCGTTGCCGCATGTTAAAAAAAAAATCTAAAAAATGTACTTACTTAAAATTGGTATACTAATACTTAATTTTCGTGAAACCACATTTGGTACATCTACTATTGTAGATGGGAATGTAGGGTTCATATTCGTATAATATTTTTATAATAATATAACGTTAAAATGATTTGAAATTAAATAGTTTTGAAACTAAAACTTATTTTAATTTGTAAACGTTTTAAAACGGCTTAAGAACATTAAATGTTTTTAAAACGCTCGCAATAGATAGTTTAAGAAATTAAAAATGTTACAATAACGTTTAAAATGGTCTACCAAAATATAATCATAAACATATTTTCGAAACCTTATAAATTTATCTGTGTTTGTTGATGCGTTACATGGCTAATTTTTATTACTCATTGTTTTCAAAAGTCACGTCTCTATTCATTTTAGATTCAGATTATAGCGAGGGATATTTATTTTACTTTTGTGTGTACTCATTTTTTTTCTCGCTGTAAACAACTTTTCAACTAGAAAACTTGCTCCGATATATAGACTATTGCACCTTTCTGAAAGATAATTTTCTTTAGTTGGTGCATAGAGTAGGTCATTCTTTGATTTTCCAAGGAATTTTCGAAATAATTGGGATAAACCTAAAGAAAATAATAGATAAAACGGCAAATATTTACGGCACACCACTGCGTAACCGTATTCATGGTTTTCATTGTGTGACATTTAAGTTTTATACCAGAAATATTACGTCAATCGAAAAATGACAAAAGAAAAGATAATAATTCTAGGTATTTACACTAGTAACAATTTATTTTACACTCTTATGATTTTCGTGTTTTTAATTACTGTTAACTATTTTAGTACTCTATATAACTGCATGATATCCTATTTAGCTTAGCTGAAAATTACCAATTGGTTATTATAATAGTATATCTATCTCTATAATATTATAAAACGGTTAAATGAACATTCAGTGAACAATGAAATTACAGTAGGAGGGGGAGCAAATAATTCCCGGGAGTATACTTAGATTCAACACTGCCTACCCGGCGTGGTTTCACACAACAAATCGGGGATTATATTCGTTTAAAAGTTTAACATGGATTTGCTCTAAAGTTGATAAGCATAATGGAAAAGAAAATCGTTTTTCGATATCCAAAGTAGTTTTCATAATAATTAGGAAAAACCAAAACAAATTAAAATTGGTTAATATTTACAGCAACTCAGTCTCGATTTAATTGTTTAATTTTTGTTCACTATGTTTTCCACCAGAAACATTAATCTAACATAAAAACAACTAGAAACATTTTTTGCTGAATTTTTAATCTAATTGGTCATCAAGAAATTCGTTTTTTGATTTTCTTTGTAATTTTTTTAATAATTGAATAAAACCGAAAACTACGTAGAAAAAAGTGGACATTTTTCGAAAAATAATGATTTTATTATTTTTTTGTTGTAATTCAGGTTTAAATAATCTTAGAGACTTGAAATGTTGATAGAAAACTCGTATTTACTTTTTTTAGACGTGGTGAAACTTTTAGAATAATGTTGAGCTATTTATAAACATTTTAATTTTGAGAGTTTTTTTATGTAATTTTTATTTGATAGATACATTATTAGACTCAACAGAGACGCTTGAAAATTTAATAGGATGAGGTTTATTATAAATCGTACTTAGTGCTAAAAAAGAAAAAAAAACGAATTTTAGATTTATATAGTATTTTTATACATTATTTTATCTTATTTCATTATTAATTATTGGATTAGCTACAGTATTAAATTATATAGTACCTATAAGTTTATTAAAATAATAATTGATCTTTATATACTTAATACGGAGTTTAAGGTACGCAATTTATGTACATTTATGATTATTTGTTACCATCAAAAATATTTTATTATAAATGGTGGTGCGCTGTATTACTCCGGAAAATAAATTTAAAAAAAAAAATTGGTAATAACGTATTAATGGACTATAACTTAATAGAAAAAATAGTTATATACCAAATAACCTAATATATAACATATATTATATCAAAAATAATGATGATAGATAAATAAGTTTGTAAAATAATTTTTATAATAATGGGGAAAATCAAAAAACATGAAATATAATATTTTTTTCAAATTTCATTATTTTAAATTCGTATGGCTTATATTTTCTACCATAAATATTGTTCTCATATATAAACGAAAAGAGACCTTTTTTGTTGAATTTTTAATCTAATTGATGACCAAGAAGATTGGTTTTTGTTTATCGTTAGTAATGGTTTATCGTAGTTTATAGAATTTATAAATTAAATACATTTTTGTATCCTACCTTCCTAACTACCCACCTATATAATTTTGCGGGGCTTCATATATATGTATTTATTTTATTTTCTAACGAACTTTAAGGTCTTGTTGAAATCTAAAATTGTACCTACTTAGGTACAAACAATATTTGATTAATTAATATTTTTATTTTATCTAAAACGATGACATAAATATGACATCATAAGTATACTTTTACTTTAAATAAAAAAAGAAACATAGATTATTGTAATACAACTTTTAATATATATTATTACTCAAACATTTTTAGATTCGGAGCGTAGCGAGGGAGCTATTGGTTTTACAATGCTGTTTATTTATTACTTAGCAACTTTTCTGAAAACTCAAGTTGTATAGATTGTACTTTCTACTAGACAGTGCAGATGGTACTGAGGTCAATTTTCGATGCCATTTTTTAAATAAAAGCATTTAAGTAGGGAAAAAAGTAAGAAAACTTACCATTTCACGATTTTGTTATTTTATAAAAACACGAACGTTTTCTACCAGAAAAAATGATTTAATCGAAAAATCACAAGATAACTTTTTTGTTGCTCTTTTGATTTACTTTTTTACGGTATCATTACCAAAACTTTTGAGTTTTTAAGGAATTTTAATTTTTGGGAGTTTTTATGCTGTAATTCGGTCATAAATACACGAAGAGACTTAAAACTTGGTAATAATACTTATATTGGACTTACCTAAACGGACGACTTTTTTTTTTTTAATAAGCGTTTTGAAATCAAATTTAAACGAAAATCGCAAAAAAAAAAAAAAAAACGGCATTTCATATTATGTATTACCGCTTGGAATCGTCTTTTGTCAAGCAATGGTTTACAGATATAAATGAAAAAACCTTATTTACCTACCTTTTCAACGTCCCACTTACAACAGTGGTTGCATCTGTCCTCATTATCAGCTCTTTTTTTTATCGTTCTTTTTTGATGCAAACAGGTCAATTGTCTCATTATAGCTAAACGAATTGACAATATTATGTTCGATGTTATTAAATTATGTTTGAGTATTTTCATTAAAGCCAATAAAAATGTGTTTAGCTATGTATAATTGATACCATCTTGATTTTCGTCGATAACAACCCGTGTCCTAAGAAAACCACACGCAACCGGATCACAATTCACGTACTATTAGAACAATATTATTATAATTATTTATAGATAAAGTGATATTTGGTATACATAATTTGCAGGGCCTTACACGGCTACATCGCTCCCCTCCAAGGGCCGGCAATGTATCTGAGAAGATAGACAAATTAAGATCTGATAAAACAAAAAATGGACTCCATGTAAAAACTTAAGTAGTGTAAATATATATAATTCTTCGTTTATTGAACAGGTATAACTATTGGGACATTTTTTAGTAAATACTATTTTTATAACTTAATAAAGCCTACTTAAGTGTGCAATTTCGATAAGAATTGTTTAAATGGTAATAATTATTATTACCTATCGCAATAAAATTAACATTTTACTTTTGTTTATATTTTTATAACAGGTACGTAATTTTTTTTATCTAAAACTCATTTAATACTTATGACAAGTGGGAAGAACTTAAACTTATTCTGTCCAAGGAAGAAACATTTTCCACAAAGATCTAAGTTTATCATGTAGGATGATTGTACACTCAATGTCCTTTCCAAAAACTATATGATATGTCATAGGACTCCGGAATATGTTCCGACGATAATAAAAAGAATGATTTATCAGGTTTTAGAGAACGATTTTTGAGATACGAACTAATCTGTTTCATGCAGTAGAAGTTCTGGGTTCCTCATCTATCTTAGTGGTATTTACTCTCATATTACATTTTGAGCGTAGCAAGAAATGTATTGGTTTTACAATGATGATTTTTTTTTATGTAAACAACTCTTTTACCAAAACACTCACTCCGATTTTCAAGTGTAGTACCTTTTCTGATAAGAAATTTTACCTAGGTGTTACCTTAGGCAGGTTATATTTTAAGTTCTCGAGGGGTTTTCATAATAATTGGAAAATTGGGAAAATTTACGAAGTGTATTCTGTTCAATTTGGTTTTTTGTTGCGATTCAGGTTAAAATATTCTTAAACTTGACATTTTGACCGAAAATGTATACTTACTTTTCCTAAACGTTATACAATTTTAAAATTTTTTTATTAATTTTGAGCTATTTATAGACATTTTAATTTTGAGTTTTTTACGTAGTTTTTATTCGGTAGGTATTATAGGTACTCTGTAGATAAAATTGTTAGACCAAACAGAGATGCTTGAAAATTAAACAAGTGGGTAACATTATAAGTTGTACTTTATATGATCAAAATTTAGCGTAATGTAGAATTTTTTTTTATAATAAATTATATTATTGTTTTTTCTTAGTATTAAATTTTGATGGAAATCGTAAATATTATTTGGCCTTTCGAAACATATGTGTATCATCGAACTCCATTGTGAACCTCCAATAGTAGCTTACCCATCGTGTGAAATATGCCAGTCTTTTTTTTAATTTTGGATATTTTAGATATAAGGTTTTCTTGTAGGTGTTGAATATATGAGTGAATAGTATAGTAGGTAAATAGAATGTTTAAAAACATTGTTAATTAAGTCTTTTATTAAGAGTTTGTAGATTGTAGAATTATTGAACAGTATTGCTAAGAGGCAGTTCATAAATAATATTATTAAAAATAAATATTTTGCATAGATTCTACTATTTTTAAAAAAAAAAAAGTATTTTCCCCTATATGTATATTTATTTAATAACTATATATTTTATGTATCAAAATACTATAGACGTGCAAGGGCCATCAATTTTTGGCCTGGTCCGGTCTAAAATATTTGTTGTAAATAAAGTCCATGTCCGACTCAAAAATAACGCTAAGTTTTTTAAAAAGTCTGGTTTGGCCCTAGGACATATTTTTAAAGACGGTTCAATCAGGCCGAAAAATGTCGTGTATAAAAAGATTAGGCCCACCCCAAGGATATAAATTTTAAGCTCAGTTCAAAATATTTGTTGTAAACAAAACTCGGTCCGGCTCGACGGCTTTTTTAAGCCCGATCCGATCAGGTCCAAAATGTTTTATGCGAAAAAAGCCCATGTCCGACCCTTAATAAGATTCCAGGACTTAAATAAGCCTGGTCCATCTCCAGGACATTTTTTTAAACCCGGTCCAATCATGTCCAAAAAATTGAACAAAAAAAAGTCCAGACCCGGTCCGGCCCGTGCAGATCTTTATAAAATACAAAAATCATTTAAGTTATAACTATAAATTAATTTCATACAGAATGCAAAATAATTATACATAATATAATGATTATTAATTATTATTGTAATATTATATCGTATTTTCAAATAATTTTACTTTTAATTTCATTCACTTATAATAGTAAAGGTGATTGAATATTTAAAACGTAGGTTTCTTTCTAGATATAGTTGACCTATTTTAAAGCGTTTCCTTAGTGTTCTTAGAAGTAAATTCATACATTTTAGCAATCATTTATAAAATGCAAATTAGGTTGGGTTGTAAAATAATTTTTTCTGAGTATTTTCAGAACCAAACAATTCAGTATCCTGGTGAACCTGTCTTGCTTTATCGTATTTTACTTTATTTTTATTGTCGATAGTAGAAATCATATCTCAGTGGATATTTGTTCTTACTTTCTATAGTGCACAACACATGCATTAACTATATACCTATTAAAGATTTTGAAGGAAATAGTGAACGCAATTATGTATAATAAAATCGTAGGTGGTAACTGGTAGGTACACATTTCTATTTTCCCCAATACACAAAGTGTGTCGTAGTGCAGACAAAAATAGCCAATGTTACAATTATCAGTTATTTACTTATATTATAATACTAGCTGAATTACCCGGCGTTGCCCGGAAACAAATTCGTGACAAATTAGATAACGCCATGTATTACCATTTACCGTCTTAAATTCATAATCTATACATATAAAATCCAAATACCACTGACTGACTGATCGCTGTATCTCAAAAACTACGTAACGTACGGACTTGAAATTTGGAATATAGGTTCTTCTCATCACCGTGCAATAAGGAGGGATTTTCAAAAATGTTGCGTTTTAGTGGAGTAATTAACAATTATAATTATTCACCGCCAATACGTATTGTGCGGCACGGCGGCCCGCGGGTCTCCAGCTACTTGCAACCTATCCTTTTTGTTCGTCGTCGTCGTCGTGTACATAAGAATAATGATTCCGAGAATACAATTGTTCCGAGAAGTTTATCGATAAAAATAAATTTATAGATATTAGGTTATTATGTATATTATCGATAACTAGCTGAATTACCCGGCGTTGCCCTGAAACAAATTCGTGACAAATTAGATAACGCCATGATAAACTTCTCGGAACAATTTTATTCTTGGAATCATTATTCTTATGTACACGACGACGACGACGAACAAAAAGGATAAGTTGCAAGTAGCTGGAGACCCGCGGGCCGCCGTGCCGCACAATACGTATTGACGGTGAATAATTATAATTTTTAATTACTCCACTAAAACGCAACATTTTTGAAAATCCCTCCTTATTGCACGGTGAAAATATGAGAAGAACCTGTGGTATTTCAGTCAGTGGTATTTGGATTTTATATGTATAGATGATATTAAATAGGTATCTAAATTTACGTATTATATTTAAAAACAACTGTGTAGGTAATATAAATATTAATTTATATTAAAGGTAAATATTAAATAAAAAAGTAGTGTTGTTTTTATCTTATCTTTATATATTTTATGGAATGTTTCATGGTTTATACATAAATACATATAAATATGGTTCACAATAGATGTGTTGAATTTTCTATTTAACACGTCTAGCCTGCTGAAACTACCTATTATTCTTATATGCATGGATCACGATTATTACAATAGACAGGTAAGAATACAAATTTGATTTTTTTTGAGTATAATTTGTATGTTTTAGATTTTGAGTGAAACGAAGGAATGCATTATTTTTAAGCAATGATAAACCATGTCTTATGAAAAAACGATTCCCAGCGGAGTTCAGTTGATAATGGTGTTTTGTCAAAAATGTATATCATTTTATAGTAAAACAATTAAATAGGCTTTATGTATTTTCTTTGATATTTGTTTAATGTTATACCGATGTTTCTAGTTTTACTACATTCCCCCCGTTTTTTTCGGTTTTTCAAATTTAGTGAGAAAACTCCCGAGAAAATCGAAAAATGACCACTTTAAAGTACCTCTTCACATCGATTTCCTTTCAGAAAAGATGCTTTACTTAAAAATCTGAGCAAGTTTTCTGGTAGAAAACTTGCGCACAAATAGAAAAAAAAACCATCTTAGTAAAACTATTAGCTTCTTCGCTCCACTCAGAATTTCAAATAGAATATATAATATTATAAATGTAAATTTAAATATTTATTAACTTCTTATAATTGTTCGTGCTATTATAAAATGATTGCATAGGTATTTTTATTTATTTGAATAATCAATATATTAGGTATATTATACATTTTTACTGTACTGTTCTAATAGATAATATATTATATATAATACAATGTATTGGAATATTTGTTGGTTATTAACTTGCGTAATATGCTTGACGTCTTGTGATGTTGTTGTTCCACCAACTACCTCCTTAAATTCTGATTGGTGGCAACATTCAGTAATTTACGAAATATACCCGTTGTCGTTTAAAGATTCAAATGGCGATGGGTTTGGTGATTTTAGAGGTATTTATTTTTAGTAAGGTTATTATTGATAAGGATTTTAAAAGTATATTGTAAATACACTTTTTAATGCATTATTTATTTTTATATGAAAGGTATAATCGAAAAATTGGATTACATCGCAAAGTTAGGAGTCACTGCAATTTGGCTAACGCCCTTTATGGAATCGCCTTTACGAACGGATGGATATGATATAAGTGATTATCTCAAAATAGAAAGTATTTTTGGTACAATGGACGACTTTAAGGATCTTTTAGACAAAGCACATGGAAAAAGTATATATATTATTTAATTTAAACATAGTTTATTAATGACAAATAATTGTAAAACAATTTAATTAAAGATTTAAAAGTTATTATGGATTTTATTCCTAATCACACAAGTGATAAACATATTTGGTTTGAAAGTTCTCGTGAGCAAAAAAGTAATAAATATATTGACTATTATATATGGAGAAATGCGAAAAATCACGATGACATAATGCAAAATAGTAGTATAATTCCTGAAGAACCAAATAACTGGGTAATATAAACAAAGTCACTTATACAAGTTAGTTAAATGATTTATAACATGTTAACATTTAGACGTATAGATGAGCAGAGTTATAATAAGGTATATTTTTTTTTCATCAAAAAATGATAATATCCAACATTTTGAATAAGATGGACAGATGCAGGGAATCCGACAATATCTTGGATATGGATTTTTAAATTTAAATTTCTATATGGGATGTTGATAATTAAATTTTATTTTTCATAGATATTTGTCTTTTTGATTTCCCTTGATTACACATGCTTGTAGAATATAGAAAGATAGATTAAAGAAAAAAATCACTGAAAAAAGAAAATTTTTCTATAGTAAATTGGTACAGCTGTCACGAGCTAACTACATTATATAAATATAATATAAAGCTGTTATTGTCTTTGACAATAACATTATTGACTTTGTTGTCATGCACAACGCTGAGTAGGAATAATTGGTACACATTCACTCTAAAACTCGAAAGTGCTAAAATTATTTACGATAGGGTATCACGGGGGGGAAGGAGGTATCCCCAAACCTATTCGACATTTCAAAATAAAATTATATATTACTTTCACATTAAATAAACAAAATTTAAATAATGAGATCCAATAAAATAACGAATCTTTCATTTCCTAATAAATTCTTAAAAAAATAAAAAATATTAACATAAATTTACATACTATTATAATATTAATTATTAATGTATTATATATAATATGATTTATGTAAATCAATACACAATAATATAATAGTCATTACTTATCTCATATCTGAATATTATATTTATTTCATTTAGCTCAAAATCTGGGGTGCTAATTTTAGATTTTAGATTTAGGGGTGCCAAGCACTGCTTGGCACCTCTGTATATGCACCAATGGTGAGAATATACCTAATATTTGAATATTATATAATGAACCTTATTACAATAAAATATTATTAAAATAATTCATACCATAGGTACTTATTAAACATATGCAATTAATCAATTAGGTATACATAATAATTAATATTTATACGCATACAATTTTATTTTCTCTTTCAGAGAATAATTTATGGAAATGGTGATGATAACTCAAGTTGGATTTGGGATGATATGCGAAATCAATTTTACTTTACACAATTTGATCAAAATTTACCAGATTTAAATCTTCGACATACAAGTGTTCTCAAAGAACTAAAAAGTGTTTTGGAATATTGGTTAAATTTAGGAATCGATGGAATTCGAATTGATGCTTTAAGATATTTATTTGAAGACATTGAAATGGATAATGAACCCCTCATTGATGTCTTAAAATCAGTATCTTATGATAATTTAAATCATATTTATACAGTCGATCAATACGAAGTGTATGATTTACTTACGGAATGGCGTAAAATACTAGATGATATAAAAAAAAAAGATAACAAAACAAGGTATTAACAATTATTACATATTATTTTAGTGTTTTGTGTAATTTGTAGCCGTAAGTACGTTGTAAAATTAAATATCTATGCGATAAAAATATCAGATACACAATTATTATAATACAGAGAGTTTAGAGGTAAAATAAAAACTAAATAAAAAAAGGTATATCTACCTATTCATCAAATGTATTAACTTTTAGATTTAGAGAGTAGCGAGGGATAAAAGATTAGATTTTTTTTGTAATCTAAGGTAGTTATTTTATGAATTAAATTTTTTAAATTGTTGTTTAAAACTAGCCATTAAGTTTTAAACAATTTAAAATTTTGTTAAAATACAAATTTATTCCTTGCTAATTTTACTAAGAATAAATGATAAGCATTTATCAGATTCACAGCTTAAAATATTTAAATTATAGTGTTAAAGTTTGTTAAAGATTTCGAAAAAAAAAAAAACTAAAAATATTTGGCAGAAAAAAAGTTATTACATTTGTTACATAGTCCCATTATATTGTGTATACCTACAGAAATAACTAAGATTTAAAATATTTTAGAAAAAAACAGCCTATCACGCCCTTGGGTAATAAATCTCGATCCCCAGAACGTGTATTTGACATCATAATTCCTCCTGCAATGAATTTAGACCCAGAGTCTGAAAGAATTCAGACTTTTTTTTTAATTTGTATGTAATTAATAATATTATTAAAATTAGTTCCTTTTTTTAGGATAATTATGACAGATTCACACAGTAATAATAGTGTTTTATTTGAATATTATAATTGTGGCATTGAAATACCAACAAACTTTAATTTAATGGACTTAGTAAAAATACCTGGGTATACTGTAGATGAGTGGGATTTAGAAATTCGGAAGTTTATAACTGAAATGCCAAAAGGAGGTACATTTAATGTAATAGTAAGTACATTATGATATTTAAATAATATATGTATACTAATATATTAAGATATGTAAAATACTTTTTTTTATAAGCAATGTCATCATTATAAATATTTGTCAGTAGATGTCTATAGATATAACATTAAAAATGTATTATTCTAACATTATTTAGTAATGCAGTAGGCATGTATGTACATTGTACATACCCATACATTCAGGTGGGGATAAATTCCCTTCTATGATCATTTTTCTTTTTTTTTTGATCAAAAATTTAATAATTGTATCATCTTTAGCTATTAGATTTTAAGAAATGATAAAGGTTCAATTCATATTCTTTTATTATGTTAATAGAGAACAAAAGTGCTCCCATCGCTTATAATTCTTGTATCTCCCCCTTCAAAAAATACTAAGAATGCTGAAGACATTATAGAAGTTTGTGTAAGCACTGTAATTTTGTAGGTATATTTATTTTCTAAAATATTTTGAATTATTTCTGATCAATGTAGAACACTTTTATGTTAACCCATAGCAATAGGTTGGTATACAATGCCAATTCTCCATTCCGATGGATTGCTTACTTTTCTTTATGTTCCTTAATGGTTTTGACTCCTGCATCTCTTTTAATTTGCTTTATATAAGGGTTCTGGAAACAGTCTGCAGTAGGAAAACAGTAGGAAAATAGGTACAATAATGTTAAACAAATATTATTATAGAAAATATATAATGTCAATGTAATTATTTTACCATAATATGGCATATATATTATTGACAAAGCAACTACACTCAACTGAATTCCATTCAGAATTATTTTTCATTAGCAATGGTTTATTGTTGCATTCAGACATACATTAAATTCTCTCTCTATTACCTTTCCAACTTCCTACCTACAAAAGTGGCTGCACTGGCTGAGCGAAGTTGCCAAGTTTTTTGACCATTTATATTATACTGGATGATCCATTTAAGTGGCTAATGAGTACACTCATTATCTCGGAAAGTATTAACTTTTTTCTTAATTTGTTTTCTACAACATTTAAGAAACAAGCAGCAATACAATTTTATATTTATATTATTTTCTGTTACCCTTATTTTTGGGGTAAACCACTACCTACTTTTGATTTTTAAATGGCAATCTATATTAAAAATTCTATAAATAGATTGAGTATTTGTTAAAATAAATGTGAGTATTGACATTTTTGATTTGTGTCGAGCTGTTGACAAGATATTCGATTTTAAAGTTTGGGTTGGAGAAGCGTAGTGGTGCATTTTTAACATGCCGTGTGCTGGACTGCCACACAAATGACACCACTACTCTCCTCAAGCCTAAATTTAAAAGTGGAATATCTCGTTAACGAATCAATGGAAATCAAAAATGTCAACACTAAAATTGATTTTAAGTAATACACCATCTATTTATAGACTTTTCAATATATGTTGTCATTTGAAAATCAAAATTAGATAGTGGTTTTGCCCCCCTCCCTCCCCCCAAAAAAATTTAAACATGAAATTGTAGAACAGCTTGTTTCTTAAATGTTCTAGAAAACAAATTCCGGAAAAGTTAATACTTTCTAAAATAATGAGTATACTCACTTAAATGGATCACCTGAAAATTAATATAACATCTTCCTTTTTTTTCAGATCTGGCACAGACTAAATCTTCGTTTTTGCACTATTTATTTTCATTTCTGATGTTCTGAGCATTTCATTAATTTCATCAACTTCATTCTCTGCTATCACTACAATATCTTCTGCAAATTATATCATGAATCAATTTCTTAGAAAATTTTGATTACAAAATTTAGTCTTGTTAGCTTTGCTTATACTATATTTATAACTTTTTCGATGTAGCAGTTAAAAAATGGAATTGATAGCATGCACCTTTGTCAGACCCTTTTTTTTTTGTTTTTAGCGGTTTTTCTTATTCATTAGTGCTTTTTTAAAAATTTTTATACTAGGATATATAAATTGTACTAATTTTTTAATTGTTAATAATTTAGCTTCAAACCCATGATCAACCAAGAATTTCTTCTGATTTTATTGATGGAATGAACGCTTTATCACTATTTCTGCCCGGTGTAGCAATAGTTTATTATGGAGGAGAAATTGGTATGCAAAACACACAATATGAAGGCGTTCATTTTGCAAAGTCTCCTATGCAATGGGATGACACACAAAATGCCGGTAGAGTTATATACAAATACAAAAATACTAATTGTAAATGTAGAATAAAATAAATAAATTTTAATATTTTACATAAAAACTTGTATAAATTGTAGCGCCCAGGTAAAAAAACACTAATTTTCAGGAAATAAAATAAACTTCTAATTTCTTTCTTCTTCTTTGTAATCGACCATTAAGATCATAATGTTAAACATTATTCCTGCCACTTCCTTCTGTCAATCGTCAAAAAATGCCAATCAGAATCTGGCATTTCTGGCAAATACATTCTTCTTCACTTGGTTCTCCACTCCCCACCTTAGTCGTGGTCGTCCCAAAGGTTTCTTTCCTTTCAGTGCACCACACTGATCCAGCCGAACTAGCATTTTTTTATTTCTTCATGCATGTCCTGTATATCCCATTTCTTTAACATTTTTTTTTTTTTTTTTTTAAATTATTATTCTTAACTTCAACTCATAATTTGATACTTTTTAAGAATAATAATTATTAAAAAAATGAAAAATGTATTTTATTTCTTGAAAACTAGTGATTTTTAACTTATTCTCTTTTACCTGCAAACCGTACAATTATAATTATTATTCTTAAACAAATACCGTAAATATATTTTTAGGTTTTAGTACACATTCCACATGGATTCCGGTACATTCTAATTATGAAACAATAAATGTGAAAAAGGAAAGCATTGACCCAAAAAGTTATTTGAGCTTTTTCAAATCAATTACAGCATTACGTCAAACAGAAACTTTTAAACGAGGAGGGTTGGCTACTTATAATTTTAACAATACAGTATACGTTCTGATTAGGTAAATACATGATCTCTATATCTAGTAGTTATTATGATATAGTAAATTCCTATTTTTATTATTTTAAAACACATAAATAAAATATTAAAATATTAAGTATTTATATAATTTCATTTCAGTTACTGAAATTCACAAGTGTGCTTTTAAATTGTTTGGAGTATTAACCCATAATAATTAATTATTAATATTATATTATGTACTAGCTTATAGGCATCAAAACTAAAGTACTTAGTTCCCTGTATTATAGAATGTGTTTGGGTAATTTATAATGTTTATATGTTTATAATGTTTATGTTGTATATACTTTTTACTGATGAGTAAACTATGTTCATTGGTAATTCACGAGCTGAGTAGTCCGCTTTATAAATATTTAATAAAGTTGTTTACACATATATATTACAGGTTTTTACCAGGGAATTATAGTAATTATACACTAATAATAAACATGGATTCAGAATTACAACAAATATGTTTATCAGATCAAATACCAGATTTGGATAATAACTTGACAGTCTATTCGGGATCAGGAAACTCGAATTTTAATGCGGGGTTAGTTATTTATATTTTGTATCTAATCTAAACTATTTGCAATCCTAGTTTATTTAATTAGCAAATAAATTGAAACAATTTTTTTAGGAATATTATATCAGCTAATCAGTTAATAATATTAAGTCCCGGTGCAACAGTTATACTTACTGAGAATACAGCTACAACACATTCACCTTCAACATCTAGAATTCAGACAAGGTTGTCCCCAACATCTTCTTGGACTTTAACATCTCCATCTCAAGATTCTACTATTCCTTCATCCGCTATCCAGTTATGCATTTCATTTTTAGTTTTACTACTTTGCTTGGTGATTTCTAAAATTTGCAATGTATAACCATCATCAATTTACTTATTATATTAATATATACATTTATGTACTTATTATATTAATTTACTTAGATATAATTAATCTATCCTGTTGGGTAATATTATTAATTATGTATATAGTTTAAGAAGTTCTTAATAAACAATAGATACCTATTACTTATAATTTGCTCACATATATTTGTAGTAAAATTCAATATAATTAATTAGGTAGGTACATGATTTTTTTGATAACTTTGAAATGTTATTGAAAATTGTTGGTTGGTGGGTAAGTACTAAAATAACTGTGCTATTTAATAAAAATATGCATTTGAAATGTTGAAACAATACAAATTTACTTACATACTCAGTGAAATATTTTTAATATTGACTGATAATATAAATGTAAAATACATAGTTTATTATTTGGCTTTTAAGGATTATTATTTTATAGTATAGGTATAATGATTTAAATATATACATTTTTTTTAAATACCTATTTATTTAAGAATATTGTTACTTGTAGTAGTAGGTATTAGTATAGGCATTACACAATAAAAGCCAATACTGTATACAGAGTCACAGTTAAACTAACTATATAGTTGTGTAAACTTCCAATTAAACTACTTAACAAGCGGTTTAAACTACTAATTAATCAGTAAAACAATACTCATTTCTCTGATTATCTAGATTAACCTTAATTCAAAATTATTTATAATGAATATGAATTTGAATTTTTTTTCTTTGTTATAATTAAATTTATTAACTTCTAAATATTATTTAAAATCGTTTGTTATTGCCTTTTATTATTATAGTTATTTTCAGTACTTAATGTACAATGAAACCTATTTATCCAAAGGAAAATTGTTGTAAATTTTAATTTGCATTAAACATAATTTACAAAATACTCATATGCGTTCTATCCAACTGTTCACATTACCTGTACTTAAAATTATTTAACTAAAAATATACCTACTTTTAAATCTACATAGAAGTTCGTCGTTGTACGAAATTTAGAAGTCGTAATTTGAATAATTATAATAATAATAATAATATAAATAAATTAAATATAATAAGCTTTATTAATAATTGAGTAAGTTCATATTATGCTTAACCACGTCCTTACTCCTTGGAGAAAACAAATAATAGCTCACTGCTAGTACCTACCCAGTTGTTTTTAGTAACTTTTAACAAAAGAGAACACGTGTCTATATTTTTTCATAAAACTGGTCGTTTTATTATTTTTTGTCATGAACCATGACAGATGGAACTTTGGACTGTTAAAATAATACACATTTTTTATGAGCATAGTTTATATGTGTAGGATCGCAAAGTTTAATAATTATTATATATTTTCATGACGTCGAAATTCATAATTATTATTAAATATTAATTAAACAAAACATTATAAATATTAAGAAAAAATCGTTATCACTTATAACAGTAATCACTTTTTTTGAATCTACAATCATGGCGGCCATAGAGCTTATAAGTATATATGATATAAGCAGTGACCACGTTATTTATCTATAACCGTAGTGGTAACATTGATATAAATTATTTCAACCACGGTATTGATGTATACCATTTTTCAGTTAACATATGTGTTTTGGTTGCGGCGACGCCATCTTAATGAAAATATTCTTTAACCGTAATCATTCACATGAATCATCTGCGTACTTATTTTTCTTTAGTTTTTCAGTAAGGAACCAATACATGTAGTAAGTGAATATTTTTTTACCTATTTATGTTTGTTGAATTGCCGTTGTTTTGAATGTAATTCAATTTGTAATTGCTCGCTTTAACCATTCTGCCACATTTCTGTGCATTGCTTTGACCGGGTCCGTCTATTGTTTGTTTTTCACGTTTTGTCTGCTGTAGTTGTTGTGGGACGCGGGAAGCTGATAAAAAGATGTATTTTTCTATGAACTTCATTTGAGAATTCAAATGTGCATTTCTAAAACCTTGGCAATTTATAATTTTGTAATCTTTCAGTTAATTGTTATACTAATTAAAACAAGTAACTTTGTTTTATAATTTATACTGGTGTATTTTATGTGTTGTCTTTGTAATTAAATTTAAATGATTAATATTGTTTTAATCATATCTAGCTAATTGTAAATTAGACTATTTTGAAAAAGTAGGTATATATTTTGTTTTGATTCCTCTAGAATTTTGTACATCTTTAATAATTATCTATAGTGGTTATCATATATACGGTACACATGTGACATACCTATTATTCAAAATATTTGAAATTCCTACCTATTAGTGTATTATGCAACATCTTCATATAGGTCTTAATATTATTTGTGTACTTAGGTGTATCTGTTTAATAATTAATTTAATGTTCAACTAATTTTATTTTGCATTACATTTATATTTCTTTGTTACCGTTGTGTAAGATATTAAGGATAGCTTCTTAATTTATTGTTGATTTTTCAACCATTTTCATATTAATTTTTAACTTGTTGATTGTCTTACAGAATTTATTTATCAATTTCTACTTTGATAATTTACTATACATATTTGTAGTTATTACACTTCTCTACATTTAGATGCCAAAACTACTGATAAGTAATTTTATATATTATACATATACCTATATACCTATTTAAATAAAACAATACATATATTAAACTATTTTGCCATTGTTTACTGTTTTAAAGTACCTATTATTATTTTCAATTTTGCAATTTTAACAAATGCTAGATTATGTTTAAAATACTAATTAAATGTTGGGTAGAATTTTATTTTGTTCGTAAAATTATTATTTGAACTTCATTTTAACATTATATATTTTATATTAATTTTTATTTTTTTAGTTAAATGTCCCATTCATAGATTTTTGATTTTTGCAATATTTTAATAGCTTGATTAGTATTAAGAATAATGTCAGTAACAAATTAAAATGAAAATGAGTACCTAAATGGTTCTTCAAAGCCTGAGAGTTGTGTGTACCATTATTGGTACTCGAAGCATGTAAAATAAAAACGTTAAAAATGTTATACCTAGGGTAAAAATATATCTAGGAAATAAAACTGCACTGAAAATTACTACATGAAAAAAAATAACAAAGTTAAAAACTACAATGCCAAAGCATTTTACTTAAAAATCACAAATATTAGTTTTAACTTTTAAGTCAATTAAAGTCAATAATAATTAATCATAAATATCGTAGATTACATGCTATACCTAGTTGATAAAAAATTTGATATATCTCTTTGTCCTCTTAATTAATGTTTTGAGTTTATTCTGTAATTTTGCAAAGATTTTTATTAAATTTTTTTTAAAGATCGTGCATTTGTGTCCTTTTGGATTTCTGTAAATATTTATAAATAAATACTATTACTATTCAAAAATAGTATATTTAGCCTCCTCTCTAAAAAAATCCAGGGTTGGTCTGGAATATCTAGTTATACAACAAAAGTTTAATTGTAGCAGCTTGCAATTAGCCACTAATATTTGTAATTTTCAAATAAAATACATTTGTCATTTTTTGCCGATTACCAGTAAAAACCGTATGAGTACCAGAAACGGTACGTACGGCAGTCAACTTGTTAAATACTTGTTAAATCCACAGTTATACCAAACCATTTTTATTTTAGATAAGTCTTGAATATTTAGAAAGAAAAATATGTTTTAAATTGTATAAAATAAGACTTAATTAATCGGAGTACTAGATTAGGTATTTAATAATTATTGATGCTGAGTGCAGCAGTTCCCAAATAGTTGTGTCACAATATTCTATAGGTATATACTAGTACATATAATTTTAACTCTACGCCTCCTATGGGAAGTACATTGGAAGTCTGAGAGTTGCTGCTCTAATGTAAAACTAGTTATGTACTATTAATTTATTTTAGAAATGAAATACTTGAATACAAGTGATATATTATCTAACCTACTGAATTAATATAATTTTGTAAATTAAAATGCCTTTTTATGTATTTGTTTCAGGTTTATAACACAACATTTGTTTTGTTTGTGTGTATGAATGTCTTCTGAGTGAATGGAACAGTGACTAGGTCTTCAACCCAAGGTTACTGTTGCGTATACTTGTCGTCTGTCTGTTTTTGAGTAAGTTTATTTATTTAAATAATTTATTTTTGGTTGTACATGCTAATTTAGCTAAATTTTGTATTTTAATAGTTAAGTAATATTTTTTGTGGCATTTAATTATTTTTTTAAAATCATATTTGAATTATCTAAATTTAATTCTAAATCTTTACAATGCTTTTGGCTTGTAGACATTTCCCTTCCAGAATAATTTTTCTGCTGGAATAATTATAATGAGTATTCTTTTTTTGCTACAATTAGCCTTAGTCCAGAACTTAGTATGTTTAGAGATTTTAAATTTAACCTTCTCAGATATATATTATATTTTAACATATACCACACACTATTAAAATAATTTATAAAAATAAGTTTATTTTAAGTTATTTTAAATTATGAAATAAGTATTTAAGTATATTATTTTCTTTAGATATTTTTATTTTAATAAAATGTATGGAATAATTAACCAATTATTTATAATTAAATACAAATATTTTTATTAAAAGATTTAAATTTTTTAGCTGAATATTTAAAGAGAAAAAAAATGGCTACGATGACAGAACAAGTGTCAAAGATTTTGGATTTTTCCCAAAAACTTGATATAACACTTTTAGAAAATATTGTTGGATGTATGTATACAGGCACTGGTGATCAAGTAAGTTATTTTTTGTTGTAAATTATAAGTTGTTAATTTTTTTTTTTTTTTTTTTGGTTGCTTATGTATTTTAATAATTAAAATAAAATAGTTGATTTTAAATTATATTATAAGGTGGTTTGATTTTAATTATTAATATAATCTAATTTCAATTTATTAGCAACGAGCTGCCCAAGAAGTATTGACTACTTTAAAAGAGCATCCTGATGCATGGACAAGAGTAGATACTATACTTGAATTTTCAAACAATCAACAAACAAAATATTTTGCTTTACAAATATTGGAACAACTTATTAAGACCAGGTGGAAAGTATTGCCAAGAAATCAATGTGAAGGCATTAAAAAATATATTGTTGCACTAATTATTAAAACATCTTCAGACCCTGTGACAATGGACCGAGAAAAGACTTATTTAAATAAATTAAATATTATTCTTGTGCAGGTTTGTTTAATTTAAAACTATAACATTATGCTCAATGAAATTTATAATTAAATATTTATTTATTGCTACAATTTGATATTTTAGGTTTTGAAACGCGAGTGGCCAAGAAACTGGGAATCATTTGTTGGTGAAATTGTTGGTGCTAGCAGAACCAACGAAAGTCTTTGTCAAAATAACATGGTTATATTAAAACTGTTAAGTGAAGAAGTATTTGATTTTTCTGCTGGCAATATGACCCAAATGAAAGCTAAACATTTAAAAGACACCATGTGTTCTGAATTTGCACAGATTTTTGAACTGTGTCAATTTGTTCTAGTGAGTTTCATTGTATTTTTTAAGATTGAATTAAATTATAGTAATTGAAGTTTTAGGGATATTAATATAAATACATTTTCAGGGATCTTCTCAAAATGTTGCTTTAGTAAATGCAACATTAGATACCCTTCTAAGATTTTTAAATTGGATACCACTTGGTTATATATTTGAAACTGATTTAATTGACACATTGATTTTTAAAGTAAGTTACTAAAATTAAAAAAAGTAATAAAATTAAATATTTTTTAATCTAAAATATTTTTTAATTTGTAAGTTCTTCAATGTTCCCATGTTTCGAAATGTCACATTGCAATGTTTAACTGAGATTGCTGCTGTAACAGTAACAAATTATGATGCTTCATTTGAGGGACTTTTTTCAAAAACAATGGCTCAACTTATTCAAGTATACAAATATTTTTAACTTGTGTCATATATTTTTTTATCAATTATTATTTATAGATGTTACCTATACATACAAACATAAGAGAAGCTTATGCTTCAGGGCAAGACCAAGAGCAAAATTTTATACAGAATTTGGCATTATTTTTGTGTACATTTCTCAAAGAACATGCTCTTTTAGTTGAAAAAAATGGATCTAATGATGATTTATTAAGTGTAATTTGTTACATAATTAATTAATGTTTTGATTAAATCATTTTTAAATATATGATTGTATATTTTAGGCACTTCATTATTTAGTTATGATATCAGAAGTTGATGAAATTGAAATATTCAAGATTTGTTTGGAGTATTGGAATAGTTTAGCAGCGAGTTTGTACAGGGAAAATCCGTTTGGTCAATTGCAAATAGTTGGCCTTTTTTCACTTTCTCCAAATAATATGCCAGATGGTAATGCTATTTCACCTAGGCGCCAATTCTATGCACCTGTTTTATCTCAAGTTTGTTCTATTTATTTATACAATTATAATTTTAATTAAATGTTAATATAAATACATATATTTGTATTGAAAATAGACTGTAGACATAATTGTTTACTTTGTGAATTTTTAATATATATTTTTGTTTGGATTTTTTATAGATGCGATTCATAATGATAAGTCGCATGGCTAAGCCAGAAGAAGTATTAGTAGTAGAAAATGAAAATGGAGAAGTTGTTAGAGAGTTTATGAAAGATACAGATGCTATTAGTTTGTATAAAAGTATGAGAGAAACCCTGGTTTATTTAACTCATTTAGACTGTATGGATACTGAGAGGATTATGACTGAAAAGTTGCACAATCAAGTCAATGGAAATGAGTGGTCATGGAAAAATCTAAATACCGTAAATATAAATATTTTCACTACTTTTTTGCTAACTTATATTTATTGTAAAATTTTATTTAGCTTTGCTGGGCTATTGGTAGTATTTCGGGTGCAATGCATGAAGAAGATGAAAAACGATTTTTGGTTACAGCTATTAAAGATTTATTAGGGCTATGTGAACAGAAAAAAGGCAAAGATAATAAAGCAATTATTGCTTCAAATATTATGTATGTCGTTGGGCAGTATCCGAGATTTTTACGTGCTCATTGGAAATTTTTGAAAACGGTCGTCAACAAATTATTTGAGTTCATGCATGGTAAAAGATTTATTTATTTTTTATAAATACTTTATTCATTAGATATAATTAATATGAAATTAAGGGAATTGTATTAAATTTATTTTAACAGAATTTGTATATCCATAAAAGTTATTGAGGTATTAGTGCAGATAATTTAATTTAAATGTTCTACATTATCTTTGGTAATGAACTAATTATGAACTTTCATAGTTTTTATTGCATTATTAAAATTTAATTAATTTTAGTCTCGCATTAAATAGTATTATAGAACTACATAAGAAAAGAAATGTCACCACCAGTGATGAAAATGTCATGCTAATTTTGATATAAGTGTGAAATTAAATTTGATTTCTGAGATTATCATACACCATTCTGTTAAATAATATTCACTATTTATTTTTAATCATGCATTTACATATTTATATTTAGATAATATTTGAATTATATTTAGGTAGTAATAATAAGTCATTTTTATTATTATTTATAGTGCTTTATATAATTTAAAATTAAATTATTCAGATATCAGTGATGATAAAATGCCATGCTAATTTTGATTTTAACATTTGAAATTAAATTTGTTTTCTGAGATTTGTCATATTATGTAGTATATTATAGTAATTTACTTAAAACTTATTTTATTATGTTTATATTATATGATTTTGACAGTGTTTGAAGTTATTCAATAATTAGTTGCATTGTCAACGTGGTTAGATTTTTAAATTTTAATATACTGTATTTATAAAATAATTTTTATATAGACATAATGACATAGTAAAACACCACCCCTACAGCAACAAAATAATAATAAATGTTATTCCAATGTATGCTTGTATTATTTCTGTTTTTAAATTATATAAGTGAAGTCTTTCAGATAAAATAAATAAAATTGAAAAAAAAAATCCAATTCAAATAATGATTATTAAATTCATGCATCCAAGTATTTCACTGGAGAATATTTTATTTAGAGTTAGTTATTGAGAAGTAATACTGTGTTCCATATCAATAACTATAAATTAGTCATTCAATTGCAAATGATTCTAAATTTTATTTAAGATATTTAAATGAAGATATATTTTTAAGGAACCAATGACGCATACCTTTGTTATAAATTGTATGTTTTATAAAGTAATGCATTTAAAAATTAAACATTTCATGTTTTAAATTGGGAAAGATTGTTGAAAGTGAATTTATAATAGAATTTTGATTAGTCTTACTGTGATTAATTTACTCTTACTGCTTTTCTGTGAAGTAAGACTTAAATTAATATTGACAACTGAATTGCAAATGATTATGAATTATATCTTGAAATAAATGAGGTTACAAATCTAAGGAACCAATGATGCATTTCTATTTATTTTAAAATTTTATATTTTCTAACAGAATAGGTATTAAAAAATTAAACAACATATTCAATGATGAAAAATTGCTTATCGTGATTACACAAAATGATTTTGATTAGTCTTTCTGAGAATATTAACTAAACTCATTGTGTGTGTTTGCTGTTGTTGAATGTTCTATTCAAATTACTATAAACTTTCAACTTGCAAATGATTATAAATTATATCCTGAGATAGATAAGTGAAGATACAAATCTAAGGAACCTATGATGCTTTTTTTTGTGTTTTATGTAATTTTTTTATTTATTTTTTTTTTTTTAGGCTTTTACGAGCCATTTAGGCTCTTTGCCGCCAAAACTACTTCCTTCCATCGCTCTCTATCATATGCCTGCTCCCAGTCCACTCCAATTTCTTCTAATAATTTCTTGACGCTGTCCTTCCATCTTTTCCGCGGTCTTCCCCTTGGTCTCTTTCCCCTTGTCATATATGTCAATGCTTCTTTCAACATACTTCCATCAGCCCGCCATATATGGCCTGCCCATTCTATTCTTGTCCCTCTAGTGAATTGGACCACATCTTCTCTTTTGTACAGCTGGTATAGTTGGGCGTTTGTTCTTATTTCCCATTTCTGTTCTGTATTGTTGAATACGGGTCCATAAATTTTTCTAAGAACTTTTCTTTCNATGTTGTTTTGGTTATTTAGGGTAGACCCAAGGTACTTGAACTCTTGTACTTCTTCAAAGGTGTTATTTCCCACGTGGAGGTTATTATGGTCACCCCTCCTCGCTTTACCATCATGTATTTAGTTTTTCCACTGTTTATGGTTAAGCCAATATCTTTTCCTATCTTTATCAGTTCTTCAACAGTATTCTGAATACCTTCTCGTGAATTCCCAATAACCACTATGTCGTCTGCATATGCTAGTAAGATATTTCCTTTGTCAAGGTTTAATGTCTCAGTTCGTGGTACCTTTCTTATTACACTCTCCAGTGCCATATTGAAAAGCACTGGTGACATCGCATCCCCTTGCTTTAATCCACTATTTATTATAAACGAAGATGATATCTCGTTGTTCACCTTGACTCGGCTACTGGTATTCGTGTTACACAGTTTTATCATGTTGATTAATTTAGTTGGTAAACCAAAGTCTTTAAGAACTTTCCATAGTTTTCCTCTAATTATGCTATCATATGCTTGTTTGTAATCTACAAAAACCATATGTAGATCTTTCGCGAACTCATAACTTTTTTCCATAATTTGTCTTATGACAAATATGTGATCAGTAGTTGATTTATTTTTTCTAAATCCGCTTTGGTAGTTACCTACTATCTTATCTGTATAAATTTGCAATCTTTTAAGTATGATTAATGATAATACCTTATACCCAGTGTTCAAGAGTGTTATTCCTCTATAATTCTCTACTTTTTTTCGGTTACCTTTTTTGAAAATTGGACATATTAATGATTCATTCCAGTCTTGTGGTATCTTTTCCTTTATCCATATCTGTTGAATTAGATGATGTAATTCTTGTGTTAGGTTTTTCCCTCCTAACTTCAATAATTCAGCTACAATTTTATCATCTCCTGGTGACTTATTATTTTTTAGAGTCTGGATTGCATACTGTGTCTCTTCTAAACTTGGGTTTAATACTTCTGGTTCTGCTGTATAATGTATGGTGTCGTCTTGTTCGCCTACTTCTTTCGTTGTTGAGCCTCTGTTAAGGAGTTTCTTAAAGTACATTCTAAATTCCTCGGCCATGTTTTCCGATCTAGTAATTAGAGCACCATTATTATCTTCGATCATCTGTATAGCTGGTATAAATCCATTTTTAAATGTTTTGCAACGTTTGAAGAATTCTCTGGGGTTGTGTTTGAAGTTTTCAATCTCCCCTAATCATTCTTTTTCCGCTATTCTCTTTTCTTTTCTTATCAGTGTAGTTACTTCTCTTCGTTTGTTCTCGAAGTCCCTTATGTTCTCGGGGGTTGGTGTATGGATTGCTTTGATTCTGGCTTCGTTGCGTTCCTTGATTCCTTTCTTGCAATTATCATTAAATCATTTCTTTGTTTTCTTTCTTTGTGTGTGTTGAATGACTTTTTCTGCGGATTCCGTTATTGAGGCTTTTATTACTTTCCACGACTCCTCAACCTGTTCATTATCACTGCCCTCTCTTTTTCCCAAGAAATTTGTCACTGTTTCTTGAAATGTCCGTAATGTTTCTTCATTTTTTAATTTATCCACATCGTATTTTCCGAGGATTTTTTGTTTCTTTTTCCATTCCATGGACATCTTTACTCTGAAGTCAATCAGGATCAAGTAATGGTCTGTGTCTGCGTCTGCTCCTCTGTAGCTTTTGACGTTTCTTATAATCGTCTTAAATTTATTTTCTATAAGGACATGATCAATTTGGCTACTATATCTTCCTCCTGGAGATAACCACGTTTCTTTATGAATATTTTTCCTTGGGAATCTTGTACTGCTTATTACCATATTTTTACTTATTGCAAAATTAATTAATCTTATTCCGTTATCATTACTTCGGTCGTGTAGACTATGTTTTCCAATAGTCGCTTTGTATGCATTTTCTTTTCCCACTTGGGCGTTCATATCTCCCAATAATAATTTAATGCAATGANTAAAAGGCGTCTTTTGTTTCTTCATTTCCTGATTCGGTTGGTGCGTATGCGCAAATCATTACCATGTCCCGGTGGTTCATATTGATCCGAATGTAACATATTCGGTCATTTATAGCCTTAAATTGTTTAATCCATGGTATTAGACTATTGTGCACGAGGAAACCCACCCCATTTTTATGCTTATTAGACGTTATACCGCCATAGAATAATGTCATGTTACCTGTTGGTAGACATCCTTCACCTTGCCATCTCGTTTCTTGTAACGCTACTATATTTACCTTATATCTATTGCATCAACTAGTGTACCAAGGGCTCCTGCTTTATATAACGTTCTTATGTTCCATGTGCCAATCCTAAATCCTTGTAGTCCGGGCCGTTTCCATTGTGTTTTATCCAAATCTCTGTCCCGAGGCTTTAGTTTTGGTTTCTTAACAGTAGAGTTTTTTTACAGTGACGGGTTGTTAGCCCGTCGCCAAACCCCCAACCTGGAGGACCAGACTGAGCCAACCAGTTAAGGTCAGCTCAGAGCTCGGGGCCCCGGGTTCGCCAAACCCGTAGTGCTAATTACTTAGCACCCCCCTGAGGGGTTTTATATAATTAATTATTTAAAAATTAACGTATCCTATGATGAAAAATTGCTTATTGTTATTACACAAAATGATTTTGATTAGTCTTTCTGAGAATATTAACTAAACTCATTGTGTGTGTTTGCTGTTGTTGAATGTTCTATTCAAATTACTATAAACTTTCAACTTGCAAATGATTATAAATTATATCCTGAGATAGATAAGTGAAGATACAAATCTAAGGAACCTATGATGCTTTTTTTTGTGTTTTATATAATTAATTATTTAAAAATTAACGTATCCTATGATGAAAAATTGCTTATTGTGATTACACAAAATGATTTTGATTAGTCTTTCTGAGGATATTCAATTTCAATTAAACTCTTTATAAAGTAAGACTATTCTTTCCAAATAACTGTAAAATTCCTAAATGCACATAATTAAGAATTATATCTTGACATTGAAAAGTGAAGATAGAAATTTAAGGAACCTATAATGCATTTAATATTTTATTAATAAACTAAATGATTAATTACTGGACTATTAAAAAAATAAAAAAAATGTTTATTTAAAGAAAAAGAAAGATTATTGTGATAATAAAATAAATATTAATTATTTTTATGAGTTTGTACTATATAAGGTTTTATTTTATTTGTTGAATGAATTTGCTACTTGCATACTCGCTAATAACAAAGTTTGTTTGAGATAAATTATTTAAGATAATTTTGTTTTTTTTAGAAACTCATGATGGTGTTCAAGATATGGCTTGCGATACATTTATCAAAATTGCAATGAAATGCAGAAGGTACTTTGTTCAAATTCAACTTGGAGAAGCTATGCCATTTATTGATGAAATTCTTAATTCAATGGCAACAATCATTAGTGATCTACAACCACAACAAGTAATATACCACATTAACTATCAAATTGATATTAGTAATTTAACAAATGTTTTAATTTGTATTAAAGGTGCATACGTTTTATGAAGCTGTGGGTGTTATGATCAGCGCTCAAGTGAATACAAAAATCCAAGAACAACTTATTGATAAATATATGTTGTTGCCAAATTTAATCTGGGATGATTGTATCAGTCAAGCTTCCAAAGTATTAAATTAATTTTTAGCTATACATTTATTTTTACATTTTTTACTAAATAGTTTTTTTTTTTTCTAGGATGTTGAGATACTTAAAGAACCTGAGTTTGTTAAACAATTGGGTAATATTTTGAAAACAAATGCTAGAGCATGCAAATCTCTTGGACATCAGTATGTTGTCCAAGTAAGTATATTTATGGTATTTAAATATTCTTATTTTTAATAATCTAACATTATTTTTAAATTCATGTATAGTTAGGAAGAATATACTTGGATATGTTGAATATTTATAATGTAATGAGTGCCAATATTACTGATGCTATAGCTACTAATGGAGATAGTGTTACAAAACAACCTTTGATTAAAAATATGAGAGTTATTAAAAAAGAAACATTACGCCTGATATCAGATTGGATTTCTAGATCTAATGATAATGGAATGGTATGTTAGTTGTTAATTATATTTTATAAATCCTTCCATAATTGTTTCATATTATATTTTTAGGTATTAGAAAATTTTATCCCTCCCTTATTGGAAACAGTACTAGTTGATTACAGTAAAACTATGCATCCATCTGCTAGAGAACCTGAAGTACTTAGTGCTATGGCAACAATTATTGACAAACTTCAATCTGACATCACTCCTGCAGTATCTAAAATATTAGATGCTGTGTTTGAAGCTACACTTACAATGATAAATAAAGATTTTGAGCAGTTTCCTGAACATAGAACAAATTTCTATCTTCTTTTACAAGTAAGTCATTTTAGTAAAGGTTATTTTATTTTTTTATTGCCATTAATTTTTTTTTCAGGCAATAAATAACCATTGTTTTATATCATTACTTTCCATACCAGCACCTCAGTTTAAATTGGTTTTGGATGCAATATTTTGGGCTTTTAAACACACAATGCGTAATGTTGCTGACACTGGATTATCGGTATGTGAATAAATTAAAAATATTAAATATAGTATGTACCCATTTAATGTATAATGATACATTATATAAAATAAAAGCATAAACTTTTTTAGTTCAATGTTCATAGTATTATTAAAAGAAATATTAATTGCAATGCATTAAAATGCTATTTTTATTTGAGTTTAGTTCTGACAAATTTGAAAATAAACTTATAATTCCCAACAATTGCAATTTTATGAAAATATAAATACAGTGGATTCTTCTTATATCAAAAATGTCGATATTTCAAATTTTTCGTTACCAGGAATTACATTAAAATCCTATTGAATCTACCATTACAATTAATAACATTTTGTTCTTGATAACTCGTTTATAAATTAATAGTTTTTCATCGTCTCTAGTACACAAATAAAATATTTATTACGGTAAGAACAGAAAATTGTGCAGTACATTCAGTATATTGATCTTGATTGCATGTGTTTGTAGTCATTTGTACAGTATAGTGAAATGGAAAATAAGCTTAAATTAATTGTCCTTTCAATTTTGAACAAAGTTTTATTAGTTTGTTCAAAAAGGTGACCATAAAAAAATATGAAATCGCTAATAAATTCAATATTTCACCAAATACATTATCATCAATTATTAAGCAAAAAAATAAAAATTTTAAGTTCAATTATGGAATTTCGAAAATAAATAAAACAGGCATTTACTGTTATAGATCCGCCTCATAGACTGCTTTTCATTTTTAAACAGCTATAAGGTTTAGAGAGATAACCATGTTTCTACCAAAAACTCAATAAGTATTATTTTATTGTCTATGTAAAATCTATGTTATTATTTTAATACTTTCTTACTATAAAATAGCCTGATTTTTAATATATTGAATTAGATTATTATACATTTTAAAGTTCATCTTATCATAATACTCCGTTCATTAATTAATTAATTTTATATTTATATATTTATAGTAAATATTATAGTTCTTTATCATTTAACCATATATTGTTTAAAATATTTAAAATATTTATAATTTACATCATGATTCTATGCCATATACAACTATGTCAAATATAAAAGTAATAAACCTATTATAGATTAAATTAAAATTTGTTTGTCTTCTTGGTTTTATTATAGATTGTATTTTAATTGTTTTTTTTATTATCATTAACTTTGATTAATATTATTTATATAATTGAGTAATGATGAAACCAATTACCATTCATTAATTTATATTTCCAGATATTGTACAAACTATTGCAGAATGTCCAACAGCATAAGCAAGCAGCCCAGAGTTTCTACGTATCATATTTTACTGATATCCTACAGCATGTATTTTCTGTTGCCACTGATACATCACATACTGCTAGTAAGATAAGTTATATTATGGTTTATAGGATGTTATTAAACAATTTTTGTTTCAGGTTTAATGATGCATGCACAAATTTTATCGTACATGTTCAAACTAGTTGAGAGTGATAGGATTGAGGTTTTGTTAAGTGCACCAGGTGCACCTCCTGATGGTAAAGTCACCGAAAAAAATATTGCTTATGTTCATGAATTTGTTGTATCACTTCTAAAGACAGCATTTCCTCATTTGGCTGAACCACAAATTGTCCTTACTGTACAAGGCATGTTTAATTTGAATCATGACCTCACTGCGTTTAAAGACCATCTTCGTGATTTTCTTGTTCAGATCAGGGTAAGTATCAAAGTAATAAAACTACAGTTTTTTCTAACACTTATAAAAAATTATCTCAAAACGTAATTAAACTCGTATAGAATTAAATTTATTAATACTTTATAAATTATATTTTTTACAGTATGTTATAATATGGCATATTTGACTTATATTTTACTGAAATTAAATTTTTGCAAAAGCTATTTATATAATAAATTGTATATATTCAAAACAGTAATATATTAAAATATGTTGTCCTAGAATAATGGGGAGGGATGCAGCCACTATTGTGGGTGGGAAGTAGAAAAGGTGGGTTATAAAAGGGAATTTAATGTAAATTTGAAAGCAACAATAAACTATTGTTAATTAATAAATGATCCTGAGCGGAGTTCAGTTGATAGTGATGCTTTTTCAACAATATATATGTCATATGGTAAAATAATTAAATAGGCATTATGTATTTTCTTTAATATTTGTTTAATATTATATTGATATTCCTAGTTTTTGCTCAGTTTATTGAACATCAAAAATTTACTTCCTTAATAAAGTACCTTCCCAGTCAGATTTCCTTTAAGAAAAAGTGCTATCATTGTAAATTTGAGCAAAATTGCTGGAAGAAAAATTATTTACAGGAAAATAATCTTAATATATAAATAATATATTTTATACATTTTCCCATTTTTCCTCAATTTTTTTTTCGGTTTTTTACATTTGATGAGAAAACTCCTGAGAAAATCAAATAATAACCTACCTAAAGTACCACCCCAAGTTAATTTCCTTTCAGAAAATGATCTAATTGTATATATTGTTGTGAGCTTTCTTGTAGAATTAGTGTTCACATAAAAATAAAAAAATAGAAATAAACATTTTTGTAAAACCAATAAATTCTTTGCTACACTCAGAATCTAAAATAGATAGTTATAAGTTATGGAATCTGAACAACAGAAATAAAATAATTAGAACTTAAAAAAAAAAAAAAGAAAGATAAATCAGTGATGACAAAATGCCATGCTAATTTTGATATAAAAATATGAAATTATTGTTTTTGTTCTGAGATTTATCCTAATAGTATTAGAAATGGCCAATATTAGTTTTATAGTTGTAGTACTTGGTGTGTAAAAAAATCATAAAAATTACATTATTTCAAAACATGTTTAACTTGTTTGCCCAGAATTTATTTTCGTTACTAATGATTTATTGTTGTGTTCAGATATAAATTGAATATATTATTTTTATTTATCTCACCTTCAGAGTTCTATCTAACAACTAAAGCAAAATTAAACAAAACAAAAATTATTATTATATACATTTTCTCTAATTATTAAGAAAATAAAATAAAATACCTAATGTACTAAAAGAAAACAATTTGTTACCAAAAATCTAGGGTTGATGCTTGGAGCACTATTTCTGGTATAAAAGCTATTTATAGAAGAAAAAAAACACTACAAAACCAATACATTCCTAGCTCAAAATCTAAAAATCGTTGCACTTTATTTGTTGTATCAGTTTTTAATAAAAGTCCCATCCTGTATCCTGTACTCTACTTGGGTTAACATAATTGAATAGTTGATTATTTTAAGACTATGACATTTTTTACTTCATTAATTGTTCCTAACTTATGTACAACATTTTTGAATTAATACATAATGTATACAACTTAAATGCTATAATATTTTTAAATTTGTTTTTAATACAAGTCATTTTTATTATATTATATCTATTTATAACTTATTATTTTATTGGATTATTAGGAATTTACTGGGGAAGATACATCAGATTTATATCTTCAAGAAAGAGAACAAGCATTAAGAGCAGCTCAAGAAGAAAAACGTGAAATACAGAGGTCTGTACCTGGTATATTGAACCCACATGAAATCACTGATGATATGCAAGACTAAATTACATGAATATCTAGCAAATATCACATCACATTTACATACCTGTTGGTTTTGTACTATATTATTTTATCCATCTATCTATTTATTTATTTGAAGCAGAACTTAAAATATTTTTTCAATAGCGTACTTAGATACTTATTTTTTATCAACAGTCTTATATGTATTTAAATAATATGTATATTTCAAAAACAAACAAAACTACCCAGTTGTTTTGCAAATTTGTATACTAAAACTAAAAAATTGACTGGTTAAGAATGATTGTTGTTTAAGTTATGACTTAATATGGTACCAATCTACTGTTGCTGTAGAGGCGTGGATTTTTAAGCCCACCAATTCTATTAACTTAGAGACTACTCTATTTGATAAGTTTTTTTTTTATATACACTTAAAGGAATAAATATATATTTATATATTTATGATAATATGTTCAAAATTAAATAAACAAGAAAAAATAAATTAAAATCAAATGATTTGATATTTGTAATTGTAAATACTTCAGTAAAACATGTGAATTAATTTTTTTATTTATTATTTTTATTTTAAAGTATGGTTGGGAAAAAATGTTTAATATGTTGAAGTTATACAAGTGGATAATTAAAAAAATTTTATATTAAAAAAAACCCAATTGTAAAAATAATTGTACAAATTTTTTTCTTTACTATTTTTATATGAAACAAGTTGGAGAACTTAATTAATCTAACAGATTAGCATTAGATTTTTTTTTTTGTTATCTATTATTTGATAAGTTCACTGTAATTTGTTCCCAATTAGGTTCTAGATTTAATGGCATTTAATAAAATTAAGCTGACATCTTTTTGACTAATATGTTTATTCTTTGTGATGTGATGTGTATATATCAAGTAATGCCTAATCATATTTATAAATATATTGCATCTTTAATATTAAGGTAGTTAATTTGGTATTACATTCACCGGCTATTATATATATATAAATAAATGTATGAACTGTTAGGTTTTTAAAGGAGATTAAGTCTTTTTACATAATATCTTAACTGTTTAGTCATCTGTTGGTATTTTTTTTCTTGCAATGCTTCCAAAATTTAATAAAAATATCTATAATAACAATTCTAATATAATTAATATTTTTATTGTGTTTGTAAAGTGACATATGTAAATGTGTGCTCATTCTTATTAATTAGTAGGTATTACTTGTCTTTTGTGTTACATAGTTCTATGTAAAATGTTGCACCAATGGAACACATTGTATGTGAAGGATTTGAATGAACGTTACGATTTACTTTTAGTCTTGCAGGTTGACTTTCTGTCTGTATATTTTCACAAAAATAACATTTCGGTGGCTAAAAACCAAACATTTCAATAATTCAATTTTGAAAACATAAAATTTATCCCATAAGATTAAATACAAACATTTAAATTATTATTTTTCATAAATACAAATGTAAAAACAATTCTATTAAAAATGAATTTGTACGTTAAAAATTATTAATCAGTTATTTTATGTTAACGAGGACAATGATACTCATATTATATGCTGTTTCTGTCTTATAAATGTGTGACATCAAATTTGAGTTTAGTAGGAACAACTTAATGCTAGCTATTTTTATTATTAAGTTAATTGATCCACTATCAAACTTTAAGATCAAAATATTATTTTTCATGTGTTCATTTTCAAAATAATAATATAGAAAAAATAGTGTCAATGTTACACAGAATAGATAATGTTTTTATCTGTAAGTTTGATAATGAACCAATAAATTAGTATGCTGATCTGTGGAACCAACCAGCAGTTCTCAAACTGTAATACACTATAGGCAACATGGTGGTATGCAAAAGACCGAGTGGTAGCAGTTTGGAAAATTAATCTTTTTTTTTTTTAACTTTAAAAGACCACCTCAATAGTGGACTATTCCACTAATGTACTGCAGATACCAATTTAAAGGGAAGGGGTATAGCAGTTTTAATGGATGATTTATCTATGGTATAAATATGACGTTTTAAATCAATATTACTAATTCAAATTTAAATATACCTATATAAATGATTTTAATTTTTAAACTATTTATGTATTTGTTGACTAATATTTTCGGTTAATTTAGCAAGGCAATTTAAATGTTGGTGTGTTAAAATAATTATTACCAATGTAATTATGTAGTTTCAGGGTATTTTTAAAAATAATATCTTAATTATTGGGGTTGTTTAAAGTTTGAAAATAAACATCCTAAATAACCTATTTATAGAAAATTGTTTAACAAATTAAAATCTCACTTTTGAAAGTAGCTTTTAATGTTTTGAACATAATAGACTCTAAAACATATGAAAAGTAGTTGTGTTCCCACCCCTTAAGTACTGATTGAACATCATTTTTGCATTTCGTTTCATTACACACAAGTATTATATATAATATGTCTTTATTTTTACCGTGCTTTTTAATGTAGTGTTCTTATTTCTGTATGTGTTATTGTGCTGTTTCAATTGATTTGTAGTTTTAGTACAATTTTGTAGACTACAATTTTGGTTTATTCGATTTTCTGAAGAAAAAAAAAGTATTATCGGCAATTAATGCATGTGATTTCAAAAGCTTCACCGAATTCAATTGTAGGGTTTTATTTGCTTATATATATATATATATATAACCGTTTTATGCAAGGCCGTCCACACATGGAGCTCATTAGAAACTTATTACTGACGCAAAACACAAACCAGTCCGCTTTGAGTCATAACATACCTACGTTAGTCCGTGGAATACAACAGACGGTGCTTATAGTGGTCACAGTTACTAACGCTTTAGTGATCAGTTCCAAGTGATTCAATTGTCAAGTCACTTCTAAGTTGCTCCACGTACTCACGTATTGTGTGCATTTTTGAAATCTTATTTTTTGTAATTTTCTTCTATTAAGAAAAATAAAAAGACGACAAACAACTAGCTACCTAACGTTAAGTTGGTAGAGGTAGAGAAACATTTCATTATACACAACTTTACTAAACATTTCTTTCGTTTCGATGTAAGGATGAACCCAAAATCTTCTTCGTCTTCTATTTATTTTGTTATGGTAGTAGTACCTCATATACAATCATCATTTCTTCATCTATGGTGTTGAAAAATGCTGATGCAGATCTTACTTCCACAACCAAACAGCCAACAGAATAAACTAGTGATTTCGGTCACTTTTCAGTAGGCTCGTGTACGGATTTCAGTCACCAATACGTTAGTAATCGATAGGTAAGTTATTTAAATCACGAACGAGTTTAGTTTCTTTTGAGTAGCTCTATGTGTAGAGGGTCTAAATTTGATGACTTAAGAATTTGAATACATTATAAGTAGTTACCTAGAAAGTCTAAATTCAATTCGGAACAAGGAGAAAGCCATAAAGGTTTCAAATTAGAAAACGTCCATAATCTACTTACCTACTATTATACATGGTTGTATTCAATTTGGATATAAACTCGTAATCAATTTTACGTCTTATTGCGAAACTTCGAATTATGGATTTTTCCGTAGTTAATTTAGATAGAACTTATTATAGGATATTATCTAATTTTTCTTTTTTTTTTTTCAAACGAGATGGTTGCCAACTTACGTCGTCTTTCGATGAAACAATAAATCAATAAGTAGGTAGTTATACGGCTATACCTACATAAATAGGCACATACTAATCAGTTTCCACGATAAAAAATCCACACTAGTTCGGTACACAATATGGAATTTATTAAATGCGGGCATTAACTAGTTAAAAAAGTTCATTTTTTTCAACTTAATTAATTATCTACGAGGGCTAATCAAAAAGTATCGAGACTGATAATATTACTCGAAAACCGAGCGTTGAAGAGCAAAACGATTTGTAAACCTAGTTTCTATGACTTATACTGAGCACATCTATTCGTATAAAATCTCTATAAACTTCTTCGTTTTGATTTGACGATATTTTTCTAAAATTTGTTTTTCACGTTGAAGTTTTTAAGAAATAGCAATCAGTAAGTGAGTGGTATTTGGCTTATATATATATATATATATATATATATAATTATTCTAATTATATAGATTATGTGAGGTGCGCATATAACAGTGAACAAAATAATGCTACTGGATTTAATTAGCTTGATTTAGCTAGATGTTGTACTTACTCCTTGGTATATACCACACTGTAGTTGTTAACTATACAATTATTTCGCAACGAAAATTACAATTTTTTTTTCGTTGTTTTACCTAATATTTAGGTATTTTTGAAAATAGAAATTAAAAATATACAAAATACAGAATATACAAATTTTCAAAATATTCTGGTGTTGCAAGAGCTACATATTTTACACAGGTCAATTTACGTTACTGTCTGTGTACATTATAAGCAATACATTTATATAAAACTGACTCGAAAATATTTCCTGAATGTTTTTTGTCGTCTTATGACATGCGGCGTAGTTTATATTAATTTCGTCCATGACGAATTTACTACAGATGGATAAAAGTAAAGCCATCACATAGGTATACTTTTACCGAATTAATAAATAAAATTGATAAAGTTAAAATAATAATGTTACTTTGACTTTATGGAAACATTATAATATTGAATTAAATTTATTATTATTATACTTATTGAATGCCTGAAGTATTGATTAATCTTGCAAAACAAAACATTTAAATTTTGAACCATGTAGGTAGGTAATCTATGTTTTATTAGACATTAAGTCACAGACTACATACAGTATTATACTGGGCCGTAGAAAGGGGAGTGAATGGTGCCTACGCCCGGGGTCCACCTAATATAGGTACCTGGAAGGTCGCAAAATACCTACTTTAAAACCTATGATATATACATTAAAAATAAATTAATAAATAACAAATTTTAAATTTAGGAAATCTAATGGTGAGATAATTAAAACACTATAATTGTATTGTAGTTTATTTTTCAGCTTTGAGTTTTTTTTATAAGTTAAAGTTCATGCGAATTTTAACACTTCGCAGTGGGCGCAATATTTAGTTGTTACATTCTAGGTATAACGACATTATGCCATTAAAAATGATAAGAAAAATATCTTATATTGCTGGTAAAAATGTGATTATTTGCAGAAATCTGGCATCGAACAAGTGGGATCCAACTCGGGTCGCTAACCAATACGCTGGTAAATTAATTTAGATTTAAGGAATTGCATAGATGTATTCGATGATCAACGTCATAATATTATATGCATTAACTACCATTAACTTGTCAAAAATGTCTAAATTATATTGTAAATAAATACGTATCAGGTGCAGTTTACTTACTTTTTAAGGGAATATCATGTTTTCTAGAACTCACGATAATTGGACTACCATCGGTGACGTTATTGAACGGAGTACTGGATTTCATCCTCGCAGAGTAACTTTGATCCTGTTCGTTATTGTTTAATGATGTCGAAAAAATATTGACGTTGTTATGTTTTCGGTCGTATTCGATAAGCTTTTTTAAATCTAAAACATTACTGTGCTTACATGATATTGTAATAAATATTTACTCGTGAGTTAACTTGAAATGTCCTTTATTGTAGATACCTAACAATATTCTATAGACTTTAAATCTGATTGTGCATAATTTGGTCGATTTAACGTTAATAGTCCTACTTTTACGCGCATGGAATGTTTGATTTTTCAAAGAATCGATTGATATTAAATGAGTAATAAAATTTTAAATTATGCACCTACCCATTTATAATATTTACCTTTTACGAACTCGTTTAAGATATCGGGTTCTATGTCTGTGTATCCTAAGATTTCTAAGTGCCTTTTTACTTCATCCGGATCAACTTCCATTCTGTAATTTAAACTCAAATCGACATTGTTGTAATACAAGAAAACAATCTATTGCCAAGAGTTAGGTTAATTTTGTAATGTTCGTATAAATGTTTTACAATTTGATTCCTGGTAGAATCTTTAGGTTCATAGGTGCATATTAATACCTAGGCATAATAAGTGAATGCAAATTTGTTATTTTAATTTCGTTTGATTAACGTAGAAACATAATAAACTCATCTGTACCTATAGTAATTTAGAGATAATTGAGTACTAATAAATATTATGAATTTTGAATATAGTTCTGACCTTTTTATTATGTAATAGCGATTGTCAACTGTTTACTTGTCATAATAATTTGATTACTATTTTCTGTATCCAAGGTAAATTATTAACGAACACTTTTTAATAGCGGTAGGTTAAGTTTGTTTTGATAAGATGACGGTATGATAATTGTTGAAAAGTAACTTTTTTTTTATGTAATTGGCCTGTAGTTTTCAGGAAATTATGAAAAAAAGGAAAAATGTTTGGCGTTCTGCGCATTAAAAAAAATTAAACTATATAAGTACTAAAAATTTGATTCTGAGCCGATTTCGATTATATTTACATGTTTTGAAATGCAATAAATTTACAGGAATGTAGGTATTGGTTTTACAATGATTATTATTTTTTTAAATTTTTTTTCTGTGGACGACTTTTCTACCAGCAATTTTGCTCCGATTTTAAACTATAGCATTTTTCTGAAAGGAAATTTGACTGAAGTGGTACTTTAAGTAGAACACTTTTTGATTTTCCTAGATGTTTTTATAACAAATAGGAAAACCCGACAAAAACGTAGGAAAATAGGTACAATATTAAATAGATATTATTAAAGAAAATAAATAATGCATATGTATTTATTTTATTATAATGTGACACATATTATATTGTTGACAAAGCAACACTTTTAACCGAACTCCGCTCAGAATCGTTTATCGTTTTGGTGAATCGTTGTGTACAGATATACATTACATTTCCCGTCTACCTACCCAACTTCTCACCTAAAACAGTGGTCCATCCATTGTGCGAAGTATGCACGTATCTTTTTAGGTTTGTCTTCTGTTTGTTAATGTAAAGATTTTTAGTATGTACAATGTCGTACGTGGGTAAGTAATGACATTGATTTTACCAATTTTATACCAGGTTTAAAAAAAAGAACTTAATTTATTATATTAATCACAATTTGTTATAACATAGATATTATCCGGTAATAATATATTGTGCTGATATTTATAATAATTTATTGGATGATTGGCTATGCTCAGCATTTAGCTATTAATAAAACATCGTAATTGAGCGATTAGTTGTTATCCATATTAGGTATAATGATCATAATGTTCGTCAGGTTGGTAGGTAAATTTATTCTTATAGTAGGTAATATAATTATTTGCCAATTATAATCGTTAAACCATTGTTCAAAACGACAATTGATAACTCTCTTTTTTCAGCAATTCCACTGTAAACATAAATATATTTATTATAATTTGTATGAATTACGCGTTATTTGGGTATATCATCGTTGAGAAATATGGCATCACCCAAATCAACATTTTGTACGTTCAACGTCATTTCCGAATCCGATTTTTTATGGTCATATATTTTTTCGAATACGTTGCTCAATTTGTAGGTGAACAATAACGCTATAGTTGCATTGAAAGCGAACATGAAGAACATGTGAGACTGTTTGTGAAATGGAAAAACATTTCTTTATAGTCATTTTAATTTAAATAAATAATTTTCGGTTACTTTTTTTTCAAATAATATCATTTTGTTAATACAAATTACAGTTAAATTCCCCAGGGCCACAGAAAAATACCACATGGATATTGATACAGTTTTCATTGTTTCAGGAGCCTGGAAAATAATCAATGATTACTAATTAAATACCTACCTAACTATATCCAGAAGTGGATACAAGGGGTGCTATGGGGTCCGAAGCCCTCCTAGCACATGTAGATATTTTTAAAAAATAGCTTATAATAAATAATACAATAATACATTTTTAACATTTCTATGCACAATACATTTTTAATTACATTTTTCAGTCCCTTTCTTATCTTATTTCTAGTTCCACTCTAGCTGATATTAGTTTTTTATTACAAAAAAGGTTAAATGCGATGTCCAATGACCTAGAGTGTCGTGTCGTGTCCACAGATATTTGAGTTTATTACACCAAAAAATCAATGTAACCCTTATGAGAGAAAATAACTAGGTAATAAGTAGGGTGCGGATATAAATGTTCTAAAAACAAGAATAAGGCCTTAAAAAAATATGCAATATGCATTATAATCCACAGCCTACTAATAAGTATAAAACTAATCCTTCTCTAGACGGATAATCTAAAAATCGATTAGTATTTTACATTAATACAGAACTCATAAAAGTAAAAAATAAGTATATCTTCGTTTTATAATATACTTAATGAATTACTTATAATATTATGAAATATGTTTTAAAAAGGTACCTATTAGTTATAGAATATCCATAATACTTTTATTATAATAATAAATCGATTGGTAGGTAGGTATACCTAGAAGTGGAGAATGTAGCATGATACCAGTATTGGCCATATTGCAGACTAGAATATAACAATTATTCTGCATATTATAAAAGTAGTTTTTAATGAATTATTATTTAGAACAATTTTCTATTAGGTACCTATCTATAGCCGATTATTAATCATAAGTCATAACCGATTGTTAAAAAATATTATATTTTTATATTTTTTACAGATAGTTAAAGAATAATTACTGTTTTAATTTTCCAGTACAATGTGAATGCATTGAATGAAAGGTTGATACATAGGCGGACATCGGGGGGGGGGGGGACTCAGCCCTCCAAATATTTAAATAGACCTCCAAAATTGAAATATTATTCGGAATGTTATTCTCACTGTTATTTGTTTTAATAATTATCTGTTCATTTTTTTTTTAAATTGTAAAATAATATTCAACCAATATTATATAATAATAATAACATAATAATAATATAATAATAGTATAATAATATAATAATAATAATATAATATAATATATGTCCACCTTGGTTGAATAGGCAGTTAATTGATACATCATCGTTTAAGTCTTTGATAAAAACTAAAATAAGTATAAAAACGTAATTGTTACCAGAGCAAGTGTATTATTTTACTTAAGAATATAAATAAGCTCATATTTGTTTAATAATCCTGACGAATATATGTCGTACGATAATATAATACAATACATATATATATATGTATATATATATATATATATTTATTAAATTTTACATTGTTTACACAAGTATATTTACTTCTGAAAAAGAAAATGCTAATCCTGTCATAGTGAACAGTGTTTCACCGAATGCCATACAAATAAATTGAGGCAATAACCATTCTTTCCTTAAAACACGAGCTTGTGGAGTTGTATTTGATTGAAGTTTCTAGATATATTAACATAGGTATTGTATTTAGATACCGGTAACTACATTACTATTTTATACAAACACATTATCTATGTATGAATTTACGTAATAACGCTTACATAATTTGTTATATTATTATATACACTTCTGTATACATATACTTCATCGGTTTCTAAATTTAAAACGTTCCTCAATTTTGACCGCTGTTCATTCATGTAGTTCATTGTTAATGTATATCTTAAAATTTCACCAACAAAATAGGTATATATATATAGTTTTTTTTTTTGTCATTTTTGATAATATTATATTTTTTTTAGGTACATAATGTGTATAGTATACATAATATTATATTTAAAAAGAAGGTATGAAAGAAACTTAAGCAATCTTTATTAGGTATACTTACAAACCAGGAGTATTTCGTAATATTTCATAATATGTCTTTTGTAATTGAAAAACACGATGTGTTTTTTTAAAAATGAATATTTTATTAGAAAATGTGGATTCTAATACCAGATTTTTAATTCGTAACCAGTTGCCAATGTCGTTTGCTGGAAAAATTATACTGTTGGAAAACAAAGATATCAAATAAAACACAATAGTTTTTGAATAGAGTTAAAGTATTTAAAACTTTACTAAATAGATGAATGATTTTCTTCCGAAGTCGTGTATAAACTTTCCGGTACTAGCACAGTAGTGGAGTTAAATAAGGGATAAAGGTTATCACCTTTATATGAATCATTATATTTTGTGCTCACTACTAATAAAAAAATTGAATTCTGAAAATATTTTATAAATATTTGTATTAGTTAATTTGTCTGTAACTTAATACTTTGAAATGATTATTATAAGCTATTTCATAAAATTAAATATAAACTAGTATAATTTTACCTTATTTATTTTCAGCCGCACTTTAATAAGTTCTTTGTTATTTTTAACTTGTGTAGAGTTTTCATTTTTTATTGACATTTCTATTGACTTCTCGTGTATAGATTTTGAAGCTGTTATACTATCAACAACAAAAAATCCTTTTTTGTTTGATTTTTTCAAGTTCAAGTTCGATGTCCATATGTTCGCTAAGTATGGTTTTGTATGTGCAACAAACATACTTGAATCAGATACATTTATATTGATGTTTTTTGCGTTTCCCTTCAATAATTTTTGATATTTTTAACTTACGACAAATCTACTTATAAAAAAATAACGCATCAGCTATTAGGTATAATATACTTACTTCCAAGTACATTTCAATACATCCAGCGAAAATAAATGCCATTGCAGCTATACTACCACCAAGCAACATTCGTTTTAGAGGATACTTAAATAATTTATGTTTTTTCAGATAAGGGTAAATTATATGGTCCATTAATGGGATAGTCAACAATATGAGTAAAGGGTTTACCATTTGTAACATGTAAACTGAACATTCTATACCAAATAAACGGTCACTGGTACGCGATGCTTGAAATATCCAAGTTGTATTCTAAATCAATAGTTTTTAAAATTACTATCTAAGTTAGGTTATGATTATTGTATTGCAGTATTATAAACACTGTAGTTATAAATATTAACTTGTTGGTCTGGTAAGCTCCAAAACATAGATAATGGTATGTAAATAAAAAGTATGTATAAAGTCTTTTTTGTATCATTTATAATGTAACACGGAAAGGAATTTTCAGCATATTCGAACAAGTGTTTATGTTTAGTTTTTTTTTGACATGACGTGTATTTTTTCCATATGGCCAACTGTCGATAAAAACATTCAATGATGTTAAAAATTATGTGCAAGACAATTAGGTTCGTATAAAAATAATCATTTAGTAATCTTAAAGAAGTAAAACATTAGAGCTAAACTATAAGAAGGTAAAGGTACCCACTTACAAAAATGCATTTTATCATTTCAGGTAGTATATTTGGTATTGGTTCTTTGAATAAATAATAGGGGTATCCACAAACAAATATACCTAAATGAGAAAAATTAATCTTTACATATTCTATATTTTCCATTAATAACATTATTATATTAATTTTAAAAAAGCATATAATTTTATTTTAACTCATTTCAAGTATACTTCCAAATTTTAATATTTTAGCTATTTAACAATTTATTAAAATTTGAACCCTACTTACTGACAGCGATTGTCATCATAAGGGCAGAAAATCCAAATCGAATGGCATATACGTTAAGGTCGTGCCTCTCATACAACATTATTTTGGTAATCACTGGCGAAGCAATCAGTCCGAAAAATACACCTAAATGTATGGAAAAATAGAACGTACTGAAGAAGACACGCACGTGTGTTGAGCTTATATTTCGATCACTTTCGATGAGCTGGTCCACGCCAAAAGCAGCAATACACGATTTTATACCACCCATACCAATTGAGACAAGAATTATACTATGTAGTGTCATGAAGCTAGAGAAGTAAAGTTTCTATATTATACAATTACTTATCTAATTGAAAATTAAACGATCGTCAAATAATTGAATATCGTTTTAATTCATTATACAATTAAATTTTGATAATTGAATAACACGTATCTAATTAGAATATCTATACGAAGATGTCAAATGAAATCAGGAATATGTATATTGGGTAGACCTCTTTTTTTGATTATGACGTTTTTTAATTTAGGTCCTAAATTAATTAAAATTATGACCTAAATTTTAGGATATAGATGGAACATAACATAAATAATACGTTTTCCGTGATTGTTATTTTTACTATAGTTTTTGTACAAATATAACTTTTTTTTTCGTTCAGGTACTATTCATAGAGCATCAAAAAATGTACGAAAATTTTAAGTTTATGAAACTACAACAACGACGTTCCATTGTCCGCTCTCACGTAATCACGTCTAATCGCACATTAGCATTTACATTAGCCACGAGTGCGACCGACAAAATATGTCCAATATATACATTATATAATTCGTTCGCGATGGTAGCAATTTCGCAGTCGCTGAATTTACAAACGAGTATTATGACACAACGTATGTATTGGTGTAAGCTAAAATTGTGATATTATTTTAAAATTTAAATCGACGAAAACTCTTTAAATTTTGTTTTTTTTATACCTACGTGCTTTTTCATTTTTTTTTAGTTTATTTTAAATTTTTAGGAAATCAATTGATAATATTTAAAAAATTACCTATTTAAAATTTATCGTTCGTATTCAATTTAGATTAATTATTTAATAAGTAGATAAAAATTAGTTTCACTCAATATTTTAAATTGTATTTTGAACTTTTTAAATACTATAATAGAAATTATATTTTTATAATTTAGTAATTTTTATATTTACTTCATTGATGTTCTTTTAATCTGAACAGTTGTCCAAAACAAAATCAGTATGCCAATCCAATAGATAATTGAGAATGATAAGATGGTTCTAAAATATTTAAAACAAAACTTAGACAACTTTAAATTTTTTATTGTTGTCAAAACATAATATCATAATACGTCAACCATATTTAGATTAAGATGGTACGAGTAAGTATATAACTATTAATTTTGTTAGATAATAGGTACTTATACAATTCTAAAATTGAATTATATGTAAATTGTTAAATGCAAATATGTTAATACTAATTAATATAGACACTCATTAAAAATATTGAACATGATATTAACTAATTCGATTCTATTGTTTATGTTAGAAGTGGCTATTTGTCTTTCTCGTAAGTAACTACCTACTTATATTAACCTAATATTTCATCTTAAACCTAATTAGATTCCAAGAGTTTATTTGCCTTATTTAATCAAAGGCAAGTAGACTAAATAATAGATAACTAACTTGAAAAATATATTCTTATTTTATAGTCTAGATTAATTAAGTAAATGGTACCTACAGAATTTAAGGTAGGTAGTTACTGAAGTAAAAATAGTACTGAGAAATAAATAATTCAATATACATTATACGCATTACTTACTTATACTTACCGTAATTACTATTCCCCACAATTCCTCCTATTATTGCAGAGACATAACAAAGCATCATAAATACATGATATATGTCAACTGCTTGTAGTTCATCGTACAATAAAACGTCTCTAATGTAAAACGATAATATTGCTACAATAAAATGAAAACGTTTAGAATGTATGTTTTGTATGTTTTAAAAAAATATTGCATACATCGAAGACTTGAAAAAGAAGATCTTTCGCAAAATTCCATTATAATGATAAAATATATTCGTGTTGGATACATTGTGATTGCGATGTATACCTAGGTTTTTCAATTTAAATAATATAACAACTGTTACTAAGAGAGTATTAATTTAATTGATTGATTCATTGATTTCTTATTGTAAAAAAAAAAAAAGAAGAAAATATGTAAACAAGTAAATACAATGTGTAACAACCAACATTACAAACATATGTGTTATAATAAAATAGTAATAAGGAGTGAAAAATGAAAAACAAGTTTTTTAAAAAAAGATTTAAATAAACTTTTTTTTAAAGTCATTATAAAGTTTGAAATTAAAATATTTTTATAAGTATTATAAAATGTTATATAATATTTATAAAAATGATTCTAAAACCACTTAAGAACCGGGCACCTTAAAACGAAAATTGTTTAAATCAGAGCTCACAGCCCTAATGATTTTACTATGCTGTGTGCTCTTTTTAGATTCTAAGAGTAAAGAGAAACGTATTGGTTTTATACTTTTACTACGTACGTCTCACCAGAATCGTTTTTTGTTAGTACTTAATGATTTATTTTTGTATTCAGATATAAATTAAATTACTCTATGTATGCTGCCTCAGCTCTATCAGCTCTTTCTTTTTCTGCCTATAAACAACTTTTCATCTATATACTATATACCATATACTAGTATATGACTATACTAACTTTCATCACTTTAAACATCTTGCTCTAGTAAAAAGTGATATGAGAGCTTTTTTGTAAATCTATTTGGGGACTTGGGAAGCTTTTTTTTTTATAAATTTGCCTTGTAGTTTCTTAATAAGTGGGAAAAATCTTAGGAAAAACTGGTCGATTTACAGCATTAACGTTTTTGTGTGGAGCGAGGAATGTATTAGTTTTATAATGATATTTATTTATTTGTTTATTTATTTTTTTTCCTGTGAACAACTTTCCTACCAGAAATTTTCAAGCATAGCATTTTTTCTGGAAAGAAATGTTATCTATTTGGTGTATTAAAAAGTTAATTTTTTGATTTTCCCAGAGGTTTTCATAATAATAGGAAAAACTGAGAAAAAAAGGTAAGATTACGAAATTTATTTTCTTCAAATCAATGGCTTTTGAAAACATGTGCGATCCAAGTGCGCTAAGAATTGTTTTTCGTTAGCAATGATAAATCGTTGTATACAAATATAGATATATTTCCTCTTTACCTTCCAAACTTCTCATCTACTATGGTGGTTCACCTATCGTGCAAAGTATCTCTGTTTCATTTTTTTGTTGTAATTCGGTTAAAAATAATCGTTAAAAGCTGATTATAAGCGAAGTTTGATATACTTTTCTCAAAGTACTCGTAATAGTATTTTCTAGACGTAATAAAATGCCTAAAATATTATGGCGATTTTTGAGCTATTAATTCTTTATAAGCATTTTACTTTTTTTGGTTTTTATTTGGTTTATGTCGTAACTACCTACCAAATCAATTAAATAATAAAAATGAGCTGTACTGGGAATGGGAGCGGCCAATGTTGTAGACAAGAATTTGAGAAGGTAGGATACATAAGGTTATTTCATTTATATCTGTAAGCAACGATAAATCATTGCTTGACGAATGACGATTCCGAGCGCAGTTCAGTAATACATAATTTGAAGTGCCGTAATTTTTTTTGCGATTTTCATTTAAATTTTATTTCAAAACGCTTATTAAAAAAAAAACATCTTTTAATATAAGCTTCTTTGTTCCACTTAGAATCTAAAATTTGAGGATTTGGAAACTTATTAAAAACTGCGTAGTATTTAAATTCACTTCGAATTTTGGAACAATGTAATTGCATAATTGCGATTACCTTGCATATAACTACAGTAAATTATTTTATAAATAGATACAATGATAAAAATGTATTATCATAAATTTGTAATCATCACCATTTGATCTGTTTTTTTTTTGTTTTTTGTGAAAAATAACTAAAATATTTAATCAGATCGGTATTCAAATTATTTAGTCCTTGACAAAAATTGAAACTCGTATAATAACTCGATATCATAAATCTGATTCTGTTTTCAGTGTTTTTAAAAAACTTTTGCGTGAAGTTCGTGGATTTTTATATTATAAATTTAAGCGCTATTTTAGATACTAAAAAATCGCGTAGTATTATGCCCGTAGAAGTGTTCAATAATTTAGAAAATATGATGATGGGAGATAAAACCATTATAGTGCGAGATGCGTACAAACGTTATTCGGATATAATAAGTATGAGAGGCTTGAATATGTCTGTACCTATGGGATCAATGTATGTATTTATGCAGTGTAATAATTATTACGACCATTATGAATTATGGTTAAGGTTAAATATTTAATATTTTAATATTCACATTGAAGATGTGACGATTTTATCTTCAATAATAAATTACGTTAAAATCAGATTTAATCAAACTTGACGCTTATAGAAAATCAATTATAGGATAACCATAAAGAATTAACATTCGTTGTAGAAAACACAACTGAATGTGATTATAATTTTTTATTTATTTTTGATTTAGTCAACGTTAGAAACGAAGTAGATTTCTATCTATATTATGGATTTATCTATAATATGGTCGAGTAAAATTTACAATGTATTCTAATAAATTCTGAGTTAAAAATAACATCTTTAATCTGAAATATATGTATACGCAAAGTGTAGGCATAACTCATTTCGTACCATATATTCATACTGTAAAGAAGTACTACGAAAATATAATGTATGAAATGATATTTTTGCTACAGAAATGTATTTACGATTTTGATATTTACGATGCCCGAATAATCATCACCTATTGTTATTTATATTCATTTTATATTGATACCTATGGATATTTTCCATTCTGATTGAACTAATATTCCTAAATTGTAGTATCGCATCAATTATTAAATTTGTTGGTAACTACCCTTCTAAACTTGTTCCCTATTCTATTGTTTCTCACACATTTCCGCGGTAGCGGTGGCGATATATTAAACCGCCGCCGTGTCCACACTGCTACAGCAGTGGTGGTGCGGTCTATTCACATTTTGAAGAAGACATTTATTCAAAAAAAAGATGAGAAAAACTGAAAAATTTTCAGCGGTGGTGAAAAAAATTGATCATCCAGCGATTTTTATAAAAACTGTAACACTATAATTTACCGCTGCATTGTGTAGATTCCCATAAGAATATACGAGTTTTATTAAACCGCTTCCATCAGCGCCACCGTTACCGCGGCAGTGTGCTCACACCTCTTATCGCTTTGTCGTATAAAAGTTTCTGTATTTTTGTAATTAAACAAATAATTGATTAAGTATAATTATTACTATGTATCAGATACGGACTTCTAGGACCAAGTGGCTGCGGCAAAACTACTTTGTTAAACTGTATACTGGGTCAAACGTCATTAGATTCTGGCAAAGTATACTTAAAAACGCAACATTTCTCGGAAATTAGTTATATGCCACAAGTATAATTATTATAGTTTGATTACTTTATATTCATATTGGAAGTAAATAATTGAATACAATATAGGTACAACTATTCAAATTTTTTTTAGAACATAACGTTGCATCAAAATTTAACTGTGTATCAAACATTTATATTTTATGGAAAATTATATGGAATGTACAAAGAAAATATAGAAAAGAGGATCAGCGAGTTAGATCATCTGCTAAAATTACCATTGTTAAGCATGCAGATTAAAAACTTAAGGTAAACACATAATACACAGTATTGTAAATATGATTAAATGATAGAATATGACTAGTATATTTTTAGATTCTGAGCGTAATGAGGAATATGTTGATTTTATAATAGTTTATGATATGTGCTTTATTTTCTGTCAATAAATTTTCTACCAGAAATAATTATAGACACCAGTCGTTTTTGCAGAGTATTTACGAGTATATTAAAATCAAGAAAATCCTAAAACTTATGGCGCGCCAAAACATTTCAAACCGTACTTTACTTAGAATTATTTTTATAAACATTTGAGCTTATTATCAAGTGCATTTTGGTTAAAATAATATTTAAGTCAAGTTACTTAATTCATAAATCATAGTAAAGTTATGATAATTTGAAATCTACGATTTGAACTATTTTTTAATTAAAATTAAATAAAAAATCATGTCTTTTGTACATTTGGTAAATGATTATTGTAGATACCACTCCATAAATGTATAGAAAATTTAAATAAGTAGTATAAAAAGGCTTCTAGATTACTGATGTTGAAGCTAGGGCAGGTTAGGTTAAGAAGATCAGGATTTGGATCAGTCGACCAGAAACAGCCTTTTTATGCTACTCTTAAACAATGTGAGGTTTTTTTCATAGTAAATAGTTAAAAAATATATTTTATTTAGTGGCGGAGAACAAAGACGATTGTCTTTTGGTGTAGCGTTATTTCATGATCCTAATATTATGATACTCGATGAGCCGACGGTTGGTATTGATCCAGTTATAAGGCAGAGGTAATCACGTAGGAATATAACAATTAATATCGATAACTAATTGTACAGATTTGTTTGTTTTTTTTTTTTTAGCATTTGGGATTATCTTGTTAAACTTTCTTTAGAAGGAAAAACCATCGTCATAACCACGCATTATGTTGAGGAGGCCATTAGAGCAAATGTGGTATCTATTTGTAATTTATGTTAAAAATTTGTCGTTGATAGTTCGATTAAAAAGAGTTGTTTGAGTTTGGGGATAGTCTATTTAAGTTATAGTATTGATTACAGCCGTGAGAGAATTTTAAAGAGTTATACAGGGTGATTTTATATATATATATACTAACGTATAATACTATAATTATTATACTACTCGTATTATAATAGTTATTATTTCATGTAAGTACGTAGTATCTATTACTAGTTATCATTTAAATTTATTTAATAGGTAGGATTTATGCGAAATGGTATTTTGGTTGGTGAAGATTCGCCCAGTACGCTGATATTAAAACAAAACGCTTCGAATTTAGAAGAAACATTTTTATCTCTGTGTTGTATACAAGAAAGTGGGGAAGTAAGTACATAATAAAGGCTGAATATGGATTTAATTAATGTACGAAGTCTGGCTATTAAATAACGAGACTGCTTATGAAAAATGGTTTTATTTTAAAAATTATTCCACAACCAAATGTTCCCCTTCAATATACTCTCCTCCCCTCTTCACACACTGTTTCATTCGTTTCTTCTATTGCTCGAGGCAGTGCTGGAAGTCTGTTTTCGTAAGACCATTCAGGAGTTCCGCCGATTTTTGTTTCACCTCTTCCATCGACTCAAACCGGATTCCTTTTAAGGCAGACTTTATCTTCGGAAGCAAGTAAAAGTCGCAGGGTGCCAAGTCGGGTGAGTAAGATGCGTGTTCGAGTACTGGAGTGCCTTAAGCGGCTAAATAACGCTTCACGCTTTATCCTGGTGCAAGATCCACGACTTGTTTTTCCACAATATCGACCGTTTCTTACGAACTCATTCGCGCAATGTTGCCAAAACTGTCAAATAGTAATGTTGGTTCACAGTTTGACCCTCTGGAACCCATTCAGTCATCACGATGCCGTTGATATCGAAGAAAACGATCAGCATGGTTTTGAATTTGGATTACGACTGAATTGGATTCCGGTGCACTCTCGACCTTCAGAAAATAATTTATGCCACTCAAAAACACGCACCCGAGATAGGAAATCCTCACCATAGGCCTCTTTTAACAACTTATAGCACTCAGTTGAAGTTTTTTTTAGTTAAATGAGAAAATTTTACGTTTATCCGTTGCTCATGTTTTTCGTCACACATCGTTTTCGGCAAGAGAAAAAAACATGTTCGTTTCTAAACGCTACAGAAAAAATATTAATGCACCAACAAAAACTCAATTTTGTACTGGCATAATAGACACTTCCAGTTAATCAGCGCTGTATTTGGTTTTCCCTTAACTTTTTTGGGACGCTCTCTGCGCGCGCAGTCTCGTTATTTAATAGCCAAACCTCGTATTATAAAAGATAATATAAGTAGGTAATAAACGTTTAATGAAGCTATTATAATGCTTATATCTTATTTAAATTTGTTGGCGTACAGCTCTCCAATTTACCCAAGGAAGATTATTCTCCGATATTACCATTTTCTATGAAACGATTGAAAACCAAATTTTCTTGGAGAAGATTTCAAGCTCTAACTTACAAAAATGCAGCACTTCTATATAAAGATCATACGTAATTTTTTATTGTTGTCAATTTTAAAACTTATTTTTTTAAATAGATATAATTTATTTTTAGATTTTTAATTTTTACATTTATTTTACCTTTGGTTCAAACCTTTGTGTATAATCTATGTGTTGGTCATAGTATTCAAAATGCAAATTTAGGAATCGTAAACGACGAGATAAAAAATTGCAGTACAGACCACTATCGACAAAAATGTTTCATAAACGAACTTAATAATACAAAATTAAGTTGTATGTTTATTGATCATCTACGAAAACACAATGGTTTTTTGGTAGACAAACAAAAAATAAAAAATAACTAATACAATGTACTTTTAGTTGAAAAAATTATATTATTTTCAGATAGATTATCCAAATCTAAAGTCTGGTAATTATGCATTAACTTCCAGTTATATATGGGGTTTAATTTATTTTCCTTCAAATTACACATTGGCCTTGAAAAATCGTTTCAGCCAAATTCCTAATCGTTATGATATCGATTCTAGTTTTGTACAGATTACATTGGATTCAACTAGTAAATTGTTATATACCTATCTATAGTTTTTAAACAAAGTAATTAAATATGTACAAATTATAATAATTATTATAATTTACTTTTTTAGATTATATTATAAAATCAAAAATAAAAGACGACACTATTTCAACTTTTAAGAAAACATTCAAAGAAGCAACTGGATATTGTAATATTAGCGAAAAGTCATATTCTTACCCACTTTCAGTTATACAAATTAAATATTTCTTAAATTATTTTTATTAGTTACCTAATACCTATTTATATTATTTTTGTTATTTGATTTACAGATACAAAATATAGGTAATGTTAAAGTCACTGAATTTATTCATTCAGCTTCTCCAGGATTTTTAGTTCTGTAAGTTTAAATTAATAATAAATGTTAAAATCGGATCATTGACAGCTAGCCATCACAGTTCACACAAACGCTTCTCGACAGAGCGAATGCTCTGGGGGGTGGTATAGCCACATGCGCCAATCTGTGTGGATAATCGTGCATTATGCTGATTAAAACTAGATTTAAAGTCATTATATTACTAAATCTACTTACTTAATATGGTGTTAATATCATGTTGTCATTTTTATTTATATTATTTCAAAAGTATCATTCATATTATCAATTACATTTTTTTTTCAATGTTTGTTTAGATTGGCTTTTTATTTTCCAATGATTTTATCAACTGGGTTATTGTTGTCCGAAAAGGACGAAGGAATAATGAGTCGAATTATGGTTGCAGGTATATAATTAATAAATTACTAATTTAAGTTTTTCCAAATACTTACTTGATTGGATGTACTTATACAAATTTCATAGGTGTAAACTTTTCTGAATTTGTTGTATCAATAATATTTCTTCAAACAATTGTACATATTATACAATCATCAATCGAAATATTTATTATGTATTTCGTTTTTAATAATCCAATTTCAATCGATAATTTTTGGACATTTGCAATCACTATAATGATTATCGGATATCAAGGAATGTTTGCAGGTATAAAACGAATCTTCATTTAGTTCAATAATTTTACTGTAGATTATGGATATTGTGTTAAATTTGATTTAATAAATGTTAATTTATTATAATTGATTTATTTAGGAATATTAGTTGCAGCTGTATCTAAATCCTATACAATGGCAACGCATATTAATATGGGAACGAACGTTTTATTTTCATGCTTATGCGGTGAGTTTTTTAATGAGGGGAATCCGGGGAAAAATGAGAAACATAATGTTTAACTTTATAAAAAATAGTCATGTACCAAAATTACTTAATTGGGGAACAGTAAGTTCTTACACGAGACCTATCAGGTAAACAAATTTACATATGTTAGTTTCTACACGATAAAAAAGGTACGTACATTAGTTCCTACACAAATATAAAAATGAGATTTGTTAGTTCCTACATTGTAAAAAAGGGTAGATTAAATAGAAAATTATTTTTCTTGTGAAATTTGCTGAGTCTTCATTTTTGGTAGAAAACCAAAAAGTAATTCAATAATAGTATAATAATAATTTAATTATGTAAGAGTATGGTTAAACTATAATAATATAATCACGCTCGTTTCAACCGCTTGATAGCGTTTCTTGATAGTATAATATGACGATAGCTTATCAATAAAGCTGACATCTAAATTAAATTTTTGAAAACACAAACATTTTCGACTTTTATTACTGATAAACTGAAACAGAAAACTTTTTTTGAGTTGATAATAATTATATCTATTTACAAAATACTGTACTTACATTGGGTAATTTATCTTAAACTCTTATTCCACAGTACATTTTTAGATTCTAAGTGTAGCAAAGAATGTATTGGTTTTACTAATATGTTTACTGTTTAAATTTTTTTTTATCTTGTGTATAAAAATTCGACCATAAATCTTGCTCAGATATATACGCGTGACACTATTTCTGAAAGGAAATGTCTAGATGGTATTTTTGGTAGGTCATTTTTTTGATTTTCCAAGCGATTTTTATTATATAATATATTTTTTTTTTACAATTGTACATTTACAAATTGTGCAATTGTATTTATTTTTTATTTTTTTAAGACATTTTGAAATAAATAAATAATTGTTTTGGTGATGTAGGAATATATATACTTTATTTTGTCGTGTAGGAACTAACATATGTATTTTTATATGATCCATTGTAACTTAGTATATATTCAAATTTAACCCAACATTAGGGTAAAATTGGAAAATTTGGGACATTTTTAAATCCTTGTTTTATCCATATTAATACACATATATAATAATAAGTTATTAAGTTGAGTGAGCGAATGTAAGTTTCTGCTCGAGACCTATAGTTAAAAAAAATCTAACATTTTTTAGTACTTACGAATCTAGGACATATTGACGAAAGACATTTAGGTGAATATTTTTCTATATAAGTAATACGAGTTATACGAGTAATAGAGTCTACGAGGCAATAAATAAATCCATGAAGTCATGTGTCAAGTCAATGTATACATAAAAAGTGAAAATAAAATTACAAAACTCTATATATTTTAATACTAAAAAAAATGAAAAATCAATGTTGTATGACAAACATTTTAGATAGCTTATTATATCTTTATTTGAATAATTTTCTACCTTTTCTATACTGCCTGCGGTTTTACATTTTAATTTTTGTTGTTCTGCTTTACCAACTTCAACGTGTGCTATTTTTCATCAAACTAGTCTACCCTTTATTCTGAAAACATATTTCAAGATGTCTTACCAAAAATCACTTCGAATCGTTTTTCGTTAGTAATGATTTATCGTTGCGTACAAATAAAAATGAAATAACTTTATGCATACAATATTTTTTTTTTTATTATTTTTACTCTTAATAAATAAATAGTTTCACCGAAATGTTCGTTTGCCGAAATATTCGTTCACCGATAAATCCGTTCGCCAAAAACGATACGTCAAAATATCTTTCACCGTATTGCCTTTTGACAACATGACCGGATAGATTAGAGGTACATTAAATGATTTTAAATTAAAGTATTACCAAGAAATATAATTTTTTAACTATACAAATTAAAATGAATAATGCAAAATATGCTCAGTCTTGTGCTTTTAAATATTTTTTTAAAATCTTGGGCCTCTACAAGTTGTAAAGGCTGTCGTAAATTACGATAATCCTATAATGCCACACAGTACCTATTCTGTAACACCCCAAATAGAAAATGTTACTTTAAACATTGGTATTAACTAGATAATTTGATCGATTTTGAATAATGATATTAAAAGCTAAAACCTATGCTGCAATAACCTGGTAGCCCATGTCACACAGATTTGATGTTTATCTGGTCTAATTGTAGTACTGAGAATAGCCAATTAAAATTAAATCTCAAATTTCGAAAAAAATCATTTGTTAACTTAATTGGATGATTACAAAATTTAACTATAAAAAGTTTAAGTTTATCATAACTGAAACTAGTTAAGTTAATAAGTTAACGATAAAAATAATTAAATAGTTAATTTTAAAAAAAAATTAACTGTTTAACTAGTTAATGCCCACCTTTGCTAAAAATAAACACGTTTTATTTGGGTAAAATAAATATTAAATAAATATTATTAAACGTTTAAGGTCTTATTTGGCCAATGGAAGGCGCACACATAATTTTAAGATACTTCAATCATTTTCTACCTTTATCCATCGCATCGGAAACAATTGGAAATTTGACTCTTAAAGGATGGACTTTAGAGCATCCTGTAGTTATACGTGGATTATTGTTAACAATAGTATGGTTAGTTATTTTTGCAGTTCCAGTGTTTTTTTTTAGTTTATTTAAAAAAGACACTTGGGTAAAACAAAAATAAACAAATATTATTGGTTATGTTAATTTATAGTTAAGTACAATAAATTAATCAGTTTATATAACATACAATTTTCATTTTTACTCTATGTGTAATCTAGAAGTTAATATAAGCACGTAAATATTATTTTATATAAGAGTTTTACTATGTATAATTTTTAATAGTTTTAAAAAGAATTCTACAAACCAATGTAGGTACTCGTATATATACACACCTAATATTAATTTTATTTGTATAACAAATTAGTATTTTAAAATGAACTTGGTATTAATTTTTACTGTAAAAAAAAAAACAACTTACCTACCTAAATGGTTTTTCTCAAAAAAGTTATTTTAAATACAATTATTTATATAAATGTTGGTAGGGCTATGAAGGCCAATGATAAAATACCAATAAACATTTTATTATGTTTTGTTTAATAGTATAACCGTTGTACACCATATTTAATAAATGACTATAAATTATATTTTGAGTGTTATTAAATCGATTGGCAAATATAGTAGGCGCACAACTAAATTTTGCTCGACGACAAAATATTGTCAAGTGTAATCTAACAATTGACACTGACGAAGAAACTTTAAAATGGTCGTAGTAAATTCTGAAGTAGCTATATGCATTTTAAATGCCTTTAAACAATTATCTACTGATACTCGTGTTTTGAATGGATTGAATATGTGTGTCCCTTCGGGATGCATGTAAGTATTTAATTTGTTTGTTATTTAATTATTAGAGAAATTATAAAAATATACATAAATAATTTGAATCTATTTACTTTTAATATAATATATATTAAGTGTTGCTGCTGGGTGACTTACTTTATGTGTTGTTAAGTGTTTAAAAAAAAGTTAATATACTTATTGTAAATATTTGTTTTTACAGATTTTACATATAATAATGTAATGTTTTTGAAAAAAAAAATTTTATATAATATTTTCGTAAAGTTTTTTTATGTTATAAATGATACTCTTCTTATCTACCCACATAACTTTGTTTAATTATACATTCTGATGTAAAGTATTCTTTTTTTAAATATTTATACAAAAATTGTAGGTAATTACAAGTATTTAATTATAAGAATTTAATATGTAAATAAAGCTTAAGAAGTGAGGTTTAGTTTTGAGTTTAACGGTAAGTAGGTATAAGTACTATATTATCATTTGTTTATTCTTCAAAACTTTAAACAATCTTTTATAACATGTGGCCTATAATTAGCGATTGGTTTAATATCCAATATTTGTATGCTCCGAAATGCTAAACAAATATTCTGCTTCCCCGTATGAGAATAAAACACATGAGTTATTAATATATTAATATTATTATTATTATTTTTTTAATTTAGACAATTCACAATCTGTAATTTTTACTTTAAGAAAATTTGATATTTACAAAAAAAGAAAAATTAAAATAACAACAGTGCCGTGTTGAGGAAGAAACCCATTGGTATCACCTCTCTTACTAATTTAATAAGTCTCTACACCATTTATGTTTTAGTCTGCGTGGCGGGTTTTTTGGGAGGGTGAAGGTGAACATCTGGGATATTAGTGTATTGTTTTGCGTGCTTAGATTTTTGTGGAAGCGTTTGTACATTATTTTGGTTAATTTAATGATAGTACTTATTTTTAGGCCATTGTGTAAGGGATGGTTTGAAACGAACCACGGAGCGTAGATTAGTAGCCTGAGCGCAATTGATTGAAACACCTGAATTGGTCTGATGTTTAAAGGTTAAACAGGACCCCAGATAGTGATTCCATAAGATCAGACAGGTCTTATGATTGATTTATATATAAGTAGTTTGTTTTGAAGTGGTATTTTGGAGTTAAGAAGAGGTCGGAGGAGATGGAGTCTATTGTTTGCTGATTTTTTTTTCTTTTAAGTGGTAACCCCAGGTTAATCTTTTATCAAATATTATACCTAAGTATTTTATTTCGGCTTTGATAGGGATGGGGAATTATTATTTGAAAACAGTAAAATTGTATAAAAATGAGTCAGATAAAAAGTGTAGTTTTATTTTTAAATTGTTATATTATTACGATGACTTTCTTATTTTAAATTACGAATATTTATACATCTTAGAAAAAAGTTTCATAGTAAAAAACATGTATGTTACATGTTAAATGGAATTTTCGGTAAATGTAAATACACATATTATGCATATTATCTGAAAACATCCACTAAAGAAAAAAGTTTTTTTAGATATGGTCTTTTGGGACCAAGTGGTTGCGGCAAAACTACATTAATAAATATTATTCTTGGAAAATTGCCTTTAGATTCAGGGTTTATTAAGATAAATGCTAATAATATTTCTGATATTGGATACATGCCTCAAGTATGAAATATTTTATTTTTTGTCTTCAGTAATATATGTTTTTATTTAATATTAATTATTTTATCATTTGATGTATCCTTCTAGGACTTGTGTTTGGATACAATGCTTACTATACACGAAACATTTCAGTACTATGGTTCGTTGCATAATATGAATGAATTTGATATTTTTAGTAGAAGTAAAGAACTTATTGCATGGCTTAAATTGCCACCCTGTTACACATTATTAAAATATTTAAGGTAGGTTAATAAATTCTTAACATATAAATTTGTATTTATTTTTATTAAGTAATTTCTTGATAAATTTTTTATTTGTATGTTATTTACCATCGTATTTATGGGTGTCTATAGCGGTGGTCAATGCAGACGAGTTTCGCTGGCTGTCACATTACTACATAATCCAAAAATTATAATTCTAGACGAGCCCACAGTAGGGATAGATCCAGTATTAAGACATGAGTGAGCCGTGTTTATTGAATAGTGGAAAATAATAATAAATAATTCTTTATAATGATCTGTTTAACTTAGAATTTGGCAAAAATTATTAAAAATTGTAAAGGAACAATCCAAGACTATTATAATTACTACACATTATATTGAAGAAGCACATCAGGCACATATAGTAAGAAAAATAAAAATTTGTCATGATAAATCATAACATAACAATAATATAATAACACATTTAGACAATTAAAAATGTTAATTATAAAAAAAACCGTTATATTTTAGTTAATTATTGTTAACAATGCCATGTTTCTCTATGGCAATTTTAACTTTCCACTATCAGACAGACAGCAAGTAGACTGTCTTAATATTGTTGCTGAAATATACACATATCTATATAAGTAAGAATTTTAATGAAAATAAATGTAGAAGGATAGAGGTAGTTGGATGGGATTGAAATGATATGATGTAGCTAGTGTCTCCGAGATGGGAGATCAGGACAAGTGGAAGTTTAGGACTAGGGTGACCGACCTTAGTTGGTATGAAGGCGAAGGTGAAGAAGATTAGTTGTCAAATAGCTGGATTTTTCAAACATAAAAAAAAAGTTTGGTTAAATGTGTTGTTAAATTAAGTAATTTGAATGAATTAAGTGTAATTGCAAATGAAATTTGCGGAGATTTACATTTAAACCATATCAAAATATTATTCGGTTAAGTATTACTTAAACTCATATTTTGATATTTTAATTAAGTATGTCATGTTGTATTTTTATACACCTATACTAAATATTCATACTATAATATTTATAGAATAAATATATTCATAGATATTTTTTGCACAGATAGGTTTAATGAGAAACGGCGTTTTAATAGAAGAAGCATCACCTCAGGATATATTAGTAAAACAAAATACAACCTCTTTAGAAGAAGCTTTTTTGGCAATAAGTTGTAATCAAAAATTTAATAAAGTATACAAATTTTTAGTAAATTTAAGAACTGTAACATAATATTAAATTTCGTTTTAATTTAGACAAATCAAAGGGCCAATCAAATTCAAAATAGAAAAGTAACATACACAAAATTACACACCAAAAATGGGACTTCTTTTATTAGAATACGTGCTTTTATACAGAAAAACATTTCGATTTGTGTTCGTGATTTCATGTAATTATTATGATAATATTGTATGATAGTTATGATATAAAAATAATTAAAAACATATGTTTTAAACAGGTTTATATTTTTCATGATATTATTTCCAATGTTAGCAGCCATAATTTTTAATGTTGCCATTGGTGGTAATATTAAAAACGTTAACATAGCAATACAAAATAAAGAAATCGCTGATTGTAAGGACTATAAAATGAATGGATGTTTTTATGAACATGTTAACAATATCACCTTAAGTTGTGAAGTTTTAAATGGTTTACGAGCTCTAGAATACAATTTAGTAAATTTATTAATAAATAAAATGTGTATAAAACAATATAATAATAACAATAACAATAAATAATATGACACACTGTTCAGATTGAAGTCAATAATCATAAAGAAGGTGACATTTTGGTGGAAAAAACTATAACAGTAGCATTCGTTGAGTTTTCTCAAAATTTCAGTATAGGACTACAACAAAGAATTTTAAGTTCATCGACTAGTGATAATTATTTAACAAATTCAATACTTTATGCAAATATCGACACCGGAAGTGAGTACGTTTCGATAATATTTCTAACAGATCCATTGCAAACTAAGTTATATTATACTTGAAATTAAATATTTTCTCTCTGAGAGTGTGAATATATTTCTTAGTATAATATATGAGTATCTACTATGATATTACTATAATACAAAAATAATAATAATGTGTATTGAAGAAAACATTTTCTTGCTGAAAATAAGTTATTAGTATAAGTTATTTCGACACCATTTAAATATTCTTAGATTTAGATTTTCTGTTCCAAATTAACAAGTTTATTTCAATTTTCTTAAATTAAAGTAGTTATTTAGATAGGTACATACAAGTAGTGTACACATCTAATGTATAATTATATCTAGTATACTAACATTTCTTAATTTTTTTTTTTTTGACACTAAGTTAGTTTATTGTTCTTCATATTAATGTTTATAAAGTCATAGGTATTATGTATTATATAGATTTTATACCAATTTGTAATACCATATAATACCATAAATGATATTATTTATGGTTAAAATATTCTAATTTGTATCTTTATAAATATAGATGAAAAAAAAAAAATGATTAATGATGCATTTAAACATGACACTTTTGAATATTCTATAATGGAAACTGTATGAAATATAGTAGATATTAATGTAGGTATTTTATATTTTTTAGATTTTTTGGTAAAAAGTCAATTTATTCGAAATCTGTTTAGTGTTATTGAAAATGTAATTATTAATAGCACACATTTCTGCAATGACAAGTTTATTAGACGTTCTTTTCCTTTGGTGAGTTATAAAGTACCTACCCAAATTAATTAGCAATATCTATGGTTTATGTCGTTTCTGATAAATGTATAGTGTTGATAAGCATGGGCGCCCAGAGAAAATTTATTACAGAGGGGTATAATAAAATCAAACACCAAAAATTACTTGAAATAAGATTATATTAATTAATTATTAAAATTATGTTTGAAATTTTGAAGTCCATGGGAGCAGATGTTCCTTCTTGCTCCCCCTTCCAGGCGCCCATGTTGATTAAGTATTTGGTTTTGGTGTCCATTAAAGCATTTTATATAAATAAATAATATTATTTTAGAATATTATCATTAAATATAGGAGTTTTACATTTACAATATCAATTTTACTATTTAGATATAACAAATTACTAAATTGCAGTTTACGTTTTTACTTATTTTTTTTTACCTATGATGAACTTCGTTTTATATTTTCAAGAATTTCTAATCGACCAAAACTGTTTTATCAACACAAAACCAAATAAAAACTTTATAATATAATTTTATAATATATAAAAAAATTAGAAGTGACAAAAGTAATAGAAACGTGTCATTTAAGAACTGCCTGTTTCTTAAATTTTCTACAAATGCAATAGTCCATATAGTTTTGGCGAAAACTCGACAAAAAAAACTATAACTATTTTACAATAATTAAATAATTAATTTGCGCCATTATAAATAATTATTAACCAATACTATTTTTTGTATTTCATCACAGAAAACTACTAGTATAGTTGGAGAGAAAGTCGAAACATTTATTCATAGTATAGCAACTATGTTTGTATCGATGTGAGTATGCTTAACTTGTAATTTTTGTACAGAATATAACATTATAATTATTGTGGCGTAATTCAGGCTAGGATATTAGAAGGGAATAAACAATTTTTGAAAATTTTATTGAATAGGTACTTACGAACTTATAATCTAAAACTTATTTTCAGGGAGGAGGATAGGGTTTAGAATAAAAAAGGTATCACATGATTATACTGTTTTACATTTAAACAAAACAATTAATAGATAATTAATAATTGATAGATAGAATTATAGATATGAATAACAAACAAATAATACAATTATTATGCACTTTATAATAACATATTTACTCTTCTTGGCTTCAGGATCATTTCATTTAGTATCTTTGTATTCTGGATCTATCGGTACATTTCTATAGACTGCCAGCATAGCCAACCTATTTAATCGATTTTAATGAACAAAACATCTAGTTATTAGGGGATGTAGTATTTGTATAGTATCCTAATTTTCTATAATAATTTTTTAAATATATAACCGACCTCTTATACCGTATTCCACAAGTATATTTTGATCTTCTTTAAAGTAGAAAACATGTGTTTGGGTGTAGAAGTCAACAAGGTTAATGTACATAATATTTTAATAAAATATAAAAGACCGAGGGAGGAGATGGAATTTACATCAAGATACCTTTCATAATTAAGCCACTGACATTATACATACATACATGGCCGTGTTAAGCCATTTCGTGTTCAGAGGCATCAATTTTTAAAAGCCCTCTCTTAAGGTTTTGCCTGGTGATGTGGGCTGGTTAATGTCCCCAAATTTGTTGTTTTTTACTATTTTATAAAATGCATTCATTAAATTAAAATTAAAAATATATTTTTTCTTTACCAAATAAGATTCTTCCTTATTTTTTTTTAGGTACACTATGTATATTTAGTGTACATTGTGAACGTTAGTAGATTATACACTTTTCTAATTACCAAACAATATTCATTATTAATCCAATCAAAGCGTTTGAAAATAAAAAAATTAAAATGATTTAATAATAGTGATTGTTAATTCTTTTTTGAGTTTTTATTGATAGTGCTTCATAGTTTTTTTAAAAAAAAACGGTTCTTTTTACGTAAGCAAAGGTTTATCGTTGTTTACAGATATACATTAAATTATCTATAACAGTGGTTGCACCGGTCCCCATTATTCTAGGAGGTAATTTTTTTTATTGTGTGGACTTAAAAATAATAATTTTCACGCGCAATACATACACTCACGTGTTTATAAATAATATTTATTTTCAGGATAGGATTTTATTTTTCAAGCATAATATCCACTGGGTTTATGCTGACAGAAAAAATTGAAGGTTTTCTTGACAGGTCTATGACAGCAGGTAAACACCGATTACAATATTAGTTAAGCAATTTTGTCATTAATATGAATGATTTATTGTTATACATAGGCATTACAATACTAGAAGTTGTAATTTCAATATTATTCATTCAAACCGTAATACATTTCATTCAAACGATTTCAGTTATGTTTATCACATACTTTGTGTTCAACAATCCAGTTGAAATCACCAACGGATCATTCGCATTTGTATTTATAATTTTCTTAAACGGGTGGTTAGGCTTACTTTTTGGTATGAATATGTAATCATTAAAGAAATTATCATATTATTATGATTTATAATATTCTATTTTACAGTATTTAATTTAATTTTCTGCAGGTTTATTAATCGTCGGAATATCTAGTTCGAGTAGTGAAGCTATGAATATGGTTATCGGTTGGAATATGTTACAAATGTATTTATCTGGTAATAATATTTTACCTATTATTATGTTTAGTTAATTCTGAATTCATATTTATTCGTGAACTACTTATCAGTTATCACGTATACTGTCGACTTTCCGTCACGACTAAGATACACAGGACTGGAAACGATATGGTTGGTGGGAGGTACGTCCAATTTAATGTATACAATGAGCGGGGTAAGAAGGCTTGCAATTCTTGTTAAGAGTGGTGCTGTTCACTACAACTATTCAGGCTTTCTTCACAAGCAACGAATACATATTATGCCATTGATTTTATAATATAGGTACTATAAGTACATTTGTTTACCATCGTTAGATTAAGGGGATTAAGGGGAGAAACCTCTATCTACTTTTGATTTTCAAATTGCAACCTATATCAACAATTCCATAAATAGATGGAGTATTGGTTTGAATAAATTTTGGTGTTGAAATTTGTAATTGCCGTTAACCCGATGACGAGATTTCACTTGTAAGTTTTTAAGTAATTTAAGGGGGGCGAGAGTAGTGGTGCATCATTTGTGTAGTGACAAGGCGCACGGTGTTTTAATAGTGTTCCACCATTCTTCTCCTACCTAATCTTAAAAGCGTAATATCTCGTAAACGAGTTGACGGATATCAAAAATCTCAACACCAAAATGTATTTAAACCAATACGCCATTTATTTATGCAATTGTTTGTATAGGCTGCTATTTGAAAATCAAAAGTAGGTAGTGGTTTTTTCCTTTAAAGTAAGGGTGACAAAAGAAGAGTAATGTAGCATTTTAAAGCTACTTATTTCTTTCAACATTTTTTTTTCAGTTTTATGTAACTTATTTCGTGATTTCCGTTAATTTTATCGCGTGTACTTGTATATCACATGGAGCACTACTATCATTATCCATTATAATTACTTTAGGGTATATATTAGAGAGCCTATGATCAAAGTGACCACCGGATCTTTTATCAATGAGTGCGGACGGCTCCATATTGTGTAATTTTTCGTCCAAACGTTATTATCAGCATGGATTAAATTCTAGTTATCAGTAATCTATATTTGTGTTTTAAATGATCAGGTACTGAGATTTATGACTTGGGTATGTTAACTCATTATGCACGACGTAGGTTGGTAGGACTGGGTTGGTTGACTGTTCAGCTAGCTACGCGTCTATCCATAATTTTTATTAATAAACATATTAAAACTTATTATCATGTATTGTACAATGTACTAAATACTAAATACTGACGTCAAGTGCCTACAAAACGATGTGGATGGAAAAAAATTACATTATATTAATATGTTTATTATATTTATATCATGTTACCATCGTAGCAGCTGAGGTATATGGTACGCGAATTAATTAGTGAATTCTTTATACATTTAATTATATTTAATTGACTTTTAACAATATAGGTAATTAAGTGACGTAATATGTGGTCTTTATTATTTTCATTAGTTAATATTAGAAGTTGAATTATATTATGTTGTTTGAATCGTTTTCGTTAAAATTGTTCGATTTTATTGGACACTGGTGGCCTTTTTCTTACATTATGCTCTTTAGTATATTAATATGATAAATTCAACATCCATATAATATCATGTTATAATTTTAATAAAAACACGTTATTTTAAAAATTTAAATGAATCGTCTTAATATTTAAAATCAAACACTATGCAAATTTAATTTATGGAATTCATTATGTAATGAAAAAGATGCTGTGCCTGTTTTTTAGTAGCATGTTACTTTTACAAAAAACAAATATTTTGGTAAGGTCATGAAATGGAACAGTATTTCGCAAACGAATTTATTGGAAATGTGTCCTTAATAAAAGTACGTAAAAAAATAAAAGTGTATATGCGTGTAGAAAATTGGTTTGTTGGGACTCCCAACTTAGGAGTCGTGTTCCATTAATTGTATTTTGTCCATTATATTTTATGTTTTGTTAGATGAAAAAACAGTATAAATTAGAACTTAGAATTGTAATGTTAAATCAGGTAGTCAGGATAATCCACATGTTGTTATTGCGGTAATCAGTGGTATAATCGTGACAACAACAAATACCTTATTCATACAATTTATTTTTTCTTTACATTTTTATTAAATTTTTTTTGTTTTTTTAATCGTGCAATTGTGGTTTAAAATTGTGACTCTTACAGGTATAATGTGGCCTGTTGAAGCACAAATACCATTCATGAAACTCGTTTCCGAACATCTACCATTATGCTATACCAGTCGTTTATTGAATAACATCGTTTTGAAAGGATGGACATTTGGACATCCAACTATTTTTATTGGAATATTAGTTATTATTGGTTATGTTATTTTACACGTGATAATGTTGCTGTTGTTAACCTATGTAAAAAAAGACGCGTGGTTAGTAAAAAAGTTATAATTATATTATTATATAAAGATATTTTTATTTATTATTTAAAGGAAAATTTGTATACAATTTTATCATATTTTCTTTCTATTTGCTTCCATTCTTTATCTTTACCTTTATTTATATTGGTTTCTTCAGTATTGATTCTTCAGTATTTTTCCTCCTAGTTCCTTCTAGCTTTGTTCTGCGTTTTGCTATAAACAAAAAAAAAAAAATTCTCATGAGCTAAAACTAATACATTTAGAACAAATGTTACAAAAAGTAATGATTCAGTTTTATTCAGCTATATAATTATTAAGTTAAAGTTGAAACAACTTCAATTGACAATGAAGATGGTATTGTAAATTTATAAATATTAACAATATACAATAGGCAAGTAAATATAATTTTGTTTGGTTTGGGTGAGCTATTTGTAAAGAGACACAATGACGGAAGATTAAAAACAGAAAAGTACTACCGTAAATGTTTTTCTATCGCTCCGCATAGTAGATGATCACAGAAGTGCGTCTCTGCGACCATAGATAGTACGACGCGCGATCCTGGTCGATGCCACACAAATGATACTCCACTATTCTCCGCCGACCTAAATTTAAAAGTGGAATATTTCGTCAGCGGGTTGACAAAAATCAAAAATCTCAACATACAAATTTATTTTAACTAATACCTACTCAATCTATTTATGACATTTTTAACATAGGTTGTCATTTGAAAATCAAAAGATGGTAGTGGTTTTACCCCCAAAAATAAAAGTAACAAAAAATAACATAAATTTTAAAATTGTAGAGCTGCTTGTATTTTAAATGTTCTATAAAATAAATCCCTTAACAAGTTAATACTTTCTGAGATAATGACTGTCTTACGATAGATCGATCACTCTGTTTATGAATTTATGTGCAATTATCATATTGTTTATTATTAAATTCTAATAAATGTAAAACATAAAATGAATATTGCACGTAGGTACACGTTGTGTACTTATTTCTTATTTTTCAAAATGTGCATAGACCTATTGAAAAATGTAATTCACAAGTACACAAAAATATGTTGTGTCATCGCCTGAACCTCTTAAATTACTTAAAATTTAGTGTTTAAATATAATTCTTCTTTTTCTTCTTAACCTTATGGCTCTTCAAGAGTATTCGCCGACACTGTCAAAGATTTCCATTTATCCCTATCCGAAATAGCTTTCCTCCAATCTTCTACGCCGTATTCTATGACTGCCCTCACAGCCTTTGTTTCATCAGTCATCACTCATCATGACGTGACTGAACCATTGTAATCGTTGAGTTTTTATACAATTGGTTACTTTTCAGTTGTATATATTCCGTATTTGTTTTAATCTTATTACAGTTAATTTACCAATATAAGTTTTAAGGTTTAAATTCAAATAATTACTTATATTTCGGTGACTTGAGCTCGATGTACGCGTTTTAATGCGTGGTATCACGGCTACCGCGTTTACGTTTTACTTTACTTTCATAACTTAAGTACTATATACAGTAAGCTATGCATACACACAGATGCAGTGACGCTGCGAGACCGCACGTCAACTTGCGGACGATTGTGTCCCACAGGTCCCCACGACACTGTCATGGTAACACGCATGCATTTGCGATCTCTCATTACATATGGTCAGCGTTTCTCAAACTGTTGGTCACGACCCACTGGTGAGTCCCGAATTAATTTTTAGTGGGTCGCGAAAATTATTTTGAATTACCTAAATAGATTCCAAAAAATGTATATTTTTAGAATTCTAAAAAACAGAATTCGAAACAGAATTCTGAAAGGAAATCTGATTGGGATGGTACTCTAAGGAGGTAAATTTAAGATTTTCCTTGCTGCTTGCATAAACTAATTTTTGAAAAGTGAAATTATGATAGACTTTTGGGGGGAAATTTGGGTCGCAGTCCTAAAAAGATTGAGAACCACTGCATTAGGTGATTAACCAAATGTAACCTGATCGCTGGTTAGGTGTATAAACAAGTCGTTTTGCCGATTTTGGTCATAATTTGGTTATAGATTACTGGAATATCATAATTAAACTAAAAATAACGATTATGCTGCTTAGTAATTGATAAAGTAGTGATTGTAGATGTATAATACTTTTTTTTTAAATCCAGTGACGTCGAAGTAGTATATTCAGTCAACCAAGCCCGATTATTTTATTATTATGCCTATAATATATAATTTATATTGCATACTCCATAGTACTATTTGTATAGTTATATTTTCTACAAATATTACTTAGTACTTAAACTATACAGAGTATTCAACAAATGCAATAACTTTTGTTCTATTCAATATTTTTGATATATTTATTTTTTAAATAATAAGTATGCCTCTGCGCTACAGTTTATAATATATGAACATTTTTTTTTTAGGGGGAGGGAGACTAAAAATAAAAAATTTAAAATTTGATTATAATTTTTTTTTTAATAGCTATTTTGTAAAATAGATTTTTAGAAAATGTTTGGTAAATGAAACCTTTATTAAACTAGGTTTTTTTATTTTTTATGATTTCTTGAAGTTTTTGCAAATGTGAATATTAAAATATTTAATAAGTTATTAGATAACCGAAATTGTATTCAATTTAATAATTCACTGTCAAAATAAAAACAAATAAACTGTTTGTGATTGGATTAACTTGTTATAGACTCAGAATAGTGATTCGAGTTGAGAATTACGAATTTCTAATATTTTATTATCCCTATACCACTATTGCCATACATCACGGTTGTAGATAGTACTATCTTTATTACTATACACTATAATTCATAAATAATCAGTTTTTCGGTACAATAACGTCTGTATCATAAAAGTACCTTACCTTAATTGGCTTAACCACAATTTATATTTAGCCACAACTTAAAAACCGTCGGCACAACGATACGACTATAATTTATTTAATCTAATAATTTGTTTAGTCTAAGTATTTGTTACTTTTTTTATTGATTTCAAGAGGGACGTTGTATCCCTGGACTATACTACCTGTAATTACAAATTAATAAATTAATATTCAATTGTTTTTAATTAATCTCAGTTTTTTTCTCAACATCAGAGAAACATTGTAAATGTATTGACAATTTGAGTAATAGTTTAGTACCCATCAGAGCCGTGTCGGAGGGGGGGGGGGGTGACACGGGGGCTTGTCCCCAGGGCGCAAATTTTAAGTGAGTGCAGAAAAATTCATCGAAATGATTTTATAATTCTGTAACGGATCAGAATAAAATTATTTATACTTATTACCCATATAGGTACATTATGAGACGCACATATATTGTCTGCGGATAAATTATTAATATTGGAATACTGCAAAGTTCTTGATAGTATGACAGGGGTGTCTCCAGATACTTCTGACGGAGGGGTGGTGAAACAATTAAATTTAAATATTAATGATTGATAAGGAAAAAAACAGACATGCTTCGCACGATGGGTGGACCACTGTTGTAGAAGAGAAATTGGGAAGGTAGGATATAGAGAGGCAACAAAATGTATATCTGTAAGTAAAAGTTAACCGTTGCTAACGAAAAACTATTCTAAGTGGAGCTCGGTTAAAAGTATTGCTTTTCCAACAATATATGTCATATTATAGAAAATATACGGACCAGTAACTAGATTTGTTTCATATAGTTTTATACTAAAACAATTTTCGTCAAAACTTGATATTAAAATTCTAATAAAAAAAAAAATAATACATTGAATTAATTTTTTTTTTGTTTTGACCGCAAAATACGACTTATAGTTAACCTCCTGTTCAATTTCCAAGCATTTCTGTTTCGTCTAACAATTTTATACACCGAATACCGACCAAATGAAAACTATCACAAAATTAAAATGTTTATAAATAGCTTAAATATGGCTCAAATGTTTTTTACAGTTTTACCACGTAAAATAGGTAAGTATATGTTTTTTGTCTAAATTTCAAGTCTATACGAATATTTTTAACTGAATTACAATAAATAACACAATTGAAAATAATAAAAAACATTATTTTCGTAAATTTCTCGTTTTTCGTAAGTTTTCTCCTGGGTTTTCCTAGATATTATGAAAAAATTTCCATTTTTGAATGAAAAATTCGTTATTAGAGATGAAGTGATATGTGCTCAATATTTGAAAGACCTCGGGTTATTACTGGCCGATAATCCAATAATATGCGTAAAGGTGCGTAATGGTCAAATTGTGGAATATTTAAGAAATAGTAAAAAACGAAACTCTGATGGCACTAAAATATTGTAACGTTAAAATTTTTAATAATAATAAATACAGTAGAAGCCACTTATCAGAAATACTTTGGGACCGAGGTGAAACGTGTCAATTAACCGATTGTTTCTAATAAACGATTGGTTTTTATATATGATTGATTTAATATACAACTCTATACATTTTGTTTCTATAATGCAATTGTATCAATTATCCGTATCGTTAATAAGCAGATTTTACGCTATTTAGTTTTTTTATAATAATAATTACATTTTTTAAAACTTTTTAAGTTAACATGTACATAATTAAATAAATGGTGGGAAGGAGTGAAATGTTTAATCTTGTTCCCAGGTGCCAAATCAAACTGCTCTGCCTATTATGTACCTAATTCAAGGTTACGGAGTACTTTTTGACTATAAAATCTACCGTTAGACTCGAGAAGAAACACTACATAATTATGATTTATAGTAGGTGTAATTAAATGTGGTTTTGCGTACTTAGATAGATAAATTAGATAAATTAATATACTAAAATGGGCTTATTAATTATAAAATTGTGACTAGAGGTATGAAACCTTCCAAGTGTTAGTATTTAAACATTTATAATATACGCACAACATGTATTATACGTAAGTACCTGTTTTCACACAGGCGAAACTACGCCTATTATTGACTGAATAACAAATACTGACTTAACTTTCTATCGGTCGCACGGAGTTAATAATCTCCTAGTTTAAATATAAACATTAATACAACTTTTCCACAATAACGGAACTATTTAATATTCAGTATGGCTGTTGATAACAGCTAACGTGTTTCTCTTAAAAATCAAAAAACAAATTACTTAATCATGAACTGGATCAAATATACAACTAACAATTTTTTTTTCCTTTTTATATTGGAGCAATATTTATTGTAGAAAACTTAACTCGTACAAATTTAAAATAATGAAATCGTTGTGCTGTAATTTGAAAAAACAAAAATCGTACTTTTTGTCTTTTTTTCCCACAATAATTATGAAAAATACTTTAGATTTTATTAAAAAAATGACTTTCTTTATCAGTAAAATTAACTAGAAAAAGTTAATTAAGTAATAGAATTAAGTAGAAGTAAAATTAAGATGTATACAGTATACAGGTTGTCCTACGAAGATATACCCCTTGAATATCTCCAAAGATAATAAAGATAATCAAGTTTTGTTTCTTTTATTTTTATATGACTTACAGGGAAGAGTACAAATAATTATATTTTAATTAATTTTTTTTTATTAAAAAAATTAAAAAAATAACTTTTCATTTTATTGTTTTCAGAAAAATAATATTTACAGAATGGCTATCTTAAAGTTTTAATAAATAAGTTTTAATATGATCCAGCGATTACTATGTATATATGAAGATTTTAATAAATTTAAAATATATTAACATTTATATTTATTCTGTTTTGTTACATAAATTCCAGATGCAAAACAAATATATTCTGTATTTCTTTGTTCATGGCAAACTTGTTTTTTTCGGTATCCGAAATATCTAAATATTTACAATACCAGGTTGATTACTACCATTAGTGATAATGAAATAACGAACATTTTGTTGGTAAAAAAATTATGCCATTTTATACAATTAGTAAAAAAAAACGAGTAAATCGTAATTAGTATTAACTTGTATGTTCTATGCCGCAGCAAAACGTCCCATGAAACCGAACAATTTGGCTGCTCTGATTTGGCGTTTTTTAAATGATTTTTTATTTTTTCAAATTTTCAGTAAACAGGATTTTTGTTAGATTTTCAATTCTGAGTAGAGCAAAGAAGCTTATGGTTTTACAAAGTTAGATTTTTTATTTTATCTGTGCGCAACTTTCCTACCAGAAGACATTCTACGTGTAGCATTTTTTCTGAAAAGAAATCTGCGTAGGGAAGTACTTTAGGCTTATTTTTCGATTTTCTCAAGAGTATTCTCATCAAATTCGGAAAACCAGGAAAAACGTAGGAAAATTGAGAAAATCGATACAACATTAAACAAATATTATTAAAGAAAATATATAAAGTCTAGGCATTTAATTATTTTACTATAAAATGACATACATATTGGTGAAAAAGCATTATTATCAACTGAATTTCGCTCAGAATCGTTTTTACGTTAGCAATGGTTTATCATTTGTTTACAGTTATATATTAAATTATCTATAACTGTGGCTGCATCCGTCCTCATTACCATAGGACGTCTTTTCTCTTATTCTGTTTTCAATTTTATTTTTTGTTGTAATTCAGTTCAAAGTATTTATAGAAACATGAAATATACTTGACTTATATTTGATTTTTTTAAACGTAGTATAACTTTTAAATTATTTATATTATTTTTGGGCTATTTATATAGACTATAATTTTGCCTGTTTTTTATGTAATTTTTATTTATTAGTTACTCTGTGGACAGAATTGTCAAACCAAATAAAAATTCTTTAAAATGTAACAAGAGGTTCATTATAAATCCTATTTTGTGTTAAAAAAAAATTTAGTGTAATACTTAGTGTAGTATTTTTTTTGTATAAGAGTTATAATATAAAATTTTAACGAAAATTGTAGTTGTTACGGCCTTTCAAAACATGTGTAATCGAATTTCGTTCAGAACCGTTTATTCATTAGCATTGGAATATTATTGTTTACGTTATAAAATATATAAATTAAATAACTTTATGTATTTTACCTTTCTAACTTCCCCCTTACAATTGCAGTACACCCATCCTCAGTATCATCTTTTTTTAAAAATATTTTTTTTTTTATCTAGAAGATAATTTTTATTTTTATTTAAGATTTACCTAAAGCAAAACTATTATTATCATTTTAGTAATTATTTAAATAAAATATTAAAATATAGCTACAAAATAAATATTATGGCCAGTGATCACTTTTTAAGGAACGAATTTACATGCAATATATGGTTGAAGTAAAAATATAATGTTGTATTAATACTTGCAGATCAGAATTCCTTTTTTAATTATCATTTATTTCCAATTTATATTTATATTATTATAAAACTGACTTTTCCTCGAGTTTTCTTTGATTTCGTTCAAATAACATCTTGTATATTAGGCAGAAATACGGTTGAGAACGGTTATTATCACTGATACCTTTTTTTAGACATTTTTTACTATTACGATTGAGAACACTTAGTTTTATAATATTCTATACAACGTTGCCAAATATGAGTAATCTGAAAATACAACCATACAGTAATCAAACATATATATATATTTGACTTCTGTTTTTTATATTGTATTCGAGTTTAATGAGTATCTTGTGTTGTTTGATATAGTATACTACTGAATCCATCAATATTGATTATTTATACAAACACAATGATAACGAGTTGTACGCAACGAATAATCGTAGTACACGTATTAGTATATTACTCAGTACGTGGTTTCCTTATTATGTGTTGTATGTGCGAAATATTTTACGTTTATACTTAAATAAAATGAAAAATAATCAAGACGTAAGAATTATATCCTCTGAGCATGGTGAAAATATCACTTTTCTTTTAATTGTTCTAAACTCCTACAAATACTGTTTTATTAGAAATTTTGCATAGATATGCTTTTCATAATTTATTTATGCATTTTGAATTGAATATAGTTCAGCAACGGTGCAAATAATTTCATTCTCAATAGTATTGTTTTTATTTGGGTTAGTGGCTATTTTATTGGTCTATTTCGAACGTTCTCAATCATACAAAATACCCATTTTCGACAATATTAAAAAAGGTTTCATTTCTGTTTCCACCAATTTACATGTTGATAAAATTATAATGTAACAAATAAAACCAATCGAAATTTGTTTAACTTTATACTATATAAGAGCATAATTTAAATATTGAATTTAAAATAATTATATTTATTGATAAGATTGAAATTACAGTATAGACAAGAACATTTTGTGTGCCCTAAAATTCTTATCTGTCACATATTATTATTTTATTCGTAGTGATCTATTTAACGTAAGACATTTTCCATAAGACACTAATTATAAGTACCTTAGGTTAAATGGATCATTTAGTGTATAAATATATTTGGTACTTATATTGATAATATGAAACATCAAGATAAAATGTTCCTTATTTTATAGTTATTCTATTTTTATAGTGTTTAATACGTAGGTACTTACAACTTACGATGTAAACGAAAACATATTTGTCGTTTAATAACTAGAGTGTCAGTAGGTACTATGAAATATACAGAAAGTAAAAATATTTTAAAATATTTCTATACAAATATGAAATATAAGAATAATAATTTTATCATAGCAGGTATAAATTGGGGGATTTTGGTGGAAACGGAATTAAAAACTTTTTTTAAAATGGTCGGATATGGTATATGCCTGATATATCACTGGTTATGATGAAAATAATAAAATATAAATACGTTAGATACCTAAGACTAATCTATAAACTGCATCGATATAGTGAAAAGTATATTGTTTATGTAACAAATTTTAATAATTTTGTATGTTTGGATGAGACTGTTCTGGGTATTGAACGTCACATTAAAAATACGATTGTGTCGGTAGTGGTGGTAAAGTACAATATATGTTCAGCAGGTTGCTGAATTTCCGTAGAGTGAAATAAAAAACTATTATTTACCTCCACACAAATACGATTTTTATTTTACTTTACTTCAAGAATGAATATTTTGTAAGAATCTACAAGGATATCAACGTTTCATAAATTTTTGTTGATTAATGATTAATTAGAATGTCTTACGTTTGTTTAATTAGTACCTAGGTTAAGGTATAATATTATATTGTTACGGTCAAATATTATTTTACATTCGACGACTGTCCTATCGTACAAAATACCGTTTTATTTGTAACATTTCATTAGTGTGATGTCAAATAATTTATAGCGTTTATAATAATAGTTAATAAAAAATAATATTCTGTTTTTTATTTTTATTATATGTGAACATTTTAAACATTTTAAATCAATACTATTGACTCGGAAACAAATACATTAAAACGGAAAAATATTACAATAATATTATAGCAAAAAAAAAAAAAAAAAAATGATTTCTGAAGAAGAAAATAATATCGTCCATTATGATGTAAAAGTGATAAACGCATACAAGAGTTATGGAGTAAATAAAATAATTAATGGCTTGAACATGAACGTAGCATCGGGTTCTATGTAAGTAATATACTTAATTATTTCGTTTACACGTATTTTAGATTCAGAGCGTGGCGAGGGATCTATTGGTTTTACTGTGTTTTTTTTTTGGGACTGAAGAACAGACAAAACAGAAAAAACAGAAAAAATAATATTCTATTATTTTAAATTTTGATTTTAGATTCCTCGCTACGAAAGGGAACTATTGGTTTTACTAAGATGTTAATTTATTTTCTTTTTCTAGTGTGTAGACACGTTTTTTCCTAGTAAACTTGCTCTGATTTTTATGTGTAGCAACTTTTCTGAAAGCTCAAGTTATCTTAATTGTACTTTAAAGAGGTCATTTTTTTGATTTTTGATGCCATTTATTTAAAAATAAAAACACTTAAGTGGGAAAAAAACGTATAATTTCACGATTTCATTATTTTATAAAAACACGGACGTTTTCTACTAGTACAAATGATTTAATCGAAAAATCACAACATATCTTTTTTAATTTACTTTCTTACGGTATCATTATTAAAACTTTTGAGTTTTTAAGGAATTTTAATTTTTGTGAATTTTTTTCTGTAATTCGGTTATAAATTCACGGAGAAACTTGAAACTAGGTAATAATACTTATATTGGATTTCCCTAAATGTGGTCAAATTTCCAAAATCATCATACGATTTTTTTTTTTAAAAGCGTTTTGAAATCAAATTTAAACGAAAATATCAAAAAAAATTACGGCACTTCAAATTATGTATTACCGAACTGCACTCGGAATCGTCTTTCGTCAAACAATGGTTTATCGTTGCTTACATATATATATAAAATGACTTTATGTATCCTACCTTTCCAAATTTTCACCTACAACAGTGGCCGTTCTCATCCCCAGTATCAGCTCTTTTTTTTTATGTAATTTTGTTAAAAATATTTGCAGGGATTTTGTATTTTAATAGAAAACTTATATTTGATTTTTCTAGACCTGGTAAGATTTTAAACAAATTTAAAACATTTTTGAGCTACTTATAGACAATTTTAATTTTAAGAGTTTTTACGTGATTTTTATTCGGTAAAATACTCTGTGGATAAAATTGTCTGACTAAACAGAAATGTTTGAAAATTCAACAGGAAGTTCATTATAAATCATACGTTGTGATAAAAAAAAAATATTGAGTTTAATGTAATATTTTATTTTATAAAAATTTTAATATCAAATTTTTACGAAAATCGTAAATATTACCACTTTTTAAAACATGTATAGCTGAACTTCGAATCGCTTTTCGTTAGTAACAATTTATCATGGTATACAGACATAAATTAAATTAGCTTCTATATGCTACATTCTCAACTTCTAATTTACAATTGTACTCGTCTTGTAAATTTGTTCGGTTTTTTTTTTTTAAATAGTTAACTATCAATCACATTATATTTTAAATTGAAATAAGATAAGGAAAACATAATTTACGTATATTTTATTTATAACTTTTATTTGGTTTTAAATAATACAATATAAATATAAATTTAATATGCCCATAATATTTTCCTTTTTTTTCGTGGGTATCTAATATCTATGAGAGTATATTATATCTTAATACTCACTATACATTTGTTATGCATAATACATATGATATTTTTAAACAGTTATGGCCTATTAGGGCCCAGTGGCTGTGGTAAATCGACACTACTCCAATGTATTTTGGGTTCGATAGCATTAGACTCTGGAAGTATTAATTTAAAAGTACAAAGTCTATCAGATGTTGGATACATGCCTCAAGTAAATCGTTTAAAAATTACGAAATCCACTGTTTTTAAATAACATGTTTTAAATATTTTAAAGGATTTATGTTTGGACGGTAAACTGAATATAAAAGAAACTTTAGCATACTACGGAGCATTACATAAGATGAGCGAGAAAAATATTGTGACCAGGATAAAGGAACTCAAAAATATCCTCAGCTTACCAGATTTGGATACTTACATCGAAAATTTAAGGTAAATATATTGATTACTAATTTACTATTGTTATAAATAGAATATAGTACCATTGACTATAAATACTAGTATTGATAATCAATGTTAGTACTTAATTGATTCGTTGAATAAGTAAGTATTTCAAATTTATTCATGATTACGACTGCACTCAATTCTAATTCAGTATGGATGTCTGAATTTAAACTTAAATATGTAGTTAAAATAGGTAATTGTATGGGTACTTACTAGTTAATCGATCTATCATAACTATTATCTAATACATTGAAATATATTAAGTAGCTATTTATATATTTACATATTTAATATGTCCCCGGATGAAAATGTTACCATAATTTATATACCTAATATGCTCGGGTGTAAACAGTTAATATTATAAAGTAAATATACAGGGTATTCCACGAAAACATAGCCATTACAATATTTCCTGAGATAATGAAGATAATAAAATTATCTGCTACTTAAAATGACTTTTGTTCTATTCAATATTTTTGATATATTTTTTTTTTCAATTTATTAGTATGCCCCTGTGCTACAGCTTATTTTTTATACATTTTTTTTTCAGGGGCAGGGGACTTAAAATAAACAATTTAAAATTTTACTATAATTTTTAAAAAAAAATTCAAAACAGCCATATTTTAAATAGATTTTTAGAATATTTTTGGTGGTTGAAACTAAAGTAGTTAAAGTATGGTCTTTTATTTTTTACGATTTTTTTGAAAATTTAAATAATTATTTTTCAATCATAAAAATATTGTTTATCAACATAAATGACCATTATTGATTGATTGATACTACCTAATATTTATAATATAATAATGGCATGATATTAATCCATGGAAAAGAAAATCATTGTCATGTGCCCTGATTAACAACTGAAGATTAAATATTTTGATAGAATAACCACAATAGGTAATATTCACAAATGCAAAAACTTAAAAAATCATAGAAAATAAAAGACCATTCTTTAAAATAAGTTTCAACCACCAAAGATTTTCTAAAAATTTATTTTACAAAATTTTGAATTTTTTATTTTAAGTCCCCTTCCTTCTAAAAAAAAAATGTACATACATACACTGTAGCACAGAGGTATATTTATTATTTAAAAAAAATATATATCAAAAATATTGAAAAGAATAAAAGTTATTTCAATTGACAGATAATCGTGGGACACTTTGTATATGTCATATTTTATAAAATAATTACGTTTGCATTAAACATTTTCTTTAATTAATGTTTATTTAATATTGTACTTATTTTCTCGTTCTTTCTTTTTTTCCATGTTTTTCCCAATTGTTGGGAAAACTTCTGGGAAAATCAAAAAAATAACCTCCCTAAAGTACCACTCTAATCAGATTTTATTTTAAAAAATTTCCATAATTGTAAATTGGAGTAAAATTGCTAGTAGAAAAGTCATTTACAAGAAAAAAAAAAAGCCGTAATATTTTTTTACTAATATCTACATTTCGTACATTTTCCCGTTTTTCCTTTGTTTTTAGGAAGTGATAAAGTCACTGTTGAAGGTGGGAAATTGGGAATGTAATTTGAAACAAATCGTATTTTGTGATTTTTTCCAATCATTATGAAAACTAATTTAGATATCTGAAAATGATCGTCTCTGTCAGTGGCTAAATATTAAATAGAACAAAATCGATCTCTTGTTATCTTTTAAGCGGACAAAGATTTCTAGTAGAAAACATCGTTTGTGAAAATTGAAATAATTAAACTGGGACGCCAAGTTGCCATAAATAATAATTTCAATCAATATGACCATTCCGGTACACGATACAAGTCGTGCACGCAACGTTTCAATAATACCGGCGCATATTTCGTCCTTCAATTGAGAATGACTAGTGCGCGTTATATCACAGCAGTATGCAATATCCATTTAATCCCGTATACATGGCTTTTAACGGTACAGCACAAAGAATGTCGGCGCGTTAGGTTAGGTTTACCGGTTCTGTGACCGTATTTATAACGTACCGCGTACTTCTGCATTGTGTCAGAACCTTTTCGGCGATATTATGGAGTCGAGAAAATAATTTAATAGGTATTGTATTGTATATTGTACACTATGAACATCGATATTGCATTACACCCATTTGTTTATGTTTATTTAGTAGGTAGTATTATATTGTTGTGTTTTGATCGGTTTTTTTGAAAAAAATATTTTTGAATTGATTATAGTGGCGGCCAGAGTAGAAGGGTGTCTCTTGGTATTACTTTGTTCCATGATCCGGAAGTTGTTATACTGGACGAACCGACCGTTGGACTCGATTCGTTACTGAGAGAACAGTACATTTTTTACTCAATTACATATTAATACTTTAAATATAATACATTTAAAAATAGTATCAATATCTAATTGAAAAAATTATATTTTTAGAATATGGGTTGAGTTTAGAAAAATGGTTGAACAGCATAAAACAACAATTATTATAACCACTCATTACATCGAAGAAGCGAATCAAGCCAATTGTGTAAGTACTAAATACAATAATAAACGTAAATAAATATTTACGTACAACACAATAGCACATCACAATATTGAAATGATAAGAAGACACTTTTACCAGTCTATTTTTTCAATACAATTTTTCTTAATAATATTTTTCCGAAAAACAGTTTTTCACAATGCTTGTTTTACTAAAATTAAATTTTCCAAATACCATATTTCTTAATAATTAATTCTCCCAATACTATATTTTCTAATATCACATTTCCCAGTACAAAAGATGATTATTTTTGAATGTAAAGAATATTAAAATATTTTAATTTTTATATTATAATAAGAATACACCCAACAATTAGGACTTAGAACAGTTATTTTTGGATAGATTTATCAAAAATAAACATAATAACGTAATCATATCTTAGTATTAAATCTATTTAGTATTAACATATATTAGTATTTAATACTTGTAGTACCATTTAACATTTAAATATTGATTTAACCTGGTTAAACCATAGCAAGAGGGAGTTCGTTGACTGCCACAAGGTGAGTTACAGCTAATCAAAAATAAAAAATAGGAAAATATAAAACCAGTATCCAGTTCGGAATATTATTATTATTCCGTTTCAAATTTATACAGTATTTTATTTAATTCGCTTAATTGTATTTCTTTTCTACTTCTGATATATTAAACATAATAATTATAACTTTATTATTCTCGAATTTGCATAATGTATTACTACAATATACGTCCTCGACGATTTCCTGTTTTTTTCAGCACGCATATCTACGATAGGTATCGATATGATTGTTTGAGTTCTTGGCATTAATTTGGAATTAAATCGTAATTTGTTGCAATATATACACTTATTTAGGTACCCAATAGATTGTTGAATACTTTTTTGCCTTCGGCTCACAACGCGGTAACCAGGTTTATAGATAATGCTAGTGTAGAAAGAATTGTATTTTCTCCACCGCCCTTTCTAAGCGTATAGACAACCGTCTCACGGAGGAGAATGAGTTAGACGTCGGCACTACGTCCACGTCCGTTTTACATTCATAACCGATTATCAGGATGAGTATAGCCGTCTATGTACCGGAATATTAAATATATATTTTTCTGAAGAAATAAATACAGTCTATGGTAAAACAACAGTGACAATTACCGGGTATATAATATAGGGAGAACCAAATACAGGAGCCGGCTTTCGGTATTTGCAACTACTGTATAGGTTTGGAAAAAAAGGTATGGTTGGAGTGAGCGAGCAACAAATGTTTGCTTCTGCTGGCGAACCCAGAGAAGTCATTTAATTAGTGATGTATGTAGATAATTTATTTCAAATCAATTTATGTACTGTATTTTTTTTTGTATACAAATTAGAAAATAAACAAATAAATAAAAATAAAATAATAAGAATAATAAACGTAGTAACTACGTGTTATTAAATAATGTTCAATAAAAACGAGACGTACGATTATCGAGTATAATATAATATTATGTTAATAGAATATTATTTTTTTCAATCCGGTTATTTAAAAACAATATTATATAAATATTAATTATTAAAGAGTTAATTTAGTTAATTTTTTTATTGTCATTACTGTTGTAGGTTGGTTTAATGAGAAACGGAGTACTCGTAGAAGAAGGTTTGCCTCGAGATATTATTGCCAATAACCACTCGAATTCATTAGAATCGGCATTTCTAAAAATATGTTATAAACGACAAGAAGACAATGTTAGTCGTATTTTTATTTTTATATTATGATCACATAAACCATTTTAAATCGCCTAAAATAAACAACTATTTTGTTTTATTTGTAGCCATTATTAATACGCACCTATTATAAATATTAAAATTAACAATTTATTTTTTTTTTATAACAAGGGGTTAAATGCACTGTCTACAACATGAATTCTAAAATGAAAATTATATTTATAATTATTAGATACCTATTATTATTTGTATTAAATATTAATTTATTTTCTACTCTATAAATACTAATCATTTCACTTATTTATATTTCGGTTATGTTCTTAATTTCTTATCTCTACGACGAAGAACTGTTGTTTGTGATAATGCCTTTATTTATAACAAGTACTTATCCGGACAATTATTTATCCATGAAATATAAATTATAATATTCTGTACTAATTATGGTCATACATGTATAGAATTCTCGAATATTTTTCCAAAAGGATTATTATTTTCAAGTTAGGTGCTAAATATTTTTGTAATAAAAATAATAATTTATTTAATTTAACCCCTCCATCCTCACAAAAAAGAAAACAATTTTGGTTCAGCTACGACCTTGGCTCCAGTATAATTTTATATTTAGTAAATAAATAATTATATTATTACTTAAAATTTTGGGATCGGGTATATTTAAATTATGAACATAATAATTGGTACCCTAAAATACGTTTGTTGAAATGAGGCATTATTATTATAAACTTAATTTATTTATTTGTTTAGTTAATTCATAATGAACATTGTGTTCAGAACCGTGAAGTGATCACAACTGAAGCGAAACATAACAATAATAAATTAATGAAATCCAGTACTAACATGGATTTGGATAGAATTAAAGTGTTAATAAAAAAAAATGTTCGCACAATGTTCAGAGATTACGCGTAAGTATATAAGAAATTTATTATAACTATAAATTGTTCGTAAATTTAAAATACACAATTTCTTCTTTTTCTTCTTCTTAATGAGTTTCAGCACATTAAGCATACCTTCCAACTTCAAATTTTTCGACATCTTTCCTTGTACAGTGTAAATTCTTTTCAATATATTTCTTGTTCCATTACTCTGCCATTTTTTTAACATTGTCTTTCTGTTTTTATTGTGTTCATCTTAGGTATGGTTTTCCTGAGGCAATTTTCCTAATCGGATCTTTATTAATTAACATTTTTAACGGTCTTTCATTTAAGAATTTTCGGTCTATATTAGGCTTCTTTTCGTAATTTATTTTATTATATCTGGTCGTTTGAACAAGTTCACCAACTGATGGTGTATTCTTTCTTCACTTTCAGTTTTAGAATCAATACATGGTCCATCAATTTTTCATAGAACTTTTTACTCGATCACTGCAACTGCTATTTCTTCAGCCATTATCATGAGCCTATATCACAGACTTGGACAAAACTATTGGCTGTGTTACAGTAGTGTATAAATTAATTTTTAATCTTTTTAAAAAACCTTGAAACTAAACATATTTTCTAGACCATATTATTATAATATGGTAATATATTTCCTATTAGTATCCTTCTATTTACTTCAATCTAACATTTTATTGATTTATTTTTTATAACACTAGATATTTGACGCGCATAATTTAATAATTACTGCTTGCATGTTTTGTTGAATAGGTTTTTGTTTACCATGCTTATACTTCCCATAATACAAACATTCGCAATATGCAATGCTATTGGCACCAACATCAATGACTTGGCGATAGCTTTTCAAAACGACGAGATCGATTTTTCAGATTGCCGCCGGAACAATATTGACGGATGTGTTTTCAACAATAAAAACAATCAAACAATAAGTTGTGATATACTGAACCATCTCGCGTCGCTGTATACATTAGTAAGTACTAATAAAATAAGTATGTAATAAGGTGCTATTTTGATGTCTAGTTGTCTTTAAAACTATATGCGTATTTTTAATTCTATTGAAGATAGCTTCTATTTGACCAAACCATATCCTGAAATAAGGGATAAAACGGTATTTTACGAAAATATTGTATGGGAATGATTAATTAATAATATTAATATAGAGTTATATTTAAGTTTATTGCTAATATAAGGCCATATTTTTTTTTTTATTTAGAACGATATGAAAGACCGAAATATCGATGAATTGATTTTGAAAAAATCCAACAACATAGCATTCATCCATTTTCCCAAAAATTATTCCATACAATTTTTTAAATTCTTTGATGATCACGAAAATTACAATATAGAATCGCAGGTTTCCGTAAATCTAACCAAATATAGTTTGTACCGAATATTAAATTTAATTATTCCGCCGTTTTATTTTTTAAAATTTTATGAAATCGCATTAAATTTCAGATAGTTTGTATACAAATCGTTTGCTCATAGATCTGACGAACACGATGAATCATGTGGCCGAGAATATCTTAAACAGTTGCTCAAAAAATCCACGAGCACTCAGTATACCTGTAGTAAGACTTATGAAATCATTATTTGTAATATATGATGTATTAGTTAATTTTTGAAGTTAGTTTAAAGTTAGATTATCAATTATACTTAAACTATATTAGTATACTCGTAAGTATTCTATTTTGTTTACTTTATTATTTAAGTGCTTTTGGGGAGAAAGTGTTTTGTAAAAACAAACAAATTGTTTGGGTGTCTGACTCGTGAGTATACTACATAGAGCTGTGAAAAAAATGGATTTTATAGATTCAATCCGCACATTTAAAGTGATTGACTTGTTAAGTTCCATTTCAAGCTCTTATTTTTACGTGCTTTGTTTGTAAATCTACTAAGTGACAAATGTTTTGGAGGCATTTTGTTTGTATTAGATGAAGTCTGAATAATATGTGCTATTTGCCGGAGTCAAAATATTGTGCATGTTAAATAAATAGCACAATAGAATTGAGTAATTCACTGAAACAAAAATCACTACGGAAAATATACAAATTCAAAGATACGTCGATGACGTTTTATGTGTTTTCACTTGTAACCATAGATACCTAAATTAAAATTCTTAAACGCGGTGAAAATAATGTCCAACAATTCACCAACAAATGTATTGGATTAATTTGATCGATGTCTGCCAATGTCACGCTGCCAAGTTTATAAGACCTACCTTCTCAGCCCAGAGATTGCACTACAATAATTAATAACAGTTTAGTTTTCCGTGTTACCAAGGTAACCAATTGTAAATCAATAAAAATAATTTAATTTAATAATTTAATACTAAAAATACCTAAAAACCGAATTTTAAGGGATCGTATTCAAAAAGAAGTGGATTTCAATAACTATAAATCTTCATCGGACAATGTAGAACATTTTGTATGTCAGTGCGTAAAATACAAACAAATATAGGATTTTATATATTAGATACAGTTACCTATTTTAACTTATTTTTCGAATTTCGGCGTTTAAACCCATCATTCGTAAATGCATCTGCCAAATATTTAAAAATAATATGGTTCAACGTTACTAGGAAAATATTTGAGGGAAAAAGTGATGGGAAAAATGATAAATTTAAGTTTGTTTTCAGAATTGTAATCGAATACTATACTTTAATAAGTTTGTCACTGTTATATTATTAAATAGATACGAAAGGTATATACCTGTTTTTAGCGAAAACTAAAATAAGTTGTTAGTGCTCCTTACAGGAGTAGGTACCTATAATTCCACAAAAAACATTTTACTGCACACACTGTTATAATTCTTTCAGCTTGGAGAAATAATCTTTAATCAACTGCTTTATAATGGTAGGGCTTGACATGATCGTAAAAAATGCTCGTTTCTAATATAATCATAATAATTTATAATATATAATAATATCATATTGTATACCTAAATATGATTTAATATAGTTACTTCTGTCTTCTTGTTTATAGAAGTTAACCGTCGTATCCGGAGTGGACGTTAAATCCTATACTGATTGCATAATTTCAATTTTCATAGTAATGTAAGTATTCAATGAATTTCTTTTTTTAAACATAATATGCTGCATAAAAATTTATTATATTTGAATTATTTCAATAATGTTTAATTTCAATAATCATCTTTTATAACATTTAAGAACATTAAAAATTTAGAAGTATCTTGGATTTAAAATGTATGTAAAAAAAAAAAAAAAAAAAATGCAAATGTATAAATAATCGTTTGTTTATTTGTGATCATGTATCTTAGATATAATCGTTTAATTTCTTGGCACATCAAATTTATTAAAATCTTATTTTTTATAAATTAATAATTAAAGAAATTGTAACTTATGCTGAATTTTTAGATTATTAAATTTTCACAAAGTAATACAACTGTTTAAATGCCATTTTAATTATAACTCAAATAATATTTAGGATTTAAAATTATTATAAGCACCTATAATTTTATTTTAAATTCGATAGAAAAATAATGAAAACTAAATATCTTAAATTTAGTATTGATTAAATATTTTTGATATTTTTGACTTCGTGTTAGTGATATAATATTCAAATAATTGATTATTTTTAGGGGAACGTTCTATTTTCCTTGTATATTCTCGTTAACCATAACTCTAACGGATAAAATGGAAGGAATAATCAGTCGATCTATGTTCTCAGGTAATTAAATACAATTAAAACTATTTTTATTTTAGATTATGTATTATATTGCAATAACGGAGAATTCTGCTTGTCAGACAAGTGATAAAGGGTTAGGTACAATATTTTACTATCGCCTACCGTTTCCTCCCAAAATATTAGAATAAAATCTTATTATGGTTCTTGTGTGCGTATTGCAGCTTCACAGTTCAACATTTATAAATCAAAATGTGATCTATCCGATATGCCGTTTTCCATTTTCTCGTGTCGATTTTTTCCCCCTGGTGTGGGTCTTCAACGACTTAAAATTTAAGGATTTCATTTAGAACATTAACTTCCTTAAAGCACTACCTATTAGGTTTAAACACAGTGGATATGTTTTTTCAACGTAGTTGGTGTTGTTGCAAGCCGCTGTGACTACAACACGGTTGAAGATATAGATTTTGTACGACGAGCTATAGTAAGTAATGTAAATTGTGATTCTTACACAACTGTCACTCAAAAACTACTATGAAATTAACATAAAGCGCTTCCAGAGTGCTATAACTTAAACATTATATACTAAATTGGCATATCCTGATCATAGATAATATAGAATAGATAGGGCATTATTATAATAAATACACAGCGACGGTATAGTGTTTCCGAAGTATAAGCATATATCTCATTTTCCCTATTTATGAGAACACTTAATTCTAATTTTTTCACTTGGGACGCTGGCAGTTAAATTTTTAAGTATCGAGTTCATGAGTCACGATTTTGATTGTTATTGGGCAACCTGTATATTTTAAATCATACAGAGCTACAATAATTGTCTAACCATTTTTCCAAAAAAAGTTTAACACCCATAATTATAACAATAATAATACGTTTTAGGAGTCACGATTGCCGAAGTAGTAATGTCATTATTTTGCATCATGAACGTACTACTTATACTCCAAATGGCTATACCATTGTTTATGGCGTACGTGTTATATGGCCGACCAATAATAATTACCAACGGACTTGTCGCGTACACAGTTTTAATGATACTCGTGGGATGGACAGGTTTTTTTTTTGGTATGTATTCCTAGGCAATAAAACAAAATACAATAAATCATTATATTATTGTATAAGAAGGACATAATTTGCACGATGGCTGCAGCCACTGATGTTGGTGAGAAGTTGGGAGAATAGGATACAGAAAGAAATTTAATGTATACCTGTAAGCAACTATAAAACATTGTTTACAAAATCACGATTCAGAGCGGAGTTCAGTTGACAGTGATGTTTTGTCAATAATATAATTATATAAATCATTATATGGTAAAATAATTAAATAAGCATTATATATTTTTCTTAATAATATTTGTTTATTATTGTACCGACTTTCCTGTTTTTCCTATGTTTTTCCCTAGTTTTTTTCTTCATATTTTTATATTTATTGAGAAAACTTCTAGGAAAACCGAAAAATGGCCTATTTAAAGTACCTCGCTAGTCAGATTTCAGGAATTTTACATTTCCGAGATTTTTTTATTTTTAGTTTTATTTGATTTCATACGGAAAGCATTGTTTTGGTTGAGTAGAGGTGTTGAACATTATATTTAGTGGTAAAAAAAGCTGAACGTAATGGAATTATTTTTTTATTTTTTATAATTATTTTATGTTAAAATGTTTTATATAAATCGAAAATTTATGGCATTTCAAATATATTTTACCAAAATTCAGAATCTTATTTTATTAGCAATTGTTTATCATTGCATATAGATATAAATAACTAGTAACTTTATGTATCCTACCAAACCAACTTCCCACCTAAACCATACTTATCAGCAGTATCAGCTATTTTTTTTACTGCGTGAAAGGCAAAATACATGACGAATAGGACTTCTCGGCCTTCAAATTATTTTGTTTAAAATTGTAATTTGTTATATAGGTATAATTTCTGCGTGTATTTCGTCGTCAACGTTGGCTGCCATTTACGCAGTAAACGGATTTAATTTCTGTCAAGCTATACTAGCCGGTAATTATGTACAAAATTTAATTTTTCGTCTTTTTTTATTTTATACATATTTTATTATTATTATTTGTGATATAAACGACTTTTGTACTTAGGTGCTGCGTGGCCGGTAGAAGGACAGTTTCCGTTATTGCAATTTGTGTCCGAATTGTGTCCCATTCGTATAGCCGGTAATATTATGAACAATATATCCTTGAGAGGTTGGACGTGGGAACACCCGATGGTTGTTGCAAGCATCTTGAAAATGCTTATTTACAACGTAATGTTGTCATTAATTGTATTTATCCTAGTAAAATTTAAAAAAGACGCATGGATTAAAAAATGATAAACCTATGACCTATATGATCGGTTACTTAGCTTACTTTTGACTTTTTAGGTCAAAATGTTTACTATAGAAAAACTGTATTCATTTACACATTGTAATGTTATCATAATATTTAAATTACGTAATTTTCATTAGAATACATATAATTAAAAATCGGAAATATATATATATTTGTATTTGTACGTGGGAAGACAATTTTGAAGTCTGCCACAGTTGTTACCATGAAAAAAGAAGCCAACATTTTTGATAATCATTACGATTTATAAACATTTAGAGTTTGAAAGTGGCGATAATTTTGACGGTGGTAATTAATAAAAAAAGGAAAGTTGTGTCTAGAATCAAAGCATGGTACAAAAATAAAATATAAGATAAAAGAGGTAAAAGATATATCTCCTAATAATTCCTCCGAGCAATAAATTGTATTGTTGATAATGTTTTAAATAAAACAAATATAAAAAAAATGTTTTTTTTTTATAATTATAACACTATAATAAAGAATCAATACCCAATTTTAAATTGAATAGGTAATCGGTAAACAACTGAGTTATTCAATTTGAAATATAGTTTAAGTTAACAATTATTTTGGACCTTTTTTTAATTTATTTATTAACGTGGATTGATAGGGATTCCATGTAACTGATTCATATTATACAATTGTACGAACTTAAACATAGTATAATTTCTAATTTCTAAGAGTGAATCATTGGATTCATAGGCATTTCTACATATAAATCCCAGTATCCTCATTGCTTTATTATAAGTTAAATTAACATATTTGGTTAAAGAGAGATCATTTGAGAGAGTTATTTCAAAATCTTTAACATAATTTTATATTATCAGAGGTTTTTGACTTATTATGTAATTAAATAAAATAGAGGGTTTAATCCGTGAAAATGTAACTTGAAAGCAATTATTAACATTTAGTGAAAGATAATCAACCCCCCATATCAATTATAAGAGTTATATAAGTCCAGTTGTAGTTTTCAACAGTTATCATATTTTCGAACTACTCAATATAATTATAAATCATCTGCAATCTAAATAAGGAAAATAAACAATGAATAAAATTGGAATTGATGTCATTAAAAAAAAAAAAAAAAGAGTAAGGGAGATAAATGGACACCCTGGGGTACACTTGAGTTAATGTTAAACTTATTAGAGATATTGTGGCTTATTTAAACACACCGAATTTTTCCACTGAGATAAGATTCAAATCATGAACATAGAGAACCACCAACAATCAAATATCGAAACTTAATAATTAATTTTTTAATATTAACTAAATAAAAAGCCTTTTTAAGGTTAGTATAAATAGAATATATTTGACAATCAAATTCAACCGTATTATGGATAATATTCTTTATTAATCTTTAATGATGTTAATTATAAGAATAAAATAATGGTAATCAACTAAGACTCGCGGGTCAAATCCAGCCCGCGATCATTTATTAAATAGCCCACCAAAGTATTATTAAATTGAAATTGTAAAAAAATAACTTGAAATTTCAAAAATTAACACTCACGTTAAAGAAGACATGTTTATACTTTAAATTTTTTTCTCATTTATAACAATCTAAACATAATAATTAATTAAATATAACTATACCTATATTAAGATGTATATACAATAAAATATAATATTCTATTAACTTAAAAGTAAAAGTTTAAATTTTTGGCCCACCAAGAATTATTGTATTTTTTTATGGCCCTCTATAAAAAAAGGTTGGTCACCATTAGAATAAAAGAATAACAGATTAGTTGTAGTCGATTTATCCCGACAAAAACCGTGTAATTTTTTAGTTAGAATTGAATTAAACGTATAAAATAAAATAGGCACAATTAAACGCTCTAAAAGTTTAGACAGAACACTAAATTCAGAGATAGGACTGTAATTAGTTGCTAGTGACTTGTTACCAGATTTAAAAATAAGATTAACAATACAAGATTTCTAAAAAAATGGATGAGTTCTGGATGAGAGAGAAAAATTAAAAATGATAAAGACCGGTCGTGCTTATGCATTATGGCAATTTTGAAATAAAATACCGGTAATCAGGGTTAGATTTCGAGTTATACCCCATAGTTCTTAATGTTTCGGAATTGTGTTTGGAACCAAATAGGTACTACAAATAATTTAATTATAAGCAATTTAACTATAGCAGGGGTTGATTTGGGAGAGATTTCAGCCCGGAAAAATACAAATTTCCTGGCTCATTTATTAATTTATCAAATACTCAATTTTAGTCAATATGTATAATCATTATTTTACCAGTTCTACACATTTGTAAAGATATTATACACTGTTAAGTTCGGTCATTTGTAAATCTGTGTGTAATATTTTATATTTAATTAGATAAAAATAGATTAAGTTATTATAGTTTAGGTAAAACATAATTTGAAGTGCTGAAAGTTTTCTTGCAATTTTCGTTTAAATTTGCTTTCAAAACACTTATTAAAAAAAAAAAAATCGACCGATGATTTTGGAAATTTTACCATGTCTAGGTAAATCCAATATAAGTGTTATTAACGAGTTTCAAGTCTCTACGTATATTTATAACCAAATTACAGCAAAAAAATTAAAAATTCTTTAAAAGCTCAAAGGGGTTCATTAAGAGTTTTACTTTGTGGTAAAAAGCAATTTAGTTTAATGTAGTATTTGTTTTTATAAAGGGATTTTGACGAAAAAATTATGTGGAACAAATTTTTTTTTTGAACATATGTATATTGCCGATTTAAGAACGATGGTGAAGTTAGAATTAAGCGCACTGACTAAGTTTCGAAATTATAAATTTTTGAAGTTCTGATATTTTGTGAATATTATATACTATTTTAAATAACTCTATATTGCCAATTTTTGTTTAAAGTTTGTTGTAATTGAATGGTCATGAATAAGTGTCATTCTAGAGGTTCCGGGTTCAAACCAATATGACGAAAATACATTTTTTGTATTTTTTTTCGCTTTTACCTAAACGAGGAAAAAACAAATGTATTTAGGATGTACCTAAAGATCCAAGCCATTTCTCCCTCGGACCATTTTAATCGAAAATACCCCTCGATTTATTGTGTAAATTTTTCTACCAGAAATCTTACTCCGATTTGAAATGATTACATTTTTCCTAAATGGAAATCTGACTGGGAAGATATTTTAAGGAGATCATTTTTCGATTTTTCCAAGAGTTTTCTTAGCAAATTTGATTGCCCGGGAAAAAACATGAGAAAATCGTTAGAATATTAAACCAATAGTATTAAAGAAAATGTATAATGCTTATTTCAATATTTTACCATTATGTGACATATATATTATTGAAAAAGTATCACTATTAACTTAACTGCGCTCAGAATCGTTTTTTCTTAAGCAATGGTTTATCGTTGCTTATAAATATACATTGAATTAACTATAAAAGTGGCTACAATCGTCTCCATTATCCTAGGACGTCTATTTTTTTGTTGTAATTTATTAACTTATTAATTGAAGTTAAGATAATTTAATTAAAAAAAAAAAAAAAAAAAACCATGATTAACAGAGTTTACTTGTTTACCTATTAATTTGACCTACTGATCTTTATTATTATTTATTTATTATAATCAACGTGCATGAATACATTTAAAAAACATTTACAATTTATACAGTTAATGAGCACATGGAAATTTACGAAATGGTGATAATACTTGGAAAAAATGTACAATTATAAGATATTAAATAGAAAACATTTTTATCATATAGTATAAATAATACAAATTCGAAATAATTTAGTTTCATTTTTTAAATAACAGTATGATAAAAACAAATAAAATCTAAAACGGAGGAGATTTTATTGGAACTTAAAAGAGTTCGTAAATATTATAAACAAACATTTTATCCATTAAATCACGTTTAATGGAAAGGTAATCAAGACCTATAGATCTTGAATCAAGTGGAAATAGTCTCTAGAGATAGGACGATAAGTTATATATGCAATTCTATTTAAAAATGTATATTGTACAGTATATCGAGATCATTTATATAAGTGCATAATATTAAAAATTAATACAAAATAAATGATCTAAATTCTAAATTTGCAATTAAAATACTATATGGAATTTTAAACATTTTTAAAATCTTTAGTATTTCTGTCGACAAAACTAAGATCTAACACCTTGTACGGTTTATTGATAATAATTTTATGATTTAATTCTAAGGAAAAAACAATTACGATTTTGATCAGTAATTGTATAACATCTTTCAAGAAGATAGTTATCATTTATCAATTAGATAATTATGTACAAATGAACTTTTACTAGGTATGTGAAAAAGTTATAATTTTCCAATGATCATAATTTAAAGACAGTATTTTTTTACTCCATAATACCAGATTATTCAAATAAGATTGAAAATAATTTAGATCTTCAGATAATTTAATTTGACAGTACCTATTAACATTGCCAGTATATATTTAAATGTCTACTGAGGTACCAAACATATGAGGAAGATCATTTATAAATATTAAGCAAATAAGTGGTCCTAAATGAGACCCCTGTGGTACCCTATATAACCTAACCTTTAGATAGCTTAATAGTCATTGGAATAAACTTCTATGTACACAAGTATATATATATATAAATATATATATATATATATATATATAAACCTACTGGACGGATAGAGCTGAAATTTGGCATACAGATAGCTATTATAAAGTAGGTATCCTCTAAAAAAAGATTTTTGAAAATTCAGAAGAAGGTAAGAAGGTAAAATTGTTAGATATTTTTAGTACGAATATATTACTATTAATTTATTTATTTTTCTTTAATAAAAGGGTTAGGTTACCTTGGTGATACGGATGAAATAATAAAAAATTTGGCCCGAGCAACGCTTGACGGGATAGCTTGCTGGACGAGAGGCTTTTTGATATTATTGGAACAATAATTAAATCTCATTTGCCGATTTATAGGTGATTAACTTGGTGATATGAATGATAATTTGATTGTCACGGACGAGAAAACTATTATTATTATTATTATTATTACTAGTCTTTACGCAATTATTTACCAATAAGAAAATATTAATTTATAGAGTTGACATTAAAATACTATAATGTAAATATGTACATAAAAATGAATCGAAATTTTGTTAGTGACGACTTAACTTAAAAAAGGTAGCCAGATTTGGCTGGTTTTTTTTTTTTGTTGTGTTCGGAATTATTATTAAGACAAGGTTTTTTTATAAAAGTAAATTTTTGAAAAATCCGCCCGGTAAATTCGTAAATTTGAATGGTATTTTTTTATTAAAATCTCAATACTTTTATTTAAATTTCATTTTAATTACCAAGGTAACCACCCGTTAGTCAACCAAAAAAAAAACGAAAAGAAACTTTGTTTCGTAATATGAAATTACTTCGAATAGGTCCATGGGCTTTAAGAAATTCAAAAACTAAAAATGACCTAAAATTGATTTCTACACATTTTATTTCTTTAGATATGATAAATATTTATGATACATTTGAAATATTTAGCTTTTATTAGTTAAATAATCATATAAAGTGCTTAACACACTTCGCAGTTCGCATGATGGATAGGTCATTGTTGTAAATTGGAAGTTTTTAAGTTAAAAAAAATAAGGTTCATATACTGAAAGGAACGATACAATCAAGATTACGATTAAGATCGTTTGGAATCATTAATTTTAATTATTATAGAACAAGAAATAGCCTTTAATGTCGATATAAATTTAGTTATTAATAAGTTTAAAAATTTCACTAAAAGGTACATGTTATTATAAATTTGTCAATTTTTATATTAAATAAAACAATGTAAGTGATGTTTATATGCTATGCACTTATGCGTTATTATAATTTATTAAATATACGTGCCTTGTTAAGAAAAATTTAAAAAAGGGCCCAAAAATATTGTAGGCACTAGGCATTTCCGGAAATTCAGGTCTGTGCACGCTTATGATTGGGAACCTAGAAAAATATTTAACAAAGTACCTACCGCAAGGTGAAAAACGTACAACTGTTAATATACGGTTAAACAAATTTGGAGTTTTACTAACAAGTAATGTGTTTTCCGAGAAAAAAAAAATATTTTTATTCCAAATTATACATTCAGTAGTTTTTTGAGTATTAAAAATCACCTATCTCGAAATCTATAAAATTAGAATACAGAACAAATCTTTTTTCAAAATTAAAAGCCTATTTTTTTTTAATCGGCTCCGTTCACTTTAAAATACGAGTACATGTAAATTAATTTGACATGGTATCAATAAATTAAATTTAACTCGTTTTAAATAAATTAATGTAAAACAAATTAGTTATTAGTTATTGGTATTAAAAAAGAATCAAAGATTAAAATCTAAGTTAAAAATTAAAAATAACTTTACTAAAAAACTTATTAATGCTTAGCTGTGGATTTAATATAATACTATGCATTTTCAGAAATCTATAAAGAATAAAATTTATTATAAAGAATGTGATGGGAATATCTATGTAACATAATTTGTATAATTATATTCAAGGATATTATTATTATTATTGCATTATCCTTAATTATTTTTGTTTTTAATAGATGCTAATTACTATTAAAATTATTATAACTTTCTCATACTAATTTTAAATATGAAGTACCGAATATTCATGAACTTCAATGTGAAAAATAGTCTGTAATACATTATTTACGGTATAAGTTACCACTTAATTCAGCTGAATAACCTTGGATTCAAATGCGGTTTTTGGAAGTTGATATAGATTACGGAAAAACACATTTTAGAAAAATGTTTATGTGCATGCGCAGTTTGACTTGCATAAACAATTTTTACAGATTCAAGTAGAGATTTGTTTTACACAAATTTTGTTAATACAAAATTGGAAAAGTTACAATATGCTGAAATTAAACTGTGTTCAATTAGAAAACTAATAATAATGAGGTAAATCGATTTTAAAATGATTATTACTATTATTTCGTTACCTAAACAGATTATTCGAAAATTTTAATTTCATCATGCATTTGTTACATGACAGTGCAGATGTATGTATATCAACATGCACTTTACCAATCTTATAATTAGAAAAAATATTTTACAAAAATTGTTTTTTAACAAACGGACAGACAAACATACACATACACACTTTCTATCACGGGTGGGCCACTGTTCTAGGTAAGAAGTTGGGAAGGTAGGATATAGATGGGAATTTAATTTATATTTGAACGTAACGATTAAACATTGCTAACGAAAAACGATTCTGACCGGAACTCGGTCAATAGTATTGCTGTTCAACGATGTGCGTTTCACGAAAACAACGATTGTTTAAAAAATATAAAAGGATTAAAAAAATAAAAACTTTAATTAATAATAAAAAATAAATAAAAACGGTTGCCAATGATAACCTTATTTGTAAGCTTTTTTTAACCTAAAAAACTAGTTTTTCTTGTTATCTCGAATATTAATGATAGTTTCAAATAATGGTATTTCTTAAGAACCAACTAAAGCCAAATGTAACAAAAAAATTAGTTGTCATGTTTTGATTGGATTAAGATTGTTAGAAAAAGAGTTATTTACAGACAGAAAAAAACACATCATTGTGAAACCAATAGTCCCCTTATGGCTTCTCTTGGAATCTAAAAATATAATCATCATTTTAAGTCAATATATTCCTCGATTCTTTCAGAATCTAAAAATTACTGAAACTGAAGAAAAATAAAATGGATTTGCTATTTAAAAAAAGCAATTTTACTGCTCATGCATGTACCAAGAGTGTTAAAAATTTGAAATTTATCTAAAAATATGCATTTTGGTACTTTCTACCATGCACCAAAACCCCCATTTTAATCCATGGTCATTCAGCTAAATGATTAGATAGTCGTAATTTCATTAATTTTCAGCAGGTGCAAAACTTCCATAGGTTTAATAATCCAAAAAACCAAATTAAGTTATATCCAAAGCCGCTCGTTTCACTTAATTATATCTAACAATAAACAAATATAAGTACTATTGAAATAAGAAATGTTACTCTCTTCAAATAATTGACATCGTTTTTGTGAATAAACGGAATTGAAGGTAGAAAATAAATTTGAAGAGTGAGGTTCATTAGAACCATAGGTAACATTTTAATGTACAGTTTTAGGAATGCTGTTAGAGATCTGTGCTCCCTTACAAACTTCCAGAAATTTTTTGGCTCATTAACACGAGGTTTTTCAGAATTGGACACAAAACGCTCAAAACATTTCTTCGACATAAACTTATATTGTATCCAAAGAAGGGAAAACTCATGAAAGTACAGCAAATTACTTTTCGGTTTATAAATAGCATGGGCTCTCTTTTTCCTAAAGATAATAAGGTCTTTCAATTCGTTCAAGACCTAACTACTCAAGTAGTAAAACTGGACCTGGGAACGTAGGCTAGTACTGTGTGGTAAAATGCATCGAAAGGTTAAAGTGCTGTTATGTAACTTACTTGGAACTTCTATTAATTGATTTTGGAAATAATCCTGTGTTGTTTTGTTGAAGTTTTTTTCGTGCGTTTTTGAATTTTTAAGCATAATTTGTGTGGTGGAACGGCGTGGCGTGCGGTGTTTTAATAGTGCACCACTACTCTCTCCTGACCTAAAAGTGGAATATTTCGTCAACCGTTTAATGGTATTTCAGCCTCAAAATGTATTGTAACTAATACTCTATTTATAGAATTTTAAATTTAGGTTGCAATTTGAAAATCAAAAGTAGGTAGTGGTTTTACTTCCAAAAATAAAGGTAACAAAAAATAAGATAAATGTAAAATTGTAAAGCTGCTTGTTCTTAAATTACCTTTAGATCAAATTCTGAATAAAGTTAATAATTTCCAAGATAATAAGTGTCTTACGATAGATTGATCGCCCTGTATAAATAGCCATTTTATGAAAACAATTGTTCTATACATTTTAACGCATCATATCTGATCAATAATTTCTTATTATAAACCGTTTTAATTTTTACAGAAAAGGTGTAAAAAACGAGATTACCATTTAATGCAATGGAAAATAAATTGATTCATTGTATTATAAATTGAAAAGTAAGAAATAACAACGACTGTTACTAAAATAACTGATCGGGTATAAATGCGTGATACATTCAAATTGTTGAATAACATTTTTTACAAAATGGTTATTTTGAACACTTTGTAAAATTAATAAATAAAAAATATTTTTTTTTTTATTGATTAGGGGATGAAAATAAAAATTTAGTTTTTTTTAAAAGAAATGTTCTCCTCAATGAAAAGTAGATTACAAAAATAATGAAAATCGCAAAAACTTCGCACGTGGATGCAGCCACTGGTATAGGTTTGAAGTTGGAAAGGTGGTAGTGCAAGGAAAATTTAATGAATATTTGAAAACAACGATAAACCATTGCTAACAAACAACAATTCTGAACGGAGTTCAGTTAATTGTGTTGTTACTTTTTCAGCAATATGTATGCCGGATCTATGTCAATAGATAGTACGAAAATAAATAGTGGACAATAGATCGTGCTACGATTAATAGTGTAGGATGTTTTCAACGCCATTATAAATCGTAAAGTCAAATTATTCGTTGTTAATAGCTTGATATCTGGTTAATAACTGGTTACTATCTGGTTTCTGTCTTATTAATGCACTTATATTACTAGTGTACTTTTATTAAAACTAATAATAAAAATTGTTTGATAAACTAACAACCAAAATAAATAAAATAATAGTTGATTAAGATAACAATTACCGGCAATTGTTGTTTATCTATTAAATGTATAAAATTAAATTTGTTAACCTTCCTGCTTTAGAATTTGAAAATATCGTTAATAACATCGTATACAATAAATTGTCGAATACTATAAATTGTCGAATACTATAAATTGTCGCGCGAACTATTGCCCACTATTTATTGACGGAATACCAAATATGCCATATTATGGTAAAATAATTACATAGGCATTATAATTTTCTTAAATAATATTTTTTTTAATATTGTACCTATTTTCCCGTTTTTTCCTGGTTTATCCCATTTATTGGGAAAACTAGTTAGAAAATCGAAAAATGACCTGTCTAAAGTACATCCCCAGTCAGATTTCCTTATAGAAAAAGTGCTATCATTTTAAATCGGAGCAAAATTGTTAGTAGAAAAGTTGTTAACAGAAAAAAAGAAGGCCATAATATTTTTAACCAATACTTACTACCATTTCGTACATTTTCCTGTATTTCCTATATTTTTAAGATGTGTGGCGGGTACACAATATTGGTTGAGTTAGGGGTTAGCTAATACAAATTGGCGCGGTGTTTGTGATGGTTTTCAGAGTTGCGGCGGTGGTGGTGGAGTTGTAGATGACGCATTTATTGTATTATTAACTTAATAACATGATTTCGGTACTGTACTTGATAATGTATTTAATTAATAAAAACAAAACCGGTTATAGTAGATATAATAATATTAACTCGGAAACACGGATACTAATACTTGAATGCAATAGTTAAATATATATTTATAGTTACAGACATGAATAACTTATACGGTGTGGTTTTTAACAATTATTATTAGGTGTTTCTTTGTGTTTTCATAGGTTTGCCGATATACTTGTAGGTACGTTTAGCTACTCAGTTCTTAAAAAAAAATACATTTTATTTAGATTGTTGACGAACTTCTAGTGTGTATGTAGTTTTTGTAATTTAATTCATGATTTGTTAACGTATTTAGTGAATCTTAGTACCAAAACGATGGATATATTATTTTAAACAACTATATTAGTCGTTCGGAAATCAATAATTTTTTGAAACTATATTACAGTTTATCGAAACGTAATGGCCGTAAACAAAGACGTTCATAATTACGACGTAAAAGTGATCAATGCGTATAAATGTTATTACGGAGGTGTTAATATAATTAACGGCTTAAACATGAACGTGAAATCAGGCTCTATGTAAGTATCTTTTACTACTTTGATTTCCATAATAATTATTAATATTTGTTTGTAGGTATTTTTTCCAAAAAAAAAGCATGTAAAAACAATTTTGATTTAATTTTAGATTCTGAATGGAGTGAGGGATTTATTGGTTTTAATTCTGTTTGTGTATGTGAGCAACTTTTCTATTAAGAAATTTTGCACTAGTCCAAAAATAAAAAGATATATATTTCACGGACTTAAAAATAATTGGAGAAAATAGGAAAAACACGTATAGGGAAATTTAACACAAGTACAACTAAGCAACTCGATAAGTTGTACTTAGCGGTCAAATAAAAAAATTAGAGTGTATTATAGTATTTTTCTTATCTATAATTTTGTGATATAATTTGGATGAAAATCCTAAAAATAACTACATTTTACTACATGTATAATTGACCTTCGGTTAGCCACGCAAAGTGTCTTATTCATAAATGTGTTAAATTTGTTTTAATTTGTTTTTACTTAAGGGGATTGATCGAGTTTTTCAAATGTTATAAATCTAATTTACTTTCCATGTAATTCTAATTTAAGATAAAAGGACGGTGTTACGGACGAATATGACGTTTTAGACTGAAAAGACAAACAAAACTATAGGTAATTTATTTGATGGTTTTAAATTTTTAGATTCTGAGCGTAGCAAGGGAGCTATTGGTTTTACTAAGGTGTTTTTTTCTTTTTCTAGTCTGTGGACACGTTTTTTTCTAGTAAACTTGCTCCGATTTTTACGTGTAACCACTTTTCTGAAAGTTTATGTTGTCTAGATTGTACTTTAAAGATTTATATTTTGATTTTTTATACCATTTTGTATAAATAAAAGCAAATAAGTTGAAAACAACGTAGGAAAACGTACAATTCCACGATTTCATTATTTTATAAAAATACGGACGACGTTTTCAACTAGAAAAAATGATTTAATCGAAAAATCAAAAGATAAATTTTTGTTTTACTGTCTTATATTTGATATCATTGCCAAAACTTTTGAGGTACTTTTGAGCTTTGAAGGAATTTTAATTGTTGGACATTTTTTTTCTGTTATTCGGTTATAAATACACATAGATACTTGAAACTTGGTAATAATATTTTTATTGGACTTATCTAGATGAGGTAAAAGTTTCAAAATCATTGGACAACTCTTTTTCCTTTTTTTAATAAGCGTTTTTAAATCAAATTTTTAACGAAAATCTCAAAAAAAAATACGGCTCCTCAAATTATGTATGCGCTCGGAATCGTCTTTCGTCAGCAATGGTTTATCTTTGCTTACAGATATCAATGAAATAATCTTATGTATTCTACCTTCTAAACTTCCTACCCATAACAGTGGCTGCACGTGTCCCCACTACCAGCTCTTTTTTTTAAACTATTATAGTTTTTTAAGTTCTTTACTAGGATAAGTTGGTATTCTGTTTTCAAAATTTAAATCTGTAAAACACTAAAATTCCAAAAGTTTTTTCTGAATTTTAGGTCTGAATCGACTAAAATATACACTATCATTCCTAAAAAAAATGGTCCGGATGTTGTTTACTAATTTTTCCTAAAAAAAAATTAGACACTGCTTAGCTACAATAATACCTGGAATGCGACGGTACAAGAAAAAAAAATGGCGTTCATTAAACATTAAATAAAACCGTACCTAATTCCTTTTTAATGTTAGTGTTACATAGATTTTAAATACAAATATGATTTTTCAAATTACATTATTTTTATTTAGTTCTCGGTATCTCTTCTTGATAATTTATCCTTGTACTTCTTTATTATACTAAAATGGCCAATAATTTTTTTTTACTTCATATACTTGAATCACCAGTTTAAGTACTAACCGACTATAATAAAAATAAATAGTTTCACCAGTACCATAATATAATAATAGTCATCATCATATAGTGACCGGTATCGCTATAATATAAAAAGCACCCTGTAATAAACCTAAAAAGTATTACCTGTCCGCAGTTGTTCATATGTATTTATTAAAATAACTATTTATTAACTAAAATTATAAGCTTCTTCGCGCCACCTCAGAATCTAAAATTGTTTTTATAAAATACTAGATAGCATGATATTAAATAAATAAAATAGGGAAATCATATCGCAATGCCAAGAACAAAGTTATTTCATCTTCGTATTATACTCTGTATGGCTTTATAGGAATTTGTTTAAAAAAATTCCAAGGTTTTACTGCATTTTAATAAATTGCATGTAAAACAATGCAAATATAATTAAATAATATTCTATTTTTATCTATTATATAACATATTGTGTCATTTAAAATTATTTTTATATAATATTGAAATGTTATATTGTTTTCACAGCTACGGTCTATTAGGGCCCAGCGGTTGTGGTAAATCGACACTTATCCAGTGTATTTTGGGAGTGTTTCCATTAGACTCTGGATGCATAAAATTGGAAATACGAAGTCAATGCGATATTGGCTACATGCCTCAAGTATATTAAGTAAAAAAGAAAAGGAATTAATTGTTCATTTACACGTATTTTTAATTTTAAAGGATTTATGTTTGGATGGTAAACTGACTGTCGAGGAAACTTTCGAATACTACGGAATACTTTACAAGATGAATGAAAGAAATATCAAAAATAGGATGGTCGAACTTAAAAATATTCTCAAACTACCGAATTTTAATAGATTCATTGAAGATTTAAGGTAAAAATAAAAAAATATATTTATATTAGTTTCTAATTCGTTGTTACTTTTCGATCAAAGTGCCCGTCGATATTAATAACTGTTAAATCAAGTATAATCAAGCAGTATAGTTTTATTGGGTCTTGAAAAATTGTGAACCGCATTGATCTTTAATACATATGAATAACGTGTAACATTGGCATCAGAGATTTTCTTTTTCTCAGCAACACGAAACCGTATAAAACCAATAATACTTAATTCATATTCACGATAAAATAATATTTGTACCAAGATGTTCGACTTGACATTTCTTTTTTTTTATAATGCGTGTTAGACAAGGTACTTGAAGTGACAAAGTATGATATCACAAAAAACTTGCTATGGAAATGAGAATTAAAAATACGTGATCAAAAATTTAATAATATTTTACCGATTTCACTGTTTGTTTGTAATAATATAATAATTGTATTGTTGAACAGCGGAGGTGAAAGCAGAAGAATATCACTGGCTATAACTCTATTGCATGATCCAAAAATCATGATAATGGACGAACCAACAGTGGGAATAGATTCCATGCTCAGACACGAGTAATAATATTAATTTAAAAAATAATATCGCTGTTTTTTTAATGTCAATTACATAAAAACGCACTTTAGAATTTGGGACGAGTTCAAGAGAATAACTGAACAACAGAAAAAAACAATTATAATTACCACTCATTACATCGAAGAAGCGAATCAAGCCGACTATGTATGTATTCGACAACCACAATATATTGTGAAATTATATAAGACGTTCAGAACGACAAACCAAAATAAAATACAATAATTTAATTTATACAAAGTCGTAGTCTATACGATTTTTCCTGGGTTGTAGAATAATGCAGTTCGATATACATCGAATATTGTTTTATTTTTGTGTACATACATATATTATAGATTTTTTAAGAGGGCGGAATGTGAGAGACCATCTGTAATCTATTAGATTCTGGGTGGAGTGAAGAATGCATATTGGTTGGACAATGATGTTTAGTTATTTTTTTTTCCGTGAATAACTTTTCAATCTGAAATTCTCCTTTGATTTGTATGTATTACACCTTTTCTGAAAAGAAATTTTAGTGGAGTGGTACTTTAGGGAGGTAGTTTTTTGATTTTCCAGGGATTTTCATAATACATTAGAAAATCCGGGAAAAAACGGGAAAACTTACGAAATGTATTATTTTCAAATCGTAAATATTATCCTTAATATTAACCTTACAAAAAAACCGAATAGAATCGTTTTTTGTTAGCAATGATTAATCGTTACGTACAGATATTAAATTTCCTCTTTACCTTCCCAACTTCTCACCTACAACAGTGGCCCACACATCGTGGTAAGTATGTATGTTTTTTTTTTTACGCCGATTGTGCGCGTAAGTAGGTGAGCAAATTGATATTTTTATATCCAATATATAAATTATAACACCTAATATATTATATATTTTTGTATAAATAATAAATAATACATTTTTTTATATTTCCCGACAAGTATTATAAAACGCAACGATACTTACTCCCTTGCTATTTTTAATGTATTTTTCTAATATCGCAGGCATTATTTTGATTGATTGTTTAACATTTGCATTGCATTATATTAAAATATAATTCATTTAATCTTTCGTCGTTTACTTTTGTTTATATACTATTATATCTATTTAGTATAATAATATTATTTACCGCGGCGCGATTTCCGACTGTCGGTCTCAATAGTCTTTTAACCGAACGTTTTAGATTTTGAGAGCACCGTGGAATATGTTGGTTCTACTACAAAGAGGTTTTTTTTTTTGGCTTGTAAACAACTTTTCTGCAAGAAGCCTTGTTCAATTCAAAAACGAAAAGAATACTTTTTTGTGAAAATTTGGATCTAGTTGGTGAATTGGGAGGTTGGTTTTTGATTTTCCTCATAGTTTTCTCAATTTCTGAGAAAACTCGAGATAATAACTTTGCAAAAACGGGAAGCGTGGTATTAAAACTAGTATTGGACGAATTCCTGAAAACATCGGTACCGGTACCATGAAAAATATTTTATTTATTTAAATAGATACCTAGTACTTGTAGTAGCTTGTTCATCCCGCTTCACCCGAGTTACCAAATAATTTTAAGCTGTCTGGTATCAATATCAGTATATTGAACGAAAAAAAAAGGTGAAAATTCATTCAGATCCACTGAGCTTTGAGTTTTCACATCATTTTTTAAAATATTTTATTGAAAAAAAAAAAAAAAACAGACAAAAATTTGAGAAAAGTCATTGCAGTCAATGCCAGTAGTCAAAAACATTTATTTTATAATTACATTATCAATATAAGCTAAATCAGATTTATTTCTTTGGAATTATCTTAAATGAAAGAAAAACGTAAATAAAAATAAACGAACAAACTTTCTACGATGGGTGGACCACTGTTGTAGGTGAGAAGATGAGGAGGTAGAGGAGAAATTTAATGTATATCTGTATGTAAAGAATAATCATTGCTAACAAAAAATGATTCTGAGAGGAGTAGGTTGTATGTGTTTTGAAAGACCGTAATATTTAAGATTTTAAGGGTTTATTATTAATTTTATTAAGGTTTCGTAAATTTTCCCGATTTTCCCATTTTTTCTCACTTACTATGAAAACCATTGGGAAAAAATGACCTCTTCAAAGTACCACTCCAGTCAATTTCCTTTCAGAAAAAGTGCTACAGTTGAAAATCAGAGTAAAATTTCTCATAGAAAGTGTTATTCACAGATAATAAAAAAATTAAACATTATTGTAAAACCAATATTTTCCTCGCTTTGCTTAGAATCTAAACATTTTTTTAACTTATGAGATATTGTAATAGATTTAATAGACTGTAATAAACTTAATAAAATTTATGATAAAGGTAAACTATAATATTTCTTGGTAGATTATGTTGTTCGTTCTTTGATTAGGAGTATATACAGAGTGATCAATCTATCGTAAGACACTCGATATCTCGGAAAGTATTAACTTTTTTCAGAATTTATTTTATAGACAATTTAAGAAACATGCAGCTTTAAAATTTTACATACGTGTTATTTTTTGTTATGTAAATAAGGGTGACATTTTACGCCGTAGGAGAGTAAAATCACAACCTATTTTGAATGTAATGAAATGTATGAAAGTATTGTATTTTTCTTCTGTTTGTTTTGGAAATATTATTTCGAGATTTTGAAGGGCTCTCTACATTTCGACATTATAATTATAAATTTCAATTTCTCTTTTATTTTTCATCTTGCATACACCAAATACTCGTATTGAGAAAAAAACGAAAATGCTAGTGACAAGATAATACCAAAAACATATGGCAACATTCTATATCAACAAACACAATATGATCAAATTATCATCTTAACATAAAACAAGTATTAACCATATAAATCATTGGCGAACGCCGTTAAAATTTACACGTTTTATTATGATCATTTTCGTGCACATACACTTTAACGACACACACGCGAATGTCGCAGTGAAACTTGTCTTTCAAAGATTCAAAGATGACGTTTTACTATAGATACCATATATACCCATCCTGTACAGCACTTTTTGCTTTATTTCATCCACGTTACCAACTTCTTAATTTTTTTTCGTTTCATTCGTGTTTCTAAGGTATAACATAACAATAATTTAATAATACCCAAAAACCAAATTTCGGAGATTGTTTTCAATAGGGGTGGATTTCAATAGCTATAAACCTTCTTCGGACAACGCGATCATTTTGCGAAAAACCGCATAAAAATTCGTCTAGTAGTTTATGGCATTAGCTGTTACAAAGGTTTATATAATTACATTGCGATTTTATATTTATATATAGTAATTCTCTACTGTTACGCAGGTAGGTTTGATGAGGAACGGAGTACTATTAGAAGAAGGACCACCAGTGGATATTCTTTTAAAATACAATACGGGTACCTTGGAATCGGCTTTTCTGACCATATGTTGTAAAGAAGAAGATAATAATGTAAGTAATAATTAATAAGTATTCTTATCTGTACGTGTAGAAATACGTATTGATTAGACAGTACTATATACACAGGCTCGTCGTAAGATATTTTCTGTCCTAAGACCTAGCGTAAACATTTTACTGCCGTATTTTTTGACGATTATTAATTTCATTTTGCTGCTTTAATTTCTTTCTTTAAAATTATATGCCACTCTAAAACAACGCATGGTTTGCTTGTACCCTATCTATGTGCCTGTTTGTACATTATACATGTATATACCTATTCTTTGGCATACATTTATTATTTCGGCATACAAAATAATATATTTGTACAATATATATTATTGTATTCGATGTGTACAAACTGTTAGTAATTAAATAAATAATAAACAATAATAATTATGAGTAATTTATATTTTATTTAGATGGTTCATATGCCTGCATTTAACACTGTAGTAACAGATAATAATGGGTGGAAAAAACCGAGAAAATCACCGAAAAAAATTATTGATTATAGTAGAATTAAAGGGCTGTTGAAAAAAAATATGCGACTATTCTCTCGGGATTATATGTAAGTATATTTTCTAAAATATAATACGGGTATAAGTATTATTACATTTATTTGTACATACTTGAAACATTTAACAAAATACAAATGATTAATTATTGCTATGATATTCAATATAGGTTAATGTTTACGACATTGGTGTTTCCCATATTACAAACGGCACTCATATGTGCTTGTATTGGAAACAACACTAAAGATTTGAAAATAGCTATTAAAAATGACGAGGTTAATTTTTCGGAATGCCGTTATTACAATAATAATAACGGGTGCGTTCTTGAAAATAAATCAAATCAAACATTGAGTTGCGTCATAATAAACCGTCTTGTATCACTTGGTTATGTTTTAGTAAGTAGTCGTTAGGCAGTAGACACGTTTTAAGAGTATCCGGTTATTTATGAGTTTATGAGTTGTTGGTGTGGGTGGCTTGTCCATGAATACTGTTCCTAATTAGGTGGTGTGTAAGGGGATTTTTCTTTCGATCAACAGACAATAATACACCTTCTATTCGTCGGTAATCGATGTCGGTAACGGATTTGGGTTAAGATAATGTGTATCAATGTGTATAAGTGGAGTTTATCTAAGTATTATAAGTGTATATTAATTACCAATGGATAGATGGCGTTTTGTTGATCGAAGTAAAAAATTCCTCCATAGCCGCCTAATCAGGGATAAATTATAACCACAAATACTAAGCGTGTGTCCTTTCTTGTATATCTAAGTCTAGGATAGAAGTATAGAAAGATAGAATGAATCCATTTAATGTAAATATTTGGCAATTGGCTACCATCCGTAGGATGCAGAAGCTATAGGACGCTAAAGAATTTTATTTTATTTATTTTTTTTTTTCGGTAATTGGTAAACAAGTACTAACACTTCTAATATAATATGGGTGGTTTAAAAATATATTTTATCTGCTTATATTCATCTACAAAATAGTATTGTTCCCTTAAAATCAGTAAAACTATAACCGTATAAAGTATAATTAATTAATTGTATGTACAGAACGAAGTAAAAGACCGTAACGTCGGAGAATCAATTATTAAAAAACCCAAATATATAGCCTTTATCCATTTTCCAAAGAACTATACTAGTGAATTTGCGAAATACATCGACGATCAAGATAATTATGATCTACAATTACAACCGTATATGGATTTAAACAATCATAGTTAGTACCTATAAATATAATATTAACTTAATGTTATTTGTATCGTTTTATATTGTTGAACTACATGTATACTTATGCAATTTTATGACACTAGACACCTTTTTTAAAAATGCAATGTTGGCGGATATAATGGAGACGATGAAGTATTTAGTGCAGAGCGTTTTACACGATTGTTCCAATAATCCAAAAGCGCTCGACGTACCCTTGGTAAGATAAATTAATATATTTTGTTAATAATTTAAGGTATGTACATAGAAGTATCTAAAAACCCCGAACAGTGGTGTGACGTGAAGATGGTATGTGTATGTAGTACCAATTTCTGCCCCTCAGCGATTTTACTAGCACTTCGCCTGTGTACCAAACGATATAGTTTTTTCGTAAAAGTTAGTTTTCGAAATTAGTGTTTTTATACTTGCCGATTCTCACGATCAGCAAGCAATTATGGATGTATTTTTCTTAGTTCTCTTTTAAGTTTGGCCTTTTAACTACTACGTAACAATTATCAACAATGATAACTGTATTTATGAAAATCAAATATATAATTAGTCATAAAATCTGTTTACAACTATTATATTTAGTTTTAGATTCGAGTAGAGCGAAGAATGTATTAATTTTTTTTTATGACAAGTGTTTTTTGTTTCTCTATGTACAACTTTTCTACCAAAAACCTTGCCCTAATCAAAAATTCAACGATACCTTTTTTGTTGTATTTTGAATCTGGTTGTTGCATCGAAAACGTTGCTTTTTGATTTTTTTATTGGTTTTCATAATAATTGTGAAAAACCATATCGGACGGTAACGTATAAATTCATAAACGATAAATATTTACGGCGTTAACGACTTTATTTATACACGATTTTCGATTTTTGTTTTCCACCAGAAATCTTGCTCCAAATGTCAAGAGTAACATTTTTTCTGAAAGGAAGTGTTAGCTAATTAGTGTCCAAGAAAGTCGTTTTTTTTTTCGTGTAGTCTTCTTAATAACTGGAGAAAACCAGGACAGTGAAAATTAAGCAATAATTAATCGGCGCAGATACAAATATAAATTAAATAACTCTATTTATCCAACCTTTCTAACTCCCCACCTACAACGGTCGCATACCCTGTCATCTGTTTATTGATATATAATATAATGTTTTATGTAATTTATTTTTTTCAGAAATTTATTACAGTCACTGGAAAAGAAGTCAAATCGTATATCAACTCCATAGTATCAATTTACATAGCAATGTAATTATAAGTATTTGTTTAATTAATAATAATTATTAATTTTGATTCTATGGCATAGCTGTATAATCGTGCGCAGATGTATATAATAAATATAACTAATATTATTATTTTAATCACCAGCTACCCACACTACCCCTCAACAAATTATACTTATAAAAAAACGGTATAAACATTAAACAAGTTATATTTAAACTGAAAAAGGATGGACATACTTCGCACGTGGGTGCAGCCACTGTTGTAGACAGGAAGTTGGGGAGACAGGATACAGTAGGGAATTTTATGTACATCTGTAAGCAATGATAAACCATTGCTAACGAAAAAATGATTCTGTGTTGAGTTCAGTTGATAGTGTTGCTTTGTCAACAATATATAATATGTCATATTATGGTAAAATGATTTCAACATTGTGTGTTTCCATGACAACAATGATTGTTTAAAAAATATTAAAATAATAAAAAATAAATAAAAACGGTTGCCAATGACAAACTTATTTTTAATCTAAAGAACCAGGTTTTCATCATTATCTTGAATATTAATGGGAATTTCAAAAAATGAACTCTGACTTTCAAATACCACCCAGAGAATATTTTCTCTCAGAAAAGTGCTATACTTGATAATCCGAGTAATTTTTCTGGTGGAATAAGTGTTCACATAAAAAAAAAAAAATAAATAAAACAAAAAATAAACTTCATTGTAAAACCAATACATTCCTCGCTCCGTTCAAAATCTAAAACACATAATTATAAAATATATCATTTTTCCAGGGCAAAGGACATTTTTGTCCTAGTTTTTGGTACCTGCCTTACTTGAAAAAAAAACTCCAGGTGTGTTTATAGTCAAACGAACCCTATCCGAGCGCACGCCTATATTCTACGGGACTATTATTAGTTTATCTTCCGTCTGTTTTATTTTTTCGGCTTTGTTGATGGTAATTTTTTAAATCGAAACTGGTCGTAAATCAATAAAACACACGTTATTACTAAAACTATATTTAATTTAATTCCCCAGGCTATGTTTTTTTTTTTATATATTTCAGTTGTTTTTTTTCCAATTTTAATATTAATTTCTATATTGAACTCAACAATTATTAGAATTTAGGATATAACCTATATATTTTACGGCTAATAATAAGGTGATTAAAGAAAAAAAAACCGAAGTAAACATTATATAAATATCGATTTTAAAACCGGTAAATGTTTACAATTTACAATAATTGAATACTTAGATACTATATACATGTAATACATTATATTTTTACAATATAAATATACTTATACTGTACAAATATACGGTATACGATATATGATACAGTTTTGAATTTTTATTATTTTTATAGGGGAGCGTTTTATTTTCCGTGTTTGTTTTCGGTGAGCGTAATGCTCACAGAAAAAATGGACGGAGTCCTCGGTAGATCCATGATCGCAGGTGATTGACCATAATATTATTTTTTTTTTATGTTTTTATACAACGCGAAAAAAATTCTTCAATTAATTTTTATTTTTAGGTGTCACAAAAATGGATTTAGTAGTTTCGTTGTTCAGCATTACCAATGTTCTGCTCGTGCTGCAAACGTTAGCTCCTTTATGCATAGCATACGTATTTTTCGGGAATCCAATAGAAATCACTAACGGTCTATTTACTTTTGGAGTTTTAATAATACTTTTGGGATGGTCAGGTTTTTTTTACGGTAAGTTATGGTAACCAATATGCATTCAATAATATTAAAATTAATGTAGTTTATTGAATTTATTACTTTTACGTTCAGGTTTGATCGTTGCGATTATATCGCCGTCAAAGTTGGCGGGTATTTTCATCATCAATGGATTTACCTACATGCAATCTACACTAGCTGGTAACATTATACAAATTCTTATGCAAACATATACATTGGTTTTTTGATTATCATGATTTTATGTTTTCCTATATATGACGAGAAATATACCTATAATTAAGCAGTAGGCTGTAATCGCATTCACTAATTGATTATTATTATAGCTAGTTGATTTTACACTTTATTTCTCTGAACTTTAAAAAATTATTAAAAGTAACCAATTTAATAAAAATAAAAAGTCAATATATCAAAATGTTCAGACAAATAGCCACCTATTTAGATAGGCCGTAATATTTACGATTTTCGTTAAAATTTGATTTTAAAACTTATAAAAAAAATAAAATACAATATTGCAATTAATTTTTAATTTTTACCACTTAGTGGTACTTTTAATGTACCTCCTGCAAAATGTTCAAGCATTTCTGTTTAGTCTACAATTTAATCGATCGAGTAGCTATCAAATAAAAATTATTTAACTCACAAAATTAAAATATCTATAAATAGCTCTAAAATGGTTTAAATATTTTGAAAATTTTACCATATCTTGAAAAAGCAACTATACGTTTTTCGTCTAAATTTCAAGTTTATTCGAATATTTTTAACTGAATTAAATTTAAAAAAAAAATTTTAATTATTAACAGAATATTGCTATAGTCTATACTTCAGATATAGTTTTCCGTTAAGAAAAGTTGTTCACATACAGAAAAAAAATACACTCGTATCATAGAAAAATAAATAGATCCCTCACTTTGCTTAGAATTTAAAAGTATAATTGTATAATCTCCGGAGGTGCCACAATGAATATATTTTTGTCCAAAAATAAAATCTCATGATCAATTTTACTCAACATTTTCGTAGATTAGCTCAGATAAATTATGATAAACAAACACCTGTATGTATAGAATTTGTTATTTTTAAATAAAATCTTTAGTTTTGAAATTTTTTGATCACGTAATCATACATTTATATGTTATTATATTATGCATAATAGGCTGTATATGGCCGATTTCGGCACAGACGCCGGTATTACAAGTGTTCAGTGAGTTACTTCCTATACGTATTGTTGGAAGTACGATGGTCAGCATATCGTTGAAAGGCTGGACGTCGGATCATCCATTGGTCATACGGAAAACCGCAATTATGGTTTTTTACAATGTGATATTGTTTTCGGTTTTGATTATTCTCGGGAAATTAAAAAAAGACGTATGGTTAAAACGCTAGTACCAAAGATGGGCCCTAAAACAGTATTCATTCAATCACCAACTCCGCTCAGAATCTAAAAGTTATTATGAATTATGGTAGGCATCATTTTATTGTACCTACGGCGATAAGTTGAAGATTTAAATTATATATACGCAGTGACGTGCCCAGGAAATTTCAATGGGTGTAACAAATAAAAATCTTGAAAAAAGAGTAAAATCGTCTTCTCTAACCATTCGACTTTGGGAACTATATGAATTAGCAATTTAAAAGCCGGATCCTAAAAAAAAGCCAATTTCTAATCAATACATCAAACTTTTTCTCAGAAAATTGCAGAAATTTATGAGTTTAGATATTAGATTACTTATATTTTGTTGTATTTTTAAGTCAATGGGGGGATATAATCCATAACCTCCCCACCCAGCAGGCTACTGAACATAGGTCTATTTTTAGTGTATTAAGATATATATTACAATTGCAGTTTTGTCCTATATAAAATCTTAACCCTATATAAGGTATTTAATTTTTGTTTTGAATTAGTAAATAAGACATACTGCAAGAGTCTTGTATTAAAATCACATTCAAGATTAAGATTGAGTATGTAAGAAGAAAATCAATCCTACTGAAATCAATCATTTGGATGTCAAGAATAACTTTAAGTAAAGTTATTTTTTAAATTTTTGAATTAGTAACATTATTCTGCTGAAAATGTATTCCTTAATTCAGCTACTTAAATTAGTTTATATTTTAAAATTATCTTTACTTTGCTAAGTTATTTTAGATTCTGAGTGGAGCGAAGAAGCTTATGGTTTTACAAAGATGTTTTTTTTTTTTTTTATCTGTGCGCAACTTTTCTATCTGAAATCTTTCTCCGATTTTTAAGTATGGTACATTCCTGAAAGGAAATTGAGCTGGGAAAGAACTCTCATGTGGTCATTGTTCAATTATTTCAGGAATTTTCTCAAAATATTTTCGAAAAACTGGTAAAAAAAACAGAAAAATTTTGGAATATACAGTAAAATATTACGGCCTTTTTTTTCCTGAGGATAACTTTTCTACTAGCAAGTAACAATAATAAATATAATAAGCATAATAATAATAATCACCAATAAGGATAATAAGCATTTTAATAATAATAATCAAATCATTATCATAATGATCATCAATACTTTTAATAATATTAATCAACAATAATAATAATCAACACATGTAAATAACAACTGTAAATAATAATAATCATTAAAAAAAATCATAATCACCATTTATATAAAATAATCAACAATAAATTAAAATTTTAATAAAAGTAATAGTAATAAGGATAATAATAATAAAAAACACTTTAAAAACCATAATCATATTCAGAATTTTAATAAGAAGTATGAAAAATAATAAAAAATATAAAGATCATTTAAATAATAATAATTACCAATTATAATAATGAGTATTTTAATAATATTAGTCAAATCAGCATCATAATATTCATCAATACTTTCAACAGTAATAAAAATCATCACATTCATAACAACTATCATTTACAATAATAATTATCAACAAATATCATAATGAGCATTTGAATAATAATCATCATTTTTTTGATAAGAATAATCATCAATGCTAATAATCAGAATATTTCAATGATTATAATAACTATACAATAAAATTATTATTATTAATATAGTGCTCATTATTATTATTATTTAAGGGATCATTACATTAATTATTACCTATTATACTTTTTATTGAAATTATGATTTTTAAAATGCTCATTATTATTATTATCGTCATCATTGTTATTCTTATATTCTTTTATTACTGTGGATAACTTTTCTACCTCTAAGAAGCAATAATAAACATAATAAGCATAAGAATAATTTTAATAATAATAATGATCATTTTAAAAATAAAAATAAATTCAGCATCATAATAATCAACAACTTTTTTAATAATCTGAATGCACTATTATAATAATCAATATACTTATAACAACTACGAATTATAACAATAATAATCAATAAATATTACCATCAGCATTTTAATAAAATAGCCAATAGTAATCATTTAAATCGTTAAAATTTTGTAAAAATTACGATACTTCTAAATATATTATTATTATTATTATTGTTTATTTCTTCGAAAAGATAATGCCCTACTGAATAGGTTCGTGTGTGAGATATTTAATCGAACTTCGCTCAGAATTGTTTTTCATTTACAATATTTTATCGTTGCGTACAGATATAAATTAAATAATTATATGTATCCTACCTTCCCAAGTTCCCACTTACGAGGTGATGAGTTCCTTCAACAGCAGTATGATTTGTTTTTTTTTTTAATTTAAATAATCATCATATAATATTTCAATATTATCAATGCCATCGTGCATTCTCAAAATTAACTATTGTGAAATTAAAATTCCGGAACACTGCAGGTACAAAGAAGCTGGATATAATTTCATATAAAAATTATGTTCCTGTTCGTCGAACTGCAAAAATTAATTAATAATACTTTATATTATAACGACGAGATCATTGGCCATTTTTTAATTATTCCATCAGTTAATCGACGCGTCTGACGCTGAGAACAATAAAATTATAATTATTTTAAATGTATTATATTACAGTTGGTTAGGTTATATATTTCTTATAATTAATAAAATTACCAGACAAATTCCTTCAAAAATCCACTGTGTTGTGGTGATATTCTTTCTGCAGCATTCTTTCTCTTTGGAAAATACTTATATCTAGGGACAGAGTGTGTAAAAAAATCAAGCCAAAAAAATTAATTTCCTTCAGAAATTTTAAATTAAAAATTCTTCGGCAGGTAAAATCACTAATTCACTGAGTAAAATGCGACTAAATATAAAAAAATAAATTAAGGAATACACAGAGAAAAAATTATACGAATTGGTCGTTTTACATATAGATAATTTATTTAAATAGAAAAGATTATTTTAAATTATTTATTATTAGACATAGATATGTTAAGGAATATAAATTATTTGGTTATTATTTGTTGTCTAAAATGTATTAATACACGATATTATTTTTAAAATCAGTTTGAACATTTAAAATATTATTGAGTAGTTTTTTTTCCTTATTTCATTGTATACATGTAATTCTACTAAAACTGAACTAATGTAAATGTTATTTTGGGTATTTAATATCTCTAAGTCCGTATTAATAGAAAGATTATATATGGTAATTTTCTAAAAACTTGTTTAGCAAAATTTGAATTAAGGCAGTCTTTTTAAATTTTTTCTTTATAATTTTGTACATCATGTATTTTCTTTCTATAATACTTTTTTTCTGATTTGTAAATTATTGTAATTTATTATACATATGTTATAGTTATACATTTTGATTGAATAAAGCTGCAATTGGAATTTTATTTCCGTTAATAAATGTCTTTATTATTATTATTTATTTATTTATTTAATTATTTATAATTACAATATAGAGTGTGGTATGATGTAAAATCCAAATCCGTAGAATTAAGATTTGACATAAAATCTATAATATATCAAAAAAAAGTAAATATTATCATAATTACAGGCTTTAAAATTATATATAATAGAATTTGCAAAGATTTAGATACCGGTGGTAGTATGAAATTGGCAAATTAAATTTAGTATTGGGTGATAGGCATCTTGTAGAGGTGTTAATGAGATACCAATTCAATACATTTTGATAAATAATATGTAAATTTAAAAATTTTGTTGTTTTTTCTCTTTGTTAACAATTTCGGGAACTCTTCTAACAAATTTAATAGTAAAATCTGGCTCACTTGATAAGTGTTGGTTTAGTTAATTTAATTAATTTAATTAATTAACTTACGTAATTTATTCATGGAGTCTCTTTGAATTTGAGTACGATCCGTACTGATACTAATTTGAGATGATGTATTTTGATGTGATAGCTGATGTTTACACTTGATAACATCGAACGCATCGGCGAACGTAGAGAAAATTATTTTTAATGGTCGTGGTTTATTAATATTACCATAACGCCCAAGACGAATGATCTTCACTGGCGCAGGTCTAACATAGGTTTCAGTAACGATTGAACAATTACAATTAATTACCTGTTCTAGACCATGAGAATTACGAACTTCGATCTGATTTGAATCGTATTCAGCAATATTATAAAAGATAAGATTGGAGGCTCAAGTGTTTTGACCATTAATCTAATTAATTATAAAATCATTATAAATGGTTTAATCGCATCTGTTGGTTGGAATTTAATCTTTAATTCTTCAACATCAGCGAGAAGCTTATTTATTAGAAGTTTTAAGTCTGACAGTTCTTTAAAACCTTGATTAGATGAAGTACAAAAAAATGTATAATTCCTATTCTTAAGTGAAAGACACTTTATTTCGGTCGCAGAAAGGCCAGTACATTTGTTTTGAGCTGGTTGAGAGCAGCTGTCACAGTAAATTGGCTAATCCAAATTACCAAAACTAGACTTACATACAAAACAAGCTAAGATAGAAATCATTAAGTGAAATATTGAAGAGAACGCAATAAAACAAATTTAATGAAAGATAAAATAAAAGACCGAATAAATTCAACATAGGTACATAAATGTAAATTTCAGATAAAAGAGCACTAAAGGTCCACCCATAACTAACCATTATTTTTACGAATATTATTTATTATTATATTAAAAATAGTTTTGATTAATAGTTACGTTTATTGATTGAATAATTTCTTGTACTTCGTTTACATTAAATTTATTACTATGTATAAGTTTATTTTTTTTTAAATGTACTGTTTCGTGTTCAGTAATGGATGTATATACATTTTTTACGTTAAGAGAAATAGTTTGTAACCTGGCTATATTAATTTTATTAATTTTTTCAATGAAATCATAAGTGTATTTTTATAGAAGTATTTTATATTATTTTTGGACTTTAGGTATGATTTCATTAGAATTAGTTATCAGTTTATTGATTTGTTCAGTGTAATTTATAGTTGAGTCATATACTCATATGTTAATTTTTGAATATTATTATTATTTATAAAATCTAACGTTTTTTTTTATGAATTTCATTAGTGTACATTATAACAATAGCATTAGATTTTTCTACTGGAACTATTTCTGAATTATTTGTTTATAATTTATTCACTATATTGTTTATAATTGTATTTATTCGTTTAACCATATTATTTCGATTTAATATTTTATTAGATTTATTTTTGTAGTTTTAATTGAGGTATTATTGATGTCTACTAGTGTTGTGCTACGATCTTAATAAAATTATTGCTCCCTGAAATGAAAATTGAGATTTCTCGAAAATTATTTGGTTAGAAATTGTTTGATGTCTGTTACAATTAGTTACTAAAAGATTGATACATTTTGAAATTGATAGAACAAAGTCGGCCACCTTCATAAACGTCTAGATAAGGAGCTTATTATGAAAATATTTTCATAAACATAATATGTGAAATGAGGATATTTTCATATTGTAATAATGATAAACAGTTAGCTATAGATCGAATATTGGGTTTAAAATTTTTATTAATAAATATATTTGTCAAATTTATCATAAATATCAAAGGTTAACGACGGTTTTATTTGCTATTCATTTCGTTTCTACGATAATTTAAAGACGTTTATTTTAAATATTATCGTAATGATTTTTACTTATTGACTTCCAAACGACGTTTTCTACTAAAAAAAAAATGATTTAATCGAAAAATCAAAAGATAACTTTTTTGTTACCTTTTTGGTTTACTTTCTTACGGTACCACCGCTAAAACTTTTGAGCTTTTAAGGAATTTTAATTTTTGGGAGTTTTTTTCTGTAATTCGGTTATAAATATACGTAGAGACTTGAAACATGGTAATAATACTTAAATTGACTTCCATACACGTGATAAAATTTTCAAAATCATCGGACGACTTTTTTTCCTTTTATTAATTTGTTTAAAATAGTACTTTATTATTTTTTTTTTATATATACTGTAGACCACATTTATTCAAGAAAACTTGCTCTGGTGTATAAGTGTAGCATCTTTTCTGAAAGTCAATTTCACCTAATTGGTATATAGTTGGTATAAATATATAGGTCATTTTATGATTTTCGAAATGGTGTTTGAAATAAAAAAAAATACGATTTTTTCACGATTTCGTTATTTAAAATGAGTATTCACCACGTTTTCTAGCACAAATATGGTATCAATTGAAAAACGACAGGAGACCTTTTTTTGTTAAATTATTAATCTTGTTTTTAATTTTTTTTGATTTCCGAATTAGATTTCATAATAATCAGGAAAAATAGTAGGAAAGTTAAATTATGTATTACCGAATTGCTCTCGGAAACGTCTTTCGTCAGCAATGATTTATCGTTGCTTACAGATATAAATGAAATAAATGTATGTATCCTACCTTCCCAACTTCTTACATACAGCAGTGGCCGCACCTGTCCCCAGTATCAGCTCTTTTTCTTCTATTTACACATCAAGCCAATGGGCCATTTAGCTTCCAGGATATCGGGATTTTTCCCAGTACCCCAATGGGCCACTCCGCTCCTGCTTGTATCGATTTCAACAATGTGTAAACGAATTTCGTTACAAATCGTTTTTTGTTTGTAATAATTGATCGTTGCTTACAAATATAAATTAAATAACTTTGTTTAGTCAAACTTCCCGAATTCTCATCTACCAAAGTGGCACACCCGTCCATAGTATCAGCTCTTTTTTGTAATAAAATATCTACCTGAAATAATAAGCATTTTTTTTTTTTGATATCATATAAATACTTGAAAATTATATATACCAAGTTCATAGAACTACGTTCATTTCATACTATATGAATAATATAATAATAATCACAAAATAATTTTTTATGGTAATTGAACGAATTTATGGATACTGCCCGATAAGTAAAAATAATGTTCTTTATCTTACTCCATAAATGCATTTGTTATCAACCATCATAATTCATCCAATGAATATCATGGATATCATCAAATTGTGAACAAATTCCTAGGTAATTACATTTTAGTCTTAGGCGGTGTTAATATTATTCGAGTTGGTACCTGTTATTTCGTCATTTCAATAGTACGTAAACTATAATAATGAAAATTCAGTATAGATTCACTGTATTAAAATTTATAAAATAGTCTGTGTTTGTGTTAACCATAGGCATGTGTAGACTTTGCTGGAAGGAGGAGCGGGGGGATATGTATAATATATATTTTTTATTATTTAATACAATATTTTTAATTATATATGATATGTAATATAATTAAATATTATTTTGTTTATTACTTAGTTCAATTAATAATAGTTATGGAAGTATAATAATTGTATATATTATTAATTTAATTACAAATTTAATAAAATAGTTAAAATTTCACAGTTTTTGGAAGAAAAATTTAGTCGCAGGAGGGGCAGCTATCCACCCTGCTCCCTCCTTGCACACGCCTATGATATTAATGTAGCATAATTATTATTGACCGTTTAGCATTCTGGAAAAAACTTTTCCTCACCTTAACAGGTGATAGTATATCAGTAGATACTACCAATGTCAATTCTAAAAATTGTAAATAACAGTGTAATGTAAGTCTGTTAATTATTAGTTATTTAATAATATTCGTTTTACCCGTTAAAAATCTAAATGAATATTGTCGAAACGTAAATAAATATTTTTAATTACAGATACTAAATAAAATTATCATGTTTACTGGACAACTTAACAGTTCTACTGAATTCGATATAAAAGTGATAAACGCGTATAAAAGATATGGACAAAATCCTATTATCAGCGGTTTGAACACGAATGCGGTGTCGGGTTCTATGTGAGTAATTTTATATTTTATTATTTTGTGTTGCAAAAGAGTGATATTAAATATTTGTTGATTTTTTACTGTTTAATAGTTTCGGTGTTTTACTAAGTTTTTTTTTCCTAAGATTTCCTTAACGCTTTCAGTTTGTAAAAATACCTACAAATTTTATTTTCAGTGGAAAGTACTTAAAACATTTTAGATTTTCAACGGCTAAACGATTTCATGGTTTTACATTTTTGTAATTTATGTTTTCTACTAGAACTCATGTTTCAATCAAAAAAATAACAAAAGACCTTTTATGTCCATGGAATTTTGGTTGAGATACTGGTCTCAAAAAATAGTCTTTATTACGCTTCTGGTTTATAATTACATTTTGTTACAATATATAATATAAACCAGTAGCATACGTAGGGTTTTTTTTTCTGGAGCGTTGTGTTTGCAATAATTCAATAACTCACACATCAATGATATCACATAATATTATTTTTATTATTTTCAGTACAGTACTGTAATTATTATTAATGAATAAATTAAGAAATAATTTGATGCAATTAAATATATACTGTTAAATGTAAAACTTGATTTAAACAAATTTAATGAAAGAAAAAATTTCGGGGTGAGTGGAGGTTCTGACCCACTACTCCTCTATGTGTGCGCCACTGATGTAAACAGGAAATAGCCGTAATTTATTGCAAAGGCTAAAGAGTCAGTTTATTATGTGAATCACCACAATACGATGCATACGTATATTATAGCACTAAGGAATCTCAATGACCGTTAGTTTAATAATTATTCGTACTAATCGTTGTTTAATATTACTTTGGATAGTGGAGGCCAGCGCAGAAGAGTATCTCTTGCAGTTAGTTTATTGCACGATCCGAAAATTATTATAGCTGATGAACCGATGGTTGGAATAGATTCCGTTCTGAGACAAAAGTAAATAATTGTTTAACTAAAAGCACTTTTAATTGCAATTTTAATGAACTCAAACACGATTTATTATAATTTGGTCCGAGTTTAGAAAATTAACAGAACAACTCAACAAAACAGTATTAATAACTACTCATTATATTGAAGAATCAAATCAAGCCAATTCTGTAAGTAAATATTATTAAATTTATAACTGATTGGACATTGGGTAACATAACAACAGCAACAACATAATAAATATAACTTAAGAATAATAGAACTATAATAGAGTTAAAGCGACGCAACCGCCTAGTAAGAAGCTATTGCCTGTGTCCGTATGAAAGGTAAGATGAATCAGGATAGAAAATAAAGAAAGGTGGCCCGTGAGGTGAAAAGGAACGCGGAATGAAACGTAGACTAATTTATATGTATCTTTAGTTACACACCCGAACATTTTCAACTAAATAAAGAATAAAAAAAATTGAATATTTACAATACGGTTTCTATCATTACATAATTTATTTCAAGGTCATAGGTTCATTATTCTAAACAATTATTAATAAAGTGGTTTTTTTTTTAAATACGCATCTGTATTTTAAGAATATTTTTTATGGAGCACAGGAGTTCTCAAAAAGCTGCATATAGTCGCTTCCATGACAAAACCGCATATTTCGAAATGATGTTTTCTTTAAAATGATAAGACACCCATTACAGTTTTTTTTCCTCTTGTAAATTATCGAAAAATCAAGTTATGCGGTTGTGCCATAGAAGCGATACATGAAATTGAAATACATTTGTTTTTAAAAAAAGCAGTTTTAACGATGCATACGAAAAGTAAACAAAATTATTTCTAAAAAAAGAAACCTAACATTTGTATAGTTAATATAATATGTATTGATAGGTACATTTTGTGTCATTTATTACATAATTGATGAAGAATAGTTTTTGGCAAAAATTAATATTTGTATTCCTTAAACTAAATAATGTTAACTATTATAATTAATAATAAAATATAGATCGGTTTTATGAGAAATGGATCTGTGATTGAAGAAGGGTCGCCTCAAGATATTCTCACCAAATATGAATCCGAATCGTTGGACATGGCATTTGTACGTCTATGTTATAAACAAGAAGAACAAAATGTAATATAATTTTTGTTCATAGTGTTTTTATTTAATTAAGCAAAGTTTAGTATCTTAAATAATAGAACTCAAAGTAAAAAAAAATAAACGGACATACTTCGCACATGTGTGGGCTACTGTTGTAGATAGAAAATTGAATGTATATTTAATTTATATGCAAAAATTAATCATTGTTATCGAAAAACGATTCTGAGTGGAATTCGGTTACACATATTTTGAAAGGCCATAATATTTCGTCAAAATTTGATTTTAAAACTCTTATAAAAGTCTCTTATAAATTTAATTTTTTTTTTTATCAGTTTGTACGTCTTATAATGAATTTACTATACAATTTTCAAGAATTTTTGTTTAGTCTAACAATTTAATCCACAGAGTATCCACCAAATAAAAATTACGTAAAAAAAAGACTCAATAAATTAAAATGTCTAAAAATAGCTTAAAAATGGCCCAAATGTTTTGAATATTTTACCACGAATAGAAAATAGTAGGGTTGGTTAGGTTAGGTACAAATTTAAAATATAGGAATTCTAAAGCCATAAATGTATCAGTTTTAATTCTTCGTGTTTTTCCGGTTTTTATTAATTATTATGAAAAAAAAATTGGAAAATTAAAAAGTGAATTACTTCAATTAATAACTCAATATATATTCAAATATCACTTGTCGTTTTTCTGTTGGCACAATATTTTTGATAGAAAATATTGAAAATAATGAAATCGTATGCCGTACAAATTTGTTTGTTTTTCGTCTTTTTCTGGTTTTCTAAATTATTACTAAAAATACTTGAAATATCAAAAAAAAAACGACTTTCTTTGTGAGCATCTAGATTCAAAATTCAACAAAAGAGGTTTCTTGGCTACGCTCCAAATCTAAAATAATAATTATAATTTCTTCAAATATAAGTGTGCGTAGAATATTTTCACTGAGTGTTCCGAATAAATTTAGTTGGAATAACAATGGTCGTGGTTGAAGATCGGGTCAAGGGTTCAATCTGAATCATGAGAGCTGAATTTTGCAGGTAATGTACAACAGCACCGTTCCCAAACTATAATAGGTAGTTAATAATATTTGTATCCTGATTTATTTCCATTTTATAGTTTTGATTTTAATTTTGATTATGAAATTTCTCTTTATTGTTGTGTGAAGAGCTGTTGTGTAGTTTAATGAAAGGGTTTTAGTGTTTTACTTTAGACATTTTGTTATAAATGGAATATTTATTACAATATAATATGTCATTCCATAATAATTATAATAAAACATTTGAATTAGTTTAATACCTAGGTCATCAATTACATTGTAAACAGAAATTTTATTTAGACTGTCTATGTTGGCGTTAAAGATATGATTAAATTTGTCAAACCAAAAAAGTCCAATGAAATATTAAATTATAATAGAATAAATGCTGTTGAAATATTTATGCTCATTTTCTCACGATTATGTGTAAGTACCTACTATTTTAAAAACCCGAAATATTCAAAACATTTAACTTAGGTATATTATGAACCGTTATAATTCACTATACATACATTTTTTGGTTTTCATTTACAATGTTAATATTTCCCATTTTAAAAGCGGTATTTCTTTGTACTTGCGTGGGGACAGATTTCAATGACTTGGGAATAGCCTTTAAAAATGACGAGATCAATTCTTTGGATTGCTACAAGTCTAATATTGATGGATGCATTACTGATTAAGGAAGCAATCCAACAATAAGTTGCATTATTTTGAACTGTCTTACATTACTTAATTATATTTTGGTAAGTCAGCTCGGGAGATCATTTCGATTTTTAAACGTACCTTATAAAAAAAACCATTAAACTGGAGGTTTAATTGATATTTGTCGGCATACCTATTGCTAAAGGAGAATCCCAGAACGTGTTGGTTGGACCGAGTTAAAGAAGGCTTTAAAAAATGGGAAATATTTGATTGGGAAGAATATATTTGAGGTAGAGGCAGATGTAAAAAAGTTGTGTTGAGAGTAAAATGCTCTGAAAAAAAAAATGGAATGGATTAAATTGTAAAAATAATTTATATAAATCATTTATTGTACTAAGTAACGGCATTTGCATTGTACAATAATAATTATAAAGCCAGGGCTCAGTACTTAATGCATTTAAATTTTACAAAAAAGTGCTAATAAATATTTAAAAAACAAAAACGGTAAAGGGGTTTTGAATGTTTTCTGCTATACATAATAAAATACATGCACACATATAAACACATGTATAAAAAAAAAGAACGGTCATACTTCGCACGTGGATGCAGCCCCTGTAGTAGGTGGGAAGTTGAAAAGGTAGGATACAGATGGGAATTTAAAGTATATCTGTAAGCAATGATAAACCATTGCTAACGAAATAACTATTCTAAGTGGAGTTCAATTAATAGTGTTGCGTTGTCAACAATATATATGTCATATAATTTAAATTATTCTTTGAATGTATTATATTCCTTATTGTAAACTGTGAATACATGGACCCCCCCACGAAACTTTTCAGTGGAGCCCATTATTATAAACAATAATAATAATATCATGGTAAAATAATTACAATGTGCGTTTCCATGAGAACAATGATTGTTTAAAAAAGATTAAAATAATAAAAACTTAATAATAACAAAAAGTAAATAAAAACCGATTGCCAATGACAACCTATTTTTAATCTTTCAATCTTTTTTAATCTAAAGACCAAGGTTTTCCTGATTATCTTGAATATTAATGAGAATTTCAAAAAAATGACCTCTTTAAAGTACCAATCAGAGAAAAGATTCTATACTTGATATTGAGAGTATGCTTTATGGTTGAAAAAGTGTTCACATCAAAAATAAATTAAAAAATAAACATCATTGTACAACAAATACATTCCTTTCCACTCTTAATCTAAAAATGTTATGACTCTACAAAAATGATGAACACTAAATATTTTTTTTAAAATAATATTGCAAATTAAAAGTTAAAGCAGTTAAAAGGAGGGGGATTTTTAACTACTGTACTATTTTTGTTTTTTATGTGGTTTTTTTGTGGAATAATAGCTTAATAATAATTAATAGACTTAATAGCTTAAGTCTCGAGCCCTGTTAATAACTATAATTAATATATATTTTTAGGATGAAGCGGAAGACTATAAGAGCGTAAATGGATCTTTTATGAAAAATCCTAAATACGTTGCTTTTATTTATTTCCCGACAAACTATACCAGCAAATTTGTCAATTTTATCGACCAACGTAAGGGTTATGATTCTCATTCACAGGTGTATATTCAAATTACTAAACATAGTAAGTGAAATAGATTTTATTTTTTATGTATAGTTAAAGATTTAATAATATTCAATTTGTTAAATAAATTTTTTTAGAGGTACTTCTTATGATGTATACAGCAAATAAAAATATCTGTAAAATGTTTGATCGGTTACTCAATCACTTCCCGTTACTCAAGGGGGTTAAAAGTTGAGAAATAATTATTTTTATTTCGTTTATAATTCAAAAAATTAAAGTTACGAAAAAAATCATGGTTTAAACAATTTTTTATAAAAAAAAAAATGAATATACTTCATATTACAGGTAGGCACTATTGTAAGCAGGAGGGTAGGATATACAAAGGAATTTAACTTAGTATATATTTGTACGCAACGATAAACTATTGCTAACAAAAATTGGAGGAAGGGGTTGAGTAATGGAATCCAAATCGTACAAATATTTTTCATTTTGTATAATATAAAACAACATGAAAGGGTATTGTAAATAAAATTTAAAATTTGAAATATATGGACCGTGTTTGATATTACCAAATGCAGGGGCGTGTCTAGGGGAGGGATGTTAGTTTTTCAACCTCCTCTCCAAAATTTTAATGAATTTAGTAAAAACAGTATTGCTTAATATTAGTATACAATTTAAGGTTTGTATTACAAACATTTACTAGAGACCAGAGTTATTTATATAACCCGTCTATTAGTACTATAGAATAGATTGACTGTCTTTCCTTGAAATCGAAAATGTTTAGGTTAGGTGTAGTGGACTTTTTTCATTTCGTTATTATTTTTCGAAATTGTTCAACTATTGTTTTAATCAATACAAGGGGCCTAGTAGTGGATACTGTTTAAACTTTAAACGCCGCACACCACGCCGACATACAAAAATGATGCTCCACTAATCTCCCCCTACCCAAACTTAAAAGTGGAAAATCCCAACGTGTTGACTGTAATTAAAAATGCCACACTAAAATATATCTAAACTAAAACTTTATTTATTTATGGAATTCTTATTATATTTTACTAATATTGAAAAAGTAAGTTTTACCTGAAAAAAAGAAAGCAAAAAAATCACGTAACATTTTTGTACATATGATTCCAAAAAGTTTTTACATAGGTCTTAAAAAAAAAAAAAAAAAAAAATTGTATTTTATGATTAATTTGACTGTAACATGTATATTTAAAGAACCATGTATTATACGAAATAAAAACCTAATAGCGATAACTAGATTTCGAATAAGAGATTACTAGTTATCATTTTAGATCATTTAAGAGTTATATATTATATCTACAGATGAGGTTGTGTAGTTTTTAGAGAGTTTGGGTATAATATAAATCAGTTATTTATAACGTTCTGGGCATAGAATAGCACAATATTAGGTTTTAAAATATTTTGGTTCTCCCCTTCTTTAAAACTAATCAAACCGGATAGAATACTGTTAGACATAATAAATTGAGCATTACAATTATAACATTATACCTATACTTTATACTGATTCTGTAGATGAATATTTAGTTTAAATGCATTTTGGTGCTCACATTTTTAATTTCCGTCTACTCGTTTACGAGATATTCTACTTTTTTTGATAGGGAGAAATTAGTGAAACACTATACAAATTTCGCACACCATGCCTCTACACAAATGTGTTCCTCTCTTCCTACCTTCAAAACAATAAACTTAAGAGTGAAATATCCAAATGGGTTGGCAGAAATTAAAAATAACTTCATAGATTTATGGTATTTTTAAAATAGATTGCTATTAGAAAATCGAAAGTGGACAAGTAATAGTTTCATCCCCAAAAATAAGAGCAATGCAACATTTTAAGATACATATATGAGTTTTTCGGACGCATGCATAATCCCGGAAAGTAATTGTATGGACCGTAGAATTCCGGAATCATGTCTAGGTGAACTGTATTTTTACGGACTGCAGAAATCTGGAAAGTATTTAATCGTATTGTCACGGACCGTATTCTGCTGGAAAAAATACATTCGTCTACCGTATAGTCTCGGACTGAAGAAATTCGGAAAAAATGAACTCCCAAAGTACAAACCGTATTGTTGCGGACGACATATTTCCGAAATCTAGATTTTAAGACATTAACGCTATCATGTAGTGTAACGTATAGTCACAATTATAACTTATGGTTTAAATTTTCTAAGGATTTTTAAATAGGCAACCAAATGTTATCGGTAACTGTAAATGTTTTTACATTTTAAAGGAATAAGGCGAGGACAATTTTTAAGTGGTCATTACTTCTACAAATTCTGAGATCCTAGACTTCCAGTCCCCCTCCCAAATCTCAAATACTATTTGTGACTATATATAGACGAGTGCTAAACGAATAATCACATTGTCTATAGCATTGACGCCCGTCAAAATAATATATATTTTTAATTAGGTTGTTTTAATTATTACATGTATTTATGATTTAACGTTCTGAGCGAAGCGATTTTACAATAATTTTTGTTTTTATTTATGTGTGTATAGGTACACAATTTACAATTTATATTAGAAAAAATGATTTGATTTCTAACTGCAACTATAATTCTAGTAGGAAAATTAATCTAGTTGGTATTTTTGAGTGATCGGTATTTATTTGTATTATTTGATTTATTATTATCTTATTTTATTGATATTCAAAAATTAATGATCATTAGCATTTTCTATACATAGTTTCTTTGGTTTCAATCCGTACAATCCGTTGCAGCCATCTTTCACGCTTTTCTATTTTTTGCTTTCCTCTTTTCATTTGGGAATGTGAGTCGCAACCTTAGTCCTTTATTAATTGCTATATATATTCCAGTCTTGGACTTCGTCTATAATTTTTTATTTATACGCTTCTTCTCAGTGACGTATTTGATTTAGTCTTATGAGGAGGGGCGACATTAAAATTATTACACACATGGTATATACACAAGCTTATACCTATTCTACCCTATTTATCTTACCATGAAGTTTTTTTATTTTTGTTTAATGACACTTTTCCAGCAATATTACATTTTTGTGTATATAAAGTAAATACCTACACAAATTAATTGACGGGGGCGATCGCCCTCATCGCCCCCCCCCCCTTAAATACGCCACTGCTTCCTCATATAATTAGGTCTAACAATTTAACAATCTCTTATTTCGTATTGAATGGCCTATTTATTCATTCCGTTTTCTTACTTTATTCTTCCATAATAGCTTTAGTCCTTCTAAATATTCTTTTGATTATTTCTTTATTGGTAGAATAATCAATAATCTGGATGGGCAGAATTCTCCATCCAGCTTATCTTTAACATTCTCCTATAACACTACATTTCGAATATAAATGAATACGGTATTTGCTAACCAATTGTCCTTTCTGATTGGTCGATTTGAATCGCCATGTAAAAGCGTCAAATTTCGACGTTGTTTAAGTAGGTAGGTATTTTCTTGTTCTTTTATTTAACATGTTTGTAGTATCCTAATAGGATGACGCGCACTTTCAATCCATGCAGTACGGAGTTCAATTCAACGATCTTGAAATCATTATTTTGTTTTTTTATTTGTATTTCCCCTGTTACTAACCCCATTGAGGTTTTGTAAACAAACCGGGGTTTATTTTAATTTAAAACAGTTCATAAAATGAATAATATGAATACATAAATTTCATTTTTTATTTTATTTTAAATTTTAAATACACTTAAATTGAATGAGTATCAAGCCACAGTCAAATACATAAACATGGGGCAAAAGAATCTATTCATATAGTTGATGTTATATATATATATATATTCACATGGTAATATCCAAGTAGTAACACAATATATAACAGAAATTAACATATATAAACTAAAAATTTAGGTGACAACAATTTTAAATTTTACAATTATAGCTAACAATAACAAGATAAATATAATGACTAATAAGGGCTTACACTTCTTTTTTCAAATCGGACAGCCAGCGGATAGAATCCCCTTCCAATGCATGCAAACTTTTCATACCACCTGGGAAATGGTGTGCCGAGCACTCTTCAACAAGATGTTTCATTGTCTGTATCATTCCATCAGTTTCGCATATTTCCGAATCTGCCAGTTTCCACTTGTACATCAGNGTTCCTCGATAAGTTCATGATTATAAGGTTTTTTCGTGTTCCATTCCTTTTTCCATCGTTCCTTGATGGTATGAAATGTGCCGGAATTTTTTAGCTAGCCAGGATTTCGTGATTTTAGTCTCATCGGTGGTAGGTTTGTTATATTATCATATATCGGTATAGATTGATTTTTGGTATATTTCTGCCACTCTCTTCTTAGGAAGTCTTCTCGTCTGATATGTGGAGGAGGGATATTTGCTAATACTGGTAGCCAGGGAAGGGGAGTTGATTTTATTGTTCCAGAAATGATTCTCATTGATCTATTGAGCTGAACATCTATTTTAGATACATGGCAGCTTTTTAGCCAAACAGGACAGCAGTATTCAGCTATAGAGTAAACCAGCGCTAGAGTTGCTGTTCTCAGAGAGTTAGCGTTCGCTCCCCATCCTGTACCCGCTATTTAAGAGATGATATTATTTCAAGTGGATAATTTCTGAGCTATTCTTTCTAAATGAATTCTGTACGTCAGTGATCGGTCCAAATTAATCCCTAAATATTTTGGTGCTTTATTATGTTGAACTTGAATTCCGTCGAAGCTGATGTTGAGCTTCTGATTTGCCAATCTATTATTCAGGTGAAACATTGTCGATTCCGTTTTGGATGGGTTGGGCTTCAATTTCCACATTTTGTAATATTTTAGGAGTATTTCCAAATCCTCATTTAATTTATCTTCGCACAATTTAAAGTCAAAGCTTTGTACTGCTAAGGCTGTGTCGTCTGCATATTGGAATCTTCGGGATGTGAGATTCTCTGGCATGTCATAAATATATAAATTGAACAACAACGGTGCTAAAATTGAACCTTGAGGTAGTCCATTATTTAGGTTTCTCCATCTGCTTTGTGAATCATTTATATGGACCCGGATTCTTCTGTTAACTAAGAAAGAATTCAATAGTTTGTTTAACTTTGAACAAGGAATAATTTTACTAAATTTAAGCAGCAATCCTTCCCGCCATACCGTATCGTATAGTTGATGTTGATCCGTAATAATGACTAACTTCCAATAGCTATACAGTTTTTAATAATGGTTTCCGCGAAAAATTCGCACATTGCATTTATGTCGAAAAACAAATCTTTTCAAATATAATTGAAAAATAAGAGGTAAAGATTTTCCCATTTTTCCTATATTTTTTTTTTCAAGTTTTCAAATTTAATGAAAAAACTCCTGAGAAAATCGAAAAATGACTTCTATAAAGTACCTAATAAATAAAATGTCCTTTCTTTCAAAAAAGATGCCACATTTATATATCGGAGCAAGTTTTCTTGTAGATAAGTGGTTTACAGTAAGAAAAAAAAAGTGGTCCGAATGTTTTGAATATTTTACCACATCTAAGAAAAGTTTTCTTACCAAGTGTCAAGTCTCTACAAATATGTATAACCAAATTACGAAAAAAATTCCCAAAATTAAAATAGCTTTAAATAGCTTATAACTGGCTCAAACGTTTTGGAAACGATACTATTTTAATATTTAATAATTTTTAAGCTATTTAAAAAATTATTTACTATATAACAGATAAAAGAACCAATAGATTACACTTGTTGTGATTTTTTTCTTTCCGGAAGAATATAGTCTGAGACTATACAGTTAGTTATATTCCGGATTTCTACAATCAGTGATAATACAGTTCGAATATTTTTAAATTCTGGAAATATATGGTCCGTAAAATTATTTTCCGGGATTTTAGGATCTCCAGAGTTTTTCAACAAAACGTTTTTACATTGGTAAGGTTTGTTTAAAAAAAAAATTAGTATTTATGGACAATTGGAGAATTTGACTTTATCATGAAACCCTGAAAACCTTACATATTATTATTATTTAATTATCAACCTATCCGTAATTTTTAGATCATAATTATTATCAAAATTATTATCATTTCTTTTGCATAAAAAAGTTTATGCTCTTGTTATTCTATTATTGAATTGATAAATAACGACAAACTATACATAGTTTTCAAAGTTTTTAATGGTATATAAATTATTTAACGTCGACTAAAAACGTTTAGTTTAACATGTATTGCAAATTTAACTACCATTTTATAAAACTTCAAGCCATTAAAATGTGCGAATAATTTATCATTAAAATAATAATAGTTATCTATTTCAGTAATAATAAAAGTACTTACCTATTTACATTATCTCGAGACGGAAGAACATTTGTACGTAATTTTGTTCGGACCTGTTCAGTAACCTTGGTCTCTGAAAAGTACATCACTGATGATAATATAATTCATCATTATTACATTATATTTTATAATATTATGTGTATATAGATATTGGACCGGTGCCAATATTACTATAGATATAGTAGTGCAAGCTCGAAATAACCACGTTTTGTAGAAACAATCCAGTATTATATATCATAGTTAACCATTTTAATATTTTACTGAATGGGTTTTATCGAAATTCAAATTCATAAACTTGAGGGATCTGTTTTGTTTTGTTTTTTCGTTATTTAGCAGAGTAGATGGATTAGTTTAAATTTTCAAAACCAATTAACTAGGAAAAATCGATCACATAAAAATATTTACGACTTTAGAACGAGAAAATCATAATTTTTTGGCAATTATAATATCTGCCATTTTATTACATGTTTGTGTTGACAGGAGACTTTAATGAATTGGTAAAATGTATTCGAATATTCGAAAAGACATCAAGGTTCCTGCAGTTACATATTATTGAATTTTAAATTATAAATTTGTACAATTTAAGTCTCAATAATTTCAGATTTACTGCAAATCTGACAATAAATAGTTAAATTCATGTGATAGGTGTTATTAGTCTGACTTCAATAGCACTATACACACAATTTATTAAAAGAGCTAATACCGGGGACTCGAGTGCAACACTGTAATAGGTGGGTAGTTGGGTAGGTGGGTTATATAAACTTGTATAGTTATAACTGTTACCAATAATAAACCGTTGCTAACGAAAAACGATTTGATAAGACATATTTTGAAATGCCGTAATTTTTACGACTGTCGTCAAAATTTACAAAATACACGTGAAAAAAAAATTATACAGTAAATTCAAATTTGTTTTTAGACCACTTAGTAAAACTTATAATGTACCTTGTGTTAACTTTTCCATCATTTCTGTTTAGTGTAAACATTTTATCCTTAGAGTACTTACCAAATAAAAATTACATAAAAAAACTACAAAAACTTAAATGTTCAAAAGACGACTTGCGGGAGATGCATCCGTTTAGTGTAACGAATCGCTAGCCGACGTGTTATTGTGTAACTATTTTGCTTAAAAATGTGTATTACAATACAAAATGTGCAGACAGCTGTTTATCTTGAGTGACGACCTCGTATAATAGACCTATGCTCAAGATAGTCAAGCGTGATATATTGTGTGTATGATTATAGTAGGTTATGGGAGAAAAATTAATAGATACTTTTTAATGTATAATAGAAAACAAGGGGACAATATGTACAACTACCAGGTTTAAGGAAATATAGATTGACCAGATATAGCAGCCTGCCTATAGTGTCTGCAACTGACGTATAGGTTTGGAAAGATGTAGGTGGTGCGGATTTCAGATGAGCAAAAAAAGAGTGGTTCCGCTGGGCGAACCCAGAGAAGTGAAGATTCGATGGAAAAGGCTTACACGTCTCGCGTCTTATTTAATACGCGGACCGCCGCAGTAGTTACTGGAGGCGCCAGTGTGTGGACAACGCGTGTAATTAATTGTGTAATAATTTTATGCCGTACTTATGTGGCAACACTGATATTTATTATGATGTAATTTTACCTACTACATCACTTTGCTAGTTTATTTTACAAATATTCGATATTTAATGTATTACAATTACACTAGGAATATAATTAGGTATATAATATTTCGTTTCTATTTCATTAGGTATTTCGTGTTCTTCTGTAATAACAAAAATGTAAAATAATTGTCCTTGAATATAAAATAATTTCGACGTCAGCTGTATAAACGTGAATTCAGTATATTTTCTACAGTCAATATTATTGTTGTTTTACTAACATTTGTATTGATTATTTTTTGATTATCGTTATTTTGTAAATCGCATATAATTAATAGTATTTTAGTTTTAAAAAACAAACCAGTATTATTTGTGCCGTTAACTAAAGTCATATTGCGTTTTTTTTTTTTGTAATGTTTGCAAATGTATATTATACACTTCTACCACCTATATATTGTGGGTTGAAATATTATTATTATTTCGATTTAGACTATATTATGCACATATAGAGACCATAAACCATTCTTGTCGAACGCGTTTTCCTTGCCGCGTGTCTCTCGCGTCTTTAACAATATGACAAATGCGTATAATATTAAAATATAATAATATATTGCGCGTCACGACGACGTGACAAAACCACGACACATAATATAATATAGTGACTATATTTAGGCAATATATTAAGTGTAGTAGGTGCTATAGTGATAGTACTTAACGCGGTCCTGATAATGATATTATTGCTCTCGGGATTTCATATAGTTATATTACGTGTTTGACGTTCAACGGTTAGATGTTCATCATCCCGCACGATCACTGATACCGATCTACACATTTTTTAGTTTATTGTCTTTTTTGTGCAGTGCTCATCCGATCGACGGTACTTAATGAAGCGGTAAGAATAATCTTGGAAAAAAATAATTTAAATTTAACGTAAAGTGGATCAGGCTGATTTTTAGAATTTAAGTGGAGCGAAAAAGCTTATGGTTTTAGGAAAATGTTTATTTATTCATTTTTTATCTGTGCGCATTTTTTCTACCAAATATCTTGCTCCGATTTACAATAATAGCACTTTTTCTGAAAGGAAATTTGACTGGGGAGGTACTTCAGGTTGTTATTTGAAAATCAAAATTGGGTAGTGATCTTTCTATAAAAATTAGAACAATGTAACATTTTAGAATAAATATATGATTTCAAAAGTTTACACACAAATAATTGTTTAAATAAATAAATATTTCATGGACAATTTATCTATAACGTGAAATTTTGAAAACTCTATAAATAAATGTCAGAATTAAATTTAAAAAAAAAACGCTGATACTGAGCTCGGTCAATAGCATGACTTTTTCAATAACGTGCATTTTTACAACAACGATTGTTTAAAAAAAAGTACGAAATGTACAATATGTAGGTATTATTTGAAAATTATTTCGACCTTCTTTTTTCCTGTGAACAATTTCTTCTACCAATTTTGCTCCAACTTACAATGATAGCACTTATTTTAAAGGAAATCTGACTGGGAAGGTACATTAGGGAAGTCACTATTTTATTTTCTCAGGAGTTTTCCTAATATATTGGAAAAGAAACCGGAAAATGGGAGAACGGGAAAATAGGTACAATATTAAACAAATATTTATTATATTATTAAAGAAAATGTTTGATGCATACGTAATCATTTTACTATAATATGACATATATATTGTTGATAAAGCAACACTATCAACTAAAATTCGTTCAAAATCGTTTTTTTGTTAGCAATAGTTTATCGTTACTTACAGATATACATTAAATTCCCTTCTATATCTTAGCTTTCCAACTTCCTACCTAAAACAGTGGCTGCACCCACATGTGAAGTATGTTCGTTTTTTTAAATTTAGTTTAGTTTAAGGTTTTTTTGTACTCGTAAATTATAAGGACTAGAATTCGGAAAAGTAGGATGATCGAAATCGTGCAAGTACATTCACTCATGTTCAATACAAACGGGTTTTCGGAATTCATATCATTTCTTTATGTCAATTGGACTGATTGAGGAGAAATTAGCATCCTC